AATCAATACAACGGATAGCGAATTGTGTGTCGCCATATCATATTTGCGATCGCAAACTTCTGGATCACGATATCCTGACCTCGAGTCGCTGGTCTTGATGTCGTGTTACTGTGTGGGGATTTATTGGTGGCTTGTCAATATACAAGCTTAAATTGTCTCAATCCAGTATTCATCAGAACTAATTTTTCGTGCTTGGTAAGAGGTTATTACGAAAGTAAATGTATTTTAGTCAATCTTCATAGCAAACGTTTTTTGTCTCTCAATGCCGATCTCTTCTTAATAAGTCCCATCTAGTTGCTTGGCCTTCGTTTAGGCTTTCTTTGCCTTCGTTTAGGCTTGCTTTGCCTTCTCACAGGATATTGAGGTTACAGCGCTGCATACGCATTTGACAGGCAGATGACGTTACAGGAATTTTGATAATAGACATTGTTTACGGACATGTATGCAGTCATACACGGATCTAGGTGAATCAGATTCTTTGCCGAGGGTAGAAGTAGCATAGAGTAAGCGAACGAAGGATCTAGCAAACACATTTACTGCAAAATTTGTCCTCTGCTCAAAATAGGATCGCAACCGCTTAAGGTCATCTGTGTCTTATTAACTCGTAGGACTTATTTTACAACACAAAGAATAATCCTTACACCTATCGAATATACTCTATAGCCTTTAGCATAGGTTGAAGATCTAGAGTCGCTACTAATGCTTGCGCATTCATCATATTTAGCACACAAGTTTCAACACAACGAGAAAGCCAACATATTCGGAGCCGCCAGAAAGCGCTTGCGAAACTAGTGTATTAACAGGTGGCATTTGTAGTGTCAGAAGCATATGGTGACGTCGATAATGCAAACGAGTATTCAAAAATTATAACAACTAAATGCGGTCTTGCTTTCATGTTCAGATCATGCATTTCACTATCCAGTATTTCTGAAAACTCGGTGCACAGAAGTAAAGATTGGCCATTGTTATGTGCATCCTACGACTTTGTACTAGCACCCTAACATTACCACGTTAGGTGTAGCAGAGCTATTGTAGCAAAACTGTTTTACGCACTAAGTGGAGAGAAATACGTAACCTTGTAAAGCTTTACGTCTTCCTCGGCACTCACTGCTTTATCAGCATATGCCCTCTTGATTGTATATAGCCCACGTCTCTATGAGAACAGTATCAACAGATACTAATTTCTTCCCAAGGAATGTCAATATACCGGTGCCGTGACACAACACTTGTCAATATAACGGTATTACGACTCAACACTTGTCACTATACCGGTACTATACACACAAAACAATAGACTAAGGTATGTGTTTGTGTAAACTTTCTTAGTATAACGGGTTACACAAAGGAGTGTATCATACGTACACATTATTTTGACGTGGCTGTCCGTACATTGCCGCACCAAAGGGTGCTTAATTAAGTACTGTACGTATGTACGTATACATAGTAGGACGACTACAATGCCAGTCAAATACAGTGACTACTGTATTTGACTGGCATTGAAGTGGCATGTACGCTTGTACATGCCACTTCGTCGTGCCAAAGGGTCAATGAGATAGTTGTACGGCACAAAAAAAACTCAGGTTCATACAGCAGATACCGGGATAGCCCATAATCATACCACAGGTGGGAATTCCAGAGCCACCTCGCGATCCAACGCCGTAGCCACCACTTCTACCGGCGCCACCTCCTCTCGTCCAGCAACTTGAACCAAGAAAATTTGACTCGATGGACATGCCACACGCCTGGAGTATCGAGCAAACGCATGCACAAATGTTAGCTCAAGAACACAATGAGTTGCTTAAAATCATTTTATAAACGTGCATATTATACACATGAGGCAGCACCCGGAGTTTAAGATGGCACTGTGGACATTGAACAAGAGTCCCTCGCGAACTACGACACAAGTTGGCTCAGCTTCGGTCTACAGATTAAGCAGATAGCCAGTCTTGGCTGGCCTCAACCAGGTATTGTTCTCTAGCCGCACCGAAATATCGATGCCGAGCTCATTGACCATTGTATTCAGTGGTGAAAGCGCTCCACAAAACTCAGACGGATCAACTCAAGTATAGCTGTCAGCATCCCCAATAAAGCGAGCAATACGGAGAGTACAGACCTCGTCAAGCTGACATTGTGAACATTGTTGGTGCAGACATTGCAAAACGCTACACCACAACGGAAGCTCCAGTAGTCGGCTTGTTTTCCGATCAGCGTTATACAGGCGGCCAGTATTTATTAGTAGACAGAAATAGTGGATCTTGATCAATAAAATGTAAAGTGTTATCGTATAAAGCTGCTAGAGCAAATGTTCATTGCCGAATACAAAGTTACATGAAGTTTGTTGATAGCAGCGCGGGCAGAGATTAATATTGCACCTCTCTCAGCTTTTTTCAGCTATTTCAAGCTAAATATCACGAAAAAAAGTGTTTGACAAACCTGCTGCCTTCCTTGGATGTGGTAGCCGTTTCTAAGGCTCCCTCTTCGAAATCAAACCCTAATTCCCCGTTACCCGTTAATGCCATGGTAGGCCCATATCCTACCATCCAAAAGCTGATAGGGCAGAAACTCAATCGATTTATCGCGCAAAAGCACGATCGCACAGTTATTATGACTCAACACAATACCAGCCCGAAGACTGCATTGGTTTCAATCTAATAAATGCTACCCGCCATCGAAAATGCACATCAGAACCAAGCCTTTGCATACTGAGATGTTGAGATTTTCTTTTGTCTGGCCAATCAACTTTAAATTTCGCAACAAAAATTCTTTGCCATGGCCTGGCGTCTGGAAGTGCAATTTTTTTGCAAGACATAGAACTGTCCATGTTGTAGTTCGGCACTGATTGAAAGAAAGCAGAGGATTCTACTGCCCATAATCAGTGCAATCGAGCGACTGAGGGATTGAAACATCTTAAAAATATTACTGTCCGCCAGCTCGCGCATATTGCGCTGGCTTAGCCATCTACAACACCGCTAAACGCTCTGGTAGACCAAAATAATTTAACTGTACAATTCTTTGCACGATTTCAAGAGAAAGCTAGGTGATTCAAAGCTGCAGTAGGAGTGATTGCTAGACGTGATTGTTTGATTCAATGCAGGAGATGCTTTAGAACACGTGGATATAGAAGATGTTGCGTTTTTCGTGTCAATAAAGTACAGCAAGGACCATTCCTGATACTTGTCCAAGTCTTTTCTTTGACAAGACAATGTTTGGTTGGATATTCCTAGAAAATAACAGCAAACGTATACGTTTGCACGGGAATGGATTGTCTGTGAGAACTTATGAGTACAAAGCTCTGTACTGTCATAAAGAACTTATGCATACGCTTCTCTTTTCCCTTGCATGCATGTATCAACAGCAGTCTTCACAACTAACAGTGATGCAGCTGCACCTCCAGTCTTAGTACCGTGTCATGAAAGTGCGCCGCAAAAAGTTTCAGCGGGCTCGGTTAGGATGAGTCTAATGCGACATCAGCCGAAATGACACGACTGTCCGATGTTTCAATTGATTTATACTTTACCAAATTTCCACAGTCAATGAGAGTCCTGGATCTAATTCGCCGGTCACGAGCTTATTTGCTGCCACTGTGGTGAACAGCTTTCTCAAGGACGTGCAAGTCATACGAAGGGACGAGACAAGGTGACGATACAAAGTCTCGCTTGTGTATTTTTCTGCCTTCACCTTGGTTGTGTGGTATCGATATACAATCCGCTTGATACTAGCGGCAGCTTAGATCTTCTATTGAAGTCTCATGTAAAGTAAGAACGCAATTTCATGATGTTGCTCACGATAGCGAACAATGCTGGTGTCGTGTTGTACTGCGTGCCAAAATAGCTGGGCGTTTAAACAGCGCATGAACATGGAGCTATTAGTGCTAGGTGTTTCTACCATACTTTGTTTGAAGCTAGCTTGGTGGCGTTTGAGGTAGCAGGCGCAATCATATGTATCGAAGCATGTGTCGACGTGCTCCCTGTACGCCAATGTACGATCGAATGGCGGGTATGTTACAATTGTTAGGACCAAACATTTACGGTTGTTTTTCGTACTGAATTGAGCCATAAGCTAGAACGCATTAGTGCAGAGCAAGCTAGAAATGAATAAAATCAAGCGTTTAGCGAGTTTCACCTGGAAATACCGAAACAAAGCAGCCATTTGGACATCACCTCTGATTCTGCACCAGTGCATTAAATCAGGCCTTCAGAATATGATTACGTAGGTATAAGGAATGTTGGATGAGCCAACAGAACGATGTCCGACGAGGCAACGCAATGATGCCACAAGGTAAGACAAATATGACTTAGGAGAAGGTGCAACCAATCGCTCAGGTATGCGATGAAAAATTGGCGTATGACAGTACTCGGATCTTTTTTAACCAATCCAAGTGCTCGTATATTTCTTTCGGGTAAATCCAAAAAGGTTCGTTGTTTATGATAAAGATGCACATTTATGCAGCGTCATTGGGCATGTAGCGATACAATATTATCAGGGTATTAATGTCCTACATAGACAAAGTAAACGTGTCACGTGAGCTAAGAAAACTACTACGCACGCATGGTCTTATGTGACGTCTGTGCGGAAGATTTTGCCCGCGATTGGTTGTTTACCCCATTTCCAAAAAGCGTAGACAAGGCAGAAGACGTAATCCATCTGTTCAGATTGCATTTTCTCATAAATAACCATCTTGGAAACTTCAAACATGAGCATTCTGATTGCGCCCAGATTTGATGTTAATAGGTGATTAGCAAATCTGTTTGCTAGCATTTGACCGAGTGTTTTCAGGAACGTACGGGGCGAATTGCCCACAGACTACCTAAGTTTGTGTACACGATATAAGTAGTGCTTAATGTCAAAAAACGCAATGGTAGATGCTGTATTTCATTGGTACAGAGAGCTGTAGGACGCAGTCATTTATATACTAGTAGCTTGAATACTTAAGGGTTGGTCGACGTGCACTTCCTTCCGGCTACACGCAGTCACACTTGGTCGAGGAATAGGTGTAGCCTTTAAAAGAGCAACTCTAGTAGTTCACTAGCGCAATCTTCAAGCGTTGGGAATTCACGCGAATCACCAGCTGCAGTGTCCAATGGAACGAGATCATCATTTCCGAGCATGCCGAAACTGAGGTACTTACTGGCATCTAGCCACGTGTTATCAAGATTGTCATCTGTAGAGACCGGTGAGTCAGCATATGAAGACGTCTTGGAGTCGAGGATTTCAATCGCATCCGCGATAGACATGTAGATTTTACTGGAGTCGTCCACGTGCGGACAATCCTTCTCAATGCACAAGCAAGGTAAACGCATCTTCGAGCACGACCCTAGTCCAAGTCCACCACCAGATGGGCATTGCAGTGATCGTCGTGCATGCGGAGAGTCGACAGTAACCGCAATACTTCGACATGTGTTTTGTAAACCATGTCGGGCCGCCGCCTGTTTGCGTTGCGCCTCACGGAGTCGTCGAGCAGCTTTGAGACGGTATTTCTGCGCATGTGTCATGGTTTGGCGCACGTTGCGCGTACCAACGTAGGCAGCTACGCGTTTCCATGGTCCATCTGAAAAGAGCTTGACACCTTCAAGGAAGCGCGCATGCTCTTCTTCGGTCCACATACCGACGCCAACCGTGGGCGTGTTGCTGTTGTACTGAGAATGCGTTGCTGTTTGAAAACTCATCGTAGTTGGTAGTTTGTGGGTAATTTGAGAATGAAGTTGAGAATACTGCGAGGGTGGATGAAGTAACAACGTTGTTGAGGGCACTGAAGTGGTCAGTTTGTTTTCTTTGAGTGCTGAATGACCCGAGCTCGCTGCCGCAGATTTATGAATGAAGTCTCGTCATGAAAGACTTGAACGGGAGAGACACCTTAGACGAGCTCTGAGTTGATGAGGTCGCAGTACATACTATGCTCAGTCTGTCTTACGCCATCAATGACGATCACCGTGATCGATCTGCAAGCACCAGAGTCTCTTGCTCCGTAACCGTAAACTTTAGATCAAAATCCAGCTTTTTGCGCAAGATGCACTGATGAGAAACAGGCCTTTCCACTCGATCCAGCCGTGTTTACTTGAGCTCTCCGTGAAACATGAACAAAAACGTCTGCCTATGATTATTTATCAGGTGTACACAATTAAAATTGGACACCTTATCAAATAAATGATGGACGCAATCGTTGTAATCTTCAAAAAGATGCCCAGATTGCATAAAAAGACGTGTCATCTTCTCTGCCGTTCTCACTCATGCTGGAAAACCAAAGTGCCGTCTGACTTGCAGTTCACTGACTCAAAGTAGCTGAACATGCCAATGTTTGCTACAACGTGCTACCTACTTTTCTCTAACAGTGTAGATCCGCACTGAGAATGCTGCTTGAATATGCGTCTAAAACTTTACGCCAAAGAGCACTTTTTCGTAAGACGTTCGTCATAGATTCTCGTCCAGTCATAAATGTAAAGCGAAAGGACCATTACAAGCCTTAAAAGCTGAGTCTAGGCAAGCTCGTCTGCTTTTTTCTCACAAACCTGCGACACACGCGTCCTCCGTCATTTAGTCAGCATTAAAACCTAACGTTAACATAGCAAGAAGATTATGAGCCAACATTAAATTGAAAACATCTTTAATTTCCCAACCAGGTTCGACAGTACGGACAGAGGTCGAGTGTGTTGCAACATTCCTCCGCACATTTCCGCTGCGTTACATAGATCTTGACTCACCGTAATCTGGTCGGAGGTTTTTTTTTTTCACGGAAACACTACACTGCTAAAAAAAAATTCATTTCACATAAAAAATGGGCACTTTTTTGACTGAGTTGCTCTATAGAATAGGAATAAAAGTCAGCACAAAGAGTAAGCATTGACCGTTATCTTTCCGTGATTACTTCAAATTCAGCTTTCTGCTATGTACTAGCGTCTTCAATATATGATCGTGCGTTTGATTTGAAGTAAAACTGTCGGTGGAAAGAGGACGTAATAAAACGAGGACCAGCAAAATCATATTTTCGCCGTAAGACATTATGAGTTTGATTGGTACAATGTTAGCGTTAGTTTAATCGTGGAAAGTGCCACATATTGCGCTGTCCAGTATTCGAGATTGCATACGTTTCGAAAGCTTTTCGAATTCAGGATGCAAATCGGTCGGAAAATGCCTTTAAACTCATACCTAGCTTCCGCAGCAATCATGTCATTACTATTTGCGCTTCATCCTTAATGAGTCTATAGTCTTACCTACGGCCAAATCGGATGCGCTGGGGCCAACAGACAGCCGCAAGCGGCTATCCAATGATGTAAAAGACTGCTTCCTGGATTTAGAGCTTAATGCACGGCCGATTTACCGCTTCAACTCGGTGAGCTATTAAGAAGCTCAACAAAGCTGAGGCGTGTGACTTCGCAGTTTGATGCTGGATTGCCAAAGAAGGACCACCACTTTAACATTACAATTTGCAACGGCTAAATGCGTCAAGAAAACACGACGAATAGCAATCGGCAATTCTTTTTTAGGCGCTGGAAGCGTTGAGAAGCTGTAACTGTTCTAAGGCAGATCTGCCAGCGATAGACGTAAGCACGAACGAGGGAGCATGCGCGCCCATCGACAATAGCTGAGACGGGTGAACGATGCGGATAGGGTATCAATCAATCAATTGTAATGATCAGCACAGTAGGACTTGTGTTGATGTTGCCCGTTGTTTACGGTGTTTGCAGTGGCGCGTGTGTCGTGTACGTATGTTTTATATATACTTTGTGTACGTCACCAGCCAGCAGCTGTCGACAGCTTATGGCAGATGAGGTGCAAAAACTAAACATCTTTAAACCTTCTACAGCAAGTATTTGATCGCCCTTGCTATCTCGCGTTTAATAGCACCCATAGCGTACTGTCATGCAGCTCACTGCGCAAGTGCGTTCAAGCTTTGGCCCAGTCACATCATGCTGCTGCATCTTTTTGTATCGAATAAAGACGCTCTGCTGTCGTCAACGACAATATTCTGATTTTGTGGATTGCCATTTTTTTCTTGTCCAGGATGGTTAAATCGGGCTTGCCAGCTTTGCAGAGCTCGATCGGACAGCTTCAAGAATATCGCGTGTATGCTGCTTTCCAATGACGAAGCGATATCTCTAGGACAATCGATAACATTGAAGAAAGCGTTTAATTTTAGCGGCCGTAGTTTGCTGGCAATAAGTTTGTAACGTTGCTAGATTAACTGCATCTACATCGACCTACACTTACACTGCATGAGTTAAAAAAGTACTTTGAGTAGCTCTGCAGCGCACTCCTCAAGAGTAGGGCTAGATGTCAAATCTTGGAGAAGGTCAATATCCTCGTAGGCGAGCATCGTCGTGTCCAGACACAACGGCTCCACTGCTGACTGGCTCGCAAAGTGCTTTGCCCATGATAGAGTCCCGGCGTCAGAGTAGTGACCTTTTTGGCTCACTCCCGCAGTGTCAGCAAGCGAATAATTGGCGTGGTTTAGCTCATACGCTACGCAGTGGTTGTTGCGAACACCGCCCATAGCGCGAAGACGTTCCTGTATGAGCGACTCCTCGCTTACATGGTGCCCAAAGTTCATTCGCATCAGGGCCTGCTTGGTTCGCAGACCGCGAAGGCGCCGTGCAGCCTTCTGACGATATTTCTGAGCGTGCGTCATAGTTTGTCGGACGGTGCGGGTGCCAACATAAGTTGCAACGACTTTCCATGGTCCGTTAGCATATATCTTAATGGCTTCCAGGAATCGGGCATGCTCCTCCTTGCTCCACACGCCGGTACTCATACCGTTTGGGCTTACGGATCTGCGTGGAGAGCCTTCGCTGTCCGTGTAGGAAGACGAGGTGTCAGATTCTACCTCTATCTCTCGTGATGGTCTCAGATTGTCGTCTATCACCTTTAGTTCGATATCTTGCATGTTGGCAGTTGCACTGCTATACATGTCTTGTACGGGTGAGTAGAATGTGTTCATTGTAGACAAGCGGTGATCGAAGGTTCGGCTAAGCTGATGTTCGATGTTGCAAGAAGGGTTGGTTGTTTAAGATCAAGCAAAATTGAAAATACGCCCACCCACGCAGCACTCAATGGCCTCTGGCCTCGAAGTGGCCCCTCGTCCGCGCTCTCCGTCCCGTCGGTGCACGTACGCAAATTCCAGAGAAATTCAAAACTTCTAGGTACTTGCAGTTCAAACCAGCGTTTCGTAACGCTTGGCCGAATAGAATATGCAGACGGGGTAAAGCTGAGAAAACGCGTGGCGACGAGGCATGAGATGGCGCCGGTTGTCACTGCCTATTGATGGCAGCTCAGCGACGCCTCAGAGACTGAGGACGTAATGTGTTCAGCTACTGCAGATTGTACACTTAATAATGCGGCACTGTTGTGCTATGACAGCATCAATAGTTCAAGAGGTTAAGCATCGCGCAGAGCCGGTTGGAGTGAGCAGCTTTAGCCAGCCTACACCAATTCGAAAGCTATCATCTTAGTTCAGCAGCAGACTGCAAGAAATACCACGTTGAAGTGCAATTCAATATTAAAAGCGTGCCATCTGCTTGAAGACCATTCATTTGAAGAACGTTACTGTCTCGGCACTTGATTGAGACTCTTGTCTTTGCCGGCACCGGACTTTTATAGAATTTAAGTCGGACGCATAGCGGTTGCCACAACGAGAATTCGCCGTATGCTACTGCTGCAAAAGTGCTCAGCGATATCTCTGGACCGATCATACCTGGAGTGGTTAAATGAGTGGCGTCAGCATCACTTATTTCTGTTCCGTATTAATATGAAAGCTTCGGCGAGTGACGTCCACAATTTCTTAGTTTGTTGTCTTACACAAAGCCGTATAGCCCCATCATTCACCGAAGCTTTCGGTGCGCTTTGCCGACTTATCTTGTTCCGCACTAATGTCAGCACAACAGATGCTCACAGTCCTTACTTGCACGCGACTCATACAAGCGCAAACGAGACGCGTTCAAGATAATGACGCAACTTTGCTGTCAAACACTTTCACTGCCATGCATGCAAAAATGTGTCAAGCAGCAAAGTGAGGTAATGTTCGCAGTCTATGAACGATACAGTATCATGGCCGAATGATGCACAACCTAGCAAACGACTGAAATACGACAGTCGTGGCAAAAAAACTACGGTAAATGGAAAGTAAATGAGCGGCAAATGTATAAAGATGTAAGAAAAGAGAGGGTGCTTGACTTCTTATTCCAAACTTAGTTTACTTGAGACGGTGCGACGTATAAAATAAACGATCTTGGTTGCAGTCTGTCGATACTTTGTACGACACCGCAAAAAGAGATTGCACGAACGTCGATAGTGTGTATTGAGCAGTCAACTACCGAATCCATGACGTTGCGCTAGTGGATTCTCGCATGTACAACTCTTATTTGGGTGTAGCGATAGTCCTGCTCGAAAAGTATGACGTTTGATACTTTAGTTTTGGGGTGTGTCAGCTAAGAGCTTTCGATATTAATATTGGCACTAAGGCGTGAAAAGGTGTCAAGAAGATCTTCGTCAAACGAAAACGGTTTGTTCGTTTAGTAGACGGCCGATGCTCGTATGCTGAACAGGGTAACAGTACAACAACGTGGTGATGACCTTTTGTAATGACTACAATGCTGATATTTCTGAAAGGTATTTAGGACGACTATGTAGATGAATCTCTAAAGCACGCTATAGACGCTGTCGTTGAACGCGTATCAATTATGTCGGCAGAAAACTGTACTTCTTCGTTACCGAGGCTGGGCCTGCACTACGCAACGACCTGCCAACAACTTCAACGAGCAGCAAATAGAATCGACTGTGTGCTTGATCGACCATGTACTGCTTTTACAAGACGTTGTTGGCGGTATCGTTTCGTGCAAAACGCTCCGGCGACGGCGGAATGAGCAAACATAACCTTATGATGCATTGCAACAGGTGTTCAAGAACGGCGCTAGTTTGTACCCACCTAAGTTTTCATAAGCAGGAATGATGACTGGGCAGTGGCCAAGTTCCGCATGGGACGTGAAGACGCGGTCAAGAACTTGCCAGTAGTAGACCAAGTGTTCTTTTTCGATAAAAAATACACAACAATGTTCCTTGAATCTTTACCGGCTCAAACGGACGTCCTGTTGTAGTCACTTCATAGGACTCAAGTGAAGTCAAGTACAAATATTTGAATGATCAGCCTGATATCGATATAATAAGAAACGTATTGCTGTATCATCGAACTTTTCACGAGAGGTTTCGTTCAAAACAGCAACAAAGAACGCTGCGAACAGGTTAAACGTATGTTGTGTTCGCGAAACGGTCATAATTGAATTGATAAAAGTATGCGCGTTGTGCACACGTAAACTGCATGAAGGATGTATGCTGATGCATAGTCTACAATTGATCGTGCACGTCACACTGTACAAACATGTGCCCGACTCCTGTTGTAATAAGCTTAGACGCACTGAGGTACTGGCGTAGCTACTAATGCACAGAATTCGTTGCATGAGCTTGTTTTTTCATAGGTATATCTATCTATATATATGGCCACTCAGATTATATAGCAAAACAAGCTTTTGGTTGCAATTCACACGAGTTTGAGGCTATTTATCCTGCCTATTGGCTTATTGCCTACGAAGTAAACCTTAAGGAGGTTGAAACGGTCTGGAAAAGGCCATTTTTTGTGTCCCGCAACAAAATAATTCGAGACTTCATCGAGTATCATTTACTGTCATTTCTAATCAAGTACCACTTGTACCGTTTTATACACTTATATTGTTTTTAGTGTTTGCACCTGCTAAACATTATCAGACAAACTAGTCCGCACCCATTACGCACAAAATCATGCTTCGGCGAGAGTCAGCGTCAGCGGTGCTGTCGTCGCAACGTCGTACAACAGCGAAAGAAGACGACAACAACAACAACGACGACGCTTTGAACATCCGAAAGAAGCATTTGAAAGCCAGGACGATCGAACACTCGGAACAAATGGGAGACGACGATTCAAGCGCGTGTCTCATGGACGTTTCCTCACCTGTTTCTTCCACTGTGGATTCAAATGATCGCAATTCGAGTTGTAGCAGTAGCAAAAGTGATCAAAGTAATCAAGGAGAAACCGTTACACGTTGTCGCATAAAACGAAAAGGAAATTCCCGTGGGAAGAAGAAGAAGACGACGACGAAAAAGAGTGCATGTCACAGTATGGATTTGTCATCATGTATTATGGAGGTACCACCACCACCACCACCTGGTGAATTTAAATATTTAAAACCCAATGAGATTCAAAGTGGACAATTACCAGATTATGATTTTGCAATTCTTGTATATCGTACAATTCAATTGCCAGGATATATGAAACGAACAATGACTTGTCGCTGTTGCGAAACAGTCTCAGGTGTTCCATCGCCAATTCAAGGCACAACAAAATCCAAACAACGAAACTGTATCGATAGTCTCACAAATGCATCTCATGAATTCTCAGGCTTTAATCGATTATGTATGGCCACTTCTCCTAGTGTCGATGAAAGTGAAGAGGAACATCGTCGCATTGTGACAAAATTATGTACACAAGGACTATTGGTGGATATTCTTGATGGTGGCGATTCCACGGGCGAAATGTCTTCAGGTTATTTGATTCTCTTGATTCGAGCTCCAGATTCGATTGTCCTGTCATTAGTCAAGGAATTTCGAATCCAAACGTGGATGGAACATGGTGCCGTTGTTGATATGGAAGCAGATGTTGCCCAACGTCGAGATGATCCAACTACTCCAGCTGAACGGATTGAAATTGTGGATTTTATTATTGAACAACGTGCAAGATTAACCAAGAGTGATGTCTGGATCCATGATCTCTTTCCAATGCATAATCAAAGTGTTACCAAGACATTAATTCATCGATGGGTTGCATCCTTGCGACTCCATGAAGTTGATGATAAGAAAGTTTTTCTATCCCTACGCTACAATTTTGGTGAAAAAGTGGCATATTATTTTGCTTTTCTAAAATACTACAATATGTGGCTCATTCCACTTGCAGCAATTGGTAGTTTACTCGAGCTTTTACGTGGCGTCATTTCTATGACTCTCTATATGCGACTTTTACCATTTTGGGGTCTTGGAGTCTCGGTCGTTTGGGGGTTTGCGTTTCTCAAGTCATGGGAGCGAGAAAACGCGTGCATGCAGTATAATTGGACAGGTAAACTCCACGTGAAGCAAATTGAGTATCGAAACAAACAATTTTATGGAGAATCTCAAGTCAATGCGTTAACGGGTGATGTGGAAGTGGTGTATCCGGCATGGCGACGAGTACCCAAATATTTTTGCGTGTTTCTTTTTATGCTGTGGCAAATGCTGATCATGCTCTTTCTCGTAGCAAGCTGGGTAACAATTTATGAGATTTTGAAAGCTACGTACAAGGAAAGCCACATTTTTTCAACGCAGTGGTTTCTCATCTTGCTTGAGGGATGTATTTTTGGTTTCTTCGTGGACGTTGTTCAGTGGAACATGGTGGTCACAAAGATGGGAGCTTTGTTCACACATTGGGAGAACTATCGAACAGAGGAACAGTATGAAAAGGCATTGATCCGCAAGCTATTTTTGCTTGACTTTCTCAACTACTACACCTGGTTCTTTTCGCTAGCGTTTGTTTTCGTAATTCCTGGTCTTGGCAATTACTTGACAAACACGTTCAACCACATGTTTTTCGGTGATGCTATGAACTGCTGTTTCGGCCCGTATGTAGACCAAGACGGGTCATGTACCACGTGTCCTGTGGGCGATAAGGATGCCACATGCATTGAGTGTATCGGGTTTTTCACTTTCGATCGCCACCACGTAGATCTGAGCGCCATGTTTGTCACTCCCATCGTTATAACACAGCTTTTGAACATATTAGTAAGGCTGGTGGCACCCATTCTCGTGCGGAAACGTCGTGAAAGCGCTCAGGCACGGGCCGACGCACGAGCACAAAAGCGCATTCACGAGGCAGGCTCAATGAAGATCTTAGGATCGCTGGATTATGAAGACCAGAAGGAGTCTCAATTTGCTAACAAGTCTAGCTCACGGTATCTTGAGTATACACCGACAGAAATTGAGGTGCTCAATAAAAAAAGCTCGTGAAATTTTGTTCGACAGCGAGCAAGATACTTACGATCCATATGACGACTTCCACGTGCTAACAGCGCAGTTTGGCTTCACCGTCATGTTCTCAATGCTGTGGCCGTTGATGCCTTTTGCTTGCTTCTTGGTCAACAGTGTGAAGGGCCGCACGGATGGCTATCGACTCTGCAAAACACTGAAGCGTCCGATTCCACGCCGAGCTAATGGTATTGGTGCTTGGAATAGTATTCTCACCACTTACGCGTATATTGCTGTTATTGTTAACGTCTTACTGATCTGTATCTCAACTGGCGTGCTCGAGTTCTTCGATGAAACGTGCGTGAGCGACATTAAGCACCAGCTCGAGAAGCAAGGGAAAACGTTGGACGACTTCATCTTTGGCCCGAACTTTGGCTGCCTGCACATTTCTTGGCGATTGCTCTTCATCCTTTTGTTGGAGCACTTTTTTGTGGCGATAGCTTACGTGAGTATGCGGCATATTTCCGGTGTGCCGAGCTGGATAAAAGATGTCATGAGTGCGAGAGAACATAAGTTTAAAGGGCTACTACGTGAGCATGAGCTAGAATTGTTTCCATTAACCAATGGCAGCGGTAAAAAAGAGGGAAGCAGCGATGTTGGTAAGATTGTAGATACTGGAAGTGACAAGAGCACGACATCGTCGGATTCAACTCGCATTGATATCAAGCGCCACGTGGACTATGTAGGCAACACGACAAGTCGCAGCACTCGTGGGCCTTCATCTGATTTGTCATCTCCAGCGACAACACCTGTGATTCCTCCTCCTCGTCCAATTTTGGTCGATCCCATGACACCACTTCCACAAACAACAAGCGAGATAGAATTTCCTGCTAGCACGGGTGTTCGCGCGAAGGCTCGCGAAAAGCTGGCGCGGCAATGGTCGGACGGCTCAGACCAGTAATGTTTCATACCTATTGTTCATGAAGATTTTAATTACTGCAATGCATCTGTATATTGACGGTGAAATGTCTGCGATGCTGTCAACCACTCACTACAAATATGTGAACATGAACTCTTGCACTACTGTCTTTTACTATTGAGATGCCACAAGCTACTGCCGCGATATTCGACTTGCCATGGAAACAAGCCGTGCAGCTAATCAATTTACTTCGCTTCTGCTATTACAGCGAGGTCCCATTTGTGTTTCACAAAGAGTCTGACCGATATCGACAGGGCGCTGCTATAGAACAAGATAGCTTGTCCGTTTGTACAACGGACGTCTTTCATGCCTTGCTGCTGCAACTTAGCCTACAGATACAGCAGGCAGTAGACGACTCGATCGCGCAACGCCTATGCTGCAAATGTGTGCACACCGCGATGTCGTGGTTTTCATTCGTCACAAGCAATTGATCTTCAACAACAAGTCTTGCCTTCTTGTTTGCTATCTTCAGGGTGAATTTCCAATTACATCCACGCACGCCTGCATGATGAGCACAAGTGAGGTCTCGGTCGTGCCAAAACTTACGTACTCATCCAAAATAACTTGAGTGGCTGTTGATGAAATTGTAGAGAAGTGATCTACGTAGGCCTGAACGTCATTGGGAGGAACACTTGTTGGCAATGATGTAAAGTCTGCAAATCGCTGCTTCCAAACAAAGCACGTTGATCGTAACCATGACCGGATATACAAGGGGTACGCAGCGTAAGTCGCAATGGGCGACGATGCAATGCTGGTCGACTATGAAAGTAAATACATCTCTATTTTACAGCTAGAGAACGCAACATGGTAATGAATGTAGCTACTAGCAATGAAAACAAAACTTCTTTGAAAACAGTGTGACTACCACAGAAAAGCTCAAAAGCGCTCAAGCGCCTTTACCAGGTACCAAGACCCGACAAAGAGAGAGAATTTCTCACGTAGCACAGTACGTTATTTGCACTGCGTATATCACTAGCCAGATGGAAGAAACCAGCCAGTAGAAAGAAATAGTGCACTTGTAACGTGTAATATGACTGAAAATGTGTCTAGATCTTCCCTCCATTCAACACACGAGAAGGCAACAGCACCATCTTCGTTCCTCCAATAGGCTACAAAAATAGGCTGCTGAGAATAGTCAAGAAAAGCTAAAACTTGTATGCCATTCTCCCCCGTACATTAAGTCCTAAGGTCTCAACACACCCGAAGGTAGTCGAGAATTCAGAAACTCGGACGAAAAAACTCTAGAAGTGTTTATAGGCCTCATATTTAACTGCATCACCACAAAGACGCCTTCTTTGTTCCATCCAAAGCGGACAGAATGGAAGATAGCAAGGCAAGAAGCTGGTAAATAGAGGCACTACGACAAGATCATCTAGAGATACTACGGATCACAAAGTGTTGTAGCTCGTACAAATGCAAGAGTAAATGACTGGTGCACATGAGTCGTCTATATAATGTTTGACAGGTAAACGTTTTACGTAAAAAAGTCAAAAACGTAAAAGCTATAATTATGGACCTAGACATGTATCAAAGTGTCTTCTTCACTCGGCGTACTCCATATTGGCAAGCTTCATAGAATCCGGGATAGCCCTTTGGTTTCGACCAGTGTTGCTAACCTCTTCCTCATCACTGTCTAAATGAGCTTTATCAACGGCAGTGAGCGGCCTGGGAACGTCCTCTTTCTCTGGCAAAATGGGTGCCACTCCTACCAATAAGCTACTGCTTTTAGACGTGCGTAAATGCTTTTCCCATGCATATTGCTCCTGCTTGTATAGCTCCAACGTTGCACGAGCATCTTCAATCTACAATGCACAAAACGTTAGAGATACAGCAGCATACAGATACACAAAGAAAGCCAACACGTACGGAATCGTGCTGTCCGGTCTGAATCTGCTTCCCCAGCACCTCTTCGGCCAAGTGCTTTAGTGACTTGGGATACAATTTCTGTACATTGCAAAAGCATTTGACATACCGTTTAGTACACAAACCACAATAAGATACTCACTAAACGAGCAAACTGCTTTGTCATACCGTGCCGTTGATTTTGCGACGCATGTACGGTCGATAGTAGGCTGTATCCCGAATCAGGTGTTTGGGTGGCGTAAACATAAGTGCTTGAAAATCATTCTTCAACGCATGACCGACGATAATTTTATCTTGAATGAGTTTGCCCACTTCCTTGATACACTGAGCAAAGGGAATTGCATTTCGAAGCGAACTAGAGCGAATACCACTAACATGCGTCCGAAAGTCCGTGACTTTTTCCACTGGTCGCACGTGCTTGTCATACAACACATTACCTTCATAATCCACAATACTGCAGCGTGCAAGTACACTTGTTTTTCCTGATAGACCAACACCTACCATTTCGCAATCCATGGCGACAATGCAGGAATTGTTCACCCACTTGGCGGTCTGTGCCTTCATCCGTTTCACCTGTCTCTCCTGTTTAACCCGTTTCTTCATCACCTTGACATCCAAGTCACATTTCTTCTCAAGCTTTTGTTTGCTTTGATATTGTCGTCCCTTTTGCTGAATCTTGCTCTTAAGCGCATTCCAATTCGAGTTTGCCAAAGCTGTTACTTTCGCAATCGGAACACCCTTCTCCTGTTTCTTCTGCAGTACCAAATCACATACTTTCTTCGTCTGTGACAATTTATGATGCTTTCTCTTTCCATATTGTGACTGATCGTTTATCTTCTCATTGCGTACTTGCAATGGTGCATCAATTGCTACACGTTTGATCTTTGCCATTCTCACCAGTAAATGTACTTAATACATCTATCCATTGACTGGTAGCTGATGAAATACCATCATGTACTGAAATAAGCATCATTCCAAGCAACAAGGTTTTTCAAAACGACTTTCATAAAGTTTCCATAGATACTTTACAAAGTATCCAGCCCCCAACGCAATTCATGCCCCTCTTGTTTATGTCTCTCTCTCACGCTCTTCCTACAACTTGAACAAGAGAACGTCTCTCAGCCTCATAAACCAAAACACCTGATTGTATACATACAAGTATAAAATCAAATTGTCGACACGTGTGGATTGGCTTAGTCATTTTCTAAGTTGAAAAATGGTTCATTTAAACCCGACGAATTCGATTCCAAGCCATGACGAAAATGCAATAGACCAAGAGGAAGTAGAGACAACGATAAAGAAAGAAGCAGTAGACGACGATGATCAATTGCTTTTACATGGAATAAATAATGAAATAAATCATAAAACTACGAGTTCATCCTTCTTAGTGATGCAAAAACCGGTAGCAATTTGGGCCATTGGAGGATTTGGTGCAGTAATTCTTCTACTCGTGGTTTTAATTGTTCAACATGTGACTTTACATGCATTATCCTCCTCTTCCTCACTTGGAAGGGAAGCTATTCTAGAAGCCAATAAATGGGTCGATATGTTACCTATGGAAGTTCGTACGCATATGGATCAACAAGTGGATCCGTGCACTGACTTTTACGAATTTAGTTGTGGTTCCTGGTTAAAACAAGTCAAGATTCCAGAAGATAAACCAAGTGTATCCTTATCGTTTTCTACGGTAAACGATGAGAATCAAAAAGGTATTAAAGGACGTGATGCAGCAAGGATGGCCATTGATAGGTGATTTATATGATTCGTGTATGAATTATACCAACACAAGTAGCAGAATAGCCGATAATGCGTCGCTCAAAGTTTTAGTACCCGTGTTAGAGCAAATTGCTGAGTTGACGGATAAAGCTAAACTGTTTCAATTGGCAGGAGTTTTGTCCAAAACAGGACCAAGCTTTGTGACAGCGATTGGTGTTTTTCCGGATGCTCGAGATACGACCGTGTACGTATTGTATGCATCGCAGACTGGACTGTCACTGCCAGATCCAGAATATTATTTGGACGAAAAGAAGTTTGACGCGATCCATGACGCGTTTCATGCGTATGTGATGAAGTTGTTTATGCTCGTTGGATGGGAGTCGCGTGAAGCAGCATTACAGGCTTCCGCAGTGATTGGATTTGAGCAAACGCTTGCACCGCTTTTCGTACCGAAAGAAAACCTGCGAGATCCTGTAGCATCGTACAACCGTATGAGCGTGGCTCGTGCTGCATCTCGCTATCCATTGCTTTTCTCGCGCTTTTTGGGTGGTACAGGGTTGCTGTACAATCTCACTGCTCAGAACGCTGATGTAATTGTTGATACGCCCGCATTCTTCAACCGTGTTGAAAAGCTTGTGACTGGATATTCTGTGACTTTGGAGACCTTGAAAGCTGTGCTCATGTACCAGTATATAAACTTTTATGCAGACGTTCTTAGCGAGCCTTTCGTTCAGGCGAGCTATTTCTTCTTTGCTTTCACTCTTAACGGTCAGAAAGTACGTGCCCCGCGATGGAAGGTGTGCCTTCAGCGTGTCGTTAAAAAATTTCCTGATTTAGTGGGCAAGTATTTTGCACTTCAGCGCTTCGATAATGCTAGTGCACAACTTGCCAGCGAACTTGTAAGACAAGTTCAAGTGTCGCTGCAGAAGAATTTTGGGAAAGTGGATTGGTTGGATGAATTCACTCGTCGGGAAGCTCTTGAGAAGTTAGCCAAGATGACCAATCTTATCGGACATTCAACTCGCTTCGATCCCTTTCCATACGAATTACGCGGTGACGCACCCCTTGCAGATAATATGCGGATCATTAGAGAGCATGAGTTTAACCGAGCTGTGGCTCGAATAGGTCATCCAGTGGATCGCAGCGAATGGGCAATGGCGGGTTCTGAAGTGAACGCGTATTATCAGCCGACAGCAAACCAGATCGTATTTCCTGCTGGCATCCTACAGCCGCCATTCTTCGCTACTGGACGCCACCCTGCACGCAATTTTGGCGCTATAGGTAGCATTGTCGGCCACGAACTCACGCATGGCTTTGATGATCGCGGGAGATATTTCGCTGGTGATGGTAACTTGCAGAATTGGTGGAGCAACGACACAGCAAAACTGTTTTCAGAGCGGACTGATTGTCTTGTAAAGCAGTACGCTAGTTATGCAGTGACTAGTGGTGCAGATCAGCACAAGGTGCTGGGTTACGTTAACGGGAACTACACTTTGGGTGAGAATATCGCAGACAACGGCGGCGTCAAGTTGTCCTATACCGCATATCATACATACATTACCGAGCACGCCAAGAAGCTGAGCAAGGAGAGTGAAGCTGGAGCGACAGAGCTAACTACTCCAATGAGTCAAGAAGAGCGCAGCTTACCTGCTGATGTGGCCGACAAACTTTTCTTCATCTCGTTTGCTCAGGCATTCTGCACGAAAGGAAGCGACGCCTATATGATACGAAGCTTAGCCACAGATCAGCACTCGCCCGAGCGATGGCGTATTAACGGAGTTGCAAGCAATTTGCGTGACTTTGCAAGTGTGTTCTCGTGCCCCGCTAACTCGCCTATGAATCCGAAGACGAAGTGTCAGCTGTGGTAATTCCTTTGCTGTATTTACAAATAAACTTGTTCTGTAAAATTTGCTCATTTGTTTTAGACAGGAATTGAGCTAAGCTGCTCATCAAGAAGCTTTGACTTTGCTTCAGCATCATCATCGTTGACAGCTTCTTCACCAAGACCAAAGCAGCGCTCGCCCACATTTCGAACGAGGCCGCGGTCATACGAACGCGAATGGCCCCCGCGCTGGAAACGATACCGATCCGTGTTAAGCAACTCGTTTGTAGTACGATTGAATGCTGTGAGGTAAATGTGGAAACCCGCAAGTTGGGCAACGGGGAGCAACAAAAGCAGCAGGTAAATCATGCCCACCATTGCGTAGACGCGCATGTCGTGATGGTGACACCATAGCAGATAGAGAACATACTCCATTCCAACTAGGTCGAAGGTCAAAAATGTCACAAATAACAGGAATGCTGCGTAGTTATCGCGTCCCACGCAATTGTCTACAAATGGGCAGCTAGAGGCACAAAACATCGCACGTTAGTTGCTCAAGCTAGTTAGCGTCTTTAGTGCAGGGCTATTCGTCACTCACTGGTGGTCGAAAACAGGAACACAAGTCTTGCATATGCGGCAGTGCTTGGATCTGAGAGGTCTTTGGATGTGGCAAGTGTGACACAACGGGCGCTCCATGCATTCTTGTTGAGCGCGCGCACTGGCTTTCTCTTTATTTTTTTCTTCCTCTCCATCGTCATCGTCGCCACCTATGAGGGCTTCAGTGACCTTTTTGTACGCTACCGCATACTCCTTGCTGTCGTCTACAGCACTACCGGGCTTGGTCGTGACAGTGCGATAGAAAAAGTACCAGGTTGCTGCATCCCATACCAAATGCGGCACGATGAAATTGCGTCTGTCTGGCATAGCCGGCAGCAGGAGGAACAAGTAAACTAGTGCGGCAGCTACCGCATTGAGCACTGTGAAGTAATACGGTGCCCGACTGCCAGGGTCACACCACCATGTGAATGCCGCAACGTTCCACGCTGCAACTCGCACTTCACGCTGCTTGAGGTATCGTACAACCTCACGAAAATGCTTTAATTGTGCTAAGTCTCTTGGTGTTCGTTTTTTTGCATCCAGGGCCATAACATCGGCATCAAGAGTCTCTACTAAAAACTGCACAGTATCCAATTTTCCTCTCATTGCAGCAAGATGTAAAGGGGTTTGACCAAACTTGTCGGGTGCGTCAGAGCTTAATTGAAGATACTGGAACACCGCCACAATCTCCGTCGCTCCTTTATACGCTGCCCAATGCACTGCCGTGTCTCCATCATCATCTACGAGCGTCACATCCGCTCCATTTCTCACACAAAATAACACTAACAAAGGATGTCCATTCTGAGCAGCCACCAGCAACGGTGATCGATGTTTCTTGGCATCGCACGTGTTAATATCCACCCCAAGTCTCAGCACAAGTGTCCGCAACGCACTCAAGTTTCCTGCTGCACAAGCCCAATGAATAGGATGCAGCTGGGCTCTTCCATCCTCACTAGGAGAATCAATGGGGGCTCCTATCGAGTGTAAATACTGCAAAAACTCTCCATTAGCTTTCTGGGCCGCCCAATGGGCGATTGTGTGGCCTTGCGCATCACGTCGTTCACGCGCCAATTCATCACCATATTGAGCCACCAATAGCACAAACTGCGCCAAATTATTCTGTTTTGCACATGTAAACATTTCTTCTATCGGTGTCATTGACGGTTGCTCCAGAGGCAGAGAATGAACATGGGTATGCTGACAAGTGAGCATGTGGCTGTGGCTATTTCCATCTTGTGGCGCAATTATTGCCGTGTTCGACGTGTCAGGGGTTGCATTGGAAGCAGAAAAAATAGTAGAAGATTCTTGAGGTAGTTGAGAAGCAGTACGATCGTTGGAAAGTGCTTGGAAGAGCGGAGAGACGTCGACGTCGACGACGACATCAACGTTGCTGCTCATCTTAGTATGATGCGAAATGGAATAAACCAATGAAAAGGGCGTATACACTATAGAGTATTCTAATTGGTCAAGTATCTGCACTTCTATTGTGTTATTGACATAAAGATGTAGCTATTTTATCTATTTACGTATGTAGCCATGTTATCTCGCCTTCCGGCCAAATCTACAACAGATTGTGTTTCAGCATTCTGTCTCGTTGGGTTTTCTCTCATTCTCAAAGTGATGATATCTCGATTTCAATATACCGTGAATCAGAACCTAAACTTACTTTCCACAAATTTCTGAGACCATCTACGGACGAGTTGGACCGACAGCTCGCACTCATGTAACCCACGCAAAAAGGCATAAACCAATATGTAGCTTGACAAAGCAGCATAGGTTCATGACCATGTTCTGTGGTATCATCGAGTTTCGTGACTAAAGAATTGCTCACCTTTATGGCTGACAAGTTGGACCTCGTTTGGTGCTTGTTGCCACTACCAAACCATGTGATAAGCTTTTGAAGCCGATACAGCTACATCCAGTCGAACACTTCGTAGTTGCGTACAATCACTCTGGCCGGTGTTCACTTCATTTCCTGTGATTACATCATGATGCACGGGCTATATCGTTGACCATGTCACAATAGTCAGTGGCTATGAGACACTCTATGACACCGTTGCCAAGTCCATAGTCAGTAGACTCATGATCATCGACACGACTGAGAACAGCAGCATCCTACCTGCTGAAGACAACAAGAACACGAGAACGGCCTTTGCTGTCTACGAGCATGTAGACGCCTCCAGAATATAATGTCTTTTTTCAGCGTTTGTGGCCACTGTCGTATCGTTCTCGACTCAACAGGCCAGTAAGATGCTGTAATGCTAATGTGCGGTCGTGGACTGGACAAGCCAAAGCAGAACTTGCAGAATCTGTAGGTCAACGATGGGAAGAGCATAAACAAGAATAGCATTTTGTCTCTGCTGTGACGAAAGTGCGTTGGCAAGATACTGTGAAGCAAACGTAAAGAATTAAAACGAGATATAGATGTTTTATGCTCACCTTTTTATTGGCAAGTGCTTAGGATCACGGGTTATCTACACACTGCTGTTGAATGTTCTGACAAGAACGGAACGATCGTGAGTTTGAAGTCCAAACGAAATGAAAGTGCCAAAACAATCGTGATGCACGGATAGCATAATTTGACGATGACCTGTAACAGCCGTCAGCGCCTGAGAAGTCATTCGTGATTAATCATGACAAGGTTTATGATATCCAACCGGGCATTTGACATCTTCAGAAATGGAAGAGCGGAGTTGCCGTCCAATACCGACTCGGGGTGGGCTGACAGCATTTGGTACATTGTTCGGCATGGGGGGGGTGTCCAGCAGCGCCATGCTTGCGCCATGAAGACTGGTCATAGTAAATATCGCGAGCATGTAAACGTGACGCATCTTTGAGGCAGTTCTGGAGATAGCTGACCGTGAGTAGGACTAATAACTACTGACGTACAGCAGAGCAAATTGCAGAGTGTCAAAATATATTGTTTGGTCATTGTGCTGTTCGTACTTACATACCCGCGTCATTCAACAACATTACACACGTCATTGCACAAGGTTATGCGAATCTTACGTCACTCAGCTGAAGCGACTCGATATCAACCTTTGAGATGTAGTACAAGATAGGCTGCCACTTGGATAACCCCTTGAGGAGATCATAGGACAGACACGCTTAAAACATTTTTCAGACTCGATTTTGAGAAAAGCGGCAGACACGCCACGTAGAAGCTTGCAGGAAGAAGCATAGAAACGAGGGCTTCTAGAAAGTTTGCATCCTCAGTCGCAATGTATTGGATAGGCACTAGATGCTTGTCCCACTATCGCCGCGAAGTGCTTGATATCAAGCGTGTGTATAGGATGGTGCACCGAAAAGAGCCACGCACTGCCCTTAGATCGCATCGACAGAGCCTTCACAGTCAAACTTGTCTAGTGATCTCTTTGGTACAGAGTCAGTCATTTTGAGAGAACGAGGTGAGAAAAGCTAATTCGTCACTGATCTAGCCACATAGCTATTGATTGAGCTGTATAGACACGATACCAGTTAAAACAGCATTATTTTAGGCAGGTTCTCATAACTTCGCTCCATGATGTTAGCATACACTTGTGTCGTCTAAATGATGGGCCAGAAGGCTCGAGCACATCATGGCATACACTTGTGTCATCCACATGAGTACAAGAAGAGGAGCATTATAGGGCAAGTTATTGATTATTATTATTATATATAAGGCCACAAGATTTTCCGTCCTACGTTACTGTGTACTGTTTGTTTGACAAGCTGTCAATAAGTTTGTTTACAGCTGACTGACGCGCAATCATATGTCCGATTGCATTCACAAGTACCCCATGAAGAACATCTCGATTGCAGCTTTTCGAAGCTTCAGGTATTCCTATACAGTTGCGGTCAAGATCAAGGCAGTCCACGCCTCCTTCGCTATCACAGAAGCCCCTCCATATGCAGGGAATCCTCCCTCGCACAAGCCGAAGCGGAATTGTTTATGTGTCGGACATGTGGCATCTCAGTGCGATCCGTTGTATTGATTGAATGTGAGCCACAACGCGGACTACACGTGTCTTGCGATCCGCTATCCGGTGACCATGAACCAGAGATACGCTATCCGGTGCCCCACGAAAAAAAATCATCTCCAAATCCATCCATTCGATGCCGGGTTTCCAAGCTTTTGTTACTTGTAACAATTTGATCTCCTGCGGACTGATTTAATTTCACTTTGCATAGCAGTATAGTGACTAATCAGTCGGCTATTGTATCCGTAGAAGAGCTGATTTTGAACATCGCAGACAGGATAATCTCTCGATAGCAAACTCAGCTTGTAAACCACCTCCGCCGTCGTAAAGTGAAACATCTAGCGACAGGACCCATCAGTGTAGTGCTACTTAGTCTCCAACAAAAAGACGCACAATAGCTGAAAGGGTCGTCAAGTTGGCGTTTTCGTCTTTTCTTCATCGCTTGATGCAACTGATTGCTGAATGATACATTATCCAGTAATACGCGATCCGTGATCCAGTATCGTGGACCACACTATCTGCAATCCTAAATCCAGTAACGTGGACCACACTATAGATGACACAGATCAGTAAGGAAAGAGTTTATTTCGGTTCAGGTACAGGCTATGTAGCAGATCCTAGCATATCGACAAGCGTATTCGGAGGTTTGGCTTTTGATTGGTTTGCATTAACGAGAGTGTTCAAGTTACTTCAATAGCACACGCGTAGACTTCTCTTCCGGGCAGGGTCTTCAGTCTTCCAACATACAAGACAGTCAATCGCGTCTACGCAGATGATTAGCGTGGAGTATGTGGTCAGGGTCCAACGATTCCCGAGCTCTCCAATTGATGGTTGCGGTGGATGCAACGGAGCTTAAAGTACTGAAGCCGAAAAAGCAAAAAGCATTCATTCTCTCTCATGCAGAACAATCGAGCAGGTTTTATTTCCAAGTGATGGAACGATAGATACATCGCAAAACAGTATCATCTCTTGTCGTCGAAGTGGAGTGTTGGACGTGCAAGTTGCACTAGTATTGACTCCATATAGCTTCAACCTACGCTAGGGAATATATGAAGGGCCTAGAAGGATTAAGGTTCTTCGATGTACTGGAAAATGGGTCCTAGATAGCTAAAGGATTGCATAGTTATCACTTGTAAATTGACAAGCCACTAATGAAGCCCCGGCGGTGCCCAAAAGCATCTGGCACGCGTTCATATGCAAATCATTCATTGTTATTTTATTTCCCTTTCAACATGTTATTCAGTTGAAATATTTGTGGGCACTTTTTCTTTACAAAATATTCTTCCAAGGTAAAAATGATGTCATCTAAATCGAAACAATTTCATCCAATTATAATCTTCAACATTGAAGCTGACGTATTTTGTTTTCATTCAGCCAATCATATTCAATCATCGCCACATAGTCAAAATCAAAGAAACACAAACACCCACATAGCAGCAATTGACACAAAAGAGTGATTGTCATGAGTTCACCCCCTTCAACGTTGCTACCTCCATCGGGTCCCATGACGGTCGAATCGGTAAAAGAGTTGCCTCGAGCTCGTCAAATTGTTAAAATTAATGAAGAAGATACGAATTTTACATTGGACGAAGAAGCGCTACGTCATATTTTCCATCAGGTCCCAGAAGATATGAAAGTTGCTATTTTTTCTGTCGTGGGCGCATTTCGCACGGGTAAAAGCTTTATTCTTGACTTATTTTTACGCTATTTGCGACATGCGAGTCATGGTCCTATGCTCAAACGTGATGGAGCACAAGATGAAAGTACAGAAGTATGGAAAGCCTGGGTGATGGAAGGTGTAACGGGTAGTGGAGAAGAGAAACTTGAAGGTAACTCGAATGTAAAGCAGACACATGGAGAAAAAGGGTTTTCATGGAGAGCAGGAAGAAAACGTAATACTACTGGTATTTGGATGTGGGAGACACCGTTTATTCGCAAGTGTCATACGGGTGAAGACATTGCCGTATTTCTCATTGATACACAGGGTATGTTTGACTCGGAAACGTCACAAATGCTTACAGCGAGTATCTTTGGACTCAGTACATTGCTAAGCTCGTATCAGATCTATAATGTGGACAAGAGAGTGCAGGAAGATAATTTACAACATCTTGCACTCTTTACAGAATATGGACGGTAAAAGAGGAGGATTTTTGATATTGTATGTTGATGAAGGACCTCTTTGATTAATGTTGTTTTGTTTTTCTTATTTTGAGAATAGGATGGCATTGTTTAGAGATGAGTCGTCGTCACAGTTGGTTCCAAACAAGCAGCAGATTTTGCAGCATGCCGCGTCGACGGCTTCAACGGCAATGTCAGAGTCTTCGCATGATATGGAAAAGAGGACGATTTCAATGAGTGAAAAGGATGACGACGAGGAAAAGAACGATGGCGATGATGATGACCAAGTGCCAAAGCACCCCCGCCCGTTCCACCGTCTCGACTTCTTGGTGCGTGATTGGCAGGACTTTTCACGGAACCAGACGTTGGCTGAAAAACGCGAGGATATGGAGCAGTATATGATAGAGTTATTGTCGTGTCGCAAGCAAAAGGATCTGGCAGACACGCGCGAACAGATCAACTCGTGTTTTGAGAAGGTGTCGTGCTTCTTGCTGCCTCACCCTGGCCACGCGGTTACGGAACGTGAGTATGATGGGTCGGTAGAGGCTATTGACAATCGGTTTTTAGAGCTGCTGACAGCTTACCTTGATGATCTCTTCGCCCCTGTAAATCTGTATCCGAAAAAAATCCATGGAGTCACGGTTAACTCACGTGAGCTCTTTACGTATATTAAGATGTACGCAGGACTCTTTCGCGAGGCGTCAATTTTTCCAGAGGCTAAGACGCTGCTGGAGGCTACTGCTGAGGCCAACAATGTGAATCAGCGTGACAAAGCGTTGCTTATGTACAAACGTGAAATGGAAAAAATTGCAGGATCAAAATGCCAATACGTTCCAGTGCAGGAGCTGGAAAGGCACCATAAAACATGTTTGGAAGGTGCCATGGCTGTGTTCGATGACGGAGCACGTATGGGCCGCCGCAGCGAGATTATGCGCTACCGCCACGCAGTGGCAGAACAGATCGAGAAGGAGCGTCACCGTTTCTTGGAGATCAACGCCGAGCGCGATCCGTACAAAAATTTGGAGTTTTACCTGATTCCTGGTTGTCTAGCGCTGGCGCTGCTCGTGTTCCGCATATCACAGGATCTCCTGTGCTATGAGCACATCGGCTACGATATTCCACTCTATGACTGCAAGTACGTTACCCTGTTACCTTGTAAAACGAAGCTGGTTTATGCTCAAAGCTTTTTTGTATGGTTGAGTTGGACTCATAGATTTGCTATCGTTTGTGTACTAAATTCCAGGCAAGTGAGCCACACGCTATCGCATCTGTATTGGGCGCTGATCGTGTTCATGCTGCTGATTATGATGTCCACTGGACAAGTAATGTTCAAGCGCGTGAAGACTGTGATTTCCATTGTCAAAACTGCCATCGACGCCACCAAGGACGACAGCAAAGTGAAGAAGGACTAGGTTGCAGAATGTGCCGATGAAAGCACCGTAGCTCAACAGGGATAGTTGCTAGGTGCTGGCTGCTGAGCCGTGCGTGTGTAGTGTTTATCCATTTGATTCTTGGTTCGGGAGTATTGTGGTATCAACATTTTTACTTTCCAAATGCTTCGAGTATTTGTCTCATGAAGATGTCTGTAGAGAAGGAACAGGAACCGTATAGTACGACTCTCTCTCAGTCGTAATACGCACAGGAGAAACAACTCAAAGGCAAAATACGTCAGCCATTTCGTAGTTTTCATCACGTTTGACAACGTCATCTGCACGGTAGCATTATAAGTGCATCATATTACCTGCACTGGGAACAAAAATGTGGCCTTATTAGTTTAACAGTCCGCTTGAGTTGATGAACAATAAAGACTCGTATTGTCCTGAGTGTATCATGTCAAGTCGAGTATTTTACCAGTAGGACGGTCATTTGTTGTAATTATTCAAAGTCAGAGCATATTCTTATTGTAACATTGTAACAACATTCATTTGTTTTTACATAGCTACAACACAAAAGTATCCATTCTGTATTGTTTTTTATCTACCATCATTCTTTATTCGTACTTCTTCGAATTCATTCAGTCCCCGCCATTTTTTTGCCGCATTTTTGAAAACGCGCCATTCTTACCAAGGAAGACATTAGTTGTAGTACTGTCATCAGTCTCTCTCTCTCTGTTGCTTTTAGTATTCATCATGTCTTTATCCGTCTCAGCGTCACGTATGACACGGAAACTATTAACACGCGTATCACCTCAAAATGCCGCACCAATTCCATCAACGACGTCTTCTACAGTCACGGCTTCTCAACGTCGTCGACCACGTAGTACTGGTCCTCTAAAGGGTATTGTAGCAATGGTAGACGTTCGTGTTGGTACAGATGCACAGATTGATTGCAGTGATGTTGTTGCAAGGAAATTACGTGAGCTAGGAGCGTCTACCGTCAAAAGGTTTACACCCAAACTTACGCACGTGATATTGAGCCATTTTACACCCATATGGAAGACAAAGATTACGAAATGGCAGGCAGGAGGTGGTTCAATGACTGCTGTAGCGATGAGATATGACTTGAAGATTGTATCCCAGTTATGGGTTAATGCTTGCTATGTGAGTAAGAAAAGAATGGATGAACGTCCATTTTTTCCTGTAAGTCAGCACAACATCGTCGAGAATTTCGTGGTGAAAGCCAACTCCAAGCTTCAGAGACGACAGTCACTGGGCACAGAGATCTGCAACACGATAGCAGAAGAACAGACTTTAAATCAGAGCACAGGATATAATGCTGAAGTTGATAACATACCGGCACCATCTACGCCACCGCCATCAACATTTAAAATTGTTAATGCGCTGACTAGCAGCAGAAAAAAGCGACGTGCATTGTCCATGGAGCCGATGACGTCGGACGCTATATTAAAAATGCTTGGGACAACAGAATCAATATCGTGTGTAGCAGAGATCACTACGCCAAAGCAACCTGTACGATTTGGAAATGTGAGCTCGTCGGCAAAGCGGAGAAAGACGCTGAACGGACCACCGTTGCAACAGGATGAAGACGAAGCTACGGTGTCACAGGCAAGTGAAATTATAGCCGAGAGCGAGCCGGAAAATGAAAAGGAGGACGAGGTGAAGGAGAAGGCAAACGATATGACGGTAGTACTTCAGGATAGTCAAGCTACCCAACCTTTACTTAGTCTGTCAAAGGAGGATAAGATGCCCATTGTCGTGAAAGGTTTAAACACCACTTCTACCATGAGCAGTGAGGAAATTGGTACTTCTGGCATCAACGCCAGTAAGAAAGAACCTACTGCACGGGAATTGCGGCGTCGAAACCGAAATTCACTTTCTTACGGCAGTGGGTTGACTTTAAAATCGGGAATCTGGTCATGTGTAGCATGCGGTTGCTCTAATCCTCGGACGCGCAGGTATTGCACAGATTGTCAGGCCTTAAAGGGCTCAGCTAAATCTTCAGGCGCTGATACGATTCATTGTGCGTCATCTGCAGCTTCCACAAGGGCTATGGCGGACTCACCTGAGATACCTTCTGTATCGCCTGCAGCCGTATTAACTCCTGTCGCGCGCGAAACAACGACTACGACTCCTGAAAAGAAAGCAAGAACTTCAAGCTTTGCTAACCGACTAAAAACGCCTGTCAGCAGCCCATCAATGTTCGAACGAACCTCACAGTCGCTGACGCGAGCGACAGCTAGCTCGAGTGCGAAAGCCCGAGCTACGAGCCCAGCAGCGTCCAGAGTTTCGCGTCCAGCAGCCAAAACCCTTACTCCCAGTCCTGTAATAAGATTGGAAACTCAAAATTACGCAAGTCGAAGCTCCGCTTCGAAACAGGCAGCGCGTTCTTCATTGGCGAGTGCTTCAGTCTCGGCTGATGTGCAAGAGCAAAAGTTTTCATTGAAAAAAGCACAGGAAAGACTGCCGACTGTTCAACTTGCGCAGAGCGCAGCCAAAAAGCGTGCTTGCCCGCCTGTTTTTAATAATACATTGACGACCCCAGTTGTGAAGAAAGCGCGGAGGGAGAGCAATAAGGAAAACTTTGCGGACAAGTATATGGCTACCCCAGGCTCGGTGTCGGGATTCGTGAGAAAGAACCGTGATGTAAACTCTACCCCAATTCCCATGGCAATGAATTTCAGCACAATAAGCAAAAAAACTCCACGCAAGACTCAACGCAATATTATAGGAATTACGGGGGTAAGTGCAGAGACACGTGGGGTGTTGCAGTGTGCGATTCATGCCATTGACGCCAATATGTCAAATGCCTCCGGGCATCGAAAGGCACGTGTAGTGAAGAGTGTAGACTATACTGCTGGAGTGACACATCTTGTTGTGGGCAAAGACGCAAGACGCACGATTAAGGTGTTATTTGCAATTGCTCGTGGGGCTTGGATTGTATCAGAAGACTGGGCATTTTCGTCCCTTGAACAGGAGCGGTGGTTACCGGAAGAAGACTACGAGGTGACTATGTTTGCAAATAAATACGCCCGGGAGCATCCAGAATATCGACAAATTTTCAAGAATATGAAGGTTTATATTGGTCCGAACGTTGACCCATCTCGTGAAGTTCTTCAGTCTCTAGTTCAAGTTGCTGGTGGTGAGGTAAGAAATGGTTGTGGCTATGTATGAAGCTAATAGTGTGCATGGATATATATTTCTAACGATTGCTGTGATTACTTTTTCCTACACCTCAGATTTGCAACCAGGTTTCAGTGGCAGACATTTGCATTTGTGGCGATGCTTCGCTATTCCGACGCGCTCAGAGGACCGGCATTCGAGTTGTTACCTCAAAGGTACGCTTGCCCGTGGCAGAATTTTACCAGTTGATAGTGTGTCTCACGTTTTGTCTTGTTAAACGATTAGTGGGTGTTTGACAGCATTGCAGCAATGAAGCTTGAGAATGATGCACTATATACCTTTGCAGAAACGTTGGATACACCTGCGAAAATTCCGATAAAAAGTGGTCAAACTGCAGTGTCTGGGCTTGAAGCTCACTCCACGGTGTTAGAGTAAACACCAATGACGACTATTGCAAATATGCGTATACGGCGTTACGGCCTTCTCTTATCTGAATGTGCCCGTTCTGTTCGAGTTATCTAGGCGATTCACGCGAGCACTTGTGGCCACGATGGCAAAAATGGACGCAAACTCAAAACGATGCACGTCGTATCTGTAGTTTCGGTGAAGGACTTGGGCAACTCGGTTTTCACCTGGTGGTATCTATCAATCATCGGGCCAACATAATACAAACACACAATATATCTGCATATATGTTCATGTTTCGTTCTTACTTAATTGGTTTGCCACAAACTATCCGCTCAGCGAGGTCTTAAGGTCATTGGCACTTGCAAAGTCTCAGCTTCATACCGCTGCGACTGAGCTGAAATAACTCCGCCCAAATTACCAGTCGCAACGGCGTCATTTGATGGGTATCAACTTCCCTAATACCACTCAACTGGAGTAGCCTCAGCCGATTCGGTTCAAGTGTTATCTAAAGAGGTCACACTTCGCTCTTCGGGGCTGGGTCTGACTTCTTGTCTTTGTCATCGGTAGCTGTCGAATCAACTTCGGGCTTTGGCGGTTCTGTCGAATCATCTTCGGCCTTTGCCAGTTTTGGCTTAGCTTCGGGCTTTGGCGGTTCTGGCGTCTGAGCTTTCTCTTCGGTAGCTGCCAGCTTTGCTTTGCTATCGTTAGGAGGTTTGTCTCCACCCGGTTTGACTTTAGTGGCGTCACTTGATAGGGCCTCCGAGTCACCGCTTCTAAGCAATTCAAAGCCAGTCGGCGAACCGCTGACTTTAGCCGTACTCTCACCATCACCGCATTCACCGACCGAAAAATCCACAACCCAGAAGTGCACGGATTTTACCATCCTGTCGTACGAGTAACCAACACCGATGACGTCATGGCTGCCATAGATCGTTTCCGGGGCATTTTTAGCCTTGCACCACGCAGCAACAACACTTGCCGCGGTTCGAAACCCACCCGCAACAACTTCCGTCACCGTTTCAGCCACAAAACCCTCTGTCTTAGCACGTTCTTTTGGCGTCGATCCGTCCGTGCCCCTGCTCGAGATCGTACTCATCTCAGTCATATCGTTTGCGTGATTCTGCGCTGCGTTCATCAGTCGTTCATTTATACACACTTCATTCAGTCCTTGAGATGTACGAGCTTCGTTAATAGCGTCTAATAAATCCTGACGAAAATTCACAGCTTGTAGAGTACGATGATGAGCCACGTCGTCGTTCTCAAAAGCGCTTACAGCGAATGCCAGAAGCGTCACAAGAACAACGACGAATGCATTATTGCGTCGATTCATAGAGAGAATTGTGTGTGTTTTGCTCGAATGAGACCAGAAATGCGTACGTTGTTAGTGTAGTCTGAGGTCGGAATTGAATCAATTCAAAAGCTTGATCAGTCGGTCTTTATCCAATTCGAGAATGACAGTATATAGGACCTCACAGCGTTGCACATTCTGACGCATGGGACAGTCTGAGCATTGGCACAGCTGAGGATAGAAGAACAACGAATGGTTTTTCTATACGTTAGCAAATCAATCACAAATGCATACAGAACCATCGTCAACTCGGTGCAAAAAAAAACAAGGCAAAGCACAAGTGACGATAACTTTGTATTCAAATGTCTTAATGATGATGAAGAATAGACTTAAAACGAATGACAATACATCGCAAGGCGAGTATCAAACGTGTTAATCTCCTTCCTCTACGTCGAATTGTACAACTAATGAACTACGAGTAGTTTGACAAGAAGGCGATTTTTCTTCACGTCGTGCTTTGGTTTCACAACAAATGATCATCACTTGGTCATTTTTTTTCAAATGTCACGGCAGTAGTATTGACATCTTAAAAGTATTGATCGATTCAGGATGGATGGACGGACGAATTGATATAACGTTTGCAATGGTTCATTCGAATGAATGATAGCGTGAAACCTGTCAAGTCAATACAACATGTCCGTAAGAGGAGCTTTTCACACGTCACATATGTTCAAGTCTCAAGTCTGGTCGACCAGAACTGATTCTATCCTTGAAGTAACGTCTGACTCGTATCAACTATGCAAACAAGTCAGTCGGAGAAAGCTGATCGCACGGATGTTGAAAAAGTCATAGTGAGATCAAGTGGAAGTGCTAAAAGCGTTGAAAGAACAATTGGCTGCTTATGAATGCTCCCTAGCCATTCCAAAGAGAGTCATTTGCTCATACGTGACTAACTGATTAACTATATATATATATATATCATTCGTCTGATTGAGGTGGTGGTAATTGAGTTGGAAGGGAGTTATAAACGACTAGGGAAGGCATTCACTGTTTTAGAAGACATAGCATGGGGTAGACAAATAGCATGGTACGAAGCACGCACGGCTCTTTTTGTCTCGTCGGACAATGATTGACCACATGTTCATAGGAAATTTTGTGTAAAACCAATCGCTACAAGACGTTTGCAACAACCCTTTTGGATAGTCTCATTACGAGTAATGTCATCATATGGTAGTAAAGCATTTACTTGTGCATTGGAACGACCGAGACCATCAAACTCGTGACAATTTGACAATTGCAGAAAAGTGTTGGAGCGTAGGACGTTCCTTCTTGTGCCTTGCATCCACTTAGTACTAGTCGTTCTTAGTGTCCTCATACTTACCATTTACTGAATGGATATCCGACAATAGACTACTAACCGACTTTGAAAGCCAACATGTATTAACGTGTTTTGTACTATCGTTTCTCCTTTCTATTATTACCTCGAGTTCAGTTTCAATGCACTCAATCAAGACCTTCCTTTCGAGTCTTGATAGCAGGATCATGGAGCATTCTAGTTGCAATAACACGTAATCACTTTGGCTCAAAGCACAAGTGCCTCAGCGAAGAAATCACCGCCTCAACGCGTTCTTCCTCTTCTTTAGAATCTGCCATTGCATTGTCACGTGGGTCTTCAACTTGTTTGCTTGGAATCCGTCGTGCGATATGATCGCTTCTTTTGGTGTATGTTTCGCTCGGACATAGAGAAGCGTGCTGAGAGGAAGAGCCGAGTGGCAAGTCATTGATTGTCCTTGATGGAATGACCGCAAATGTGTAAATGAGAGCTCCATGTGAAACAACCATCCTTTACCATCTGCAACACCGTTGTCAAAAAATTTCTCACTTCCATCTGCTATGTTCTGTATGGATACCGTGTTGCACACGATGACAGATTCTTGATTTATAGCGCGATGGATAGTGTTGCAAATACTTATGCAATGTCATTTCCAGTCGCAGTCCTCGACAAAAGCCGTCATCTCAGACAACATCTAACTTGGTAGACAAGTAGTGCATAGTCAGCTTCAATTTTAAGCATCTGCATCAACGGATCAAGCATTAAACAACAGCATAACAAACCATTGCTGGAACAATCGTTAAAACAAGAAAGTCAGTGTATCAACCTTGCAACATTTGGGTACGAAGCCCGGCTACTTTGAATCTGGTAGCAATTAATCTTGCTTCAAGACCAACGACAGCAAGCAGCACCCTACTAGCACCTGCACAAAATGCTACAATTTGTTTGAATCGTGGTGAGCGGCGCAGCAGGCGTGTCAATCAGCTATTCATGAGATGCAACAACATTGTCGCCGTACGCAGTAATGCTCACCTACGCGCTGTAAACAATGAGATCCAATTAGGCAAAGATGAAGTACAAATTGAAGCATACATTAACCACTAATATAGTCAGTCGAACATCAAAGACCAGCAGTAGTTACAGTTGCAGAGCATGAAACCATTGTGCCATCATCTCCAACTGCTTGTCCAGTCTTGCGGTAAATGTGTGATGCCTTCTTCAGCCCAAGAAAGAACAATGTGCATGTGAGAGAGAAAGAGAGAGATGGATATTGATACCACGCAACGTCATCAAGAAATGACAGCGACTTTACGTGACTTGTGCCACGTGAAAACCTTCATTCTTGCATAAAACGATGCACTGCAGTTGAGACGATATTTGGTGGACACGAAAGACCGCTTTACCCAGTAAGTCTGGATGTTTCAAGTGTCCATGCACCGTATTTACGAACCGTCCTCCCTGGTCATTGAAACATAAACTATAAGACAAGAGAATGTACAAGTATGTTAAATGAATAAACATGACATTGTCGTACCAGTCTGGTGAAATACCAAAATAATCTTCCACAACATCTTCTCCATCATCGTCTGTAGCAATACGTTGTTCTTCCATGGTCTCATCATCCGTCTCGGTATTATAGGTTAATCTATAGTTGTCAAAAAAAGTCATAGTTTGGTGAATACAAAAAAGTGCTTACTTTCCATGGTTTGATACAATCACATATATATCGAGCTCACCCTTTGCAAATGCATGTAAAATAAAGCACTTTCTTTTGTACTTTGTTGTAGAAGAAATAGTTAAAGGACCACCTACAAAACCCATTTCTTCCTCCATTAAAAACCGAACCAGCGAATCATTGAGACAACAACAGATAACCTCTATAAATACGTACAAATTCCCATCGGAGAACGGGTCCCCCGAGTCCATATCAGGAATGTAACTATACACGTCACACTCGTCAAGTTTAATTGCCTCGGCCACACCTTCCCACATCTTCTCGACAAACCCATTGCCTTCAGCATCCAAGAGTTCAGCCAAGTCATGATTAATCCGTTGCAACGGTATTCGAAAGTCCGGTTCTTTACGAAATTGTTCGGGTTTAACAGCACTAAAATCATAGTCTGGAAAACTTGCATTCATTGTCGAAATGAGATTGATCAGTAGTTTACGTGTAGCAGGAGAAGCAATGGGTCCTAAAGGCGACGAGCCTACTAGATTCGCAGCAGCAGCGGCTTCAATCTCCTGTTGATAATAAAGCTCTAGATTTTTGGCTAAACGTTTGTCACTTCCTGCTTTTTTGCATGAATATGTTTCTAATTTACCATTCAGTACACGATCACCAATCTCGTAATTACTTAGAATCGAGTTGAGCCATGATAATTGAGGTTCTTCCAGGTATTTCATCGTCACGTACGTAATGGGGCTTTTGTTCTGTACTAAGTATAAGTATCTAACTGTCCTATGTACTTGTGAAACTTAATATTACAAAACACGTAGTTGCAAAAAAAAGGATCAATATATATAAAAAAAAAACAGACCACACCGAGTGATACCGGTATATGCAGCATTATACCATGTAATCTAACGTCGACCACCTCGATTTTCTCGTCTAAATCGTGTTATTACTATTGTTAAATACCTTAGAAATTAATAATGCGACGCTCAGCTTTACGCCGACCCGAGTCTTTTACTGATAAATACCGTCTCCTTGGCAAGATTGGTGAAGGTACTTATGGTATGGTATTTAAAGCTGAAGCATACTCTTCTGCGTTATTACCACGTCCATTATCATCATCATCATCATTAACTACTACATTAAACGCTGTTGAAGATGAAGAGCCCATGACATTTGCCATTAAATTGGTGAAATCACATAAGGAAGGAAAGAATGATGTGGTTTTATCGAGTGCAACCGTGCGCGAGATTAAATTACTTCGGGAATTGCATCATGATAATGTGGTCCACTTACATGATGTCCATGTTGATCCACGAGAGAAATCCTTGGCTCTGGTGTTTGAATATGGTGATCATGATTTGCATGATATTATTGTACAAAGCAAACAAAAACCATTGGGTGAATACACACGTAAATCACTCATGTATCAGATACTAAAAGGTGTGGATTATATGCATGATGCATGGGTTATGCATCGTGATATGAAGCCACAGAATATTCTCGTAGTTGGCCATGGACGCAAACGAGGACAAGTGAAATTGGCAGGTATATAAAATGAGAAAGGTATTAATTTTGACAGGATACTGATTGTTGTTGTGTTGGATGGTGTTGTTGTTATATGGTGTATTGGTGGTGTGTAGATCTCGGGCTAGCACGGATTTATAAAGAGCCAATTAAAGCATTATCAGATGTTGAACGTGTAGTTGTTACACTCTGGTATCGTGCTCCCGAGTTATTGCTTGGTGCTAAACATTATACCAAAGCTGTGGATCTCTGGGCTGTGGGTTGTATTTTTGTCGAGTTAATCAACACTCGTGAGTTATTTTGTGGCAAAGAAGTAGAAGGATCAAATGCGCCATTTCAAAAAGATCAATTGGATAAAATCTTTAAAGTCCTGGGCATGCCGACGTCACAGACATGGGAAGGACTCGAGAATTTGCCAGAGTATAATCATGTTGTACAGATGGGACGTGAACGAAAATATCCGACACAATCGGAGCTGAAGAATGCTGTTAAGGTTGGTCCAGGTCGAGCAGGAGCAGCTTTACTCGATTTGCTTTCGAGATTGCTAGAATATGGTAAGTTTGAGATAGGAGCATATTTGATGCTTGATTTACTCGTGATTAATGGTTTGTGGTTGGTTATTGTGTGGACCTTGCAAGACCCTGAAACACGCATTACGGCAAAGCAAGCACTAGAACACGAGTATTTTAAGGAAATCGTACGTCCATTTGTTTTCGTGGAGTTTTGCTAAGGTTGGCACGTGGTTGATTGAAGCGTGTAACGGACAGGAACCGGAGCCGCGGGATTGGGCATTTGATGAGCCTGGCAAGGAACCTGTTTCTTTCCGCACGCAAACTGTCGAACCCGTGGCTGAAGAAAGTCTTCCGTGGAAAAGCAAGAAAGATTGGGCATCTGCAGCTGAGATCAAGCCGTCTGAAGGTGGAATAGGCAGTCCTCACCGAGACAGCTCTGCCAGTCGTCCATCGCAACACCACAACGATCAGCGTGGACGTGATGCTCCCTCACGAAGTCGCAGTCACCACAACCCACGAGACGCGCAGCAACAGCTTCAGCGGCGCAACGATCGTAGCAATGGAGGAGATGCCAATCTTGCACGAGATGCGCGGAACCGCGGAGTATTGGCTGGAGGAAATGCGCAAGGTGCAGGTGGACCCGCTTGGAGAGACCGAGGGTCTGGTCGTGGAGTGGGAGCTGTAGCCCCAAACGTGACTGGAGCTAAACGACTAGGTGGTGGTGGGGAACGTCCTGGTTCAGGACGACCTCGGAGTCCGAAGCAACCAAGACGACGGTGAAGCTGTAACTTTTGTTGCGTACGTTGATATTGTGTCCCTTTGTTTGGTTTTGCCAGCTGAAGGGTGGCTTCTTACCTCGAAATGACGTCCTTAGAAATTGAGTCACATATCGCCGACAATATTCGTTGAGTCAACAAGAAAAAAATGCAGTACACGTAATTGACGATTTCTCGAAAACAAGTAGGTAAGAGTTTTTGTTTTAATGTTGAGATATTGCAAGGACGCCACTCCTCTGTCAGTCGCTATGATATACATGATGACCCGTCGTGTGTAGTATATTGCATCGGGAAACCAAAAGACCGAAGTCTTGTTCTCCTGACTGTGCCTCGGCAATAGCTGTTGTGCTTCAATCGACTGGTTCCTGTGATCCACTCGCTTTATTTTTTTGGGCGTCGTATCTGCTAGCAAACACTCCAAGTCGGTAATGCTTTCAACCAACAGTTCCTTTAGCTGAGGAAGGTCTTTGCGATAGCTGGACAGCTGAAACGTTGAGCCCTCTTTTTCAATCCCGTAGCCAATGCCATAGCAGTCCTCATTGACAGGTCCGAAGCTACCACCTTCAAGGGCTGGGCTTGATAGCGTACTGGTTGATAGGATGATCTTGTTCAGAATCTGGTGGGCTGGTAGTGTATAGAATTTCGGCACGTTAATACCTTCTAGCTCTGCCATGGCTCGCAATGCAAAGAGGTGGCGATCAAAACCTTGCCCCATCACGCCATTCTTGGTCAGCTCACCGTGCTTCGTCACGGCGACGCGCAAGGCATTAGCCTTGTCAGTATTTGACGCAGAGGCATCCACCATCGTGCAAACAAAGTCCACGGCCTCATTCGTGCAACTGCGCACAGTCTCGGTACGTCCGTGCTTAAACGCTGCGGTACTAGCACTCTCATAAGTGGCCACAAACTTCTGGTGCAATTTATAGTGTGCTAGTTGAATGGTCATTTGCATGAGTCCGTCCGTTCCAATATTATATTGCTTGCCAACAGCGCGTGTGACTGGAGTCTCCGCACACGCAACCAACAAACTCGACGTCCACTTATCGTATGCCTTCTTGGCCTCGTTCAGTAACTTGTTTGTCTCACCGCTACTATCCCATGGAAGTTCACGGGGCTTTGCTTGACCTCTTGATTTCAACACCGGATACTTGATACTGTCATTGTACAACTCATTCAGGTAGCGCAAAATGGCGACTCCATCTCCCCACGCGTGTTCAAAGTTCACGGAAGCCACGCCATTAGCAGCAATTATAAGCTGAAAACTCTTGTCAAACCACCGATTACTACCATCTCCAATCAAAAAGGTGCGATTCGTTTCTTCTGGTGTCACGGGGGCTTCATGTTCAAGACACACGATAAATAGTGCGCTGTCAATCTGTTCCAGCGACGCTTTGTTCACAGCACTACTTGCTTCTAGCTTTTGACGTGCATTGGCCCAGGTATCACGATTCATGGTCGTCATGAGTCCCATCCCTGGTGCATTGAACGTGCTCGTTGTCAATGGTTGTGCTAAAATTGCTTCCACATTCGCTAAAATCTCTTCATCTGCGACTGCTTTTCCTTCCTGCGTCAATACATCAAATGTATAAAACTTGGTTCCTCGCTGGACAACAACATGCTTGGGTAAGGTCGTTGCTACTTGTAATTCATCCTGTCCAATTCGTGGGACTCTCGTGCTTGCGAATAAATGTTGATACTGTGACATATCCAATGGATACGCACCAAATGCTGCCGCTCCATAAAAACTAACACGTTCTGGTAAGAATTTACAAATGTACTGAAAACATGTGGTTCTACTTAGAGCCGGTTTTGTATGAAAAACATCTGGTTCAAGTTTACCATCACGTAAGGTTCGAAAGATACGGACAGTTGACGCAATCAATGACGTAGCACGTTGACTAGGTGTATTTTTAGCAGGTACTATATCCATTTTCAATTGAATTTGTGGATTGTAATTAATTGGTAGCGGTTGACGATCCGTGAGATACATTTCAAGCCACCATTGATTAATATATGACGTATGCGCATTTGCCATATCACGAGTAATCAATGCCTGTTGTAAGTCTTTACCTACCCCGTGTTGAAACTCAAATACAGCATCTTTTGTCTCATGAAACGCTTGAGGTGTTACGAGAGGTTCAACGGCCAATAGATAACGCTGAATTGAATCTTCTAGTTTTGGAATGGGAAGACGTAATAGACTCTTTTGAAAATGATAGGTCGGTATGATTGTATCTTGTACATATCCATTAAGTGAGGAAAAAAGACGACCATAGGGTGCATGAATGCCACGAGCACGAGACAAAACTTGTTGCATAAGTGAGTGAGCAATTTAGTATCAAAATGGTGAAATCCACGTAGGAGCTGGGATCACGTTCGAAATGAGAGAAGATTCGGACGTGAGATATAGTTGGTTCTTGTGTTTTCTTATAAGATTTAAAAGATCGTCGAAAGGCTGTTTGTAGCAGTAACAGTGCTGTATGTAATAATACCCTGGTAAACCGGGTATAGATAAATAGCATGTTTGATATTCTGCAATGATGAGTCAAGGAGATGCTCAACTTGATATTTGTTTATACAGGACTCATCGTCTTCTTTTTCTTATGTTTAATTGGATAATTTGTGTACATAAACCAGACGTAACACGAGAAATGTTTTGTATTGTTACATAATAAATGATGACGATCGATGAAATATCTGTAGTGGTAGAAATGATTACGTTAATTATAGCAGACGGGCGCTGGTGCTGACTATCTTATTCAAAACACTAATTGCCACTGACTGTATTTGTGATTACGTTTCTGAGAACAATGAATGATGATTATGCTCTTTTTTAGCTTATTGTGACGCCAAGCGTTCAAGCTGGTTTTTGGAGCGTATGCAACGATAAATTAGCTTATCAAGGCTCGCCATTTGTATCATTTTAGCGATGCAGTGCAGTTGCCGATCACGTATGGCCACTAGATTGCTCACAGCAGCATTATGTCAGTGATACGCCCTTTGTACCTGATTCGAACTCAATGTTATGGTAGACGTAGCATCTGAAGGTGGAGCACGAAGTGAAGAAGTCGTGCGAATGGATAAATGGATGACTTCACCCTGCAATCTGCGGCGTGGTAACTGTTCCACTGATCGTTACATTGTATGGAGATCAGCGCTGCTTGACTCAGGAAATATCATCATCATAAGTCTTTTCATCATGCTTGCAACCTTGAGGCACTTATTCTTGTAGAGTTACGCTATCACGCGTCCTTATTCGCCTACTCAATTGAGTTGACGGTCGAAGATATCGCCACTGGATAGCTAAGATTGCGTGTAGCAGTCCATGTGTTTTTGTGTGCAAACAAGTTGACACATTCCAGTATGTGAAGAAGGACATACAAAAGCACGCGACTCTCGTTTGTGTACGACCGATACCGTAATGAGATGCTGAGGCTAAGTCACTTTAATCGTCATATTTTTCCAAGCAAGATTCTTCCAAGCATTATTCAATGCATACGTACCCGCACCTCACAGAATACTTCTTATAGCCTATAGCAAATTCTTCTCTCTTTCAAAATACAGCCTGACCGCGTGCATAACAAAGCACTGATCAGTGCACAGACACCAAAAAGCAAGAAACGCACTGCTTTACTTACCGTTGGAACTCGTCATCCGAAATGGATAGCATGGATCCATCCATTACCATTATAAACTCAAGTGCGCTGCGTAAATTTACAAAGCAGTATCCAGCCCTAGCAGCGTACAAAACAGAATGAACAGTTAGTGCACAATACACCTGCATGTTTGTTCAGCGTGACAATGCTCACTTTGACATCAGGTCAGCTTGGTTTCGGTAGGCTGAAATGTACTCGCAGTTGGAATAGAGTCTCGGAATTTGTGAGTGCAAAACGATGTAGATAAAAACTGGTAGGAAGTCGTCGGCACCTGGTCGGCTGCCTGATTCCCCTCTTGACAAATTGAGAACGCTAAAAATTACGCCGCAGCACCGAACAATACAATTAATTTTGTCCCCTGGTGAACGGAACGAATTAATACGCCGCAGCTCATCTTCGGCCATCGACCATACAACTTCGTTGCGCATGCACGGTTTGATATCCAACATCGCTGGCGTAATGAACTATTTCACCAACATACGCATCCAGATTAGCATCTGACAGGCTACGCTTCCAAATCTATGTCCGATATAGGCGATAACGTACCGACAATAGCTGCATTCGTCGAACCAGCGCTTCATCCTCTTTTACCCAATGACGACACTCCTTCAGTCGATTAAATGCAATATCGGATACTTTGTCCATTACATATTTTTCAATACCATCACGCGCCTTGGCTAGTTTGGAATCAGATGCATGACGCCAAGCAGGATGGTTTAGTAGCATGTCCCCCATGCTTTCAAAAAAGTGGTTGCATCGGCGTCGGAGCTCGTGTGTTCCATAGAAGTCGTATCCAATATAGTCTGTCGAGCGTGGAGGACGACCATCGCCACGAGGTCCTAGAATCGAACCTACGAACATGCGCATTTTGTCCAAAATATCTCGGGAGGCACGTTGGCTAATTCGTTGCAGAAATTCGCCGTATGTGAAGCTGTCCGCGTCCGCCGTATCTCCATCAACCAGGTCAGTATCAGAATTTTTTTGTTTGGCTTTTGCTTTAAGCGCTTTATCAACATCAGCAAAGAGGTCACGCTGGCTTTGAACTTTTGCCGAAACTGTTGGCCCTTCATCATCAGCAAGACCATCGACGTGGCCCTGGCTGCTTCTCAAGTTCTTTTGCCGACTATGAACATCATCTAAGAGAGTCGCTTCTGGTGTTAGGTTACCGCTGTCAACATCATCGTCGTTACATAAAAGACCAAGATCGCTCACACTCAACCGCGCAGACATGGTGCGATTGGACTTGCGAAGAAAACCTGCTGATCTTGCAAAAACTTCTTCAGTAGGACTGCTGTTTTGCCGCTCAAGTGACGGACGCCGTTTGACAATTGACACGCTTTTCGGTGAAGTCCACGAATGCTGAGGCTTCAAAACTAATTCATCTGTATCTCCAAACAATGACGAGGACGATGAAACCGTTGCAATGCTACTGGAACTATAAACACTAGCACACTTGCTAAGACTCTTTGAGTTGCTAGAGAGACATGGTGTATCCGGAAGTTCGTCCAAATTAACTCTCACAACGTCGTCCATGACTTTGTCCTTCTCAACCGTCAGCTTTTCTTTCACCAGCTCGACAGCTGTTTTATTTTGTTCATCTTGAGATTCCATTGAGTCACAATCATGTTTTTCCAGTATTTTCTGTACAGATTCCAGTTCAAACCCCATTGGATTCAGATCCCTTGGCATTGCACGAATCCACGCTGTTTTCTCCTTTTGGCTACTACAATTGTTGTCACTAGCAGCATTATCATCATCCTTATCGTTCCATAACCTGTTTCTTGCTGTAAGACCCGGTCCAGTCGTAAAGTTCATCCTTGGCACTGTCCCTGCTTTCGTCGCATCCCTATCCACCTTGATTCCATTCGTCTGCTCCAGTGCTTGCGTCATTATATTGCATCTTGTCACGTAATCGTGTCTATTTCAATATCTTTGGCGACTATTATGCTTGTAAGATGTATGATTTGAGTCTGTAGCTCCTCATTCTTCCGTTGGAAATCCTCTTGCGTGAGTAAACTCGTCGACTTCTTCATCACGTGACTGCTGTTTTGTCCAATGAATGAACGACATTCATTCACGACATGCAGTAAAACGTGCTTCTGCTCTAGTGCGCGATCAATTTGGGAGATGGAGTCGAGTAATTCCACTTCAACTTCTTCGTCCGAAGAACTTGAAGCCATTTTATTCGTATGATGAAGATTTAATAGGGTTTGAGAAAAGATTGATATGAATGATACGGAAAATATTAAGTATTAGAAGGTCAATAGGGATAGTATAGCTCAGTTAGGTGATCGTAATTGAAGGGTTTTACATGATGTATTTAGTCTGACAGGATATTGTATGTCGTGATACAGAAGGTTTTTATTATTTTGGGTTGTTTTTTTTCTTGTTGCACTTGTATGGTGACGCTAGACAGTCTTGTACTGTGACATGACATGTATCATTCGTCACGGACTGATTGCAAGTGAAGATGTAGCCATGTGTCAAAACATGCACGAGTTATGATACTAAGGCGGCGTGATGAAGCTAAGGTCCATGTATATACTTCAGATTCATTCACCGACATGTAAACAGCAAGAGTGGACAAAAAACGAAGGAAAGTCGTACATGCGCACCCATTTCCTGGTGTGAATGTAACAGTGACAAAAGGGTGCGTGTCATTTGTGTCAAAAGCCTTGGGCACGTGGTTGAAAAGGGGTCTTTAGCAATGTAATAAATCGTGACATGACATTGTGGAACTTTGCCTTTTATTCTCAACCTGTTTATTTGTTTCTCATTGTCGCGATCATCATCAACAAGAAGGGTGTTTACACTAACATCGTTTATAAATCAGCAACAACGTCGAGTTTGACAAGACCATACTCTTAATGCCCTATCTATATATACATACACAAGATAATCACTAGATACATATGGAGAAACATCATCACTACTAGAAGCCTCATCAGCAATCATCATTGATTACTATACATTTACTAATCATGAAATGAAACCCGTCAGTTCAAACTTCAACATGATGGCTAGTCAGTCAGGTCCTGCCATATGTTTCCTCTCATCCTGCTTATTTGATTCCATTTTATAGGTTGAGGGAAAAATCTTGTCCTATACATCACGTTTTTGTGTCAAAAAGAGTGAGTGATAAAGTGCCAAAGTACGTGTATCTTTCTCTCTACCGCTCGTTCTGTCTTTGCTCTCCTGTGTAGTAGTATATATATATATATATATATATTACTCACATCATCTCATTATCTCTACGCTCTTTAATTTTTGCTACAGTTTGTCCCCATTCGCTGTCTTTTTGGACAAGAAACGACCAATCCAGTATCCTTATTTAACACGACCATCACTCTTGTCCACAACGACCATCACTCTTGCACAAAAGTTGAAGGCGACACTGTTGTGTGTGTAACATGACTCTTTCTCGCTCTAGTCAACGTGTGCATGGCTCATCAACTACTCAAATGACACTTGATGAAATGAATCAATTATCTATTCGAAGTCTTGAAGAATTGAATCAATTGTCTCAAGCAACGCGAGAGTTTGGTGAAGTTTATTCTGGCAGTCCAGATGCTTCCGTTCGACGTAGTCCCAAGTTCTTACAACGTCTCTTTGATCCATTGGAAAGCAGAAAAGATGAAGAATGTTTATTTCGTGTCCGTATTTCTGGCATTCAATGTCGAAATCTCCAAGGACGACGGTTTAGTGGAAAAAGTGGTCCCTTTGTGGAGTTTTATTGGGACGATGACGACGAAAAAACACCTTTTGCAACACCCGTGGTGAAAGCAGACTTGAATCCAAATTATAAAGGTGTTTTGATCACCTTCGAGTACAAAGCGACGTTGAATGCATTATCAACACGATATTTGGTTGTCAAAGTATTTTTAAATCGAAAATTCTATGGAAAACATTTAGTGGGACATACGAGAGTGGATTTGTGGAGTATTGCGACGGGACCCGTACATCATGATCATCATTTGATTGGATGTGAGAATGGACGTGTGGTGTTTAATTGTTATATGGAACAATGTAGAGAATGGAATATTTCAGTGAGTGATGTGGGAGTCATGATGCCGGCAATTGCAAATGAATTGGATCGACCGGAAGGACATGATTTTCAAGAAGATGCGTCGCTACCGCTTAAGAAATTTGGAGTTAGCTACAAGTGTACGATTGGAGCGGATGAGAAATTTTACATGGGCAATAAATTGAAACATGCGATCAAGCGGGAGATTGGAGAGATTCACGATGTGAGTTTTCAGGCATTAGCAAGATTGGCAGTTTTGTCGTCTCGTGTGTCCAGGCCAAACACACAACCTAAGGGTGAAGCTGGAGGTGACGATGAAGTTGCTGCTGACTCTCTTGTGGCTCAAGATCCAATAGGTGTGGGATGGGCGTCATCATCTGACTACCTCCCTCCTATTACGCGGTATAGTACTTTCGATGAACTAATGTCGGCAACTTTGACCTTGGAGGTGAGCTTACATACTTGTATCGTTTAGGATTACAATGTACTGATGTTGTTGGCACATTACTGTTTTTCGTTAGGTTCGTCAATTGCTGGTAGGTCGAGGTCAAATGTCGACGGATCCGGACGGAGGGTTTTTAAACTTGCTGGAAAAGTACAAGAAAGACATAGTGGTACGTTCTGCTCTACACGGGTTCATTCTTTTGTGTAACTTATAAATGTGTGACTGCGTGATTGATGTTGTGTCTTGCTATGTTAGGCAACATCCGACACGGCTATTCAATTTGATGAAGAGATCAACGATACTATCTTGTTTGGACAAACGTGGCTTTCGCTGGAAAAGATATTTGAAGATGCGCTGCAAGAGCGGATAAAGAAAAGATACGATGCTGATCCTAATGAAAGTATGGATGATCTCGGATTTTCTGAGCAGTATGTCACAAGCAAGTTTGAACAGAGCCTTACATTAAAGGGACATCAGGTAGGAGTGATTTATGGCACTATCCTGTTCACACGCATACCCGACGTCCGACAACTTCGATGCGGTGTAAATAGCGAAAATGGCATTTCTTCGTCAAGCTCTGTAATTGTGGGAGTTGCAGCAACAGGGATGAAGAAGAACCTGCGCAAATCTAAGGTGGTGATCCCAATAGAGGCTCAACGTGTACTGGAAAAAATGCAGGATCTGGTGGAACTAATGGCTAATCGGCAAAAAGATGACAAAGAAGGCAAGGTGCGGAAAGCGACAAAAATTTTGAAAATGTTGCAAGTATCACACAAAGCGTCAATGCTGTCATGGGTGTATGTATCTGCCGAGGCGTTGGAAGAAGCAAAAATGATATTGTTGCGGCTGTGGCAATTTCTGCTGGAGAATATTCGCGTTCGTCACTATACGCTGCGCAATGTTTTCTATGAGTTGCTTTTTTATTTAGTAAAGCGAGCAGAGTTGAGCGACTTGCCGTTGTTAGGGTTTGATTCGCCAGTGGCGACTACCGTATCAAGGACCAAACAAGCTGCACACAAAGTGTCAAAGAAGAATCTGGAGTTCGATTTAAAGCTGCGAGCTATGCTTGTAGAAACCAAGTTTTGCGTGCTCCAAACGGTCTCTGTTCGTGGTGTCATGAACAACAATCTCATGTTCTTCGTAGCGCGAATGTTGTCGGTTTTGTGTTTCCGGCTCCCGAGTTTTGGTGTGGAGCTGTATCAGTTGTGGTCGGAGTCGTACAATGAACCAGCGCCTGAACTTGCTGCTGAATTTCGAATGAATGCCGACGCAGATTTGTTTGCCATGGATGGATTGGAAGCTCACCTGGACTGGCGGCGGTTCCATAAAGCTATCTTTGACGAATATGGAGAGAAGGTGCTTCGGAATCAAGAAGAAGAAGCTGAAGACAAGTATGAGGTGACTTCTGAAGTGTGGAAATCTCGCTTCCGTCGACTCGATGGAGAAGCGAACACCTTGAATATCTTGTTGGTAGATCAGTGGCTGTGGTATGTACTCGACACATTAGCAGTCCTTAACCAAAAGATTGGGTGGATCCATTTGCCAGGTTACACTCAAGTGCTGATGGTGTTCTTTTTGGAGTTAAAGACGCAAAAGTCAGGCTGGCTCCCACCAACACTTTACAAGTTATCGTGCACAATGCTGTCGAACTCGAGCTTGATCAACCCCATGACTAAGTTCCTTTTAAGCAGCACCAGCGTGCATGATGTCACAGCAGTTATTGGTGCCGTGGAACTTCTCGGTGTGTGGATGTACATGATTCGAAGTTGGCGCGTTCGTTTGAGTTCATACCGGCTGTCCCACCTAGAAAACAACGATCGGTGGAATTTTCACCAAGACGATCAATACTCGATTCCTGCCGGCGATGAGGTTTCGTTACTGCCGCCGTCGTTTGATTTCCGGTTCCTTTGCGCCGCACTACGCATTTTGCTGGAATCAGAGCATACTCAGGTTGTTTTGACAACTCTGGAGTTTCTGTATAACTGCTGGGACTGCTTTCCAGAGCGACATGCGGATAAGCTGCGCTTTGAGCTCCTCCGGTCATTTTTCCGACTGTTTTTGCATTGGCACCGTGAAGTGCGAAACTTTTTTCACACGCTGATAGCTTTCCGTGCAATGAAGCCTCACGGATGGACTCAAAAGGGGGCATCTTATGTGAACACGCCGCCACACAGCCGCCGCCAAATCGACGCTGTGGCTGCTGATTTCAATTTGTCACTTGGAACTGATGAGCACAGTGAAGCCGGACGACGCTCGCGATCATGCAGTACAAGTAATCTAATGGACTTGGTACAAAAGCGGCTTAGCTCACCGCGCTCATCTCCAAGGAACTTGGGCTCCGCTTTGTCCCTAACAATATCATCACCAAACAGCCTTGGAGTCAGTAGTGGTCACAGCACGCCGACGTCGGACTACAAGAGTGGAGACAGCTTTCATGTGGATCAGGCTAGAAGACGTAGCATATCGGAAGACTTTGCTAAGCACCAAGCGTCGCTACAGCCCGAGATGGATACGAATATCCAAATGCAATTCAACCGATTGCTCGAGTCGATTTACGCCGCTGCGAAATTATACATTGACCGTCAAAGTGAGAACGGAAATGTTTTGCGAAAGCAGACAATGGAGGCCACTTGGAAGAAGAAGGGTATGCTGCTCAAGCAGGGCTTTATCTACAAGAACACTTGGAAAAACAGGTACTTCTCACTTCAGAACAACAAGTTGGGTTATGCAGACACAGAGCACGGTCCTATTAAGCGTGAGATTAACGTGATAGGTAGCGTAATCTCTGAGATGTCAAACCAGCTCGACCATTCTCAAGGAGCGCGCGTCGTGCTCTTCAACTGCTTTTCCGTCGACAGTGGTTATCAGAAGTTTGTTTTGTGTGCGCCGTCATTCGAGGAGCAGCGGGAGTGGATGGAAGTGCTGACGCAGAATGCAACTGCAGAGACTGCGGTGCGAAAAGACAATGAAACGTTATCACAGCTCGATTTAGCTGAAGTGTCGGATCAGTTGGAGGAGTTGGCAGGGAAGCACACGACCGCCGATGAAGTGCCCGAATCATTGCTACCGTACTCTGTGCTCGCCGTCAAAGAGTAAGTTTTATCCACGTGCTTTTTCATATTTCAGAGTCATGTCTTAACTGTTTTGTTTTGCGATTGATTCCTCAGGTGGTTGAATTTCCGAGTGACAGCGCTAGAGATTGAGAGCAAACTTGCTTGTGGTGAGCCTTTCCAGATGCCAGTATTGCTGTCCAAGTCATTTCTCTATGGGGATGATGATTGAACAGAGTGCAGTGTCGGACAATTTGATGGATGCTTTTGAAGCATCTTTCTTGGTTGTAGCAGTGGCGTTATGATGCACTCACATTTTTTCCATCAAATGATTAGCACTTGCTTCTTACAATATACGTCGTTTTTGACTGGTTTATGGTCTACTAGTTGAAATGAAGTGATGAGAATGAGATGGATCACTTTTGCTTTAGACATGAGGTTTTCATACTAGTGGTACAATAATATTCGTTCACATAGTAACTAGAAGAAATAAGTATGATAAAATAAATAGTATAGTACATATATTCAATAATAAATTACTATCATACTTTTTGTAGCATATTCTTGTTTTCGTCATATTCTATGATGAGCGTATCTATTTTATATTCATATATATAAGTTTAAGGATGAGATCAAACATACTATCATAAAGTACTCTATAAATCAATACTGTAACAAAGCAACTACTACTATTACTACTACTACTATTACTACAAATCAACTACTACTACTATTACTACAAATCAACTACTACTACTATTACTACAAATCCATCCATGGAATTCACACGCAGTGTCGCCTCCCTTTACATTACCTCCATCTCCTACTACTAGTCCTCCTCCTCCTCCTCCTCCTACTACTTCGTTGTCTAGTGATGAGATTCCAGCTTTTCCATTGGTGCTATGGGATGATAATGACCATCATTCCAAGGACCATCATTCTCTTCCGACCTCCTCCTCCTCTTCATTTGCACTGGTTCCATTTCATAAATTACAATTGGATACAAATTTACATGAGACGACATTACCATACAAAAATCAAGATCTTTGTACCTCTCGTTTAAGGACAAAAGCCACAAGTTTATGCTCAAATGTCGCCGATACAAGACACAAGATAACAACGCCCACATCTACTAACAGCATCAACCCATTGACCTGTAACTTGTTGAATAATATGGATATCGAGACAAGAACATCAAGATCAGAAGTAGCAGCAACGACACGGATGCTTTCATCTGAATTTATGAATGCTCTAGGACTTGGTGAGGTTCAATTACAAGAAGAAGAAGAAGAAGCACAATTATCGGTTCGAGTACGAGGAAATCGTGTGGAATTAGCTTCAGTCTCCGATGAACAAGAGGTGGATTTCTTAGGACCTGCAGAGAATATCAAGACATTATTTAAATTACCATATTCCCAGTCAAAAGTATCCTTAGCTGTTCATCGTGTTGGAACCACATTAGTTGTGGATGGAGAATTGAATGAAAATGATTTACCTCCTGGATTTGAAGATTTACCACAAGAGACATTACAATTGATTCAACCATCGGATGATACGAAGACACACAAGTTATTGTATGAAAAATTCATTTATGAAAGTACAGTGAATCGATCGTTGCCAGGATTTGACAAGGAAAGACTCGAGTTGACGAAAGAAAAGAGAGAGGAGAAAAAGACTGGAAATCGAACGAGCAAGAAAAAATATGCCAAGAAGACTAAAAAGAATAAGAAACAAAAGCACAAGACGGAGGAGGTTCTAGAACCAGTGGTTGGGCATAAAATACAGACTCAGAAATCAAGCGAACATAGTGAGATGGTTTCGGCCATCCATAATGATGACAATCGGGAGATGAGCATACCTGTGCCGTCACCTCTAGTGCCTGGCGGCGATTCTTCGTTGGCGACCAATACTGAGTCTCACTCTGGTGATAACACACAGCATGAAGTTGGATCGAGTTCGTCGAATCGGCCAAAATCGTGTCCACCCTTTATTCCGACCGATATGAACTGGTTCGCGTCGGCAGGGCAGCGTTCGCCCGCATATGGAGACTCACATACGTTCGAGCGCATTTTGAAATGGAAGTTTAATGATCTTAAAATGGTACGCATTTTTGTCTACGTTGGGATTCTGCAGTGTTTATACTAACCAGCAATGTCGAACTCTGCTTTCAGATTCTCGGTAGTCAGGTTTTACTGTTCAGCAATCAGGAACATCCAGCCGTTTCCCTGAAATTGCACGATATGGACAAGGAATTGTCTCTCTGCACAGTTCTGGACTACTACTTGGACAACGTCATTTCAAACATCCCGGAACTGGCAATCTGCATGCACTCAAAGGGATTCGTGCGTGGTTACAAGCTAGTAGAAACACGACAAATTCCGTACATGTCAGACTCTGGCCGACCCCTGTTTGACGTTCAGGATGTGAGTATGAATGCGTCGATGCTACTCAAGTTTCTTCAGGAAAATTGTTCAAGACCGAATGGCACATACTGGTTGCATCGAAAAGAAGGTGAGACTTCGTTGCGGCTCTACGATGTAGACGTGCTGTCCCAAGGAAGCCAACTCAAGTGGAAATATATGATGGCAATGTTGTGCTACCGGTTTGCAGCTCGGGCCTCGAGGCTCGCTAACTCAATAGCGGCAGGAACACCGCACTTGCAGCAACAACTTCAGCAGCGTCAACGAGAATTATTACGCACGTGCATGAGTTTATTGGGAGAAATTGCTCAAAAGGGCGGGGTAGCTCACAGCTCTATTTGCTCGTCAGTTAGTGAGCAGCTTGCCGACACGTATATTCGTGAGTGCAACCAATTCCATTCTTCCTCCAGTTCAGCAGATTTGGCATCAGAAGATTTGGACCGAGAGGCGGCAATTGGATCACTTGAAAAGGCGAAGCAGTATTTGCTTGCAAGCATCATTTTGTTTGAAGAGTGCATTACGAAAGACTCTGATCCTGCTTTGACACACAATGATGATAGAACGGATGGGACAAGTACTATGGAAGACAAGGGAGAACTAGCGCCTGAAGCCGGAGCGGAAGAGAGCGAGATGAGCAGTTTTATGGATGAAGAGCTAAATCGACTTCAGTTAAAGTTCAGCTCTGCGTGCGTTGAACTCGGACGCCTATATGCTCGTAGCCAGAAGTGGATTGTCGTGGTGAAATGTATTGTTGAGGCTAGTCAATTTTTAACGCTGAGTTCCATTCCTGGTGATGTGCAGCCACATGATTTGACTTCGTGCGAGCAAGACGTAGCGTTTGACTCGCTGCTTGACAAGCTGGATTTTGATGGTGTTGGAAGGGGAGGATTTTCTCAAGACAAGATTACGATATGTGCATCTGGGTCGGAACTCCGTTGTTCCTTGCTGGATTTGATTGGCGACATAGCTGCTCAAACACCCGTCACCGTTTATGGCGGACTGACCGCTTTGTTTGAAATCATTTCGGGTGCCAAACGAGATCAGCTTTCAAGCGTACGTGAAAATGCAAGTGAGTGGTCAAAGACAGTCGACGAAGATGATATGTCTTTAGATGCGAAGACGCTTGCGAGTAGAGAAGAGAATTTGCTGATGCTTTCCTTTTTGGCTTATTTGCACGCATTATTGCCGCCGGTGGACTCGGAGCTCTTTTTGTACGTTCGTATTGTGTTGATTTGGCTGGCTGTGATTGTTCACCATGTAATAGAGTATCCGTTGCGCTTCTCTTGTATTGACGTAGCATGATGATGAGAAAGCTGGGTAATGCAAGCAACGAGCTAGGCAAGTATTTTCTTGCTGTGAAATGCAACTACAAAGAAGCGTTCAGATGGTTCGAGCGTGGCTGCAAGATTTTCAACGACATTGAAGGTATTTTCATCGAACTGCTATTGTTGTAGTTTGTGTTTTGTGGTTTTCGTACTGACGAGTAAAATGATGTGCTTCTAATTTTCTTTGTAGACGGAGTCAACGTAGCGCTGATTCGTGCTAATCTGGCACATTTGCACAAAATATTTGCCCAAGGCAAATCGGTGGAAGCAAGAGAGGAGCATTATCAGACTGCAATCCAACTTTGTACGGAAGCTTTGCATCTTTTGAAGCAAAGTAAAGCCGATGCTGATTTGAACCGAAAAGTGAAAGGTGAATTGGCTCTGACATATTTGGTATGGGCAGTGGATCTGGCGAACAATATATCGTCGCTAGAGGACGCTAAGCGTTGTCCTATGAGAGTGCGTGAGAATGAAGTGCTCAAGATGTTTAATAAGGCGCTGACACTGTACACAGAGCTGAATGACTCGAAACAAACTGCGTCTACCCACTACCAGATTGCTTCGTTCTACAGCCGCATGATATCAAGAACGTTGCGAACGGAGAGACTAAACGCAGAAGCAGATACGTTTGATGGATCATCATCGACAGTGACAAGCCGCATGGAAATTGCTAGGAGGCATTACGAAAAGGCTCTCCATTATTTTGGCGCTGTGGAAGTTGGCAAGACATTTGTGCTGATCCATCAAGAGCTCGCGGATCTGCATCTTCTTGGTGGTCATTTTGAAGGGATTGAACATGCTTTGCTGATCCTGCTGAGCACGTTTGAAGCCTTCAACGTTGCGTCGTCTAGAGATTCAAAGCTTGAGCAAGAAGAAATGACGTCGCTTGCTTGCGACATTGTGGCAAAGGTGAAGACAGTATTGCACCAGCTGATTCGATTATGCTCGTTTGGCCATCTGAGCAGTTTGACTAGTGTCCATACAAGAAGTAAGAAGCTCGAGATGTTTAAAAACATGTACAAGGAGATGATCTACAGTGACGGATACAGCACCGACAGTAATGTTCCAGTATTGAACACATTACGTAGCATGTATTCGCTGTAATAGCACAACATAGGACGTAGTACTATCTTTTTAGTGTCAATACTATTTTTGAATCAATAAATTATATGATCCTCTGTATCTGATATGAATGGTGTCACCCTACACAAAATAGTGTTCTAATATATTGTGGATACACATGCTAAGAAATAGCATTACTCTGTAGCCATCACAAATAGTAGTATTTATATTATAGCACCAAAAAGTATCAATCCATGCATAGCAATAGGATAACCTACTCTAATTGTTCACGCTCAATTACATGAGCCTCCGTATGTATCCTTCTCATTTAATTGCATGACTGACTTGATACTTTCCATGAGTATTTTATTCTTCTTCAGTTCCTTCTACATCCAAAAATCAGTACAAATCTACACACCTTTATAAATAGAGCACAACCTTATAATACATACCATATAACAGCTTGTATATGCTTCATATTCCTTTTGACAGCCTAATTTGCCATGTGCTTTCTGTTGCAAAAACACGTCCGTGTACCATTTGTCAAAGCATTGCTCATATGCTGCCTTCTTTTGCCAACAACCACGTTCCTCGTCAGTTGTCTCCTTGTCGACCATACTAACGCTGACGTTTGAATGATGGTTAAGGTGCTCTAATCGAAAGCTACAATCATACAACACCACGTATACTTGAACATTGTATGAAGCAGAAACAAAACCCGGAAAAAGCCCTTCAATCGGAATTAAACATTACTCTTCAAATGGCTACACGTTTGAAAAAGTAAAGGGTGAGGAAAAAAAATACCGGTAATAACGAGAGTTACCGAGCGTGCTGGTACTGCTCATGCTGTAGCTCCTCTTGCTGTAACTGAGCTGGTAAAGACTGATAAGAGCTAGCAATGGATGGTGTACCTCTTTGACTTGGCACCATAATGTGATGTCCACTCAAGAAACACTGATCACACACACGTTGTGGCTCCGATAGTGCAAATTTTGGCAATGACACGCGATTTGTCGAATGCTGACTGCAGACACTTTGACCGCAGTTTCGACAATGATGACGGCGTTTTACAAGTGTGAATCCACATGCACATACGTGACACATCCTTGATTGCTTCCACCGTGGTGGAAATGCCGTCTTACTTCGAGGACCCGCACCTAGACTCTTGGAGACCATATTGACATTGCCATGGCTTGGCTTGACTTCCTTGGGCACGTGAAAACTTGACATCATTGCCATGCCAGGAGGTCCCTTTGATGGATCAAACATATTGAGCGGCATTGAGTCTTCAACTGTTGCAATGGAGATCAAGTCGTTCTCACGCTCACGAAGTCGCTGCTCTGTCAATAGAGATTTCACGTGTGGATCACTTCTTGACAGCATTTCACCGTCGTCCCGTTCTTGAGGATTCGAAACAAAGCCAGCATACATACTTTTGCTCTCGTAATTACCCCGTGGTGGGTTAAGAAATGAGTCCTGGTCCGATAAACTCCTCTCAAGTTTGCCTTTAGACAAAGACTGTTGTTGCTGGAACGTTTGTGAATGATAATGCCGATGATGATGTTGATACTCCAATTCATCTTCGTCCATCGCGTCGTCATCCTCCTCTCCATAATAGGTATGATTCTGGTGTGGTTGGTAATCCGAGCCGTCACGAATATCATCGTCATGGAGGATCGTATGATTATTATACGGCAGCTGATAGTCCATAGTCTCATTCGATGGCTCTTCACCTTCATCCTTGTCCATATATTCATGTTGATATATTTCTCTCTCGTCATCATGTGGCCTCCGACTCCCGTGCGCAGCGGCGCGCAGGACTTCTAGTATACGCTCGCCACATTCCGCTTGTACAGCCAAGTCAATTGGTAAATGACCAGCTTCATTGCGCATATGTACAGCGTACGGGTTGGCAAATACGACCTTGACTACAATATCGGTGGGTGTGTCCTGATGCAAACAGACCCAATGCAAGACTGTCATCCCGCTCGCATCTGTACGTTGAGCAATCTCACGGTTCTCACGTAAGGCCAAGACAAGCGAGTCCCAGTCACCATTAATTGCATGAAGAAAGTCCTCGTCCATATTATAACGTCGTCTAGTAATACACACACAAAAACAGAAAAGATGGACAGACTTTCTTGACCAAAAACGCCTTTAATGCGCTTGACCTTATGACAATGAGGAGCTCTATCAACCCCCTCAGGTACTTAACGAGTGGACGATTGGTACAGTGTGGTACTTTTGTTCATATCGATTACATAACCGGGCCATAAATGCATGTTTCTGACCAATACGTAATGCAAGGGGAGGGGCAAAAAAGACTTTGGATGAACCTTAGTGCAACATTATCTTGGGCTTTGACACAAGGCGGGAAGATCGTGCCACAATCTCGACATTACTCTCCCGCTCTATAGTTTTCTATTGTTTCACTTGAGTTTAGTATGGGTAGATATAGCTTGATGTCGGAAGTAACAGCGTTCTACTACTATCAACACACATGTATGTTGTCCTTGTTGTCATCGCGCATACGTGTGTTTATACACGTATCACTCAGATAACCAAGAGAAAATCAATGCTTAAAGGCTTTTCTCACAGAAAAAGACAGACGTGCTTTCTTTTGTAAATAGTAACGCGAAAAGCACACCAGGATAGAGTAAAAATCAGCACGAAAACAGCAACATAGCGTGTGACAAACAAAAGTACTAGATCGATCCAATGCAATAGCAAATTGCTACTGTATACATCACTTATAGCACATAGATACTACACCAGTCGAGCAGTTTTTTACTTTTTTTATGTGACTCTAGACACTGATGACTACTGTCACAATAACGTACTGTTTTGTATACAAAGCACGCCTCTAGAAAACTCATGGAAGCACTGAACGCATTTTCCATACTACTCCGTTATGAATGATATGTGTACCACATGAGTATAATGTCTGCCACTTGAATCGATTGGTGCTATATCATGTATGATATGTACACAACCTTATTAGCCAATCCGTACTCTTGATTTCATCCATAGATTAAGTGGCATTAGTCTCACCAGCCATCATTGTCATTCATGGCAGCGGACGTCAGCGCCCGTGTGCACCTCGTGGCAGAGAAATTACAGCTTCGGGCGCAGGAAGCACAGCGTAAGGGCAATGAGAATGCATCACGAGCTCTTTCTTCTTCTGTATTTGATCTTCGTGAAGCTCTCGCGCTGATATCCGAGCAGCGACATCTTCTCGCGCGACGTCGAGGCGAAGGTGATGACGAAGAAGATGACGCTGATGCGCACGTTCAGGCGGTTATTGCGCGTCTTGTACAAGTAAAGAAGATGATGGAAAAGAAAGCGGATGAAATGAAGCTGAAAGGCAATGAGAATGCCATGAGATCGCTGCAGCAGTCAGCGATAGCAGTGGAAAATGGTCGTATACTACTTTTGGAGCAGCAACAGACGATCTTTGGACTTGTGGGACGCTGGGAGAAGCTGGAAGTGATTGTACATTATGAGAAGAAGACATGGAACAGTGTAGTGACTAGTGAGGGGACCGACATGGAGGAAGAACACGGACAAGAGGAGACTGAGCAGAGAAAACTGCTTGCTAGAGTGCGATATCTTGCTCAGGTTGAAAATGTGATTGCAAATGTTTTTCCAGATTGTGACAAGGTGGAAGACGTGCAAAATGTGGTGGAGAAGCTGAAACAAGAGCTCAATGGTGCAAGAGATGAGGTGGCTGAAGCCAATGAGAGGCTGAAACAAGAGCGTGTGGCACTTGAGGAAGTCAAATTGGAGTTGGAGAGAGTAAAGAAAAGGGAAGTAGTACGACAGGAAGAGGATGCTGAGTTGCTGGAGCAACAACGTGATGCATGCCAAGCGATGGAGCAACTGGTACGAGAAAGTGATCAGGAGATCCGTCTAATGACGCAGGATGCAACGGAACGAGCTCAAGAACTGCAGACGGTCAGAATTGAAATGGAGAGTTTGGTTGCGGAGAAGGAACGTCTTGTAAGAGTTTATACGGATGAAGTTGAGGAACTGCAAGGACAATTGGCGACTGCAATGGATGCTCTCTTGACGAAGATGGACGAGGAAGAAAAATGGAAGGCTAACGAGATGAAGTTGATGCAGGCTCAGCTGGACAATGTGATTGTGGAGAAAAATGACCTTGTTAAAGCACATGCGGATGAGGTAGAAGAGCTTCGTCGGCAACTTGAGAACGCAATGGCTTCTCTCTCTGCAGCATCGGAAAAAACGACACAAGCTAACACCGAAGAGTTACAGACGTTGCTGGCCAGTGTCGATGCTCTATCTGCGGAGAAATCGAATTTAATCAAATTGCATGCCAATGAAGTGAAGGAGCTACAGAAGGCGCATTTGCAAGAAGTTGAAGAACTTTGCCAGAAGTATGATGATGCCGTGAATGATGTGTGTAGAAAGACTGACACGAATGGAGATACAGGCGCCAAAAACGTGCATGCGGTGCAGACCGCGACGGATAACTTGGCCGATATCGAGGAAGATCTTGCACTGTCTTACGCGGACAAAGTACAGGCGCTTCAGAAAGCACATCGAGACGAAATTGACGATCTTCGTCAACAACTCGAGAGTGCGATATCTTCTCTTTCGGCAAATGTAGGAAAGATTGATGCATTGAGTGTCCGCGAATTGCAGCTGTTTCGATCCACAGAAAATAATTTGACTTTACGAAAGGAAGACCTTGCAAAAATTTATGGTAACGAGTTGGAAACACTTCGGGAGGCATATGTGACTGAAATGGAAGATCTTTGCAATCAGCTCGAAGCTACTGTGTATGGTAACGCTGCAAATACGAATGAGAAAACTGAGTCACTCGTTGACGAACTGCAGCAGATGCGGGCCAAGGTAGGTACGCCAATTACCGCGATAGATTGCCTCGCACGTGAACATGCAGTAGAAAGTGGTGCGCTTTGTTGTCAGGTAAAGGGTGCCAAGGCTTGTGAAATGAATACGCCAGAAGACCAGGAAGAGTTTAGTGCTGACGAGAATGGATATGATGGCGAACATGCAGAGAACGATGACGTACCTGTTATGGAGTTGGAAGAAGACGAGTTGCAGCCAGCTGATATTGTAGATGAAGACAAAGAGGGTAGAAGCTCAGATGGCGCCAATGACTCTAAGAAGACATTAAAAGTGCAGACTGCTTGCAGGATATTACAGTCTCAAGTTGAAAGATACGACGAGCGTTTACAAACTCAACAGGATACGATATCGAATTTGGAGCAAAAGCAAGTCGAGCGTCAGCCGGAAATGAAGACTTTTACGAACGACAAGATTGAGACGAACGAAATACAGCGTGCGCACGAGGCAGATATTTTAACAGATCAAACGGACCATAACATGCTTCAAGCACGAGTTATCAAGTACGAGGACACTTGCCAAGTACAACAAAGCATTAGTTTTTTGACATCAGTAAAGGAGCGCGCTGAGCATCAGGAACAAATAAAGTTTTTTGATGACGAGAAGGCAAGCTTGACTGACGAGTTGGGGTACTCATATGGGGATGAGACAACATACTGGACACAGCTCCTTGCCGATAGCGAAAACATGCGCGAGTCTCTTGTTGCGCAGCTGAACGAGATGAAAAGTGAGCTTGCAGCTAAATCAGCTGAGCAGAACGAGACTGCAAAAGCGCTTATGCAGTGTAAAGCTGAGCTTTGTGCGTGTCATTCTGAACTAGACGCCCAAATTTTTGAGTGCAGTCAACTGAAGAGTGAGCTGGAGGTAGTCCAACAAGCAGAGGATACGAAGAGCAGAGCCATGGACGAGCGCATGTCAAAGCTCACTACCGAGCTTCGCGAAGTTGCGGTTGTTTTAGAATCCAGCCGAATGGTCGATGGCAATACGGCGTGTGACTTTACGAGTAGAGTGTGGCAGTCTGTAGAAGTGACAGAGCTATGCAGCATGCTTGCACCAGTACTGACTGATCTGATGTCCTCTCAAGAGCAGATACATAGGATAGAGGAGCAACTGAAATCAATGCGTAAGGAGCGTGACAACCAGAAGCTGATTGTCGGCCAGTTTATGAAAACGTTAGATTGGCGTTTGTTTGCAAAGGATGGCGAGAACGTGGATGGGGTTGCGGGTGCTTTGGATAAGGATGTACAAGAGCGTTTATCTGTTGCCAAGATGAACATCCACTGCTGGCTAGATGAACTTAAGGTGCTTCGTGACTGCGTCGAGAAGGACTTGGTAAAGCTAAATACGCTGGAGGACGAGAAACTGCAAGACCAGAAACGATTGGTGGCACTTGAAACATCTGAGCGTGACTTGCAAGTACTGGTAGAGTCTTTGAGAGAAGAATTGGTAATCATGCGAAGTGAGAATCGCGAAGCCATAAAATCTGCGGAAAGTCTAATAGCTCAAAACCATTTGGCTAGCATACAGAAGCAACAACAGCAGGTTGTTCAGCAAGAAGAGGTCGCTGAGCTGCAGCAACAGCTAGCTACAATCCGTAGTGACTTTGATCGGTACCGTGCTCGGTCACATACAGCATTGAAGAAGATAGAGAAGCGCGCAGAGCTTTTGAATGGTATGCGAAAGGAGAACGAGGAATTACTTAAGCAAGTAGTGGAGAGTAACAGACAGCGAAAACAGGCTATTGCTGCCTGTGAAGATAGCGAGTCTTGCCTCCAGGAGGTGCAGCGTACGCAGGAGATGATACAGGAAGAGTTCGACCAATTTGCGACGGAAAAGTTGCTCGTCATTGCCAAGCTGGAAAATGAGGGGGGACCAGCTGGTGTTGGAGAAAGAGAGAATGGGAGCGCAAGTACAGGAGCTGGTAAGTAAAATTCAAGAGCTAGAAACGGAGAAGAAGCGAACTGAAGCGGAGAGTGAGCGTATCAAGAAAGCAGAACAAGCAGCCATTCAGGCTCGTCTTGACATTGCCACGGCGGCAGTCCAAGACGTAAAGCTGGATTTGCAAAAGGTTACAGATGCTCTTGAAGTAAGCAAGGCGGAGAATGACAAGCGACAAAGGTACATCAAGTCTTTGGAACGGAAGCTAGAGAAACAGTCCCAGTCAGCAATGACGATTGACACGAAAGCCAAGTCCCCAGTTGACGCCAATGCTGATATCTCTACCCCCCGTTGTTTATGTATCGCCGCTCGCGTCGCCCGCTGCGGACGAGAAAAGTAATATGGCCGGTTTCATGAAAGAACTGAGCGCATTGAAAGCATCAGATGTATCCCTCAGGAAGCAGCTAGATGATGCTCAAGCTGAGTTGGTTGCTCTGCAAGAGCGTTTTGCTACGACTAAAGCTGCTAACGCAGACAAGGTGTTTGCGCTAGAGGAGCAAAGTAACAAGTGGAAAATGGAGTTAGCGGTTGTGACGGAAGAACTACAACGTCTAAACACTGTTGTTGAAGTGCAGCAGAAAATGGCTCCAGATTCACCGACTGGCGTTCGAGCAACTGCAGTCCGGACGCAAGAGTTATTGGAACAAGTCCAGGGGCTTGAAGCAGAGCTAGCAGATGCTAATACAGAAATTACCTTACTTACGAGGGCCTTGGACGTTTGCCGAAAGGAGTTACAAGAAGCGCAGAATCAACTCGATCAGCTTGCATCACTGTCTGAACCGGAGAGTTGTAAAGATTCTAGCGCCGTTTTGAAGATGACGAAAGTACTGGCTGCAAAGGAAGAGATAATCAAGAAGATGCGTGTGGAGATACTAGAATTGCAGGAAGAGATACAGACGCTCCAGGAAGACAAGTCAGCTCTTAAACTTGAACAGGAGAAAGGAGAGTTGAATGAGCTGCAAGCTTGTCGAAATCACATCCAGTCTGAAAAGGTGCGTGCGATGCAAGTGCAAAGGCGGCAGACTTTAGTCTCAGGGTTTAAAAAGCAAGTGGCGACGATTGTAGACGAGCTACAAAAGCGACTGGAGGAACACTCAAGTGCGTTCCGTGAAGTTTGCGATTTTCGTGATGAACATCGTGCTCTTCTCTTCAAAGACGAAGAACATGGCAACGCGCCATACGGAACGGGACAAACTGATAATCTAGAGTTTGAAGAGTGTTTGGTGATGAAAAGCGGCGTGGTGATTAAGGCTGGTGCGAGTTTTCAATTGCCGGTAATATGTGAGAAAATCGGGAGGCGAGTGGTGTGGAGTTTCTCTATCAAGGAGGATGGAGCGGATGTCACATTTAAGCTTTCTGCAGTGACAAGAAAGGATCCCACATGTACCGATACAATCGAGATTGTATCTCCCGAGAGAATGAATGAAATGTCAGGAGTGTTTCCAGTACAGCATGACCACATGACGCTTTTGTTTGAATGGGATAACTCATTCTCGTGGCTCAATGAGAAAACATTGGATTACCACGTTTCGATTCAAGAACCATTGACTTCACAGGCAAAAAAGCTTCGACGTTGTGAGCGTGAATTGCAGACCAAGACAAAGGTGTTGGAGAGTGGTCTTGATCTACTTCAAGTCGAAGCTCAACGCCGCTTGGCATTGTCTGAGACGTTAAAACGACTTGATGAATATGAAGCTGCCAAGGAAAACCATTTGGCTGAATTTAAGACCCGCAAGACGGAGCTATTGACACAAAAGACACGTTATCAGGAAGAAATGGACGCTCAGAAGACGTTGTTGACAGCGATATTAAAAGAACAGGATGAGCTCGAGGATATTGAACAAAGTATCATGAACACATGGGAGACTGCAATTGCTGAACGGCAAGATGTTGAATTGACATTGGAATTGACAGGAAATGGTGCACCATTAGAGAATTTGGCTCATAGGATTGAAGAAGAAGCAGCATTTGTAGCTGACGAGCTGAAGAATGGGAGCATTTATACCAAGGAAGGGATTCCAGTCATGAGTGATCTTGAAACGTCGCCAACCAGTAGCTGACGTACGGAATAAATGACTTGACGGTTGTATGGGTGGAATATATATGTGTGTCCTACATAAAGAAGTAAGAGACAATCTGGATGTGACACTATGTTAAAGCATGTAGACTTACTTCAGTATTAATTATGCAGTTCCGCGATTATCCTAAGATTAAAATGCGTGCACTTCATTGCGTTACTTCACCACCAACCGGGTGATTTCACACCACATTAAGACCCGCTAGATTTCTACAAATGCCTTAGATGGTAAGCTACTTACTTCTTTTGTCGGTTTTTATCCATGAACGGTGTTCTATCCACTTCCTTCGATCGTAGAGCCCTTATTATCAGGGCTTTTGTGGTGTGTTTGTGGTGTGTTACACTGACTTTAACTCGTGATTATTATCCAATCATCGTCTTTGAAATAAATGTTTGTCACACAAAGTTCATAAACGCTATCGACGACGACACCCCCTCCAGCTCCCTCCCCTTCTCTTTTTCTCGATGGCGTCGTCATCTTCTTCATCCACGCCATATCCAGACAACAATACTATACATCGACGTACATCAGCAAGAAGAAATCTAGATGCAATGATTAAAGCATTTCCTGCTTCAAACAATAGCGTAGGAGCGAAGAAACAACTTGCTGAACCGGAAGTCATTGCGTTGAATGAATTATTGGATACATTTCCCAATGAAATTGACGAAACGAAGAGTGAATATGGAGACAATTACAAGCGTACGAAGATACGAGCGAGTGGGAGTAAGACTGGAGTTTTGTATTGTCCTTATAGGCCAAAGAAGAGTGTAGAAAACGAGGAAGAGGACGATATGGAAGAAGAGAAAAGAAGAGAAGGAGCACAAGAGGAACAGGACAGGACGTTTGATACAACTGAGAGATTTGTTGCTGACTCAAGAGGTGGTGCTGGAGGCCATAGGAAGCTCACGGATTTGGTCCAACGCGTGCGGGACTTGGAGAGAGACAATTTGCATTTGAAACAGGCTTTGTTATTGCGAAAGAAGAATACAGGACGAAGCATGGATGCTGGAAATTTGAACAGCTTGGATAATTTAGGGGCTTTAAGTAGTTTAGTAGGCTTGAGAAGCATCGGAGCACGGGACACGTCGGGAACGTTAGGAGTGGCAGAACATACAAATGTGGAGAGACTTTTGGCAGAGAGAACAAAAGTTGTGACGGAGATGGTAGAGCATTTAAATGCAACGTTTTTGAGTCTACGAGACGCGTCAAGGGTATGGCATGAAGATTGTCGCATTAGTGCTGGTGTACGCGAATGGGACGCGTTTGGACGTTTGCAGACAATTAGTCTATGGAATATGATTCGTTCGGTGTTTAAGAGCATTGTGGTGGATGTAGTGGAGCTACGACCGCATTTGCCAGACGGCGAAATGATGTTGACCAAATGGCGCATTCAGGGTGAAATTGCCACGGCACGGCATTTGGAGCAAGTATGTGCATCAGAAGACTGCCCAGCGACGATGCGTGTGGCACTCATGGCAATTAAATCGCCCGATTTGTCATTTACAGTCACGACGTATGTCGTGTTCCAGGACTTGCGGATTGCTGAGCAGCATCATTGTTGGGACCAAGTTGGTGTGTTCAAGCGGCTCTTTGGTGGTGAAATCCCGCCAATGGTACAGAATATGCTTGTCATTGATGAGGATACAGTTTCCGGCCGCAAACAACCACTTGACGTATAAGGAAAACTCGTTACTTGAGCATCTCTTGTATTCAAGTATTTATCCCGTTACCAGTAGTTGGCACAGAGACTGGTAGTCACATTTCAACACTGGTTTTGACTACCCTAATGATATGCTGTAATTTGAATGGAGCGGCAGCCACAGAGTTAAGCTATTGAAGTGGGTCAATTTGTCAAAGGTGATGGCTTGTTTTGCTATCAGTGCGACAGCAACTCAAGAATTGCTTGAAGGATACACCACGTACAATAACCTGCAGAAAAGCTTAAGAAGTGCGACGAGGCTGTAACTTTTTTTAACTTTTACTAGCGTATGTGGCCATGTGATTAGACTTACAATGAGTATGGCAGTATCGTCTAGTTACTTGATATGCCGGGGATTGGATGCCCAGTCGCCTGTTCTTAACGCTCTCAAGTGGTTTGGTTGCCAAAAGGACTGCAAGACGCTCTTTCTTGTGCCGGACGTCACTAGAAACAAGATTGACTGGCTTGAACGACAGCTGCAGTCGAACGGGCTTGTTTCTACGTTGTCGTAAGTTTGCTCCGATAGCTCAGATATACTGAAGAAGGAATGACGTGGTGCTCTGGCGCTATCATCAATACGGTTGCAACTACACGCAGTAACGTTACAACTTATCATGCGTAATAAATATCAGCGAGAGATATGCCTGGGGTTTGTCTATTTGTCTATCATAGAGCGGCCCAGAGGGTAGTAAGTAATTCTCGGTGGTAAAAACATCCGAAGTCAGAAGCGACAGGTTTAAAGCAACTCAACGTGGTAGCAGTTCTTTTTATGCACATATACGCCAGCTCGACTCGTCGCGTTTTCTGACTGTCACATTTCCAGTTCATCCGAGGAGCTCAGTCGAAACTGGCTGTCAGTAGAATCAGCGTGGTAAACGCAAGGTTTTATGCAGCCTTGAATTTGCTAGGAATGCTTAATATGGTTTGCTCAATATTGCAGCACTAGGTGATTAATGTGGTAGCATAAATCTGCAAAGTGCGTGCGTGGTGAAGATTCCCTGGCTGTTTGATTGCCGCAAGGACCGGAATCGGATCCATATCCTTTACGGATTGGAAAATGGGTAAGAATCTACAAACTGCACTGCATCTTACGATGATACATGCTGAGTTTACAACGACCAAGACTTGACGTTTCATTACGAGCGAAAGGACGAATAGAATGCTGGAGAAGAAAGTTGACAATGACAGTCGCAATAGCAACAATGAACTGAATCAAGAATGCAACCGTTGGCTGTGTTTGCAGCCTTTTCTGACACGTCGAAATGGCTGTTTGTGAAGGTCAAAAGACTACGCGAATAGCGTGCGAAGCCAACAGAAATGAGTGTTATGCTTTAGTAAACAACCTCATGACGTCAGGTCGGTTGGTTGAATTGGAGACAAGATATAACACTGCTTGACAAGCTTGGACTGAGTTTTTATGGCGTCAAATCTAAAGTGAGACAGATGTGCATTTTTAGCAGACTCAACACAATGCTGATTCTCGGTCAGATTGCGCTCATCTAATCGGACGTTTACTACAATCTGGACGGGCTTCCAATCATTGTGTCAATAGATTGAGTGTAATCTAGATGAAAGACATTGACCTAGAACCGTACACCTCTACATGTAACATATCTTGTGCTGCAGGCTCTATTGAAAAACCAATTTCTCATGTATGCATCATCTATACATATCCATATCATGTAGCTCAAAGCGGTACCTAATGCCATCAGAAGTTGCATATCTCCTCATCATGCACCGGAATCCGCCAGTTGTACCACTTACTGACGGCATGAACTGCTTTTGATGTCCCGTTGTGCAGCATGTAGACCTTGAAGTATGCATTTGCTAGATTGTTCCTAGATACGGAAGAGACTTGCAATGAGTGAGTAATCTACGTAAGTTATTGAGATGAGATTGATTGGTTCAACATGTTTGTATTAGATATTTAAGTATGATGAAGACAGTAGAAAGCTGTCGTAAGTATTTCTGTGAGTCTATAGTTGTGTATTGCATTAGTTTAAGTTCCAAATAAGCTTCAAGCGCTTGCCTTTGGCGCTTGCTGTCACGTCTCATCGAAAGAGTGTGCAATTTAATGGGTACGACTCATTAATCTGCTCCATGTGGTGCGTCTTGCGCTTTGTATTGTCCCACATACAGCGTGTGAGTGGAACACTCCGACCAGCGACCGTCACGCTCAATGCACGATGGCTGTTCATCTCTTTGGGAATTTCAACAGGAGGCACGACAATCTTTTTCATGTGACTCAGACTGAAACGCGTAAGCTTGAGCTTATGAGTGCGTAGAATCTTCTCCTTCAGTTGTTGAGCCTCTTCAGGAAGCACGACAACACGTACGGGTGGATCAGGATGACGATGCCAACGCAAGACGTGATGTTTACTAGCAGGTGAGTCTCGACGTGGCTTGGTTGTTTGGACTTGCATGTATGGCAGACTTGAATGAGGTTGTACTCCCATAGTAAATGTTGAGAATACGTAATGATAGAAACTTGATACAGTCGTGGAATATTGTAGAATGGCGTGTGGATGAAGAGGGACAAGGACGACCACGAAAAAGTGACGGGGCTTGAACTCGTTTCTGTTGGGAAGCAGACTGCCCATCGCTTTGAGCAACATATAGTCATGGTGTAGCAGTACAGAAACATGCATAACCTCATGCACCAGTAAATCTAATGAGTGGTATACAGTGCTTTTATTAAATCAATGAGATTCAGTCTGGCTCGACTATGCTCACATACGCCATGACCAAAGCCACCAATGAACAAATCCGTATGAAAAAGGTCGCGATCTCCAGTCGCCCGTCAACTGTCGCATACTGTCTTCCAATCAAGCTGTATTGAAGCAGTGCTCGATGAATGTAGAGAATTCTTGTGATGTCGACGGCGTAACACATTGGATTGGAAGCATAAGACGCGATCCGAGCGCATCCTAATAGGCGTGAAAATCATTTGGATAGACTGAAATGTAATTTTTCCTACCACCACACTATGTCCATATACAGTCGAATCTTGAACGGAAGGCATAAACCCTTTGATTAGTAATATCATATCGTTTCTAAGATGCGAGCTGTTATCACTATACAGAGGTTTATTACTATTTGAAGGATTCCCGAGCTCGTTAACAATACGCTCACGTACTCGAACGACCAAACGTTTATGGTCATCGAGACTGACTTTACGTCTGTACATTCCTCGTCTCTATGGAGCCCACGCTTGCATGTTGGTAGTATGCTCTTCCTCAATCTTGCCTTAGGTTTTACTGAAGGATGTCTGGCAATTGAACATCGTCCTATCCCACTGCGGTTTGCATTACGCTTTGCTGCCGCTAACGTATTGCCTAGTATCGTATGGAGCTCCGTCTCAGCGCGTCACGTGGCTAGAGCATCCTGCATTCCATTATCTACTCTAATAACCAATGGAAAAGTTGCAGATACTCTGTCTGTATCCATTGCAAAACGTCTCGTACTTGTGAAGTCAGTGCGGGCAATGCGCATGGCAGTGGGAAGTTATGGATTTGCATGGGCTCTATGGCGCGGATGGCATGAAGAGACAGGTTTTCTAGATAGTAATAATGATAAAATGGAGGTCGGGAACCTTACCGAGAGGGTGGTACGTCTTGCGCCTGTACACTCGCCGTTATCTCGTGTTTCAAGCCGTCAACACGCCAACCATGTAATTATAATGCCAATTATGACTAACAAGAGGTGGACATGGCAGAGTGGGAAGAACAAGGCACTGGACTGGAAGAATATGGGAATTAATGTCAAGTTAGACGGTAAACAAGATGAGAAGGAAAGAATGAAGGTGATTGAGGTGGAAATCAATGATATTGAGACGACAGTCGCTCGGACGCAGGAATTGCAAACGCAGGCATTGAAAAGTGAAAATTCCGTCTTATGTTCGGTAGCAGTACTACCTCCTTCTGGACCAGTGCTATCAACATCAATGATGGATACGTTTGACGTGTGCTTCAATCCGTTGTCAGCCGTACTGACGTTTATTGCGTCAATTTGTTATGATCGGGGCGAGAACCATGTGATTTTAGTACTAGACGAAGACGAAGACGGTGAAGCTGCTGGCAGTTTGGATGCAAAAAACATGTCAACGCAACATTTATCACCGTCGCAATTGGTGACTGGACTGCTGTATCGTTACGGGATTACGACGAGTGTCGTGAAGACTCGAGAGAAGGAATTGAGTGATGAGTTTGTTGATAATGAAGCAACAGTACATCAGGTGGATGATACCAATTCTGGAGTTGTATTCTTTCTCGCTGAAAATCTCGATGCTGGGCGTACAATTGCAAAAAAGTTGACTGAACGAGGTAAGTGATGTTGTACATTGCTGCACGTGAGTAAGGTGCTGTTGAGCCTAATCACTCTTATGCTTCGCAGGTATTGTCATGCAAGAAAAGGCATGCTTTATTATTGAAGAAACTTTGTGTAGTCAGAGCACAATACGTGAAAAGAATCAAGCTCAATCTGCGCTGCTAGAGAAAGCAAACGTGACCGAAATGGACGAGGATCTAGAAGCGGAACGAAATGACACACTGGAATTGGCCAAGTACTTTTCCATCGCAGATGTGAGTGATCAAACACTACAAGGAATTCGCAAGTTGCTACGGCAAGGGATAACGCCTGACATTATCCAAGCAGCGTTATATCGTGCTTACGGAACACAGCGTGTGGTAGCACCAAAGCGTCTAGACCAGTATTCCAACTTGGACCTTTAGTGCCGTTTATTTAACCAAGACTTGAATATGCAGTGTCAACTTGAACTTGTACATGCAAGGCTTCAATCGTCCGTCGTGCTATGATGTATAACGCCCCCGTCGTGAGCTACTTCGAGCTCAAGCACCATGTACGTGTCTTCACAGCTAAAGAACTGTCTCGAAAACCACAATCGTTTCAAAGTATCTACGTCATGGCAGGTCGATACTTTTTAGCTTCCACATTACTATGTGCACTAAAGCCCGTGCCTCCAGTTTGCAGATGTACAATATCTTTCTTGCGTAGTTTAAGGCCCGTCACTGGACACGTCATGGTAGGCAGTACCATATCTTGTAAACAACTCGCAAGAATCACTTGTCCCGATGGTCTTAGTAAGACAGCATGACGATGAATAATCTCCTTTTTCGTCACAGCACACAGCACTTTAGGTTGTCCATCAGCTGTACTCGTGTCCCAGTCAAACTTGACAGGCATTAAATGTTTAAGCTTCATCTCGTTAAGACTCATAGGGTCTCTTGTCATTAAATCCGGTTTCTCCACCTTCTTCTCCTCTGTAGGAGTACAATCTGGAATCCAAAAGCTTGTTTTCTTCATGGCTTGACGCTTTTCTTCATCAGTAGCTCGATCGACTTTTTCCTGAAGCTTGTGCATGGTCAATAACGTCTCATCCTGCTTCTCTTTGGCTTCCGCTCCTTCCAGTGCTTTCTCCAGTCTCTCACGTTCCTGCTGTCGTATCATTTCTTGTTTCTGTGTCTCCTTTGACTCTATAGAACGCTCATAAGCTGCAACATTATCCTGAATCGTTCGCTTTTGCGCCAAGAGATTCGCATAAATACATTCTTTACAGTATACAAACCCATCACGAGATACAAGAGGACGTCGACTAGACGTTGATGCAAGACAGAGACAACAGACACCAAATGAAAGCTGAGAATCACTGCCATAACGTCGTTTTATCGTTCCATGACCTGCTGCCTCGCGTTCACGATACGTGAAATGCGTTGCTGCCGTCGCATTCTTACTATGACGACTCATTAGAGTCACAAGTGTCTACTTTTGCTTTTTTATTTTCTAATATAAAGCGCTACGTGGTGTCAAGAGCTTTAAAATAGCGCACCTTTAAACCACTCAGTAACGTATAAGGAACTCTATTCCCGGCAAATGAACATCAAGTCGTCGTCCTCGTTGTCTTCTACGGCAAATGTTGATACGGAAAAGCTCCATAACCTTGTGGGCTTTTGGATCCTTGGATTCATTAATAATATTGGTTACGTCATTATGATTGCAGGTGCACAGGAAATTATCGCAGGAGGTGTTGGTCTTGTCTATTTAGTTGATATTTTTCCAGCTCTACTGATCAAACTCTCGGGTCCTTATTGGTTTCAGCTTGTATCATATCGTTATCGTACCATTACAGGCTCCATTTGGATGTTTCTAAGCTTTCTTATTGTTGCAAAAGGTAGCCATTCCTTATGGTTACAATTACTAGGTGTTGCATTCTCGGGATTACAATCAGGCATGATGGAAGCAAGTTTTCTTGCCATGTCATCGTTCTATACAAGTCCTATACGTTGTTTAACGTGTTGGTCAAGTGGGACGGGACTTGCTGGTGTTGGTGGCTATGCGTGGGTTGCAATGTTTCATCTCTATGCTGATCTTAGTTTTCAAACGACACTGGAACTTGCCATGATAATGTTTCCACTCTTGTACGTTCTTGTCTTCCTCTTTGTTCTAGATACGTCAAAACTTCCTCCTGCAAGAACTTGTAGTTACATGTCAATTTCAGAGAAGGATGGAGTGACAGAAACGGTCATGGCAGTTGTCGATCACACAAAAGATCAGTATCAACAAAAGATGAAAGAGATCAAGTGTGTTAAAAGTCGGGAAGAACCATCATCATTTATTGATGCCTCAACAATGCAGTATAAGGAAAAGATGAGATTCATATTGACACTTGGACCGTACATTATCCCACTTACGATGGTGTATTGGGCCGAGTATACCATGCAAACGGGCGTCTGGTCGGCAATTGGATTTCCTGTTGATAGTAAGGAAGCTCGAACTCATTTTTATGCGGCAGCAGGCTTCACGTACCAAGCTGGCGTCTTTATTTCAAGATCATCAGGTGTACTTTTTCAGGCAACAAGGCCGATATTGTATCTCATGCCAGCATTGCAAATGGTATTGCTAGGATTTTTCACGATTGTGGCGGCCACGCACTTTTGGTACAATTGGGGGCTGCTGTTTGTGTGCTTTGTGGTTGGATTGCTTGGTGGTGGCGTGTACGTGAATGCGTATACGTTGCTTTCAAAGGAGATTCCATTAAGCCATGTAGAGCTAGCACTTGTGGCCGTGTCCGTTGGCGACACGGTTGGAGTCATGTTTGCAGACTGTGCTGGTTTATTCCTTCAGGGTTGCCTGTACTCCATCAATCATCTTTCAGGCGCCTCAATGAATGTGGCTTGTTGATTAGTGGTGCATCTTATCCATGGTAGATGTTGTGCTAGTCGTAGTTACTGTGCATTGCGAATGGATGTGCAGATGCTGCAACAAGTATCAAGCTCAAGATGTTCCCAAAATATCTTGCATTACTCTTTCTCTTTGAGCCATTGGTGACTACATCGTGGCAATGTTTCATATATTTTGTTCTCGAAAGCTACAAGGTCTGCACCGACAGAAGCGATTAAAGTAGACGGAGCCCATATGCAGAAAGACATCAATGGCTATGGTGTTCGCTGCTTTGTAGTGCCTAATGAAGTAGCGTTATGCCAAAACGAGTCATACAAATGCAGAAAAGACCTAGTTCATTTTCCAATGCACAGTTGTGTCTTGCTAATGTTTTACAGATTGAGACGATCTCGTCACTAGCAGCAACAATAATACGTGCATATCATACATGATCCAGCAATAGCGTAAGACTTGTCGACATTGCCCTTGCTCCAAGTCGATTGTAGCTACCATTCATGGGTTTACACCTATTGATGCAACACGGAAGCAACTGTACATGCATTCACTCGTCGAACCAAGCAATCTAGTGTAAAGTGTTGGTAGTGTAAGTACACCCGTCTCACTTCTTCACGTGAGACCCAGCATTCATGAAGTGAATCATATTCACCTTCCTTGTCTTAGACTGTGTGCGCATATTCCCATTCTTTGCAAGTATTGCCGATCTACGGGCGCAAAAAAAGATAAGCAAGCACTCAATCGCAGCAAACACAAAGCAACACTTACACAATTTTCTGCGCTCGACTTGAGGGTCGATTTCCATTTGCTGATCCCGCGTTTATTCGTTTAGGAGTAGAACTGATAGACATCGACGGCTCTCGAAGTTGATCCATGAGACTTATGGTGCCCTGTTGTTTTTCACTGGAAGTACTGCTCGAGTTCGTCGAATGTGTTGGACGTGTTCTTCCTTGCTGGACCACAACGCCTGATGCTGTCAAAATGGTGGGCACGCCCAGAACGCCATTACCTACATCATTCCACTGCCGTTTCCTGGTATTTTGTGGGTTCCATCCAGCCTTGCTGGATTTTGATGGGACCGATGCATACACTCCAGCCGACAAATTCTTCGGTTGCGCAAGTCCTGTAAAAAGAGCTTTACACAGGCTACCCGACGAGTTATTCAGTTGTTGACGTCCTCGTCCTGCCTGCATAAAATTTGCTGCAATATGATGCAAACAATACTGAGTCTTTTATACGATTCCGTCACGGCAAAAGCACAAAAAACAAATGTTAGCACTGATTCCAAAAATACAGCTACTTTTACGCTATTAGCAGCAGCAAGTTGATCTCACCTTTGCCGTGTTGACTGCAAGCCGACAGCGTGCTTCTCCAGCAGTAGTTCCTTTACAAATACCAAAATCCACGGCCTTGCCCAGCTTCACAATTTCTGCTGATTGCGTAACTTTGAATGCAAACTTGTTTTTTTCCGTAGCAGGCAAAAGGGTTGCATTGAGAACTGCCATAACTGAACCTGTCATCTCTTTCCAATGACTTACATAGGCGTCTCCAAAAAGAAAAAGCCCCAATTCCGTTCCGTCCAGGTCCGACAATCCCCACACCATGAATGTGGATCCATTGGCTGTTGGCTTCGACAGTGTCTTTCGTGTCAAGACACCAATTGTCACCCAGTCCACCTGCTCGAATAAAAATGACACAAAAAGCACAAAACGACACAAAAATACTCAATTTGTTTGTGGATACTCTATAACTTTCTTTATCAAGTACGAGCTTACACTTCCGTTAGTAAATGTATCTCTAGGAACACGATCCATCTGCTGGAGCTTGATAAACTGACGTCCTTCCATCTCTTGGCGCAATGATTCGATCGAGATAGTACGGTCGGTGATCCGTACCTGTGAAAATTCTTCTACCGTTTCGACATTAGATTTGACAGGTTTAATACGTTCAGTGACGGTAGAAATTGTTTTGTGTCGTTTTGTCTCAGATTGTGTACTAGTCGGTGGCCGGTTGAGTAATAATGGTTTGGACGTTGTATTGTATTGGCTCTGTATAGACTTAGAGCCATTGGAATGTGCTACATTGTCATCACTGGACTTGTTGTTATGTTGAAATCGACTCACCCAATTCCAGCTCTGCGAAGTCGAAGCAAGTGACGACGGAATCGTGGCATCAGTACTCATTGGCGCCAAATTTAACAATATTTTGGGTTCACCGGTTTGGATTTACATTCAGATAACATTGTATACCGGTGCCAATCAATTCGACTCGTCTCAGTCTATTCATAGTAGTAACACTACTATGTCCTTCATATACTGAAAGATTGAGCTGCACGTCTTTTGTATGTTTACGTACCCGCCCTTTTCATTGATGTCTGTTGCTTGAATCAAAATCACGCACTTGCGACTTGCCAGTTGTCCATTAATTGCGTTCCACTGGAATTCAACTCTCAGACATTACTGACTGACTGAGCTGTATTGAGCTTACTGACTGACTGAGGTGTTAACGCTGTATTCTAGCAACGTCACATGCAACACTTGCATCGGTAAAATATGGTAATAAGTTGGTCTACATTGCAGAAGGAGGACACAGCATCTGAGCATACTGAGCATCTTCAATCTGCATGGTCTGGAACTGACCAGTTGCATCTGCCAGGAGCCGCGCCACCATGTGCTTGCACTGCACAAATTCATGACCATTATTGTAAGTAATAACGTAGCTCTGACCTATCCATTATGCTTGACGTCGTACCATTGCCGTCGGGTGTGTCATCACTGTCGTCTTGTGGAAAACAGCACAAGTACAATAATGACTAAAGCAATTGTAGTAATTGGCACCACTACCGCTCACCATTGAGTCATCAAAGGGCTGCGTAATACTATCAATAGACGTACTAGTAGTCGTAGTCTCTTGATCTCTTCGCTTGTATTTCTCCAGTGACTCGACACGATAAAAGCTGCGATGGGACGGAATCGCAATGACTTTGATTACTAAACCTCTTGCGACTAATTCACTAGCTACTTGTATCAAATGAAGGTCATCAAATGGAAGAGACGCTAGCATTTCTCCATGTACATCTGTAAATTGTCGCTCTTTGCTCTGCTTTACTTCTTGTGCCACGTACATTAGCACCGTTACACCAACAGGTGTACTCATGACAATGGACTTCAAAATGGATGCGACAATCTAGCAACATTCAAGCCACTGTCTATTTTAGCCAGCTCAAATGATGTGTTAATTTTAGAAACGGGTTAGCAAAACTAAAACCAAACAAACACAAACGTTTACAAATGTAGACCATCCGATTTCGTAAGCATTTTCTCACGTGAGACAAGCTCATAACCGGTTTAACAAGTATGTGGCAGCTGGTGTTCCGAAACGGTGCTCGCTTGTTATTAGGATCAAGTGCTGTAGGAGCTGGTGGTCTAACCTATGCTGTTCATTCCGATGAAGGATTTCATCGATCACTGTATTTCTGGCGTAAAGCTTTTCCCATTTATTTACACTATCGAGCTGCACAAGTTTATATGGACCATGTTCACTTGTCCACTGACGAACAGAATATCGAATATGAAAAACTTCATGAGAAATATGCACCTCAGGTATTTGATATTGTATTGGAATTAAAAGGGTTTTATATCAAATTAGCTCAAACCAGTTCGACAAGACCAGATGTTTTACCGAAACAGTATTTAGATCGAGCAGCGAAACTTCAAGATGATGCACCATCCAAACCTATTGATGAAATTATGTGCTATTATTGAACATAGTTATGAAAAACCTATGGATCAATTGTTTCAGTCAATTGATCCAAAGCCGCTTGGAGCAGCGTCGATTGGTCAAACACATCGAGCTGTATTGCTTGATGGACAAGAAGTGGCTGTGAAGGTACAACATCCAGATGCTGAGACTTTTTTTCGTTGGGATATTAAGACCATTCAAGACTTTTGTCGGTATTTTCAACCAGTACATCTACCATTTCTTGTTGAAGTTGAGAAACAGTTTATGACGGAGTTTAATTATGTCGAGGAAGCCAAGAACTTGGCTACGGTGAGGAAAAATATTGCCAAAAGTCCGTATGCAACAAAAGTGGCGATTCCAGAACCGAAAATCGAGCTTTGTACGAAGGAAGTATTGGTAATGGAGTTTTTGAAAGGACGCAAGCTTTTGGATGGTATTCACGATCACTTTGAGGCTATTGCAGCAGATAAAGGAGTCACGGTAGAGTTTTTGAAACAGGATCAGGAACAGAGGGATAAGGAGCGGGCAGTGCGTGGGTTGGATATTGAGACTGGACCTTCGTCGTTACAGCTACGTTTGTATGGGTTAACACTCAGGACTAAGCATCTGGCAAGGCGTGTTGGGAGAGTTTCTTACGACTACACACTTGGGTTCATCGCTCCAAAGAAGTGGTCTCCACGAGAGGATGAAAAGCATAAATTACTAAACTTGCCTGATATTTTGAAGCTTGTGATGGACGTCCACGGCTACGAGATATTTGTGAATGGATCGTTTAATGGAGACCCACACCCTGGGAATATTATGTTGCTCGAGGATGGACGCCTTGGCCTCATCGATTATGGCCAGGTGAAACATATCTCAAGAGAGCACAGAATTCACCTTGCGAAGCTGATTGTGGCGCTGGCTGATGGCTCCCGTGAAGATATTATCGCTGTGCTAACGAAGGACATGCGCATCAAAACAAAGAATATGGATCCGTACTTTTTGGAGAAACAGGCCCGCTTGATGTTTGACAACGACGATCGCACTGTCACGGAAGGCATGAATCCACAGCTGTTCCTTGAGCACTTGCACACGTACGTGGTTATGTGGTTTTGCGTTTTAGGTTGTTGCCAGTATTTTATTAACAATGCGTTGGTGTTGTGTGGCTGTATGAATTCAGGATTGACCGGATTGAGTACATCCCAGACGAGTATGTGATGGCTTTTCGCTGCTCGTTACTGTTACGTGGCTTCAGTTATCTGCTGCACTACAATTTTTCTCACGCCAAAAGCTGGGAGGGTATTGCTCGACAAGTCTTACAGGAGGCAGGCGGTGAGAATGGAATTACCTCTATGCAGTGTACTGCTATCTAGTTTTTGCTAGGACGAGGATCAGACTTGAGCTACATAGATTAATATGCTTGAAGAAAGTGATTGTAGTCATGTATATTTTCTTGAATACGAAATGGACACGCTAGGACCGGTCTGGAGCTTTGCTCTGATTGTAGATTGTGCAAATTCCGTGTGTTTGCGGTGAAGAAAGCTGCTTCACACAAGGGGCAGCACCAAACCAGCCTCCTCAGCAGATTTATCCCATGCATAGCCTCAATAATAACTTGAAGCGATGTTGATTCTGCAGTCGACATCCAGAAGCCAGGCTCGCTTGACCGAGTCGTTGCCACCGAACACGCAATTGTGCTTGGCGTGCTGCAAGAATTCAATCTTCTTTACACAGTGACAAGATGCCGTACTGTCACAACTGCCAGCCTATTTTGCACAGCCCTTTCGTTGTGTTGGTAACCAACTACCTACGTGATACATCGATTGTGGTCCGCCGTTTTCCTGTCCTATATGACAATGTTAATGTAGCCATGTTATGACAGGCTGTATTTATGATAATTATCAAATGCAATAACCTTATAAGCCAGCCAGCCATCTGATTGTATGTGTCTTCCTTACATATGTGCATGTAGTTCAATACATTCTTTTGTGTAAGGTCTTGATTGTCGTGACATTTAATACTTCTTAATTGGCTGACGTCATATTGCATAGGTTAACCTGTTTAAGAATGACGTTAGACTCGAAGCTCGACGCAAACGTGATCGACGATGAGACAGTCGAATCGACGCACAGTATCTCGGTGTTGAACTTGTCTCCTAATACTCCTATATACAAATTTGTGAAGAATGACTGCCAACCTGAGCTGGTAAAGAACGACACTGTAACCATCACGTTGACGACTCGCTCGCTGAGTTTTTGTCAAAGTCGCATTGATAATGTTGACTTGTTGTCGTTGTAATGGACTTGCTACAATGTTTCCGAACGCGCTGTAGCGCGATTTAGACAAGCAAACACAGGACCTTGCACGGTTTGAAGGCACTACAAGAAGACAAAAAAAGAAATGCGTACTTCATCTCTGCAATTCCATCTTCGATGAGAATAAGTTTAGGAGATGACAAGGTATAAAGGACGATAAGACGAAAAGAAAACGAGGTAAAGAGGCTCTACGCACATTGTATTAGCTAATACTTAAAAGTCGAGCTTACTGTTGTAGATGGCTAAACGAAGAAAGATAGTGACTTAACCAATTGCAATGAATGTTTAAACACTCGAAATGAACACTTTATTGACTGCCTTAAGCCAGCATACACCCTGCAAACAGCCTTCTTTCCTTTAATTCCACCAAAGGTTCAATGTAGCATTCGAAAAGATATTACTGCTGATACGAGTGTTGTGGTGCTCTGCGAGTTCTAATTGCCTTCTTTTTGGCACTGATTGAACTTATCATCTAGTGTTATCACAATACTTATGGTTTGAGCAAGGTATATGTTGACAAACTTTCGACATATTACCAAAACAATTATCAAAGCACGCTGTATTAGTTTCGGCAACGGCGTGGCACAAGTTCCGTCCATCAGCTGCAAGGGTCGATTGTACAGCTTTGATTGAATTGCCAATCTCGTTCTCCATGCCCAAAACCGCCGAGCTACCGGCGTGAAGACTCGTCGCAGCGAAGACGGCGAGCACGATAGCCTGACGCATTTTGGTTAAAGTCGCAAAAAACACGATACAAGAAAAGTTGGAGACTTGTTTGCCGGCTATGCAGATTGCAAGACTACGTATTGAGTCAAATCTACGACGTTCATTAAAATTACGTACGTCATTCGATAAAGTTATGCAGTCTGCGTTAGTCAATGGAAACCATTTACTTGTAAAATATATTACGATATAAGCCAGCAGCTTGACCCTCTCTGCGGATTGCATACAAAAGCCAAGCTTAAAAAATATTTCACCATAAAGTTTCGTGGCATCATCAAACAGCTCGGCCAATACGCTCGAGCAAATCATTTTTCTAAAAGTTAGCCTTATGATTCCTTATTCTACGTCACTATGTGGTGAGTATACAAAGTGTCATTTACTTTGATTACAGCTGCTTCTCGTGCAATCACATGTTTTCTTGCTCTCACACGAAGCCTCCCAAAATTATCTTAATTACAACGTTTTCACATACTATGAAAGTACTACCGTTAATGATCATAATGGTGACAGTGGAATCATCTGGGAAAAAGGCCGTGGATATAGTGGTTCTTGGCAGTAAACACACGGATTTTAGCACACTTTGTGGTCTTTAGACCATTCGTTCGTGCAAGATTTTTCTCCGAGGTTGACGCAAAGGGAAATGGAGTAAACATAAGAGGATACCGTGAGCTGTGGGTTCAGTAAACGAAGAATAAGGCTGTCAAGGACCTGGGAGCGTATGCTGCTGCGTCCAGACCCTTGTCACATGATTTTTAAATGGCTGCCAATGTGATGACGTGGTGAGCAGCGTCGTAGATAGGCCAATGCCTAATCTAAGTGTGTAAATCACTCTTTATATAAACATTAAGTATTTCTTACCAGCGGCTTAGGAAACAAACTAGCAGATTCACGACACTCGTGAACATGCGTGCTACTGCAGACCGATATTGAGTTGGAGCACCTAAACTACACTATATGTCTCAAGATCTACCTTGCTGCGCTTGAATTTTAGAATATGAAGATTACGTCCATCTAGCCATTGGTAAGTTGGGAGCGTGGACAAACTTAAGGTAGCAAGCACTTTGGGTTCCTGTCACCAAGGGCATGACAACGTCACCAAGGGCATGACAACGTCACCAAGGGCATGACAACGTCATCAAGGGCATGACAACGTCATCAAGGGCATGACAACGTCATCAAGGGCATGACAACGTCATCAAGGGCATGACAACGTCATCAAGGGCATGACAACGTCACCAAGGGCATGACAACGTCACCAAGGGCATGACAACGTCACCAAGGGCATGACAACGTCACCAAGGGCATGACAACGTCACCAAGGGCATGACAACGTCACCAAGGGCATGACAACGTCACCAAGGGCATGACAACGTCACCAAGGGCATGACAACGTCACCAAGGGCATGACAACGTCACCAAGGGCATGACAACGTCACCAAGGGCATGACAACGTCACCAAGGGCATGACAACGTCACCAAGGGCATGACAACGTCACCAAGGGCATGACAACGTCACCAAGGGCATGACAACGTCACCAAGGGCATGACAACGTCACCAAGGGCATGACAACGTCACCAAGGGCATGAAACGTCACCATGCGCCTAGAACCGCTGACAATGCACCCAAGCCTCCATCTATTGTAAGCATCATACTGGTAAGCGATGACAATCTGTTTGGCGTAGAGCACTAATGTGGTGATGTGATCAATTTCAGCGGTACTGGATAATGCACTGAAAAATGTCGGGTATGTCTTTGAATTCAAAATGTAGCTTCGTTGTAATACCTCTGGACGAAGTCTTTGGCGTGCCGTGTGTTGAAAGCCAACCAAAAACTATACAAGCGTCGGTGCTGCATTTTGGTGCATGTTTACTTTAGTGACGGTACAATTGGCACACGCCCTACCTGTAACAACGTATGCCGACAGATACGTACAATTGGCACACGCCCTACCTGTAACAACGTATGCCGACAGATCAAATGGCTTCTGTCAACACGTGGTGGTCTTCTTCCAGGATTTAAGATTCATCAAGCTTAAAATGTCCGCAAACAGCCACGCGTGTAACAAGCACATCGCTGTGATCTAACATTTCGAGACTGTATTTCTTGGTAATGCCTTGGCTGCGATCAGAATACTTTTAATTGTCGTGGCCCTCAACAAATTTTACAAAAAGCAGTCATATTGTGCTTCAACTCAAGCGCAGCTTGCTGGATACGACGCCAGACAGAGAAGGACAGCCAAGACATGCTTGCCATGGATACCACCTATGTTTCGTAGCTGTCGTGATCGTCAAAAGCCGCTGAAGGCAACACTAGGCTGTTCTGTCGGTGTACACGCGGCGCTCGCACACAATTATAGGCACAAACTTCTTGACTGGTCAAAGTAGGAAACATGAAGACACTTAAGTTACTTGTGCAGCATTTGAGGTTCCAAAGGCATCTTATTGCTGCACCTTTTGAACAATTCTGACAGTCGTCAAACGAATTAGACATGAACACATGTTGCTTACTCATGCTCTTCTCCCGTGAGGTTCTCCGCCGCTGTTTAGTACGTGAACATGTTGTCCTTACAGGGATGTCCAACTTTTCTTTAATACGTTGGAGGTGATAACTTCTGGCGTCGGGAGCATTCTTGCAATAGTAGCTCAATAAAAAGACTCGATCTACACATTGAATATTACAAAATGATCATAATAGAATTCAGTGTCCATGAAACGTATTGCAAGAGAGAGCGCACCTTTGATCGTAGAAATAGACTACAGAGAAGCTTGTAATGTGCACGCGGCAAACTTGGTAAAGCTCGGTTCTATATATACAAAGAGGATATTGTATCGGATCAAGTTTGTGACGAATATTGTCCATGCGCACCTGCCACACCATTTTGGTCTGGCTGCACATTGGTGATGTGTAGGCAGAGATAGTATCTCTACAAATTACCTTTACGTCTTCTTCATCTACTTCTAGTTCCTACAAACAAGAAACATTCTCGTATTTACATGATACTCCATCACCAGACGGTGATCTTTGCTGCTAAAGAGTATCACAAGCCGACATTTTAACCGACGTACATTCACCCTATGCACTGGTAAAAATGAGTCACGTTAAACGTTCAACTTACTAACTTGTTTATGAAACACTTGCGATGTAGATAATGCCAACATCTGTGCTACATCTCAACTTTAAAATACCATCGCAATCGCTTCAAGTATCATGACGCAATTGTGTTTTTCTGACTGTGTCTGCGTATCGACGATTCAGTGTGATATCATAGCCAACGAACGCTCTATTGCCGGACTTCGTATTAGATTGTCATCGTTAGAACAATGATAATAACAACACTGAGAGAAGCGGTGGAACAGCGTTCAGGACAATAGTTTTCACACATGTGAAGAAACAAATAGCTGCTTTTGAAAACCATTGCGTTGAACACAAAGGCGTCGGTGAGAAGAGGGTACACCTCCACCTCTTCCTTACTTGGCCATATGCTTCAAGGCGGTCGATGCGTGGAGCATTATGATACCTCGTGTATGCGAAGCTGGAGCAAGTTGTGCAAGCTCCTTCGGCAGAAAGTGTCACCTCATCGACAAATTGTTCACGAGTGGCAGTGACCAAACCATGTCTGCCTTGGAGTTTACCAGCCGATAGTTCCGAGACTGTAACAAAGCCTACAAATGTCTCACATGATCAGGCAAATCATCATAGTAGTGATGAAAAGGATCCGATAACTTTATCCTGCAATAGCAAGGTGTTAGTTATTCTAAAGAACGGCAGAAGCATGTTGTAACTCAGCCATATGATACAACCGTCTGCAAACTGTAATATATCTGCGTCAAAGTGTTGCGACGGCTGAGTGAGTACCCATTCATTTTTGTGGAGGCAAGACCACTCGACATACCAGACGTAATCAAAAGACAACCACCACATCGAATTCTGAAGACGTAATTTTGGCCTGACCTGGATCAATCAATACCTGAAGAACACAAGCTTGTTTTACTTTGCCGTTCATACACTTGAGACTGGATGCGTCAATAGTGGCGGCGTTTCTGTCCGATCACTACTGGTAGCGTTTGTTTTTGACATATTCCACGGTAGCGGGGTATCTATCCTACGATGGACTGAACGACCTAAAGTGTATTTGGCTGAACGCTACAGCACTGACGATTTTGTATCGACTGCAATCGCTAACAAAGTTGCTGTAGTTGACTTTTCGTACGTTCAAATTATTCATTCATGGTAAAGTTTTACTCTGCACTTGAGATGTCACGCATTCTAAGCATTTACTAATACTGCCATGTAGTGGTTGTTGGTTGTGTTGGGCGAGCACAACAAGGTGCTTGTGTGCTTAGAAGTGTGACTTACAGTCCTTGCCCTTAGGACTGTCGATTGCAGACGTCGAATCGGCCAGGGCGTCCGTCACCGAAGCCTTAGTGGCCGGAGCATCAGTGGCCGGAGCATCATTGGCCGCAACTGTGATGACAGGAGCCGGCGCCACTGCAGTCTCAGTCGCCGTGGCCGGCGTCACAGCAGTCTCAGTCACCGTCGCTGTGGCCGGCGTCACAGCAGTCTCAGTCACCGTCGCTGTGGCCGGCGTCTCAACAGTCTCAGCCTCACTCTGCATCTGGTCCACGTTCTTAGTAGTATACTGCGGCGACGGGGTCAAGCTGCTTGTGGGAGAACCATCACACTCCTCGGCGTCGCCTGAACCGAAGTTCTGCGTCCAGTAGTGCTGGTATGTTCCATCTTTGTTGAACGCGTATGCGGACCCGAACATCGTGTAGTCGCCCATGATGTTTTCCAGGTGACCCGGAGATTTGATCCAGCCCTCCATCACTTCGTCGACGTCCACTTGGCCGGCCGCCACATTTTCCGCCACTGCTTCCCAGTCGTAGCCAGCCTGCGTGATGCGTTGCGATAATCTCGAGCCATCGGAGCCTTCGTGGTCCATATAGTCATGTGCGGCCATGTCGAGTGAGTGGCCCATGGCAGCGTTGTGCAGCTTCTTGTTCAAGCACAGAGGCGACAGTCCCTTGGTGGCGCGCTGCTTGTTTACAGCCATCAGCATGGCAGATGCATATTCTTCGTAGGCTGTGTACGTGTTGACGTCGGTGTAACCGCTAAGGTTGCGCTGGCGCAAATTGGCAGCTTTTGAGCAACCACTTGATGCTGCGGCCACAACCAGCACGAGGGTAAGTGAAGACTGAACGATGGCCATTTTACTATAGCAAGTGGGTGTGTTGATTCAATGTGTGGGGACGATGGTAAGTTTGAAAGTGAATGTTGGGCTAGACCACTCAACGCTTTAAGTTTGAGCAACCGTATGCTAACGTCAGGAATATGATCGCCCGTGAAGACGTTTGGATCTCTATATACGGCTGTTTTCCCTCTGGCATTTGCCGCCGTAGGGCGGTATATCATGTGCCACATAGGAACGCTCTTGCTGAGAACAGCAATGCGGGACGTCCGTCTGGCGCGAAACTTGTCGTCCCACAATGGCGATGCTTTATCGTATGTTTTTGCCGTGGGTTGAAAATAGCTTCCCTCGTGAGTGTGTTCAAAAAAGACCAGTGTCATTGCACCGACAAGTCGTAGAATTGCATGGTGACATGGTGAACTGCACAAATATGCAGACGTTGCGCCAGTTACATCGCTATCTTATTTCTCTTTATATAATATGCTGCTGATTAATTAAGTGCTGCGCACAGGCCGTGGTTATCCAACATTCGGTGCATGCTCGACGGAGCTTGAAGCCGTTATTTGAAACAAAAAATTAAGTTTGCGACGGCCATGGACTCAGCAACGATTGCATTTAGAGCTTTTCTCACCCACACGCAGACGCATGTTCGAAAATCGTTCGCTGGTGCTATTGTTCCTTCCGTAAAGTTGTCAGCGCCATCCGATATGGCGTAATTTCGCATCGTCGGAGACGTGGTTAATCTCCTCCTCATTATTCTTGGAGACTCAATTTAACACTGCTCCGTAAATACATGTGTACGTACGTTAGTGGTGCACAAGAGTGCGTCGTAAACAGCAGGCGGTACGATGCAACAATGCAACAGTCGGCACGAACGTTTGCGTCATCGTGCAGAAGTAAGCGACCTTAGTTTCTAAGTGATATCTCAACTGCTGAAACGATTGGCGGTGCTGTTATGGCTTCTTACACAATACCGCTGCAGCATCTGTTGGCATCGCCTGTCAACCGAAGAAACTGTATTCGCAATGTATGCGCTGGCATTTTGTGTCCAGACCGACGGTGATTTATTACCGGGAAGAGGGAACGTTTTGGAGGATGGAGTCCTCTTTCGAGACGAATCTATCACGACGATGCATCAGAGCTCTGACGACAAAAGGATCGATTAATTGCTGACATCCTTCACCACCAATGCATCACTTGTCAAAATTCAATCCTTTACACAACCACCTACTACAAGCTCCACAATATCATGATGATCATTGCTCAGTCTACACCTACTCTGCTGCTAGTTGTGGCCGCAGCATCAAGTGGTTGCTCAAAAGCTGCCAATTTGCGCCAGCGCAACCTTAGCGGTTACACCGACGTCAACACGTACACAGCCTACGAAGAATATGCATCTGCCATGCTGATGGCTGTAAACAAGCAGCGCGCCACCAAGGGACTGTCGCCTCTGTGCTTGAACAAGAAGCTGCACAACGCTGCCATGGGCCACTCACTCGACATGGCCGCACATGACTATATGGACCACGAAGGCTCCGATGGCTCGAGATTATCGCAACGCATCACGCAGGCTGGCTACGACTGGGAAGCAGTGGCGGAAAATGTGGCGGCCGGCCAAGTGGACGTCGACGAAGTGATGGAGGGCTGGATCAAATCTCCGGGTCACCTGGAAAACATCATGGGCGATTACACGATGTTCGGGTCCGCATACGCGTTCAACAAAGATGGAACATACCAGCACTACTGGACGCAGAACTTCGGTTCAGGCGACGCCGAGGAGTGTGATGGTTCTCCCACAAGCAGCTTGACCCCGTCGCCGCAGTATACTACTAAGAACGTGGACCAGATGCAGAGTGAGGCTGAGACTGTTGAGACGCCGGCCACAGCGACGGTGACTGAGACTGCTGTGACGCCGGCCACAGCGACGGTGACTGAGACTGCTGTGACGCCGGCCACGGCGACTGAGACTGCAGTGGCGCCGGCTCCTGTCATCACAGTTGCGGCCAATGATGCTCCGGCCACTGATGCTCCGGCCACTAAGGCTTCGGTGACGGACGCCCTGGCCGATTCGACGTCTGCAATCGACAGTCCTAAGGGCAAGGACTGTAAGTCACACTTTTGAGCACACAAGCACCTTGTTGTGCTCGCCCAACACAACCAACAACCACTACATGGCAGTAATAGTAAATGCTTAGAATGCGTGACATCTCAAGTGCAGAGTAAAACTTTACCATGAATGAATAATTTGAACGTACGAAAAGTCAACTACAGCAACTTTGTTAGCAATTGCAGTCGATACAAAATCGTCAGTGCTGTAGCGTTCAGCCAAATACACTTTAGGTCGTTCAGTCCATCGTAGGATAGATACCCCGCTACCGTGGAATATGTCGAAAACAAACGCTACCAGTAGTGATCGGACAGCAACGCCGCCACTATTGACGCATCCAGTCTCAAGTGTAAACAACTATAAAACTGTTAATTATACATAAAAGGATTGGTCCTTTCCGTACGTTTGGTTTCAAGTACCGACTTCAACGCTCAATTAGCCTTTGTTCTTCTTTTCAATGGTGGAAACAGCCGACGGCATGGAGTCCAATCTGAAAGTGAATGAAGTGATCGGAGTCTAGAGCTTCACAGCATTAAGACAACAGATGCTAGTAAACCTTCAAATTGCTTTAGCAACTGAAGTAAAAACGATGACTGAGTGTTTTTTGCTGTCGGTATACCAAGGCGATGCTTTAGATAGCCACGGCAGGAGCTCAGGCCACGAACAGGTTGGGTAAAACATACGATAGGAAAGCTGCTAGAAGATGACACAAATAGAAGCTACCAGAACTGACACACTGAGATCCAAAAGAAAGTTTGTTGTATTTTAGCCTACTTATCTTCGAGCTAGCACCTGGTTTGTATGGCAGGATGAAGCATAAGGTGAAACTACAGAGTTGCTCGACCTTGGTAAATTCGTAATCGATATCGTAACACATTATTATTTAATCATCATAAAGCTTGTGTTAACACTCCTCATCGTCGACAATGTCCATAGCAAAGCACTTGATCTTTGCTTCATGGTTTTCGACATTCAGTCGACTTATTCTGATCCCGTCATAGTGCTGGTCAACGGTTGGAGTAGGCGATGTCGAACATAGCATAGTCTTCTAGTATGTTTTCAGGTACGTCCGGGAGTTCAACCATGCCGTGATGGCATCGCCTCAGGCTCACCGACAGCTACATTTAGCGACAAAGTTCCAGTCGTAATCAGCTCAAGTGGTTCTTCGGTCCATGTCTGTCAGTACCTCGCGATAATGTAGTGTTATCGGCCTGATCGTCGAATGTCTCTACATATAATGCAGCATTGTCCTAGCAAAGCGTCGAAAGCCTGACAACCGCCCTTGCTTGGTTGGCGGTCAAGCATGTTGGAAAAGTAGTCGCCGATGTAAGGGTGTACGTGACGTCAGCCAGGTGCAATGACCCGAAAGAGGTAGCTTTTACTACAGCAGCAGTGACACGTAAAAATGCGACTGAAGGTGTTAAGTCAAGTATCGTACAGGTAGATAAACTCCACTTAGGTAATGTGACTTGGTCGTAGGCTGTTGTTGCACTTGTAAGCTGTAGTAAATTCAACTGTAGCGACACTTTGATGAGTTGGAGTTTGCATTTCACCCCAAGTGCATTTCGTGAGATTGATCTCTTTTCCGCCGTTGTGATAATGCTCTGTGCACACACATGATTTTCAGTACTTTATTCTCGACGTAGCTTGATCCGCTAGGTACAACGACAAAAACTCAGGGCATATGAAAAGGACCTGAACGCGATCTTACCCTGCAGTTCTCTCCTATGAGCATTGATATTGGCAGAGTGAATTTGTTGTTGTTATACGTGACGTTGTAGCGATGTCTTGCTATACTCTGATCATTGTTTTGTGCAGGAGGCCTTGGCACAGTTTCTATCTCCGAATAGCGAAAAATAGCGAAATATACAGCTTAAGGATATCTTGTGCGGGTTAGCATACCAGTTGTCATAGCATACTGCTTACTCCGATCGTGTGTGGCGTTAGAATTGATTTGAATCAATGCAAAAGCGTGATGACGTTTTCTTTACTTGCATAGTGCTGTTACTTGTGACACGAGAGACCTGCACTAAAGATTTGCGTAGATACTTGAAAGCTTAAGTAAAGTCGAGGGCTAGATATGCTGCCTGATGCAAGAGTGTCGTTGTGCGGACGTGCATGAAATGAAATGTTGCATGTGCCATGCATCATAGGGATCTAAAAATACTGATGGGGCGATGCAAGCAGGACGAACGCTTAAAGTGATACGACCATTTGCTCTTACGCAAATCTTACAGACAAGCGCCCAGACTAAAGTCATCAATACGAGAACCGACAGTGCTACTTTTTTTGACGAGCTTTGTTGGACGAGAGTCTATCTACGACGATGTCAAGGAACAAAAGCTCATCGAATAGTCAAAACCGCCATCTTGATTTCGCACTACATTTATTGATGTACGGCAATCAGTTATACATACACCACTTACTAACAACAAGCAGCATTCTAGCATTGGTTTTATTTAAACTGCGGCTCACAATCCTTGCCGTTTAAAATGTCGACTGCTGGCTTCGAGGTGACAGAGGTAGTCGACAACAAGGTATCCGTGACAGAAGCGTCATTGGCCGGAGCCTTTGCGGTCGAAGCAACAGCGACCGAAGCCTTCGTGACCGGAACTACGGAGACAGGAACCACAGTCACCGTCGTCGAGGCCGGCGTAGCAACAGCCTCAGCCTCACCCTGCACCTGGTCCACGTTCTTAGTTGCATGCTGCGGCGACGGGGTCAAGCTGCTTGTGGGAGAACCATCACACTCCTCGGCGTCGCCTGAACCGAAGTTCTGCGTCCAGTAGTGCTGGTATGTTCCATCTTTGTTGAACGCGTATGCGGACCCGAACATCGTGTAATCGCCCATGATGTTTTCCAGGTGACCCGGAGATTTGATCCAGCCCTCCATCACTTCGTCGACGTCCACTTGGCCGGCCGCCACATTTTCCGCCACTGCTTCCCAGTCGTAGCCAGCCTGCGTGATTCGTTGCGATAATCTCGAGCCATCGGAGCCTTCGTGGTCCATATAGTCATGTGCGGCCATGTCGAGTGAGTGGCCCATGGCGGCGTCGTGCAGCTTCTTGTTCAAGCACAGAGGCGACAGTCCCTTGGTGGCGCGCTGCTTGTTTACAGCCATCAGCATAGCAGATGCATATTCTTCGTAGGCTGTGTACGTGTTGACGTTTGTGCGATGGTAGTACCGCTAAGGTTGCGCTGGCGCAAATTGGCAGCTTTTGAGCAACCACTTGATGCTGCGGCCACAACCAGCACGAGGGTAAGTGAAGACTGAACGATGGCCATTTTACTGTAGCAAGTGAGTGTATTTATTCAATATGTTGGGACGACAAGCCACCAGGACCTTCTCAATTTGCTGGTAAATTTGAAAATGAATGTTGGGCGCGCCCACTTAACGTGTAAAGTCGAGCAGCCAGAGTCCGGAATATGGTCGTCAGTAAAGACTCGTCAAGCCTCTATATACGGCTGGATTACCCTCTGGCATTAAAAGCATGTAGAGCGGCGTATCATGGACCGCATGGCAACGCTCTCGCTGAGGACGTAAGTGCGGGACGTCCGTCTGGCGCAAAGCTCGTGGGTTTACGATGGCGGTATTTGTTGTACCACTGGACATGAAAACCAGTTGGGCCTGGAATAAGGTCCTTCCTGTGTTGTGTCTTTTTGCGTTTTCACTGCGTTGTAGTGACTGTTGGGTTGAGTATTTCTATCTTAGTATGTAAGCAAGTGATAGCTGTAATAGTCTTAATCCAATGTGGTAGATGCAAACAAAAGACGGCACGGCACGTACATGGGTAATTTGCTCTAAATTTAGCAAAAGCAAGTAAAGATGAAGAAATGCAAGAGATGCCATATGAAATCGGTCAAACTGATACTCGTATCTGATCTGCCTCAGCAGAAGCTTCAGTGTTTTATGCAAATCCTTGCCTTCTTCAGCGTATTATGTGGTAGTCATTTGAAAGCAAGAGATAAAATGAAGCAAGCTTACATCTTAACATATCAAGGACGGTTTCGAACATTTAGAACCGCTCGATTGCCGAACATTTGATCGATAAGACCAATGCAATCAGTCTCAGCGATGCCCGTACGTAGAGTGCTAGGAGTTTTGAATCACTCTTGGCCACTGTTTGCCAGAACTCAACATCAACAAACGTAAGAATACAAGAACGTCAAAACTAGCAGCAGCAGTGCTTTGACGTGCTTGCGCAAACATTAACAGTTCAAGTAACACCAAGATGTGCTGCTTGGCCCTCCGCTCTTTTTTGCGATCGTCTCGATATTCAACCTGTTCACGCACATCGCATACAACCGCATTCAAATGGATTAAACGAGCTCCAAATAGGCGACTCGTGTAGTCTTTGCAACATTTTTTTCGACTCATCCAGGATCTAGTGACGAAAGACAGGAAGTAGTGAAGTCTTTTTCCGGAATGGGTTAATCAGCTGTCTTCCTGTTGTGAGACGCATTAGAAACATTACTCACACCTCGGTAGTGTGCAAAACAAGTGCTTAACAGTTCTCTTTCATCAGTGCACCAACACGGAGTGTCATTGATGCTGATACAGTATTGACAAACTGGCATTTACTGCTTCACAACTGCTCCTGTATCGCGCGACAGCATCTCCACGTGTTGATGTTGATTCTGATTCAAAACACCGGCTACGAAGAGTAGTTTTAAAATGACTTTCTAACATGAGTCACTAGCGTAACTGCATATGGAGCAAAGCACTTACTTTACAGCTTAACATATCCACAGGCTCCAGAGAAAACCTGGATGACGGTTTGTTGTTGCCAACTCAAATGATTACCGTTCTTCAGATCAGTGGCACCAGTCTGCACGACGTGACCACAACAAACGGGGGTAACAAATGTGCACTGATCGTAATAGCCAAGTGAGGACAAACGTAAGGCAAGCACCGAGCAGTCATCACATGCTCACGTTCCGCATTTCTTGTTGAACAAAGCACAAATAACCATTAGAAACTAAGGATTTTTGATATATATTGGACTGGTGATGCGGTTTTCTTAATCACTGAATCATTAAACAACTCGAGACGCTTTTAAGACGATAACTATCTTCTTATGGGAGTAAACGAACAGCTGCATCTCAAAGCGTTTGCGGTGGATTAAAAGACCCCTTATAATCTCTTTCTTACCCATATGCTTCATGTCTGCGATGCGTCGAGCTTCATGTCTGCGATCGTCGAGCTTCATGTTGCCATACAGATGCTTAAATTGATGTGAGTTTGAAGCTTTTACCGCAGATAGTACTAGCAGTCGCCAACAATGCAAAGATAGCTGAAAGTATTGATATTGCAGGTATCTTGCAGCGTGGTGAGTGAAAACATCCGTGAGTGTCTGCTCTCCAAGATATATCTCGCCAGCAACCGATGACCAAGCTTTGTATGAACTACAAACTTACAAGCCCATATGACAAAGGCTGACGTGACCTATGATCAAGTACATCATCAGATAGTGGTGACAGCCGAAAGCGCCGCCAATACCGCTAATAACACAGTGTCAGTCTGAATAAGCCACAAATCATCTTGCTATATTAGCTTTTAATTTGATACCACACCATGCGGCACGCTGTAATATAATCTGCGTCAAAGGTTGCTGCTACGGCTAATGTTCTCATTCATTGTTGTGGCAAGACTATCAACGAGCTTAGACGTGACTAAAACACGATCACAATATCGATATCTGAAGAAGTGGTTTCTTCCTAATCTCGACCGCAGTCTTTGACTTGGTATCTAAAACATATGACCTTACGAGCACTCATATCATCTAAGCTCTTACCTCGGTAGCGCAATGTATAGAACTATAGGTATTAGTAAGATTTGATAGATGTGTTTGGGAGATGTTGAGGCGCGCTCTGTCCTTTAGCTAAACACCTGTGTGGTCTTGTTACTCTTGCTTGCACTTGTCACTTTACATCGTCGGTTCCCCCCTTGTAACACTTAAGACCAATGTAGTTGTCCTTGTAATGATAACACCAAAGATTAATACTTTAACTTGCCCGTAAGCACTGACGCACAAGGAAGCGCTTTTAAGAAGATCGTATTCGAGGGTCTATGGTGGAGCCAAACAAAAAGCGGGAAGAGGCTTGTACTCACATACTTGCCGACGTAGATGGAAACGATTTTGATCAGGAGTGACACGTGCCCATAATGCTCCGACAAACGAAGATAGAATCACGGATTCATGACGCCATTACCCAAAGCGTCAAGCTTAGCACCGAGTGAATATTCGCTCCGCGACAGCAATGAAATCTGGATAATTGAAGGGCTCTACAGCCATACCATCCTTGCCTTGCTACGATCGTCAATAACATACCGTCTTCGTAATTTCAAGATGAAGAAAGTTACCGCCATGGACCAACATCTGGATGCTCTTGACAGAACTTTGACTGGCCGCAGATATTAGAGTGACAGCAAGGTTAAACTGCTAACAAGTCTCCCTGCTAACAAGCTATCGAATATCAGTTGATCTCGGTAAGCTTGAAAACGGGAATCGGCATCGCGTTGATCAAGGGTAAGGAGAATTACCTGAAAGATTTTGAGCGACTGAAAAAGGAGGTGGCCACAGAACGTGGGTCACAATGAACGCCGGAGGGTTCGGGAGCACAGTGGAATAGCCGCACCAGAACGGTCCACTGAAAAATGCAAATTGCTTCAGCGGCAAGTGCTTCAAGTTCCAGGAAGCCAGACACTTGAAACTTGACTGTCTAGTGATGGCGACACACAGGTACAACGAAATATTTGCGGTAGGCTTGGAAAAATCGAGGTGTCATGGATCGACAGTAGTGAAATCGCCGACACAACCCCACACCGTGATGATCTTCTGAAGATGAGATGCAAGCGCTGGGATTGAACGAAGATTGCAAACTGTGAGATGCTGGAAATTTAGGGTGCGGTCTTGGGTTCTGGACAACAAAACGGATCAAGAGAGTAAGCGTCCTGCACACGTTCCTGCTCTTGATCGAAGATTGCTGCTCGTAGGCAAGCTAGTGGAAAGAGAACTGAATATGGAAATTCCGGCAATTTGATGTCCTTAGCAGCAAGGCTTGCAATCACTCTAGGCAAGAAGGTCAATCAGACATATACGATCGATTGTAGCAAGGAGGAAGCCTCTCCAGACGCCGGAGCGACCAAGCATTGGAGGTTGAGTACATCCGCCCGTTTCAATGAAACAGGGAGCTCTCTCAGGGACACATGCAGGCATGTCACGAACACGTCTCATGTGACCCAACCACTTCAGGTTTTGCTTGGAATGCATAAAGGAAGAGCAAGTGGTAGCGGTGTCACGGCAAACTTAAGCTTAAAGATGTTCCAAATGTGGAATACTCAATCACCGGATGTGGTAAAGCCGAGGACGGCGCCCTCGAAAGGCGGGAACAGGTATGTTTTTGACGTTTGCGTGTGATTGAGTATACGGGCCTCCTTGTCGAAGTACAAAAGCAAGGCAGCTAGCTACCAGAGGCGGAAGGTGCACAACTAACGATCTTCTACATTGATGATATATGCAATGTATTCATGAATGACCTTGGCTTGTTTTACCTGGAATATGCTAAGACCAAGGGTTGGTTGTGGCTTGAAGCGAGCGACCATAATCTCGCTTGCTTCATGTTTCGACTGAAAATAAACGATTCCCACTACATGACAAGAAGCTAGATAAGGTTCCAAATAACGCATCCTTCACTTAAGGAAATCTTGACCTATTTGAGAGGTCCAGACCAGTAGCAGAAAGTCTGGACACACAACGCTGTACCACCTGTCCCCAATACTTTCAGAAGATGGCGTACAAGGAGGTGGTGCGTAGTACGACGTTGACACGATGTCAATGGGGGACGAATTTTCGTGCTATGATGCGCTGGCATAGTAGTAGACGTAATGATGGACGCTTCTGCGCATCGGCTCTCGCGCTTACCAATTCCTGAACAAAAAAAAAAAAAAATTTTATTTTTTTTTTTTTTTTAAAATTTTTAAAAAAACCAAAAAAAAAGCCCCCCTTTTCTTTTTTTTTTTAAAAAAAAAAAAAAAATAAAAATCTTTTTTTTTTTTTTTTTTTTTTTTTTTTTAAAAAAAAATATTTTATAATAAATAATATAGTATTTTTATTAAAAAAAAATTTTTTTTTTTTTTTATTTTTTTTAAAAAAAAAAAAAAATTTTTTTATTTTTTTTTTTAAAATTTAAAAAAAACCAAAAAAAAAAACAAAATATGTTTTTTTTTTTGTTTTGTTTGTTTTTTTTCTTTTTTTTTGTTTGTATACGTAGTACCAAGGTATGCGTCTCGTCTTCATACTCACGGCCGTTCTTATGGCCACTCTTAATGGCCGCAGCAAACACCGTTGATGAGATCACGAAGTCTGATACTCCACCAAATGCCGTCTTACCAAGCCCCTGCAAGGGACGTGTCCTTGAGAAAGCGGACAGTAAAAAACTCAGATTTGCACCGCCATGCTACGCTTGTTAAGAGTTGTTGAACACCTTCCAGACTGGGGTGTAGCTCTCTTACTCTGAGTATCGATCATCAATTTGAATTGGTATATTTCTAAGTTGTAGACTATAATCCTCATGTCTGTACTGTTAAGGGTTTATAATACAAAGGTGGTTCCATTTGAACTCAATCTCATGCCTCTTCCTTTTGTTATATGGATAGTATCATGATTGTGTTAATCGTATTCATACTGTTAAGCCTTGCGTGCCATTCTGATGAGTGGGTTAGTTCTAGGTTTGGTTTGCCGTAACGCCTTTCGATGAGCGAGTAGTCCAGTTAAAGTCGTGTGTGTGTCTTTTTTCAACTCTGTGATCCGTTGGTGTCAGTAAATGGCGACCATTTGAATACACATGACAATGGCCGGTAGACACAACCTTACTTTACACCGCTATGCTTCATCACAAGCTGTGTCCACCTACTCCAGGTTCAACAAGGAAGCATCGTCATCCAATAATGGTTTAGCACTATATAAATGAATGCCTTGAATAGAACGACCGATACTTCAATTCATCCGTCATGACGTACACGTTCGTACATATTGGACGGTATCTAGTGTGTCTCTTATTCTGATGCTTTCTTGCGTTTTGACACAATTTGTCAAACTGAGTGAGAGGGGCCAAGTAAAACTTGCTTGACAGTGGTGCATTAGATACCACCGTAACAATTCTAGATCACAAATCGAGCGCATTCTCGCAACGATGCTATATCATGAACTCCTATTGCAATGTTATGAAAGATCGAGAGAGTACTCTGTAGTTAATAATCGGTCACCAGCACTTTTGCTGTAGATGCGATACACAGAAATCGTTGTTTTGCCGGTCTGAAGTCGTGTCAGTAAGAATGACTCAATGTCTCATTGTGAAGATGAAATCTGCTACAGGACTACGACATTGTTATCGTTCACGGCACTGACAGAGGAGGTGATCATTTGTCTAGCGAGAGAATACGATACCTTGGTGTCATCAGGGACGAGTATCAAGCTGAGGAATGGCAAGCACGAAAGCCTAATCTTATCTCCCAGTTGTAACTCACGGCTAGCTCCAAGTACAAAGCACGAAACCTAATCTTATCTCCCAGTTGTAACTCACGGCTAGCTCCAAGTACAAGCGTCGTTTCATTCAAATCGATGTGTTCTGCAGTTTACGTGATAACTGAGCAATTTCACTGCTGATCCGGCCAGATGTACCTTCAATCCACTGCAGCGAGTTGTGGTGTACATTAAGCACCTTCATGATCTGCACCATTGGATTGCTGTCGTCTGCCACGTCGTCCTGAGCCTTGTTTAATTTCTCAACCGTCTCTTTCAGCGTCGTTGCCATCGAGTTCAACTGGTCATCGATGTCCACCGACAGCTGTAGCGTCTGCTCGCGCTCAATGTCCGCCGCCACTGGCATCTGATCTTGTGACTCGTACATCTTGTCTACGCTCTTCTCCAATTGCTACATAATCGTTGAGCATAGTACGACAGGTTTAGCACCAACTTCACCCACCATACAACTTACTGTGTGAGATGTTTGTACCTCAAGCGTTGATTTCAGCTCCATCTGGTACGCAAAGATCGTATCAAGGTTTGTATCCAACTCGTTCTGAGCCACTTGGATACGTCGCACGTCCCCAGCAATATCGCCCAGCTTTCTTTGACTGTCCATAAGGTCACTATCCCATTTGCTCACTGTCAATGCATAACGCAAAACTTCATCAATGCGCGACTATTTATCAACAGGACGTGTCAAATACTTACCTTTAACGGCCTCTGTCGTAAAAGTGTCGGCATTACGCTCCAACTGCTCACTCCACGCATTTATAATATCCTGTTAACACATCCACACGTTCAACAATAATGGAATGAGTAATACCTTTACCATCAGGTTCATATCCTCAGCACGTTGCACCTCAATCGTTCGGCCCATGTACTCAGCGGGGGGGCTTTTCGGTCTCCGTAACTGGAGCTGTAATAGCCGTTGTCGTTGCAGTAGACGTGGCTGTGTTCGCGATTCCAGTACCACCCGTAGATAACGTAGACGTTCCAAACCCATACGAAGTCGTCGTCGTCTCGGACTTGCTGTTGGCAGTAGCAAGCGCGTCTGTACTCGCTCCACCGAATGAAAACCCGGTTGGTGCAGGCTTCGCCTGCGCAGGTTTAGCTGCATCTGAACTCGCTGCACCAAAGCTGAATCCACCCGCTGCAACGGGCGCCATCGTTGTCGTCGTCGTCGTAGTGCCAGATTTTGCTTCAGCAGCACAAGGCTTCGCACCAAAGGAAAACCCGGACGAGGCAGGAGCTGTCGGTTTGGCTTCCGTCGAAGCCGCACCGAAGCCAAAACCCGATTCGTCGTCGTCTAGTCCAGATTTTGCTTCAGCAGCACAAGGCTTCGCACCAAAGGAAAACCCGGACGAGGCAGGAGCTGTCGGCTTGGCTTCCGTCGAAGCCGCACCGAAGCCAAAACCCGATGTCGTCGTCAGCTTAGCTTCTCCTTCTGGCACCTTGGCACCAAAGCTAAACCCTGAACCTGTTGAATCCCCAGTACTGGACGTAGTAGCATCGGGCTTAGAAGCTGCGCCAAAGCTAAAAGTTGAAGAAACTGCTGGAATTGTAGGAGTGCTGCTTGAGGCTATAGAAGAGGTTGTAGACGTCAAAGTTGCACCAAAACTAGAGCTTTTGGATGTAGCCGGAGTGGCAGTAGATGTTGGACCAAAGCTTAAACCTGTAGACGTCGGTGGAGAGACTGAAGACGTTGCACCAAAGCTAAAACCTGAGGATGTTGCGGGGAGCGCAGTGGACGTTGCACCAAAACTAAAGCCACTAGAAGGAGCTGTGGAAGATGTTGTAGATGTAGAAGGACCTGAGGAAGTGCTACCAAATGAAAAGCTTGAACTGCCGGCACTAGCGTCACCAAAATTGAACGACATGGCTCTTCGTGTCAGTCTTGGCGGATGGCTATGCTGAGGATTCTACGAAATACTGATATGGAGTCGGTATGATATTCGATAGGTAGTAGAAAGACGATATTGTGTAAATTTAATGTAAATGTTGTGTATTTTACTCAATTTTGCTACCGACACTTCTTCCGAGTAGTAAAAATGAATAGAACTAACAACAACATGCCCATGAACAGAAATGGTTGTATAGTGAAATAGTAGATAGAGGTGAGGTTGATTGTATACATCATCATAATTACTAAAACATACTTCTCTATTTGTGTACATTCGTACAGCTCGGATGGTGGAGTGTGGAATGGGTTCAATGCCCATGATGGACTCAACGAGTGGTTTTCAAAATGAGTTACAGGACGGGAATCACGCGATACTGAGAATGGACACGGATCGATTTGATATGGACCCTGCAAACCGAAATCAGAATCGTAATCGAGGCAATTATCGTTGTAGCAAGGTTTGTATTATCATCATGATCAATGAAGAGACATGGAGAAAACGAATTGTAAAAGCTGACGACAGAGCTGGTCGTCGTTGTTTGTTTCATGCGTATATAGTGTGGTGAACCCAAGAAGGGCCATGTATGTCCATTGGTACCGTCAAATTTCAAATGCAATCGTTGTGGACTTTCAAGAAAATCATGTTCTTGTGTTGGTAAGTGAGCTGAAGCTTGAGCAGCACAAACTGTTGGTGTGTGTATGTTGCTGATGGGATTGTTTTGGGGTGTGGTGAAGCGCCGGCGCTGCGTTCGATTGGTGTCCAAGTGGAAATGGACCAAGACATGACCACACGCGAACTCGATCTTAGTGTTCAGGTGCGTCTTCTTGGTAGAGTTGATCAGATTGTCATGTTGGGCTGACGCTGATGTGAAGGGTGTCGAGGAATTTCACAAAGCGACCGCAGGCTGTAGTACTCCCAATAGTTCGTGATTCGACTGAAGGGAAAAGGAGGTGGCAGTGCCAGATAGACTGCTTTTTGAGGAGATGTCGATGGAGACGGTGGCGGTGGCGTAGCACAACGTATATATAGACATCATGTATTTTACGTCGAGTATTTCTTCCTTCATATTGGATGACAAACCTGCGATTTTCTTCATGCTCGTCCTTCATGCTCTCATCATCAAGTGCTCGATTGCGCTGGTTATCACCTTAAGCTGTGCTACGCGTTTGCGATCTGCAAGACGGCACTAGGAATCTTGTATCCGCGGAGCTGAACGGCTGTGACCTTAGCACGAAGCGGATTGGATTTGGTCACCTCGTTTAAATACAGCAGTGTGATGCCACCATGAAGTTCAATGGTTCGAACAAGCATCGTCTTGAACAGAATGGTCAGTCGTGCCAGGATGCTATTCATCACTAAAACAAACGGCATGAAGTACGTCATCGTGAACTGTACTATCAAGCCTGCAAAGACAAAAGTATCCTTAGTAATTTATGTCAGTGATACTGCAGGTAACTACGGAATATCATCACACCTTTGTACGCCTTCTGAGCTGCACAGATCACTTCTGCAGCAGCTGTAGCAACAGTCACGAGCTTCCGCAACGCAGCGTCTGTACTGATCTTCAAATCTGAAGCTAGCACTTTCCATGCGATATGGTTTGCTCCTGGTTTCAACTCCATTTGTTTCAATACGGCTGCAATCTCTGCAAATGTGGTAGTGACCGTATTCACATGAAAATCGCGCAGTAATCGCTTCACGTGCTGCAAATTCTGAAAGAAAAAAGCGCGACGGTGCTGGCTATGGTTTTTGTACATACAGCGTTGAAATAATGCAATCTCTTGGCTCAGTAAACGGACCATGTCGTCGGTAGATTGTGCATCTTGCAACAACTTCTGCTGGAGCTCTACCTCCATTACTAACTGGCAAAATTCGATTGACTGGCAGGAAGGTGTATCACAATTTGGAAATGCTGAGACTCAAACAAATGGCTATAGAATATGGAGCCATTTTAAAAGTGCGAACATTGTTTTTAAATATATTCAAGCAATCTACTGCTTATAAGTTCTAATGCACGTGCCTAAAACTTGAAAAATGAATCAAAGCAGAGCTTAACATAGTGAAATGAGATAATGCCAGCTTTTTACTCAATTCGCGTCCGTTTCCAAGCCGAGTAGCCACTGCAATCCGTGAGCTCTGGAGCCTCAATACTGATGCTATCGCTCGCATTCGGGCTTGCCACACCGTCCCATTCGTTGTTTACAAGCAAGTCATCATCACGAGGGCGTTTCACTCGCAACCCCCATCCATAACGCTGTTTTTCGATTTGCCGTGGATGAGACGGAAACTCAACACCGTGGAATTTTCCTCCACAGAGGATTTGCTGCACTTCCTTCTTAAACTGCTCCGGGTGTTGATGCAATTGCTCGGCTGCATCAGGGTTGAGGACATATTCGATGCCGGGCTCAAGAAAAATTAACTATCATGTGGAAAACAAAACCAAAGTCGAACAAACAAATGGTCAGCAAGGACTTTATAAGGATGACGCGATGGCAGATTCAGTAACCTGTAATCCGAGCAAGACGGTATTGATGCTTAGTACAGGGCGCCAATCTTTACCCAGTATTGGCATCATAACCTTGCCCGTTGCCATGTCAATGTTGGGATGCCACACCCTTTGTACAAAACAGCAACAAAACATTTGGTCACAAAGTAGCTTGTACAAAGGCATCGTAAATTGTAACATACCTCGTTAAGCACGTTACGCTAGGAGCTATAGATAAGTGACACACAAACATCACAACAAAATGTCAGCACAATCATTCGCGACTCGAAAAGATGAACTAGTTTCCTACGAAAATCTTTGTGCGCATGAGAATCTTACCATGAAAAGGGTATGTCTTTGGAATCTCGACGAAAAAGGTAAAATCTCCGTTGGCAAATGGACCTGATATATCGGCAATCGCTATTGTAAAAATAATCTGCAGCATATTGTTCGCTCCATCGGGAAAATCTACACGGGTCTTTGCTTGACTGCAAGTGAACTTGGCTTTAGACAACTAGAAGCAAATACAACAGCAACAGCACCATACAAGAGTGAATCAATTGACGCTGATCATCATTACAATACACAAATTGCTAGTAACAAATTAATAAACCAGCAGCTACTCACCTCATTCACGTCTTTCCTTACACGCAAAGCTGCAAAGTCCGAGCGCATGTACATACTCGAAGCGTGAGAACAAGCCTGTTCTGGAAACGTGCTTGTGAGTGCGTTTACAATCGTCTATGATCCTTATCCGTTAGTCCGCGTGAGTAGATTGATTTGAATTCGTTAAACACGCGCTGATGCAGTAAGCGATGCCTTGGGACGTGGGAATGGTGCTAGTCCTGATTAAACCGTCGCACTGTGTGGATTACGTCGGCACACATCTTTTTGATTGGTGCATATTACTTTGATTAATAACCAATCAAACAACGCTCTAAACCCCCTGATTCAAATGACTACGGTAGTAATGCCACCTGACAAGTATAACGCGGGAGCAAGCGTCGCTATGCGCACTCGACCACTACTACACTACAAGGATCTAGGATTGGTAACACAAAATCGAAAAATTCGTTTTACATGTGTATATGCATCTGAAAACTTTCTCGCCTGTGGGTATGTATCAGTAACATCCTAAATCGTCCACAACGGGGACCAGAGTGATGGTCACTGCAAGTACTGATTTAAGTGAATTCAATTCCGCATTCTAGCTCGAATCATGGCAGTGTCTATTTGTATGCAACATCCGTATTGAGTCGCACCGATGGCGAGCATCGTGTTGCAGCAGCATCGGCCAAGTATCACCTAGTCAAGATGATTACACCACTACCAAGTACTGACCGCGTAGCTCTCACGTGTCTAAGTATCTGTCCACAGCAGAAACATCTCGTCATTGGCTCAATGCGTGGCATTGTTTATGCAATACAATTGTCAGATTACCATAAAATTGGTGAAAAGGTCGAGTTCTCGCATGATTTTCATGCAGGATTCCCTATTACCTCTTTTCTATGGGATCAACGTGGTGCAAGACTCTTTTCCGCCTGTAATGGTGGTCTTGTGTGTCAAACTGTCTTGCGTGCTGGTATGTCAGCAATATTTGGCACTACGGACACAGAATTACTGCTCAAGGAAGAGACAGGAATTGTACAGGTAATACTCAAGTCAATCTACTTGGCTCTTTTCATCCTTGTACTCGTTTCTAGTGGTTATTTGATTATAACTACACACACGCAACTCATGCTTTGTGCTTGTGGTACTTTTTTATATCATTTTTATAGCTAGATCTTGCAAAAAACGACCGCTCATATCTCCTAATGGTATCGTCACAGCTACGTGTTGTGCTGTTAAATCTGACGTCTGAAAATAGTAGTGCTGTTCAAATTGGCACAAAGGCACGGCAAGGCGCCTATGGAGCTTGTTTTTTTACCAGTCTTAACGTTGAGTCGATTGATCCGGCGAAGAAACGTGAGATGAAAGTGTTCTCGTCACGACCAGGACGACGTGTGTGGATTGCAGATCCACAATCAGGTGCAGTGTCATCGACGCTGAAGTTTTCTCTCACAAAGAACCCTACATCATTTTTACAAAGTCCAGGGTGCGCTAAGGAAGAAGGTATGTTGTCATGGTACGATGCAACAATATTGTTTTTAAACTTATAGGTTGTATGTTGTTTATTGTACGCGTCTGCCGCCATATGTAGGAATTTTACCTCGGAATTTAACCATTAATAGGCTTGGTCGCTTTCAGTTTATACAAGATCCTCCTTATGCACCGCAAGATGTCAAAGACGCTACCACGTTGCTGGTAAGCTGGAATGTTGGATCAAGCGTATTATTCTTTCTCGACCCTTCTACCGTTGAAATAGTCGAGTGGCACTTGGACTTGGGTATTATTCACGACTTGAAGGTATTTTTGAGTGATGCATGCTTGGGACAATGAAATCTGTGCTGATCATGTGATTTTTATGCTAGATTGTAAACGAAACAACGTTAATAGTGCTACATGGTGATGTTCCAAAAGTGTCGTTAGTCCAGTCCTGTTCAGCCGACCAGTTTCTCCAGATTTACGGCTCGGATGACATGAAAAAGACCGTTGAGGTGAGTATTGTTATTCTAAACGAGTAATAGTGTTTGTCTAAAGAATGTGTGACTTACGGTGTAGCTTGCGGTCGAGTTCAATTTAAATGACGCTAAGGTGGTGGATTCACTATATACTCAGTGGCTGGCTTATATTGAGAAACTTGGCACTAAAAGCGAGGTGTATGACGAGTTGACTGCATCTCTAGAGGCACTTTTGAAATCTGCTCGGGCGCTGGAGAAGGAGTATAGAGTGGCAGATGAGTCTGTCTTTTCAACACCGCTTGATTCACAACCATTGCAAATTATATTCAAGCAACGACCGCAACAAGCAATAGCTGCGGCTGCTACGAATTCAGCCGATGTGTTTTCCAACCAGAAAGACACAACGGGCACGAAAGTGACGCTGACATACGGCAGCACTTTACACAAGCCAATTGAATACTTTGATGTGCTTGCATCGTCAGATCAATCTTATTGCAAAAGTATTTGTGCGCCCGATGGATCCATTATGGAGGCTAGATTGACGTACATTTCAGAGCTGCCGCGGTCAGCTTCTGTGCTCAGTGATGACTTTTGTGAAAATTATATGGAGGAGGTTATGGAAGCGATGAAACGGTGTGAGCAAATGCGGAATGCTGAAGGTTCCATGAAAATGAATATCTTACCAACGCTAAGAGGTGGGTCAACGGCAGCAGCAAAGGCGTTTTCAACGTTTATCCCAGGCAGCAGCATGCTTACACATCTAATGGACGGATCTATGATCAAAGATCCATTTCGCCGCTCGGATGCATCCAGTATTTTCAGTGATTTTCCCGAGTTCGATAATGATGAATTGGTAATCGATCCGGATCCGCGTCTGCTTCAGCGAAGATACAGTCATGGTCAGATGTTTAATACTCATGCCCATGAATGCTCAGTGCTGCGAATTGCTATGTCGACAATAGGAGAAGAAGATGGAAGCAATTTGGACACTGAGGTCCTGCTAGAAGCGATTTCGATGGATATCTGGGATTCTGACCTTAGGTACACGTCAAACTTGCCTATCAGTGAACAGCTAAACCTTCCGGAAAACTCAGTGGATGTAAATGAACATGCAAGCACACCTCTTGAAAGAGATGTTCAAGCAACGAGCAAGATTCATGATGCAGAAAATGAAGGAAAAATTGTACTGCGCGAAGCAAAACCAGCTTTGTTGAAGGTGCAAACGTCTATTGCAACAGAATTGTCTGCTCAGTCCATCTTCGGCAACACAACCAGCCAACGATTTGCGCACCAAACATCAATGTCTCCGAACACTGAACGTGCAGCCCAACGCTCAATTCGTAGACACTTTGGAGCAATTCCGAGCTGTAAGGTCAAGCTTAGATGTATGGTAGGTGGTCAGGTCGCTGTATCGCCGGAGTTAGAACCTATCATTCGACGCGATGTCAGCGAACTTGCTTCCGAACTTGACGCAGCTTCCGCTACAGCTGAGAAAAGTAAACAGCTCACGCGAAGACTATGGCCGGCATCTGGAATCACAAGAGTATGTGCATGCCTTACGAACGTATACTTGCTTCAAGGTGACGTGGATCAAGTACAAAGGACAATCCGTTTGTGGTTGAATTGCTTTGATCCAAGTGCACAACACGAAGATCCAGAAGGAAGTGAGAGTTACACCAAGCATAAGAATGAGCTGACTAGTGCGTCTGTGGTGACTGGCTTTGCCCGCGGCGAGGCGCTTGTAGATGGCGATGGCCTGCCGCTAACGAGAGGTGATTGGAATCTAGTGCGAGCGTTGGTATCAATATATTTCGCTACCTGGGCTGCTGGACCGAAATTGCATTTCCACCCTTTGAACCCGAAGAGTCAAGCGAATAGTGAATTTTGTCGATTGTATGAAACTGAAATGGGGATTGCAATGACACTGGAACAACGCTACAAGTGGGATGGTGCTGGAGACGATTTTGATACTGAGTTAGCCACGGCAGATGAAGCCGAAGCGTTTGTAGCCAAATACGGTGTATATATTAATCCGGACCTAGCCGCTGAAGTGTGCAACCTACGGCAATTTACGGGTGCACTAAAAATGGTACTAGACGAAGTCGTGTCCAGCGCTGATATGGAGGAAATATGTAATGATATTGTGACTTGGATTTCAGACGAGGAGAGTGGTAAGGTTGTTGCAGCAATGAAAGAGCGCAATTCGTTGTGCTTGCTGCTCCACTTACTTGATATTTTGCTGAAGAAGTGTCCCCGGGACACTATAAATCTGTGTGTGAGTAAGTATCCGGTATTGTACCCGTGGAACATTGAGCAGGCCCTATTTGGAACAAAGCTAGACTGGGTCTCAGGTGAAGACAGAAATGGCATACGCAAATTTTTTCGAGCAAACGCAGTGGCACAGGCATCCAAGTACTTTCGATATCTTGTGCGGCTTCTGGAAGAGAGGGGTGACGAAGCCGGTAAAGATGCACAAGTGGTAAGTCGATGCTTGGACCTGTGTTTCGCAGGGAGTGCGGTGGTTGGGGACGTGTTTGGCCATGAGGAAAGGCCAGGCCGCATTGAGTGGATTGCGGCACTTATTCGTCAACCCAATCGGTTCATCTACGATCACGCGCAGTGCTGGAATACGTTTGTAAATAATAATGCGCTTCTCCCTCTGCTAGAGTTGACGATAATATCGCTGCAAAATGAGTGTGGCTCCACCGAACTTGACCGTGGATTTGATGAATTGTTTGAATTGGTGGCCTTAATTATGAAGAGCAAAGAGCTGCCAGTTTTCAATGCACTCTTTGAAAGGGTGGCTGTGCTACCACGCAGCTCAGAGAGGTGTTTGTGCAGTATTTTGAGTCAGATTCAAATGTCCGTGTCCGTTGAGAATTGTAACGAGCTCTTATGCTCTGCGGTCATCCACGCCCTTTTGAGCTCGGTAAATCTTGGATACGGAATGCGCCTCCTTGGTCAATTTCCTCTGCTATTTGCTGCCACCCCGCTGCAAACATATCGCGCCATTGTTGAGACACATGTACTCACCGAGCGCCAAAAGTACGAGATTGTGCAAATGTTGGAGATTGTGGACACAAACATGTGGGCATCGTACAAAGAAGATGTGTCAGCCACGAGCTCAGTATCTTTCGCGCCTCAGCTTGCTGCTATTCTGCAGCTCGAGATGGGCGCGCTTTTCCCAGCTGTGAACCAAGAGCAATATGAAATGTGGGAAAACAAGTGCAAACAGTACGATGGGGAGGTGACGACACATCGATTAGAAAAGGAACAGGAAACAAGAACAAACAGTAGGCTTCTTTGCAGACAAAATAGCACTCAGCGTGGAAAGAATTGCAATGCAGCATCGAGGACGCTGGCAGGTGTGACACCAATGGCCTGTCGATCGTTTGAATGTCGTAATAGTGACTGGGGCGGTGAAGTGCAGTTGCACGATTCCACATGCGGGACGTGTGAACTTCCTGTAGTGCTTATTTGTGACAGTACGTCTTGTATTCTTGGTCATGAAAGGTCGTGGTGTGACGGAAGAAGAAAAGACAACTGACAATTCCTGTGGCTTTATCATGTACAGACAATGCCAATTTGGACGTAGTGTTGCTTCCATGTGGCCATGCTTTCCATGACAATTGCTTGGAAGATGCCTCCTGTCCAATCTGCCTCGAAGCAAATTTGAACACGCTGGACTGGTCTTGAGACAAGTGCACAGGTTTGTCCGTCAGATGAAAGTGGCGGCATGTCGAATGAATTGCGCACTTGCTGCTTCGCAATGAGAGCTCATGAAATTTGTGCGCACATGGACAGAACATCACGATATTGTTGATCATCACTAGCCTCATGTCTTTGCTCATGGTCGTCTTCACTCTCTTCTTGTTGCAAAACATGTTCATTTGACTTTCATGGAGACAGCTATAAATGCCGCTATTCTTGATATGACATCATGCTCTCTAATTGTAGGTGCGCTTAAAATACTAAACCATATATATCCATCGTATTCCAAAATCGTATAGCTTTATCCGTAAAACTCAGTATTTTATTTATTCCCTAGTCATATTACGCCTTTTATCTGATAAAAAGCGATTAATGCTTCTATCCAGTGACTGCCAATGTGGTCATGCACATATGAACGAACGTCACCATGACAATATACAAGAACAAAAGGTTGTATACACGACTATAACCACTACACACTACTTCGTTAACATTATCCTCTCTGTTAAATATACTCTAGTCACTCCCGTCTTTAGCATATCAATTATGGCAACCCTGGCGACTTATTGTCATGGTATAGTATACAACATGGCTACATTTTAATTATCACTATCCCTCGTCTTTTGACTACATTAATCTTGTGTGTATTGATCTCTTTTATAGAATCCAATTCCAGTCTTCTTAGCTTTTGTTATTGCAAATACGGTCTTTGTAACGTTTGGAGGATTCTTACGTCTCTTGTCCGACTTGTTGACTCTTGCTGGACTACTCGTGATACTTTTATTCAGTCTTATACTTGCTATTCGACGACTGGCGTCGCTCATAGCGTATCCTGGTCAACTGAAGCTTGTGATTCGAGAAGGTGAAGCTACTTTTGCTCGGTTAACGAAACGTCGTCTTCAAATCTTTGCCGAGGCAGCATCGGAACTTGCACAGGTATTGGATCTGGACACTGGCAAGAGTACGAAACCAGGAAGATTACGCTTTTTACAGGTTCATCAAAATTTTGCCTTTGCTTTCGAGACAATGATGCTGCCGGTGGTGCAATCACTGGAAATTGTAGAACGAGATGGTAATTTGGGTCCGAACGGAAAACAATTGCTGCAAGTGTTACAGGAGATTGCGATCTTGAACTCGCAGAAATTGGCTGAACCGTGTTCGAAGCTTTGCTCAGCGTCAGAAAAGGTGTTTGAGATGCAGAGAGTGAGAATGTTTAGTGAGAACGAGATTGTGGCGCCAGTATCAGCAAAGACCACAGAGAAGGGGCTGATCCCGCTTAAGCTGCTTGAAGGCGTCTCGAAACCTGTGCTCAAGATGTCGACAAATACCGTTGACTCGGCATCACTAGAGGCTGAAGCGGCAGTGATACCCAAACTTGATGGAGTTTTACATCCACTGGTTGCGTTTGAAGTGGCATTGCGACGACTACAAGCTGTAATTCCGCTGATTGGAAGACCGCAGACGGATGCACCAGCTACTAGAAATGTGAACTGGATTGCTAAGGAAATTTGTCGAGGATCGACTCCAGAGGTCGACTATATTGCAACGCTCGAGATGCTTCGCGCTGACATAACCGCGCGCTTTGTACGTCTCTTTATGATTATAAGTGCTTATTCGTTGTCCGTAGTATTAATTAATGATTGCTATTGTGGACACATAGAAAGGTGAGCAGATATGGATTCCAGGCTACCAAGGTCATCAGGTGGATGCGATGTTGATGCCACCAGCATCAAGCGGCCGTGACGCTGTCGACCGCCCTGTTGTCGTTTTGTGCAATCCAAACGGCGGGCTGTACGAGTTTCATCACTTGCAGATGGATTGGGTCAAGTTTTACACCGCGGATTTGGATTGCTTCGTGCTTGTGTACAATTACCGAGGGTACGGGCGCTGCAAAGGTTCGCCGTCTCCAGCGATGCATAACCTGGATGGGCTGGCCATTGTCGAATACCTTAAAACCGAACGTAAGATCGAACGAATTGCAGTTCACGGCGAGTCCATTGGCGGTCTTGTGGCCACATATGTGGCTCGCATGTCACCTCACGTGAGCGTGCTGATCGCAGACCGCACATTTGCGACTGTATCAGCGCTTGCCCAGCGTATGATTGCAAGGTGGGCGGGAACTGTGGTTGACCACATCATGCGCTGGGAAACCGACAACGTGCAGAATTATTTGAGCGCAACCTGTGCTAAGCTGTTATGCTCGGATCCGTGCGACGATATTATCCTGGATGAAGCTTCGCTCAAGTCTGGCGTAGCATTAAACCTTGAATTGGGAGACAAGACGTTCAAGCTTCCTCGTCAACGTAAAGCTGACGGTTCGCCTACTTCCCTGGCATCACAAATGAACATAATGCGTAATATTCGGTTGCGATGTGGTCCTCAGAGTACTCACCGTGTTAGCGAAGCTGCGAGTCACCCGCTATTAGGAGAGCCGTTGACAGAGGCTATAGTGGCACGATTCAGTGAAGCCGTTTTGTCTGTTGGCCGACGGGCGCTGGATTATACTTCTTATCGTGATAACGGCAAAACAGCAGGTGGCCATGATAGCAAGACGAATGAAGAAGCCGGAGGTCCCGATGAAACAATTGGTGCGACTAGCCCGAGCCACGTTGCTATTTCAGTGGAAGATGCTGCAGCTACTACAACTGAAGATGAAAGTGCTACGGACAACGAACAACATTCAATGCTTCCATCCGACACAAGTGAAGCACGTGCTGCCGTTACCGCGACTTCCGCATTCCCCAACAAGCTCTTGGCTGTCATTTGGATGCAACTCGCTCGTCTGGACGGCTACTGCGGTCAGGTTCTTCTTCAAGCTGCAGAGAACGGTGGCTATGACAAGATCCGCGCTTGGACTGTGTCGCTATTGACATGGGGTGGTCGCCTGACCCCCCAACGCAGAAATGTGCGTTCGCTGGAGCCTTTTGACCATGGTGGCATTTTCATCGTGCCAACGACGGTTGCTGAAGTGCATACAATGTTGCAGCATCTTGTAGAGCAGTACCCGGCTCTCAGGTTTGACTACGATATTAGTTTCGTGGTACTCATGGTCGAGTATTTGAATGACGCATTACAGCGACGATGGCGTCATTTAGACAACCCTTCGACCGACGAACCTGGCGTTGAAAGCGAAGGTGCACAAAACGACAAGAAGGACAACAAAACTGTTGCTGCAGAGCAGAGTAAGGCAGCCATTCCATTATTGATAGACACCGGCGATCCTTCATTAGGCTGTCTGTTACCACTGCATTGCGGCCACAACAAAAACTACGAAGACACAGAGAAACAGGCACTGATTGGCTTCCTACAGCATGTGGGCTTTGTTGAACCAACTAAATAGACGTCGCCAATTTGCATTCGAGTTGGTTTGACATTACGCGTATCCACTCATTTTCAAACTCTGCACACCAGCAAGCATGGCCAAAGTCGTTTCATCGTCGAAGGTGATGGACAATGTAGTGCATTCAGGTACCAATTTGTGGACTGTTGTTTACTGATCATGTGGGGTACATGGAAAGCTTCTTACATGCAGTAGAATGATGAGTCGGCTAATCTATCAGCACGCCGAGTGTCGAGAAGCAATCTGGCCGATTGTGTCGATTGCTTTGCTCTAACTCACGGGTAAATGCAAACGATAGAGCAAACAACATCAGTGAAAAAATATTCTATTGAGAGTATGTCATAGTAACATGAACCCATTTGGAGGTAGCATCGCCTGTACAGACGACATCAAACGCGCCAACGGAAGACACAATGGGCATGGCATCCGTGATAACTTTTTCGATAGCTCGCAGCACGTGGAAGCGAGAATCACAGTCGACAACTACTTGCGGGGCATTTGGAAACACGTACGAGACACCATTGGCGTGCACAAGGTCCCATACGGTCAGCGGTTTCTGGTCGCGGAGTTTTTGAACAGTGGCGTGATCGTCATCTAGCAGCTTTGTCTGCACTTTCCAAGGGCCAAAGACGTACATCTCACCTGCTACAATGTGAAATTGATGAGCAACGTACGCCTTGCGCGGAAAGAAACGGTCACGAAAGATGATAAGCTGCTTGTCTTTGGTCAAGAATGACCTGTTGCCCTTCTTGAGCGTAACCCACGACCCCACCTCAGCCTTCTTATTCTTGTGTTTGTTCTTACCTACCGGGCCAGCTTCTAACCGCTCTAGCTTCTGGATAAGCTCGTGCAGCGGCCTTTCGCGTACCATACTGTTGCCCATGATATTATGACACACTTGGCGGAACACCTCCTTCCACACAAAGAACGGGTGGTCCGACAGTAGTCCGCAGTCGAGCCACACCGCCACATCACTCTGTCCAACTGATTTCATGATAGGTGCCAGAACCTGTGAATCCACGAGCTCAGCACACTGCATTGACTCAGCACCCAGTGCCGAGAGGTTGTTAAGAAATCCGTCACCGTACATGTCCCGAAGTAGCGGAACGAGGTGGTTGCGAAGCTTACCGCGTGTGCTCCACTTGGGTGTTGTGTCCTTGAAATACGGCACGCCGTATCGATGTGCAAACTCAAATATGACGTCCTTGTCAAATTCTAAAAACGGACGCCAGATACGGACACCGTTTACAGTGCTGTTCGCGTGCATGCCGTTAAGATTGAGCAAACTCATTCCCTTCATCATATTCGAGATAATATTCTCCTGCACGTCACCACGATGATGACCAAAGCACATGCCTGGAATGTTATACTTTTGCATCACGTCCGCATACGTTGCGTATCGAATCTCACGCGACATTTTTTCATACTCGTCCCTTCGTGTTGTCGCACGCTTTACTTCATCAATTCGTCGGACATGAAAAATCATGTTGAATCTCTTGCACCAACGATGTACATACTCACACTCGGCTTGACTCTCGAGACGATTTCCATAGTCTAGATGTACTGCAACAATTGTATAACCACCATATTTTCCGCGCAGTTTGTGCAGCAGATAGGCAACAACCATCGAGTCAACACCTCCTGATAATGAAACACCAACATGTGAAGTATTCTGTGCTTTCATCTGCTGTAGAAACGCGTCCATTGCACGATACAATTGATTTTGAGGCATGTCACTCTCATCCGTCCCTTGAAAACCTCGCTCCAAGATATCGTCATCGACAATATCAATTGAGAATTCCATAAACGTCTTGTCCAAATGTTGTAACCGATTTGTTGTCGTCCGTCGAAATTTCTCCAATAGATCTCCATGTTGTTGCTGGACTTGTCGACGAGCTTCAATTGCTACTAAAAGACCATCCAGACGTTCTGATGTTGGTGAGTGACGTAATGGCATTAATGCAAATACAAAATAAGGGACCGAGAGGGTTTCGTGCCAGCAGTTAGCGAGCAATGTTTGCTCGACAATTGTCAGTGCGTAGGTATCATTTTGCTTAAGTTGCTGTTTTGATCGATCACAACCAGCAACATTGTAATGGTCGATAAATATGACGAGAAAATTGATCAAGGACTAAAATTAGTGCTACACAAGTCTCGGGCGACTCGAAACGCCACGAATTGAGTTCTCCAGCCTCTGCCTGCGTCAATAAAGGACCAAAACGATGCGCAATTTCACGATCAGTTTGCTGTTGTTTTATGGAACCTTGAGTTGGAAACCATTTTAAACGATATGTTTCCATTTGGTCACCATCGAACCAGTACCGAAGAACGTCCTGTGCTTCTTCATTCATGATAGCTAGGAACCAGTAGTACCGTGTCCACGTGTTGATTGGATAAAAAGAATAAATTGAAAATACATTATGGCTTATGTGTATAAATGGAAATTTGGGTGTATTTTTGCTCGAATGAAAACGACAAAAAGCCTCGTTTTTTCACTATGTATACTGACTACAAGTCCGATTGAATCAGCGGCTTCAAGTACTTCTCGTATCTCTTGTTAAGCGGTTCGTCTCTAGCTCGTTGTACTAGGACACGATAGATATTGTAACGCCCGATTGTGGAGTTTAGTTCGAAATCCGTAAAGCCCCAGGCATCTGTGAGCAGGACGCAATTCTGACGTATGATCGGTAGGAGATGTACAATCTGCTCATGCACGAGATCGACTTGGCTCGACGAGATGTAATCGTGCTGGCGAAAATCACCGATTGATGTGGTCATAAGCCATGCTCCAAAGAGCGAACATAGCTGCATCATTGACTGCTGCTCAGGACCTGAACGCAGGTTCATTGCGCCTTGGATGAACGCTTTGAACAGTATCAGCTCGACATGGGCGGTTGATGCACGAGTCATAAGCACCATGCAGGCATTACCATCATTGTCGAGTGCCTTCATTCGGCTGGGTAAGCTTAATATAATTCGTGCCGCTTGTACTTGAAACGCCTCAAGGAGTAGATCAAGGTTTCCAAAATCCTGGTATACCTGAGCCTTGCAACGTAATGTCATGTCTTTGTATCTCTTTGTTTGATTTAGAAACTTGATGGATTCTTCATAAGCTGGAAGGACTGCCACAATCTTCAGTAGGCAGCGTGCGTGCTGTTGCACAAGCACGTTGAAAGTTTCTTCGTAAGTGTTGGCTCCGACGGTCTCGGCGAAGAGATGCCAGTTGCTGGACTGAGAGAATCCATGACCACCGCAAAGACGGTGGCATGTCTCAATACCATCGCTCGCCTTTTCAGCAAGCCAGGCCTTGAGGCAGGACGACACGGCGTGAAGCTCTGCCAACTTAGCGCCAAATGCCGAATCACCATTCTCAATCTGACTGATCGCCGAATCGTGCATTTCGACAAGGGAGCCACCTGCAAAATGAGCAGCGTACGATATTGCAATCAAAGGAAAAAGTTTGTGCTGCTGATTTTGGTAGTTTAGCACTTGGAATTCGCCCTTTTTATCCGGAGTACGTCCATGAATCCTCGCAGCACTAAAGCGAGTGCAGATGGTGCTAGCTGCTCCCATTTGCGCTCCAAGAAACTTGATCAGGTAAGCCCAAACTTGTACCATAGTCAAATACACCAGCTTATCACTCTTGGGTTCGATGAAAGTCCCATCTGGTAATATCTTCGCATACCGCATCATCATATTCTCACGAGGGATACGAATCTTGTGAAACGCACAGTATCCATTATCAACGGCATTAAACCCAACCTTGGGACCAATATCCCCCACTTCAATCCCCGGTAGTGGTTGATGATCATCGAACGAACGAATCTGCACCAAAAAAGCCTGAACACCCACATCCTTTCCTTCCACGTACAGTCTCGCATGCACAATGGCATGATTGGCTGTCTTTCCTAGTCCTCCTGGCCACCATTTACGACTCGTCAGTGTAGGTGAGTCAATGATGAACTCTTTGAGTGAATTTGTCGTAAGTTGCAACTGTCTCAATACCCTGTACATTGGATCCATGACCAAGTTCCGTTTGAGCATAAGCTCCTAGCATCGTGTAGTTCTTGGCCAGCGGCAGCCATTTTGCACGTTGTTCATCGTCTCCTTGGTTCTCTAGTGTTGGAATGAACATGGATCGATGCACTTCTAAGGCAAGAGGTTCACCTAGTGCTTGATACAAAATCTGCTGGTCCTTTGGGTCTTCATATCCACCCTCACGTACAAGTCTTACATAGTAAAACGCCTTCTTTAGTCCAAATTCATAGCGTTCCGTGTGGTTACGGAACATCATATCACGATCCGAGAGGACTGGATGGTGTGCAATGACTTGTATGAGCTCCTTACGACGGTCATTGGCTGCTTTTCCATCACGTAAGACATTAGTAAGCACTAATGGATCAATGTCACCAGTAGCACGCTCTTTCTTGAGCAATAACGGCGCTAGATCTTTGAGTTCTATGGTCATAATATAAGGCCATCTTGAGGGGTCGATGGTAAATTACAAAGTGAACGTGGGAGCAAAAAGACAAGAGTGATGGTCGGTTGAAGCTGAAGCTATAAGTCCGATATTTTTGTAGCTTAAGCTAGAAAAACAAACTATCTTGCATTTTGTATACTATGAGGAACAAGTAGTACCATTTCATATGTGCACCACCCCACCGAAGTGTGAAGTAACGTTTTGTCGGATGGACCCAAGAATTTAAGCGAGAGAGTAAAAGATCCATTTTGCTGAAGGATGTTTCGCTCGCCAAAGCCTGGCGATTGGGCCGCTGAAGACGACGACGATGCGTCACCACTGGCCACACCGATGCTACCATCTGTTACGGAAGCAACGCCAGAGTCTAGTGAAAGCTCTGTATCACGGCAGGATGCGCGAGATTACGAGCGTAACAACAGTGGCGGACGCGTTGATCGAAGCAGAGGGCGTTTTGATCGAGACAGAGATCATGGAGGACGCTTTGAACGGGGAAAAGACGGTGGAGGGCGCTTTGAACGGGGAAAAGACGGTGGAGGACGCTTTGAACGGGACAGGGACGGCGGAGGACGCTTTGAACGGGACAGGGACAGTGGAGGACGCTTTGAACGGGACAGAGACCCTGGCGGTGGAGGGGGACGAGCTGACGCAGGCAGATGGGGACACAATGCCGACAGACGCGGAGACGTTAGTGACAGAAGAAGCAGTGGCCGAGAACTGCCTGTCGAGCAGGGCTTTGTGGTGTCTGTAAAGGATAATTTTGGGTTTGTTAGTTGCTTAGAGAAGGAGGGAGATTTGTTCTTTCACATGTCTGAGGCGCCCGTAAACATCCAGCAGCATGACGAGGTAGAGTTCCGAGTCAAGTACAACCAGCGGTCGGACAAGGAAATAGCGTGCCAGTTGGTAGTGCTGCCCAAAGGAACTATCAAGGTTGAAGAAGTGGCAGATGAGCTACTCGATGGCGTCGTGACCAAGAGTTTGCCCCGTGGAGGACATGGGAACGGGCGAGGGTTTTTCAATAATCGCGATGATGACCGTCATCAACACCGTGATGAATATGGACTAATTGAGGTTAAGAAGACGAAGGAGAGTGACGATAGTGACGATCTGAAGGAAGCAGCCCTTGAAGAGCAGCAACAAGACGATGAAACGGGGAAGAAGCCGCTTGTTCGACGCGAGTTTGTGCGGTTTACCGGTGACAGCGTCGCTGTGTGTGAAACAAAGAGTGGCGACGAAGATCAAGGACAAAACAGTCGATCGAAGAGGAACCCCATTCCACGCTTTGGTGACGAGGTGCGTTTTCGAATTGCAAAGCACCGCAAGACAGGAGTAAAGCGTGCAGTGGATATGACGATTACTCTCTCTGCGCGGGATAAAATCGAAAAGGAGATTGAAGCCAAACTAGCTACAATGATGCGAGAGTTTGGCGTGGTGAATCGCGTGAAGAATGGTGGTGGATTCATTAAATGCTGCGATCGTCCTGTGAACATTTACTTTCCATTTCATGAAGTTCGTGAGTCAGCGGAGGCCGATGAGGACAAGAAGAACGATGAAAAAGATGGTGAGAAGGAAAGTGGTGGCAATCTTGGCCGTAGTCGCCAAGGCAAGGAGCCACCTATTCGTGAAGGTGATGAGGTTTCTTTTTTTGTGTACGAGGACCAGGAAGACGAATCTGCTTGCTCAAAACCGCGTTTGACAGCGCTCCGTGTGCAAAAACTTCCTGCTGGCACTGTTTCTTTTGAAGAATTGATGCGTGCTGATGTCGAGGGTTTCGTGTCAAAGCTTCCGAAGGAATCCCGGAGCGTTCTCGAGGTGATTGGTTCGATTACTGTTACGTCTGTCGACCCATGTAATGCTGAATCATCTGAAGAGGCGATCGATACTATTGTCGAAACAGTGCTAGAAAGCGAAGGAAAATTGCTCAAGAAAAAAGGTAGTAAGGGTGGTAAAGCTAAGAAGCAAAAAGTGGCCTTCCAGTTGTGTGACGTAGAAGACACAAGCTATGTTCCTCACATCGGGGATGAGGTAATGTTTGACGAAGTGCTGGACAAACGCACGGGTACTGTGAAAGCTGTGAAGGTCCGAGTGGTACAGCTGAACCCTAAGAACCGCGAGACTGGCATCATCAACGCTATGAAAGAAGACTTTGGTTTTATTAAGTGCGCAGAGAGATCCGGCGACGCTTATTTTCGTTTCTCTGATGTCATGGGCACGCAACGAAGCTTCAATAATGACACAGAAGTGGCATTTGATGTTATGGTTGATAGCAAATCGGACCATATCCGTGCTTCTCGCCTTCAAATCTTGCCCAGAGGAACTGTCAAGTGGGAGTATGTTGCTGGTGAAGGCCTAGAGGGCACAATCGTGGCAGTACCCAGCTCGCGGAGAGGTCGTGGTCGCGGGGATGCAACGAAGCAGTTGCAAAAGTTTGTGTCGGGCAAGATCCGCTTTGTTGCCCCGAGAAAGCAGCACTTGATTGACTTCTTGCCAGACCTCAAGGAGAAGCTTGATAGTGCTTTTATTACGTCAGAAGACGTTGCCAAAGAAACGCAGAAGGTGGAGGAGGCTGAGGAGGACACGTCAGAGGAGACTGAGAGCAAAACGGAAATTCGGATCGCCTTTCCGAGCACTTTGTCTAAGTGTGAACGTGCTGCTTTGCACGAATACAGTGACTGGCTTGGACTGAAGCACGCAAGCAGTGGAGCAGGCTTTCACCGGAAGCTTGAGATTGTCGGGAGCAAAAAGGTTTCAGAGAAGACTTTGCAAGAGAAACTTGCAACGTCTGTGCCAGAGCTGACAGTGGAATTCAAGGAAGATGACGTAGACCATGTGCGTTATAACCCGCGAGTGGGAGACCGCGTTAGGTTTGATCTTGTTGTAGTCAAGCGAACGAAGCGTTTCCGATGTAAATCAATCTCGTGTCTGGCGGCAGCTGCCTCCACTACAACCAAGGTAGCTGTCGCAACGAGTGATGTGGCTTATGGCAAAGGATTCATTGCATCTTTGAAACCAGAAGGATTTGGCTTTATCCAGCCTGCTGAAACAGCAAGTGGGTCATTAGAAGAGAACTTGTTTTTTCACATCAATGAAATTACGACAGGGCAGACTTTGACAGACCTGAAGGAAGGCACCGAGGTCCGATACGCGATTTTTGTTGACGAGAAGAAGAAAAAGAAACGTGCGACGGGCATAAGTGTCTTGCCAGCCGGAACTATCAAGAATATGATGCCTAAAAGCGTGAAGGGTGTTGTCACAAAGGCAAGCTTTTTGCATCGCCTGAAGAGTGGAGCAAAGGGTCGGTTTACGAAGGCGAACAACACCAAAACAAGTACTTCGGGACGTATTATGTTGGCAAGTGCTGGGAGTAATGCTGAAGGCGATACGGTTGATGGCGATGATGACGCAGGCGGAAATTGCGATGACGAAGCTGAGGAAGCCGCGGAAATAATGCATGATAGTGGGGAGATGAAAAGCGGGGACACAGAAACGGAAGAACTTTCTACTTCTGTAGAGACGAGAAAGATAGAGACAAAGGGTCTGGAGCAGAAGGCGTCGGGCAAACAGTTTTATCTGTACAATATTCGTGACATTGCTGACCCTGCTATTGTCCTCCGCGAAGGAGACGAAGTAGAGTTCGTTCCTCAGGTGACATCGAAGAGCCGTCGTGCTGTTCACATTCGACTCGTTACTTCGCATGCAAAGCAAGGAATCGTCACGCGCATCAGAGAAGACCTTGGTGGTGTGATTCGCTTAGACAATGAGGAGCCAGTCGTTGAGGCCCGTTTTACTGCGCAAGGGGTGCTGCGCGGTGATGTCCTGAGCGAGGGTGATCGTGTCGAGTTTGTCTATAGACCACCTTCTGTTTCTTCCATCAAGAACATTCTTCCAAAGAGTAATAAATCAGGAGAGAAGAAAGTAATGTCCAAGGATGTGAGCGAAGAAAACACCGAAGAATGTGGAAAGTTTGCAGCGGAACCTGTCCTGGGTCATGCTCTGAGCGTTCTCCGCCTCTCTTCGTCGTCCAATTCGGCTACTACGTCCCAGCGGCGAGGCTCGCGCATGGTAAATTCGACGCTGAAAGAAGCAATGCGCCAGGTTGGCGCTAATGCTATGGTGGCGTCTAAAATGGCAAAGGGCCCTGATGGAACGCGTGGTTTTGTTGAGGGTTGGGACTATAGCTCTGTTGAGACAACGGATGCATCTGTCGAGAAGACCACCATCGGACCATCAAGTACGACAATGACGACGACAAGAACAACGAGTTGTCAACGTAAGACGGAGCAGAGTGGGGCGTAAACGGACTGCGTCAAGTAAGGTGTGTATTGAATGTTTGCTATAGCCTGTTTGCTTGCATCCTGTCTTCAGCAAACCAACATAACGATGAATAGATATACTCAACGATGATGATGTCTATGCTTGAAATGTTAATACTATAGTAAGTAACTCATCCTCTTCCATTCAGAGGCATAGTCAGTAGTATCAAAGGTTTAATGTTAGAGGTCGTCAATTCATTTTGTAAATTGTTGTCGGTCTCCATTTTGTAAATGGAATCGTGCAAGAGGATGGGCAATATGTATTTTTGAGAAATTTGAGAACAAGAGACAGAGCAATTATAATATTATAGTCAACGTTTTCTATCGTGATAATTACAATACACAAAAACATTTTATTCTTGAATGCAACACATAAAAATACATTCACTCTGATTAGTAAAATAAGTCTACATTTTGGCATAAAGCTTATAATAGACAGTGGACTATTTTAACGATATAAAGTTTTGCAACAACAACAAAATGCTACTTAAAACGTTGTAGCACCGAAATATCAACTTGGACATAGTCCATTGTTTATCGTTTATTTTCATTGCAATGCTGCAAGTTGTTGAATGGAAGCAAGAACGAGATTCACGTGTTTTGAAATATCTCGAGCTTTTGCTTGCCATTTGTTCCTCTTTCTAACATAAAACCCATGTTAGTTGTTAATTCGTCTTCAAAATGTCGTAATTTTACGTCTTAATTCGTACTTACTCAATCAAAGAAAACAGATGGTTTTGCACAAATCCTTGAGCTTCTGATATCGTCATTTCGACATGAAAATTCAGTCCAATGTCAATGATGACAAAGGACGTGTCATCGACCTTTGTCCGTACATAAAAACGCTCCCCCACATCCAGCAACGTATGAAGCGGTTGCAGCTTGGAAGACTGTAATTCTTGCAAGATTTCACGTAATTCCTCGTACTCGTGAACTTCCTGCGCTAATGTATCACGAGTAGCAAGTGTTTCCTTGAGTTGTGGACGCAAAACCTCTTCAATGAAGGCGCTATAACGCTGTAACGCGACAGTGGAAGACTCAGAATCAGATATCATTAGGTTTGTAAAATAGATTGAATGGACGGTAAAGCCTCTCAAGAAGGACAAGATCAAGTTGCACATACGCAACTTGAACAAATGCATAAGAGCAACATAACGCTGAAAGTTGAAGTTCGCTGAGTTGCTACACAGAAGCCATAACAGACAGACGGATTATTTCGCTGCTTGATACATCCAATCACCTTTTTCTTTCGTCTCGTCTTCATTATGATGACTGCCATCACTCTTCAGTCCATCATGTGAAGTAACAATTGTGTCGTACGTGACAGAAGTATTACTACTACTATCATCATCATCATCACCCCGGCTCACTTCAGTGTCGGAATTGGTCTCATCGCTTGAAACTTCATCTTCGGTATATACCTCAATAGCTCTTGGAAGCGTTGTTGTTTCAGTTGTAAGGATAGCAACATAGTGACGAGCCATCTTCTCAATGGCTGTAACATTATATTCTAGTTTCGGATCAGGCAAGGTAACGCTACGTCCACTTCCTTCTGTAATTGCTCCAGTGGGTTGTTAGTGCGAGCAATAATACGATTGCTCAAGCCATGCATATTCCATACTTCTGGAGAAAACTGGCGACACCAAGTGTTTCGGAAGTACAGCCAGAACAAACGCCACTGGCTTTGCATATAAGGAACATTGGCACTAGCACATTTGGTCTTCATCTGTTGTTTCACCCACGAAATTCCTGCAGTGGCAACTCGGCCCGAAGGAATGGTAGCTAACATATCAAGTACACCTTTCTCCATCGCAAGGTTGATAGCGTCGTCTGAAATCTTTAGTTGCTCCATCTTTGTCCGACAAGCTTGTTTCAAGCGATACATGCTACCTCTCACAATAGCAATTGGAAACCGGCCATGTAGTGCTTTGAACAAATCCGTGTCGAAATTGCATACAATCTCGTCTGGTTGAAGCTTTCGTCCCGTAGATTGAACAATAAAACTAAGAGCATTACAATATGCAGATAGCGTTCGCATTGTGCACTAGACGTAAAACACCGGGACAAAGAAGTTGGACGGTTTATCGTGCACTACTAGAACAATGCACAATTTAAAGCCACAAGGAAAACGACATAGCGAATTGTCGACGCAAATCGTTGATCCAACCTGTTTAAGCAGCTCAATCAAGTGTGGATGAGCCCATCCAATAACTCGGTTTGGAGTATTGTTTGGACCATACCCGCTCATACAATTGAACTGAAAGAAATTCAACGTAGAGTTGCGGACAAGTGAGAGAGGAGGACTTTCAATGCGTCCAAGCAGCATTGGATTGATATGATTGGGGTCAACATGAATTGGTGAAGTAGTACGGGGTAGTATCACTCGACCTTGACCTGGGGTCATATATGAAGTAACTCTGGCCTCGGCAGAAGCCCTGGTCCGGCTGGGAGTTTCCAAGTCACCTTCACTTCTGCGTTGACAAGTATGTTGTGAGAAATTCGTGAACTGTCGTGTGCGCGTGATGAGATCGACCTTCCCATTGCAACCTGCAGACCGATACTAACTGCATCGGTAGGAAGTTTTACGCCCAGATGTCGTAGCTTTCGTATAATGATACCCATCCAAGAAGATTGTAGTCATGTACCGACTGTCTTGCACAGCAGCAGAAATATCTAATACCTTTCTATCATTCATACTGATGATGATAGAGCGAATGACAAAGAACAAGTGAGTGAATGAGTCCGTTTTAGTCAAGTGGTCGGGTCCGGATCAGAGCAAGACCCTGATCAATTGATTGGCCAAAACAGACGTGATCCTCGTCTTATGCACAATAAACCTATAGATCCGATTGAATCAGCGGTTTCAAGTACTGCTCATAGCCGTCTGGAATCTGCGTATTATTCAGCGGCTCGTCAGCTGTACGTCGTACTAATGCGCGATAAATATCACCGTCATAGCGTCCAATTGTTGAGTTCAACTCAAAATCACTGAAATCCCAGGCATCCGTTAGTAGCACGCAATTCTTCCGGATGACCGACAGTAGCTGTACAACATGTTCACGAATAAGGTCGGCTTGGTTGGAAGAGAGATAATCGTGCTGACGAAAGTCACCAGTTGATTTAGTGATAAGCCATGCTCCAAGTAGCGAGCACAACTGAGTCACTGATCTCCGTTCAGGGCCAGAAGGAATGTCTCTGATGCCGTTTACAAAACCTTCGAGAAGCATGAGCTCTACGTGTGCGGTGGAAACACGCGACATTAACACCATGCAGGCGTTGCTGTTGTTTTCAGTAACCTCCATTTGAGAACTTAGTACCAGCAAAGTACGCGCAGCGCGTACTTGAAAAGCTTCCACGAGGAGATTTAAATCTTCAAAAGCTTCAGAAGACTGCGCAGAGCAGCGCAACGTGGGATCCGCGTACGCCTCAATCTTGGTAAGGAATCGGGTAGCAGGCTCACTTTCGTCAAGTTTCTCTACCCCAGCAAGCACCTTTAGCAGGTATCGTGCATGCTGTTGCACCAGCACGTCAAAAGTGCCCTCGAATGTATTCGCACCTACAATTTCGTTGAAAAGGTGTGCCAAATTGCCAGACTGCGTAAAGCCGTGACCACCGCAAAGGCGACGGCACGACTCAACACCGTCGCTTACCTTTTCTGCGAGCCAAGCCTTGAGCCCCGAAGAAACCGCGTGCAGTGAAGCCAGCTTGACACCAAACCCAGCAACGCCACTCATGACACTATCGACGGCGGCATCATGCCTCGCCATTATGTCACTAGCAGCAAACTTTGCAGCGTAAGATATCGCGATGAATGGGAACAACTTGTGTTGCTGATTCTGATAATCCAGCACTTGATATTCTCCCTTATTATCTGGTGTGCGTCCTTGAATCCTCGCAGCACTGAACCGCGTCGTGATGACAGCAGCTTTCGCCATTGTCAGCGCAAAACACTCGATCATCGTCGCTCGAACGTTCACCATAGTCAAGTACACCAGCTTATCACTCTTGGGTTCGATGAAAGTCCCATCTGGTAGCACTTTCGCATACCGCATCATCATATTCTCACGAGGGATACGAATCTTGTGAAACGCACAGTATCCATTATCAACGGCATTAAACCCAACCTTGGGACCAATATCCCCCCACTTCAATCCCCGGTAGTGGTTGATGATCATCGAACGAACGAATCTGCACCAAAAAAGCCTGAACACCCACATCCTTTCCTTCCACGTACAGTCTCGCATGCACAATGGCATGATTGGCTGTCTTTCCTAGTCCTCCTGGCCACCATTTACGACTCGTCAGTGTAGGTGAGTCAATGATGAACTCTTGAGTGAATTTGTCGTAAGTTGCAACTGTCTCAATGCCCTGTACATTGGATCCATGACCAAGTTCCGTTTGAGCATAAGCTCCTAGCATCGTGTAGTTCTTGGCCAGCGGCAGCCATTTTGCACGTTGTTCATCGTCTCCTTGGTTCTCTAGTGTTGGAATGAACATGGATCGATGCACTTCTAAGGCAAGAGGTTCACCTAGTGCTTGATACAAAATCTGCTGGTCCTTTGGGTCTTCATATCCACCCTCACGCACAAGTCTTACATAGTAAAACGCCTTCTTTAGTCCAAATTCATAGCGTTCCGTGTGGTTACGGAACATCATATCACGATCCGAGAGGACTGGATGGTGTGCAATGACTTGTATGAGCTCCTTACGACGGTCATTGGCTGCTTTTCCATCACGTAAGACATTAGTAAGCACTAATGGATCAATGTCACCAGTAGCACGCTCTTTCTTGAGCAATAACGGCGCTAGATCCTTGAGTTCCATGGAAGTGGCAGTCATGGAATGATGAACTTGTCGAAATCGTTGATTGGACCGTGTCACACAAACAGCGACAGGATTTTCATATTGCATATTGTAGTACTGTATCTGACAGGTTATTAGTTTTATGTGCAAGTACAATTTGACTCATTATATAGCTTATCACGTTAATCGATCGTATTTATCATTCTATTTATTTGTACAGTAAATCTACTCTGTGACTTTCATCCTCCTACTTCCTGCTATAGTAGATTCTATTACTATATCTACAGTCTAATTACGACAACACACAAAGCTACAGCAGGCTAAATCTACTGTCCTGTTAGGACACTCAATATACAGTATCAAATCGAAGATACCTATGAACCTTAAACCTGTAGGACGAGACAAACTCTCTTAATTTGCTGTAGGAAGTAAAGTAACCTCTTGATTTCTCCTATTTTAATAAAAAGAGAATGTTAGATAGATTAATGCGAAGGACGATACTCGCAACCGTGACGCATCTATTTCAGTTCGTAGTATTTATTCTACCCGTCCTTCCAATCGTACGAACTTGCTGCAATTGTCATAGCAAGAATCGTACATTGTTACATGCTATGGTCGATGTATAATCTGATCCTTGAATCTCTCACGATACACCTATCGTCTGTTTTTCTTGCATATGCACAAAGCATTTGTTACAGTGTAAAATAGTACGACATGTCATACGACACGGACATCTCTACAACACCTCAAAGATTCTAAACAGACGTCAAAAGATGATGCTATATACCGGTGGAATAGGCACTTGAAATGTTCTGATCACATTGGCTACATATATTGATCAACAAGCTACATGCTATCATTTTCATGGCGCTTGACATCAGCATACACTGTCGATAGCTTTCGTCGCGAACACGATTTCAATCAGTTTTGAAACTACCTCGCTCTGATCAAAACAACCTCCTCCTCTTCAGTCAAATCAAAAAATATGGTTGCAATTGTGCAGTCTTCTATCGCTCTTCTACTTACCGTGGCTGCTGCGTATCTAAAGCAACAAACATTCGACAAGAGCCTCGCAATCTTGGTGGGATGATCAGGTTACCAACGAATGATCTTATTGCTACTTTGTTGGTCCGGGTCAACAACGAGCGGTTTACTTATGGATTACCTGCCATATGCTCGAACAAGAAACTGCAGGCTGCAGCACAGCGTCATGTCGAGGACCTGTCGAAGTCTGATTTTGTGTCGGACGTTGGTACCGACAACTCGACCCCTCAAAAGCGTGTTACCGACGCTGGTTACAAGTGGTTAAGTGTCAAAAGCGTGTTACCGACGCTGGTTACAAGTGGTTAAGTGTGAAGGAGAATTATGACGCCGGTGCGCCCAATATTGACACAGTCGTGGGAGCGTGGATGAAGTCTGACTGCAGCAATGAAATACTGGGCAATGACACTATGGTAGGCACAGCGTATAATGAGAATACGTACAATAAGCACTTTTGGGTCCAAGTGTATGCTACGAGTAGTTCCGAGATGTGTGATGTATAAGTGATCGATAACGTGAGTTTTAATGACAAGATCTAGTCATGTAGTAGTTCTTAATGGCACCAGCCGTATAAAAAGATATGTACTAGTATTGAATCCAGTTCTGTTGTAACTTTCTTCACTGCGCATTGTCGTCTACATTCATACTTTCTTGCGTTTCAGGACTAGCTAGACACACATTGGATTGACAGAAAGATGCGTTACACCTGAGCGATAAAGGATTCACGAATCATCATGATATCAGACAGCACTTGTTGTCCCACGAAAGCGATATGAGGTTTTCAAGATAAAAGAACAAGTAAATAACTGAAACTACGACATTGTCACCTTCAGAGCAACTCCTTCACAGGCAAAGAGAAAGTTGAAAGCAAGAGATGAATCCTATGGGATCGTGCTTTTTTTTCATCCGTATTCTTGTGAGCCAGCCCTGTACTAGTTTTTGCTTGACTGTATCATTGTGTTTTGCTCATGATGTGCGACCGACCACTCGTTCATCGTGCATTTGTGTTGGATAGACATGTCAAGCTATACTCTTGATCAAGACAAACTCTCTGGACTCATGTAATGTTGACATGTCGAACAACAAACAACTTGGTTCCCTCTCAACGAACCTTGTCAAACGCTTTTTTTCAATGTCTGCATTTCATTCTTCAATCCGTCCTCTTCCACTCAAATCAACCTCAAGTCGCTACATATGGTTGCAATCTTGCACTCTACGACCTCTCTTCTGCTTATCCTCGCTGCTGCATCCAAAGGTGTATCCAGCGACCTCGTTGAAATGACGGACGCTTACCAGGTTGACAAGGCCGCCGAACTCCTGGAGCAAAGCCAATAAAGTGCGCGCCGCTTATAACTTACCCCCCACTGTGCCTGAGCGAAAAGCTACAGAGTGCAGCACAGCGTCATGTCAACGACCAGAAGCATTCCGATTATATGTCGCACAATGGTAAGGACGACTCGACCCCTCAGAGTCGTGTTGTCAATACTGGCTTGAAGTGCCAAGATGTGAGCGAGAACATTGACTCTGGAAACAAAAATGCCAAAGATGTAGTGAACTGGTGGATGAGAAGCGAAGGTCGTGAGAAAATATTGGGAGCTTACACTATGACAGGAACGGCATACGCTTACAATGCGACACTGCAAAGCGAACACTTCTGGGTGCAGGTGTATGCCACGTGCAAGAACGAAGACTGCGACAAATGAAACTAAGCGAAAGAGCTCTTCTATTAATGAACAGATCTACAAGGTGTATACATAAGAGACCATTTACGACTGACTTCGATCAGGACGATGAGCTTTAGTGGTGTGATAATCTTACACATTCAACCACAAACTTTGTCTCGCGTTCGTATCGTCTTCACCGCTAACGTTTTGCTGGTCCTGAGCAACACAACAATGATAATGAGGATGTTCTTTACACACCAATGGAAAATTGTACAGGTAACGTCAGACTTGCAGATAGATGTGATAAGGTTGGCGTCTGCAACGCGTGTGATGATTTTGTTTTGACCAAGACCACAGGAAATGTAGAAACGCAAATTGACGCGACATATCAAATGATAATGGGCTGTACACTTGTTCTTGCGCTTGCTTTAAGTCGCCTTGTTGACATGTTTACCATCAATGGTGAAGGTTAGAGCTTTTTTTGGTGTTATTTGTAGCCTTCATGTGAATCAAGAAGACATTGACCGTAGATGTTATCTTAGTTGAAATACAATTACGGATCTCACGTTGTCTGATAGTTCTACGATTAAATGCAAGCTACAGTCAGCTACAGCCCAGTGGGCATTGCAATTAGCTATACCATACAGTGCTGACGACACTAATGCGATCGTGGCTTCGTCGCATCGAGTCGCTGTCGTAACAGAAGCCACACTAGTCTTAATCCAAGTGACTGACCAGCTTATACAACCGCATCATATAGATAAGCCTATTGTCAATCATGCGTCATCACATCAATGCGTACGTCGCATCAAATATTGCGGCCATGAACTTTTTGTGCTGCCATCGACATATACATCATCATTTTGCATGAGCATATAGATTTGCATCCATTTGACTGCATAACGTTGCGTTTTCACCTGAATGGATGCAACTCTATCCGTCACTTCTCGTATCAACTGCATTTAGTGTTCACATGTGGCACCTCGTCACTGAAAGCAGAGCCTTTCGTTCCCTATGCAACTCGAAGATCTGAATCCTACTGCGTCCTTTCAAGATATCTCCCATTATTTTTACTGATATACCAGTTGTAAACCGGTACAAACGTAACGGTTTTGCTTGTACTGGACGGCATAATTGACCAAATGAAATACCAGATCTGTGAGTTTTCCTGTCGGTTGCCTGAAAAGCGACTTTTTCTTTCGGACAGTTGACAAACGACAGCGCAATATATTGGTCGAGACACTGCTGGCCACGAGCCGTCGCATCTCCTAAGCCACCATGCCGACCACACTCACCAGGGCCGAGACCGAAGACTTTGCTACAGCCAGAGCTCTACCACAGGCCCCACAGGTTCTGGGCTCAGGCATTGCATCTCTCTTGACGTCTAATCACGACACGAAACGTCACTTCACTTTCAAACGCCTTAGTCACAAGAATGAAGTTATTGCAGAGGCTGAGAATGAAGACGCTATGGCCTTTGCATCACCTTGTTCGATCGTATCAATTGGCTCAGAAAGTACTAGTAGCTTAAATACGGAAAAGAGTATCTCAAAGCATCCAGTCGGTCCACAAGATTTTGATTTGCTCTGTGTCATTGGGCAAGGAGCATTTGGCAAAGTGATTCAAGTACGTCATCAACCAACGGATGAGATCTTGGCAATGAAAGTAAGTGTTATAATGATGAGGTGATAGTAGATTTGCATTTGTTTCTTGTAGGAGGATGACGTTTGCTGACATGAATGAGTTTTGCTGCGTAGATTGTGTCGAACAAGTACATTGTGCAGCACAATTCAGTATCCTACTTGCAAGCAGAGCGAGATATTATGACCAAGATTAACCATCCATTCTTGATTAGTCTACGGTATGCATTTCAAACCAAGTCAAATGTATACTTGGTCATGCCCTTCGTGGCAGGTGGAGAGTTGTTTCATCATTTGCATACACAAGGCTTGCTGCTCGAAAGCTCGGCTAAGTTTTATGCTGCTGAGATGGTGCTCGCGTTGGAACATTTACACTCAAAGGGTATCATTCATCGGTAAGAAAACGTGCTGCATTGCTATTGAGTTGATGGATACAACTCAATGGTGGCTGTCATGTTCTTGGTGCTGGACAGCGACTTGAAACCTGAGAATGTGCTACTTGGTGCTGATGGACACATCCGATTGACGGACTTTGGTCTTGCCAAGGAAATGGCCGATGTGAGTTGAGAGATAAGTTAGAAGAAGAGCCACTATCTTGCTAATTCTAGCCGTGCGGTGCTATAGGAAGAAGGCTCGACAAGTACCATGTGTGGCACAAACGGTAGATTTGTTGTCGCGGTTGTTTATTGTCACCCCATATGATATTCAACACTGATGTAACCTGGTTTCTTGCTTCCATATTAGAGTACATGCCACCGGAAATGATTCGTCGCAAGGCATACAACCAGGCTGTGGATTGGTGGGCTCTTGGTGCGCTTATATACGAGATGGTAACGGGTTACCCGCCATTTCGACACAAGAATCGCAAGAAATTGCATCATAAGATTTTGAACGAAAAGGTACGACCCGCATTGGTTTTGCAATGTGTTAACTCCTTGTTGTTTGCATTGACACTGACATTGACAGTTGTTGTACAGCTCGCTCTTCCTCAATGGCTTGGTCCTGATACCCATTCCATTTTAAAGCAACTATTGGAGAGAAATGTGGACAAACGTCTAGGTTCTGGTAAGTCGACCATGTTTCAAGTAAAAGGTGTGCAAGCAATCAAGAAGCACGCCTTTTTCAAAGGCATTGACTGGGGTTTGCTCGAACAAAAGAAGACGCAACCACCGATTGTGCCCAATGTAATGAGCAATACGGACACGACGTATTTTTCAGAGGAGTTTACAATGCAAGACGTTGGTCGTCATAGTCGCATTGATAATACTTCGACTGCAAGTGACGATTCAAAAAAGCTCTTTGCACGCTTTTCATGGATCGCTGATGACGCTCCAAGTTTTGCAGATATTGTTCGCAAAGGCGGATATGAGAAAGATGGGACTGGAAGGATTCAGAATGGAATGGTAAACGTTACGCTTGATGAGCATGTAAACATTCCGTAAAGGGTAAAATACATGCAGTTACTACCGAAGACGACGGTATGGTTTTTAAATACCGTGTTTTGTTATAGGTTAGATACTGGCTAGTACTCGATGCAACGATTGAATTGATTGAATTGTTTGTTTGAATTGCTGAATTGTTCATTGCAGTAGTTGAAAATGAATCGCAACAACATCATGCAGAAATGGCCGTGCTATCACACAGTTTCAAGTCATCTGATTCGATCGTGCTTTATCATGTCACATAGGACACGTGAATTAAGCTGCATCTTAGTATGGAGACTAAAGTACCCAAAATACAGTCATCCGTATCTCCTTCTCCGGACCCATTTCAAGTGTTCATAGGGCATTCGTTCACGAGGTAGAAACGTCTCTCTTCTTCTTACCATGTACAAGACCCAGTCATCATCCTATACTACTGTACAGGATGAGAAGAATCTCATCTCATCTTGTCCACCACTAGCCCAGCGTCGTACAATGTGGTTGTTTATCCGTGCATTATTGTGGAAAAATTGGAAGCTCAAGCGACGTCATCCAATTGCGACTTTGATGGAAATTGCACTGCCTTGTTTTTTTATCCTTCTTTTGGGTTTGTTGAAAGGTTTGGTGGAGGACGTTCATGTACCTGCTGGTTGGAGTGATGACGTCATCAATCTCGATGACAACGGGTCACAGGGAACGTCCTATAATCTTTTTCAACCATCTGGTACGTATTTATCCGGCATTCCGGCTAGTTTACCCAAATTTACCATGCATGAAACGTCCATTTGGGGTATTTTGGTATATATGGGTACATTATCGCTTTCCGAAGGTATGGAAATGGATGAGTTATCCTCGTCTGATTTAGCAGATTGTACCAATGGCGTCATCATTCAAGGACTCGTCGATCTCGATCCAACATCGGAGTATGCTGTACCCATTTCCTGTGGTGGTAAAGTTGTGCCGTATAAAATTGCCATTGCGCCGGATAATTTGTTTACGCGAAATTATTTCATGCAAACAATGGAATCCTGGTATCCACGAATTAATCTACTAAATACGTCATCATCTGCTTCGGTTGTTTTTCCATCGTTGATGGAAAGTGTGGAGTTTTTTGACACGGAAGAAGCATTGGAAGATTATATTCGTAGCAATGATTACGCATCCAGTCAGGAGAAGCCTTATATTTATGGTGGAATTATTTTCAATACGTACCCGACTGACGAGAATATTGGGTCCTTTCAGAATATTGAATACACTATACGACTGAATTCAACCATTGGGCGAGAAAATGCAATTGGACTCATTCCTCGAACAAGTGGTGATCCACCCGAGGTCTCACCGTTTCAAAAATCAATCAATACGGAGTCTTACTCGAGATACAGTATTACAGGTTTCATGACATTACAAACACTTGTAACAAGGTTTGTAACTTGTATGCCACTTTGGGATGCAGATACAAGAACGACAAGGGGAGAATGTCAACGTCCAGAAACAACAGCAGATGGATCAATGGAAATTAATGAGGTCCTGTTGTCATCATTGGATAATGATGTACTTATTCAAGCTGTGGTGAATAATATTGTGGATTCAGATGCTACGTTTTCAAGTTTGATTGAGTTTTTCTCGAACGAAACATTGGAGGCGTTGTTAAAACCACTACGACAAGCTCCACAACCATATCTTGGAGCTTCTGTTGCACCATTTCCGATTGAAGCTTACGTTAGTTCACCATTTTATGATCAAGTATCGGATGTATTTGCAATCATCTTTATTCTGTCATATTTGTACTCTATCTCACGGATTTTGGTTGCTTTGATTCAAGAGAAAGAGCTACGGTTGCGTGAATACATGAAGATTCTAGGCGTTCAAGAGAAAGCCATTGTTGTATCTTGGTACATGACGTATCTTGTTATTCTCTTTGTGGGTTCATCTTTACAAGCGCTTATGGGTATGGTTGGTCTCTTCTCGAACAGCTCCGTGGTGTTGATCTTTCTTTTCTTTTTTCTCTTTAGTCTAAGTGTACTGGCGTATGGTTTTATGATTAGCACAATTTTCAGTAAAGCGCGCGTTGGTGCATTTGTTGGCATGGTGCTTTTCTTTCTCATGTACTTTGTATCAACGGCATTTACGACAGAAACATCTGAAAACAAAAAGACAGTAGGCTGTTTGCTTTCTCCTGTCGCGCTCTCGCTTGGTATCACAGTCTTGTCGAACTTGGAGTCTACTGGAACTGGTGTCACGTTTTCGAACGCAGATGTCTTGAATGACAACTTTCGCTTTAGCCGATCATTGCTGATGTTTGCTATTGATACGGTCCTGTATACACTGCTAGGGCTGTATTTTGAAAAGGTTGTTCCAAAAGAGCACGGCATTACGGTGAAATGGTATTTTCCATTGTCTCCCTCGTATTGGAGGAACCGTCAACGAATTTGCAAGCCGTTGGATATTGAAGTCCCTTTTGTTGATAGCGTCTCTGTGGATGTGAATCAAAACTTTGAACCCGTGAATGTGGAGCTTTGTAATCAAGAAAAGCAGGGTGAAGTCTTGGCGGTTCAGCGGTTGCGTAAGGTCTTTCCTGTTCCTGGCGGTGAGAAGGTGGCAGTCCAAGGCCTTGACTTGACCATGTATAAGAATCAAATTACGTGCTTGCTGGGACACAACGGCGCTGGCAAAACGACACTTATCTCTATGCTGACTGGTATGATTGCTCCTTCTGGCGGAGATGCTACTTTCCGTGGCTTGTCTATTACTAAGGATATGGACAAGATTCGTGAGTCATTGGGTCTTTGTTTCCAACATGACGTACTCTTTGAAGAATTGACTGTGGAAGAACACTTGCTCTTTTTTGGACGTATCAAGGGTTACACAAAAAACGAATTGGACGATGTCATTACAAGGCAGATCCGTGAGGTTGGACTGACTGAAAAACGCCACGTAAAATCGGCTGAGCTTTCTGGTGGTATGAAGCGAAAACTGTCGGTTGCCGTGTCCCTGCTTGGTGATAGTTCGCTGGTGTTTTTGGACGAGCCAACGTCGGGAATGGACCCATATAGTCGCCGAAGTACTTGGGAGATCTTGCTGAATAATCGCAACAACCGTGTCATGGTATTGACGACACATTTCATGGACGAAGCTGACATTTTGGGTGACCGTATTGCAATTATGGCAGAAGGTGAACTACGTTGTTGCGGTTCGTCATTGTTCTTGAAGAATCGGTTTGGTGCAGGTTATAACTTGACCCTAGTGAAAGACGACGCAAGCTGCAACGATAGCGATGTAATTAGCTTTGTGACGTGTCGAGTACCAACGGCACGGTTGCTGAGCAATGTTGGCAGTGAGATTGCGTTTCAGCTGCCACTCGCGAGCTCATCGAAGTTTGCGTCTATGTTCGAGGATATGGACAATAACCTTCAAAAGCTTGGTTTGCTGTCGTACGGTGTTTCGGTGACTACATTGGAAGAAGTGTTCATTAAAGTAGCTGAATCAGGTGACCATACTAACCAGCACACGCTTGGAAACCGTGCTCGCACTGAAGCGCCTGTATCAAGCCTTGCTGCAGAAAGTGGGGCGGGTGCAATTCCTGAGCAGACAGGCTCAATGTTTATGATTCACCTCTGGGCTCTAATTCTGAAGCGGTTTCGGTATGCAAAACGTGACAAGAAGATGATATTTTACAGTTTGGCTCTGCCCATCCTGCTGCTGCTGGCTGGTTTGGGTTTGCTTCATGGAACAACTTTCACCAAGGATGACCCAAACTTGCCGTTGACCACAGATGCGTTTGACTATGGAACTGAGACCCCAACGCCTTACTTTTGTCAGCCGGGTACAACCGATGAGGACCAGTGGTGTAGCGACGCGATGGATGGCTCCTACTTTACCGATGTCTCAACCGAAGCGCTTGCGTTGCCAGAGCCATCATTCAGTTCATCCTCACCGACTGTGTTTGGCGTGACGTACACGGATCCTGTAGTGAATACTACCGGCGCCACGGGATATGGTTTACGGCTGGGCGAGGAGGTATACAAACGTGGCGTTGGCATTGCCGGAGTCGACGGCCAACTTGGTGCCTACTTGGTGCATGGAGATAGCAACACGAATCTTTTCGGCTACAACTTGTTCGTGAACACGACTGCCACACACGGTGCTATTATTTTCAAGGCACTGATGGATCAGACAATTTATCGCTTCTTCGCATCAAACTCCAGCTCCGACGCTTCCAACGTCAATCTGATGGTCAACAATCATCCATTACCGCTGACTGCAGACACGAAAGCTTTATTTGGGTCTTTCCTGGCATTTACGGCATGCCTGTTTATCTGTATTGCCTTTACTTACTACCCAGCGTCTATCGTAACATTCTTGGTGAAGGAGAAAGAGTCAAATCACGATGCAAAGCACCAGCAGTTGGTGTCTGGGGTATCGCTAGGAGCGTTCTGGCTTTCGAACTTCGTTTGGGACTTCCTGCTCTATTTGATCCCGTGCACTGCAGCGATTCTTTTCATTTATGGGTTCGGCATTGATTCAATGACCGGCGGTTCGACGTGCAACAGTTGCACGTCAGCGACGTTTCCATCCGTGATTGTGATTCTGGTCCTGTTTGGACTGGCCATCTGCCCGTTTACTTACTGCCTGTCGTATCTGTTTAAGGAGCACGCTTCGTCGCAAACGTACACGATCATGATTAACTTTGTCGTTGGTGTGGTGCTTATGGTGGTATCTTTCATTCTGGATGTGATTGAGTCGACCAAGGACGCCAACGCGGTGCTTGTGTTCTTTTGGCGCTTATCACCACCCTTCAACCTTGGATATGGACTGCTGAATCTGGTGCTTAATGAGTTGAATACGATCCGAGAAAGCGATGAGGCCAAAACGAGCCCGTTTAGCACTGACATTATGGGGTGGGAGATGATTTTTTTGTTCTTTACATCCATTTTGTACGGATTCCTGGCTGTTGGAATTGACTACGCTATGACTTTTCCAAAGATAAAGGACTGGATGAATGGCAGCGACAAGGTTCAAGACGATATTTTTGAGGAAGACGTTGATGTAGCAAACGAAGCCCAGCGTGTGGCCAATGGAGAAGCAGACAGCAACACTGTGAAACTCGTAAATCTTCGCAAAGTATATCGCGGCGGCAAGGTTGCGGTTCGTAACCTCTCGTTTGGTTTAAGACGTGGCGAATGCTTTGGTTTTCTTGGAATTAATGGTGCAGGTAAGACCACGACAATGAAAATGCTGACGGGCGATGAACTTCCTACACGCGGCACTGCGACGCTTGGAGGTTTTGATATCCTCACGCAGCAAATTGAAGTGCGTCGTCAGATTGGATACTGCCCCCAGTTTGATGCCTTGTTTGATCTACTCACAGTTCGCGAGCACTTGGAGTTGTTTGCATCGATCAAGGGTATACGTCGCTCTCAGCTAAATGACGTTGTGGAGGACAAAATCAAACAGTTGAATTTGGGAGATTTTGAACAGAAGCTCGCTGGCAGTTTAAGCGGCGGCAATAAACGTAAGTTGTCGGTAGCCATTGCCATGATTGGCAACCCACAAATTATTTTCTTGGACGAGCCGTCGACCGGTATGGACCCTGTGTCGCGTCGCTTCATGTGGGATGTCATTGCTGACATTTCGACTCGCGGCAAGAACTCTACAATCGTGCTTACAACGCACAGTATGGAAGAGTCGGAGGCTTTGTGCTCTCGTGTAGGCATAATGGTTGGTGGTCGTCTTCGTTGTTTGGGCAGTGTACAGCACTTAAAGTCTCGTTTTGGCGATGGTCTCATTTTTGACGTAAAGCTTGCCAATCCATCGCAAGACGAGCTGGACGACCTTGTGCAGCGATACTTTGGAGGCGCCGTTGGGACGGTCACTCGCGAGGATTTGGAAGATAAGTGCCGAATATTCGGAGATCACGAGCTGGCCCAACGCGTCGTAGCGTCACACTCGACGGGATACGGACTTGCCGCCATATTGGAGCGCGATGGATTCATTCAAGCGGAGACATTCCTGTCGTGGTGCATGGAGGAAACTCGCTTTGATGCACTTTTTAACTTTCTTAGCGACTCTTTTAGCCACGGCAGCGTGACGGTAATGGAGCGTCAAAATGACTTTTGCCGCTTCAAGTTGCGTGGCTCTGAGGACGAGTTACGATTATCAAAGGTCTTTGCCATGATTGAAGACATCAAGGAGAACATGCACATTCGAGAATATAGCGTCTCGCAGACATCGCTGGAGCAGATTTTCAACTATTTTGCTTCTCAGCAGGCTGAGGAAAAGGGTGTAGCTCGAGGTTTTCAGGGCGGGAATTAATCATACCAAAGACACACAAGGGAGGTAGTGCATATCTTTGCTTGATCGCGGATGATTCAGTAGCTGAGCTCATATGGACTACGCTGCCGAATGCAACTACTTGAATTGTAATGTATCTTAATGACGTGGTAAAATTGGATCTGGACAGCTTTTTTGGTGATGTTCGGTGGCATGTTTCACTGGAAATATTGCAATGCAGGCGTGACACTTAATATCACATACTCCTCACACGAACTGGGCATTGACTAATGCATTGATCCAGTGCAGTCCAAGTTGTCTGTCTTTGCCTCATCTCGACATGTGAGAATCTTGCTACAATAGCTGTTGACGTCGTTGTAGGTACAACATCCACTTAATAATGGCTACAGAATACAGTTCACGTGAGACTAAGCAGTTTCACTTCAAAAATGAATAAGCATGAAACGACATAGTGTACAGCTTTACTATTGACTCTGTCTGTACCTGCAGAAATAAATGTCTTAAATGACTGAGCCAGTAGAAAGTCAAGCCAGCGCGTTTTTATGCGACGTGTGAAATTTTCTTACTTCAAAGCGTTACAACTACTTCAAATACTTGTTTAGCTCACCTTGTTTTGTCACCACTTTGCATATAAACTTCCATACTAGCTAGTTTTCTATACCGTGTTATGTAAAAAAGAACAATCCAAGAAACAATCAAATTCACGGTGCAAAGGTCAGACTCGAATGTTTCGATAGTCAAATCTCTCCACCTCTTTGTGTCCTTCTCTCTATTTATCTATAATACCACAACGTGATCCGTGGAAAGTTTACAATCTACCAGCCTCCTTTTTATCCCCAGTACCAGTTTACCAGTCCTACAGCCGGTAGCAAAAAAACCCGTCTTTTCACAAACCTGTGCAAACATATCAATTTGCATGTTTTAGTTTATATTAATTATTACAATACCTCAATCAATCACCCCATTATTATGTCTCTTTCGATCACAATACAAACAAATCCAAACCAGCCAAATATCACATTTGACAATTCATCTGTTCTCCTAAGCGTCACGTACAATCACTACAAATCTCGACGTAGTGTGAATTACGTACCCTGTCATAACGTCAGTTGACGACAAGTCATTGCTCAAGCAGTAGCAGTAGCTGTCCATTCATTCATCCATCCATCCATCCATCCTCTTCCTCCCTCTTCATTTCATATACTCCCTACTATAATCCAATGAGTTCTCAAGCCACAAATCCTCCTCCTCCTCCTCCTCATGTAATCGAAGAAAAGACTGGTGATGGTGTCTATGTAACTAAAAATCGATCTCTCTTTTCCATGTGGTTACATGGTAAAACACTTCCGCCTCGTGCTGCTACTGCTGCTGTGGTCTTTCGTTCGGCAGATGTGATTCAAGAAGGTTATTTACTTAAACAGGGTCTTCGATTTAAACTCTGGAGTCGACGGTATTTTATCCTACGATTAGAAGAACGACACATGACTTTAGGCTATTATACCAATAAGGATTCGTTAATATTATGTGCAGAAACACCAATTGGACCTGGACATTTCTTAGGACAAGTCAATACGCTGAAATATCCCTATCGTCTGGAATTAAAATGTGGGACAAAAGTCATGATCCTAGAAGCTGAGGATCAAAGGACGTATCAAGCATGGAAAAATGCACTTCAAGAAGCCATTCGATGGAATCATGCGATGGTACCAAGTAAAGATGGTAGTGGTTGTTTTATTACCTATGGGAAACAAGCATCGGAAGATCAGAAACAAGAAGAACAAAGTCGTGCTGAAGCGGCCAAGAAATTGCGTGAAAAACAACGCGCGGATGAAATTGCAACGGCTGCAATGAATGCAACGAATAAACCCAAGTATCTACCAGCCACACGACCGGGGATTCAATGTTTTATGACATCAAATACGAAATTTGAAATTCCAGCGTATTTTGAATACGTGAAAACCATTGGATCTGGTGCCTATGGTGTCGTGATTTCGGCGGCAAATTCAAGAACTGGCAAAACCGTTGCTGTCAAGAATATCCAACGTGCATTTGATGATTTAACCGATGCAAAACGGATTGTGCGGGAAATTAAACTCATGCGACATTTGAATCATAAATGTGTCCTAGGTGTGGAAGATATTTTTGAACCCGTGGCATTGTCAAAATTTGAAGACGTGTATATTGTATCACAGTTAATGGCAACGGATTTACATCGCGTTATTTACTCACGACATGCACTTTCCGATGAACATATTGCGTTCTTTATGTATCAAATGTTGTGTGCCATGAAATACGTCCACTCGGCGAATGTGATTCATCGTGACTTGAAACCATCAAATGTACTTGTTAATGCTAATTGTGAACTCAAGATTTGCGATTTTGGACTTGCACGAGGTGTGTTTCCAGAAGAAGAGCTGGAGTTGACGGAATATGTTGTCACGCGATGGTACCGTGCACCGGAGATTATGCTGGGATGTATGAAGTATAAATGTGAAGTGGACGTTTGGTCAATGGGTTGTATTTTTGCCGAGATGATGTCACGTAAGCCACTATTTCCAGGACAGGACTACATTGATCAGCTGCATTTGATCATGAATGCTTTAGGTGCACCAAATGAACAGGAATTGTGTTTTCTTACCAATGCACGTGCGCGCAAGTTCATGAACGCTGAGTTTCAAAAGCGTGGACCGAAACCCACCAAGTCGCTTGCGCAAATGTTTTCAGAATCGCCGCCAGACGCGCTGGATTTATTGCAAAAGATGTTGGTAATCGACCCGAAAAAACGAATTAGCGTAGATGATGCACTTGCGCACCCGTACTTGGCTTCGATTCGCAATGTGGAGGAGGAGACGACGGCCACATCAAGCTTTGACTTTGATTTTGAGAACGAAAAGCTGACGAAGCCAGTGCTGCAGAAGCTAATCTGGGACGAAATGAGACATTTTCATCCCGAGGTTGGCGATGGCATCAGTGCAAGTGCTACTGGTGACGAAGCAGACAACGACAGCCTTGCCACGACGCAAGCGTCTGTCACACCTGTGACCCCTGCTCCGGCTGAGCAGAGCAAAGCGGGGACTTGCAAAGCTACAGCTAGCACCACAACCACTGACGGTAAAGTGTCAGTGCTTGCCGCAGAGGAAGTGAAGGTGAACGATGATGGTGATGCTGCACGCTGTGTTGAAGAGAAACAGAGTATTAATAGTGACCAGAAGGTTGTAAGGACAAGCATTGACAGCAACGAACTCACAGACGCTCAGACGCGGCAAGAGGCTGGAGAGCCGGCACGAGAAGTTGCATAAGAATCAGCACTTGCGAGCAAGACTTTGTCAATGTGTGTGCGTACGTATATTCTGAATATGGAAGTCAATCCGAGAAAATATGGCTAAGGTTTTGCAGCCCAATAGAACGCAAACTGATTTGAAAAGAGGGGTGTGTCTTTGAATATGACATCACATTTCAGTGTCACTGAAGACGGCATTGCCATACCTAAGTAGCTTCGAGATAAGATGGAGGGGGCTATGGTTACCTCGAGCATGATGGAGTACAAGACATGAAGCAAGAGGGATTGTATTGGTGTTGGTCGGTGTGGTGGCGAGGTGGTCTGCATTGAGCAGCAGAAAATATTTCACTCGATATCGTAAGCTTCTAGCTGACCATGAAGACTATCTCGTTAGCACAAGATAGAAGCGGTGCATTGTTTTCACGAACATGTCATGCTCGTTTGAAGAATGGAGGACTCCGGACAGATCGGACGCAAGCCATAGCGGTAGATCATGAACTACCTTTGAAGGTTGGATAATTGGACGATGGACAGGTTTTCAGACGGCTAAAGCATAACGTAAAGTTTTTTCGCTACTTGTGAAATTTGAGCGCAACGAAGCGGATGGCTGCATGTCAGTGCTGCTTGAAGGAAGCGATCTGCAGTTGCTCTAAGGGGACACGCACGCGCTGCTCCGTTTGAAGCTGCTTGGAGTCGTCGATCAGCTGAGAGATTGAGCTTTCCTTGTTTGCTTTGGACTCAACTACATAGTAATTGGCTTTGATGACCAAGTGAGTTTGGGGGCACGATTCGTGAAACGCCAATAACGATAACTTTCTTCACTTATACGCAAGGGAAGCAAGCTCGTCGCGTCAGCGATGCAGACGCAATCAGGTAGAGAAGTAACCTCAAGCAGTAGAGCATTTACTGCACATGCAGTGGTATTTGGAAGAGAAGTCACACGTTTGGACAACGTTATATTCCCGCATCGCTCGAGTCTTTTCACAGTTTTTTTGGAGCTGGTCACACTGCTGCTGTTTGATCAAAAAGCATTTGCAGCAGCACATGATTCAAGCTCAAAACTGTGTTGTGCTGGATTATGGGGATCTTCGCAGAAAAGTGTTGATCATCAAGCTGCTAGAGCGAGTTTCCTTGTCCGATTTGCTTGCTAAAATGGTGAAACAAAGTGACGCAAGCATGAAATCTAGCTTGTAATGGATGGACGGAAGGACGACCAAGACGAGAGGAGTGAGCTACCAACCTACCTATTGTGCGTCATGCGCGTACAGGAATTGAGACAGAGGCTATTGCTGTAGCATGGCTGTCATAGCCTTACAATCTACACGACGAAATCGCGATCTGCTGTATACAGTCATTCCGCTCATAACACTGTTTCCTCAAGTTCCATGAATGAATAATGTGCACCACCAGATTTGATACACCAACTCTTCGCCTTCAAAGGGCTAATGATATTGAGAACACCACCTGAAAGTAGCGCCAAATAGCCATCACCCTCAACATTTCCAAGTTTACATTCACGTGCGTAACAGTTTGCAGTAGATATGAGAAGCTAGTAAGAACACAACAAACAACAACAACACACTTGTACCATCCATAAACCATCCACTCAAACCTTGTCACAGTCGCAGTAGAAAAAAACATTCCACCACGACATTTCTATTCAAAAAGGAATCAAAAGACCCAAAAGATCCAAACTTTCATACCAACTTGGATCTCTTCTTTCTCTCTCTTTTTTTTCCAGAAAAAGACCCACTCGACCTAAAAAACCCAATGGTCTTAAATGACAGCACGATATGTAACATAACGTCCTGCGGTCTCCGATGGTCGAATAATCTTGACAACTTGTCCACGTGTCATTCCATAATATCGCGCAATTGGATCCGTCACTTGCATGCGTGGTAATTGGGAATCACGGATACGATAACGTTTCAATAATGCTGCTTTTTCATCTCGTCCAAGCACACGATGGACTGGTACAAGTGTATGTTCTGTAATATCCACAAGTAATTCCGTTTCTTTAAAATGTTCAATTTTATATCGTGGTGCCATTTCATTCAGTGCTTGGCGTGCAAATGGTGTAATTCCTTCTTGAACAATTAAAATTGCCTTGGTCACATTTTCATCTTTCATGCGATTACAATAATTTCGAATGGGTTTTACACCCACTTTTGTATCTTCGGGAAAAAACACAAATAAATTATCACTTGGATCATCGATTTTTTCCACCAGGATAGTCATCATTTCACGAGTGGGATTTTCACCAAACTATATTCATTTATACAGGGAATTGAGACAAAACAACCAAACAGACCGATTTGTAAGAATGTATGTAATGAACGGAGTATAGGAATGAAGGGTATCAGTTATGAGAGCTATTAATATCAAAAACAACAATAAAGAGAGAGAGAGAGAGGAGAGAATCACATACCTGGCCTTGAAAAGCTTCGGGTGTCATGACTAATTCATTCTCACTGACTATATAACCACGATTATGCAACATTTTAACAGTTGTCTTACGTACACGATAGAGTCGAGATGCATCGGGTGTTAGTTCAGACATTGTATGGATATGATAACAATATAGAGTGGGTGGGGTTTTCTTAGAGATGGAACGAGGGGAGAACCAGTGATTGAATATCGTATTTTGATTGGGTAATATTAGCAAGATGAGGCCTGAGATGTGTACGTGAGTTTAGTGACATAAGCCGTAGGAATAGTAGTGGTTAATACTACTTATGATATGTATGTCATAGTTGAATACGAGTACTACAAATACCGTGATGAACCGTATGATAGTACTCCTTTTTCTTTTGCTGCCGAGCTACGTCTAAACTCAAACGATATGGAATGAGTGAGATCTTTGTCATATCCGACACTAACGTCCCTCTTTCGCTCATTATCGGCCCTTGTGTTGATTAAACTTCAGTATATTGAAGACCTGTCCATTGTATGTAATTGTTGTGATTGATATCGATTATTTTTTCATCGATCTACGTCATGGCAATGCTGCTCTTAAGCCCCACACACAGTCTGTTCTTATACAAACACGCGCGTCCTTAGTCGGCTCAATGACTAGGTATCAAATGACGCATTGATTATTGCATCAATATTTGCCTTATGACGCTTTAACCTTTGTGCCTTATTACTTGAGTTACACAATAAACGATTATGACTGGACGCTATCGTGACGAATAGTCCGTATCTTGATGCAAACTTATCGGTATGTGTTCGGTAGCCACTGCAACAAATTGTAAAAGACACATCAGATCAAGACTATTCATGTGTGGCGTGTACCAACGACCCCATATTGCAAGCGACGTGGGCGTAGGACGAACACATTGGACACTTTGCATAAAGTTTGCAGTTTAGTAGCATGATAACCTCGATCAGATAAGCACTTGCTCAATTGACATGTGTATTGCTTTGTTGACAGCCATAGTAAGCATGATCAAGAAGCTCGAAAAGTTCCAAGGATCGCGTATGACAACATACAACTACAACACCTTTAACGGTCAACGGTAGGTACATCAGATCCTGAACATACACTCTTAGGATGTACCTTCATTCAACATTCTTCCTTTTTTGATAAAACTTTACAGCTTACATGCTTTCACGTACACACTTGTATTTAGTAAGTGGACACGGCGGATATGATCCACTTACTGAACACAAGTCGAAGCTAGACGACAAAACTTACAAGAGTCCTGCGGTGCTTTTTGCGCGAAGTCTTGATGTGTGACAAATGAGGCACAATAATCCACAACTTGCATTGTCCATAGCTCTTACAAAAGCATCAAAGCTCTTACATGGGCATTCTTGCCATCCAAGTGTCGGTCTTTTTATGTTGTGGTCAGTATTGGCACTGCACTGTATTTACTTGGTTAGTAAAGCAGCATACCTCAAGGCGGATCTTTCGTATCAACCTGTCAGATCGCAAGGCGACTTGCTATAATGTGCGACCCCATTGTTTCGTTAGCGACCACGAAGTCACACGAAGGGCCTGTGTATATCCTGCAATCTACTCGCATCAATCTCTCTTCTTCGCACTCACAATGATATTCTTCATATAAGTCTAGTGCTGTCGTTGACCTACGAGCAACACAGCCTGATATATTACTTCACGATACGCCACAATAAAGCTAAGACACGCAAAATGCGCGTTTACACCCGTGCCCACAAACAAAGCGCTGTTCCAACCACAACGCGCATCGTACAAATAAACACATCAAGTATATTTTACATCGACCTGCACTCCCAGACGGCTTATTCCGCAAAAACGTCACGCACTCAAAATCTACCAAAGATACAACCACTACCCAATCCTCCAATCTACATCGCTGCTTCTCCTTTAATTCACCACATCACGCTGCGCTTGCCCCACGTAATGCACAGACAAGCGGCTTACTCTTTACCGACACAAACTAATCTGTAGACGTAATCGGAGATAAGGCAAAACGGCATCCCCACTCATAGTATTTCTGCCCATTATTCACGACGTTGCACTGCTATAACAACCTGCATTAACCCTGTGCATCCACCGCCAATATCCCATCTACCTCGAGTCACTTGCGTCCTTGACCGCAAAAAGCGAAAAGAGAAGAAAAGAGCTTGACGCAGACACGGCGCACGAGCACCACGCATTTGACATCGTCCTGTCTCTGTTACGTGACGCGTCTGGGCGTCTGCTGACCATTAGCCTTTTACTTGGTATTTGTATGCAATCAATCTCAGACCTGGCCTTTTTTTCTCGAAAAAATCAAAAAAAAGAGTTTGACTGGTATAAAGTAAGTGGACAACTCCCATGGCGCATCACACCCTATCCTCCACATTGATTGGCCAACACGTCCGCTCTTCCTCCACTTACTCAAGTCAAGTGAAAATAGTCCCCACCACACCTTCCTTGACAGCGTATTGCTACGTCAAATGGAGCCAATATGATGACTTTGACATTTGCCACCAAGAACACACTACCTACACACTCTTGTGCCAATCACTCGACCATCCAACTTCAACAACAACAGTCAGTAACCTCACAATGTCATCGGTCACTTTTTCGGAGCATGTTGGCCCAACAACAACAACGACACGTGCACCGGTCTTATCACCAGTTGCGGCTGACGTATCGGGTAGTATGGAGAATGCAATTTGTGGTACATTAGAACTAGCAGATGGTACCACGTATGCCGGTTATTCCTTTGGTGCGATGAAAAGTATTTCCGGTGAAGTGGTTTTTAATACCGGTATGGTTGGTTATCCGGAAGCATTATCTGATCCATCCTATTGTGGTCAAATTTTAGTCCTTACGTACCCATTAATTGGAAATTATGGTGTTCCAGATATGACAATTAAGGATGAATTTAACTTACCAAAATATTTTGAATCTAGTAGTGTTCAAATCGCCGGCCTGATTGTATCGGAATATTCGTTTCAACATAGTCACTGGAATGCTGTCCAATCACTTGGTCAATGGCTACAAGACCATGACATTCCTGCTTTATTTGGTATTGATACACGAATGATTACGAAACGAATTCGTTCACTTGGTGCAATGCTTGGAAAAATTGAATTTCAAGGTCAAGTTGCTGAAATTCAAGACCCAAATCAATTGAATCTCGTGGCTCAAGTGACGACGAAACGTCTTGTAGTGTATAATGAAGGCGCATCACCTCGGATTATTGCATTTGATTGTGGCATGAAACACAATATTATCCGGTATTTCGTGGCCAAAGGGGTTGAATTAACAGTCGTGCCCTATGATTATGACTTGGTGCATTGTGATTTGGCATATGATGGAATTTTCATCAGTAATGGTCCTGGCAATCCACTCATGGCTTCAAAAACCATTGAAACCATTCGATGGGCTATTCACCTTGAACAACCAAAACCCATTTTTGGTATTTGTCTTGGAAATCAGATTCTAGCACTTGCTGCTGGTGCAACGACGTACAAGATGAAATATGGTAATCGTGGCATGAATCAACCGTGCATTGATATGCGCACAACGCGTTGTTATATTACACCACAAAATCATGGCTATGCAGTGGATTCCAACTCCTTACCTGATGGATGGAAAACCTTTTTTATGAATGCCAATGACAAGTCGAACGAGGGGATTATTCATGAACATAAGCCGTTTTTCTCAGTACAGTTCCATCCAGAGGCTTGTGGTGGCCCCACGGACACGGCGTTCCTTTTTGACATGTTTTTAGAAAAAGTGAACAACGCTCCACCAAAACTTACGGTCATGGATACGTCCTTGTACGACCGTCCGACGTTTTCCAAGGTGCTGTTGCTAGGATCGGGTGGTCTGTCGATTGGTCAAGCTGGTGAATTTGACTACTCTGGCTCCCAGGCTATCAAGGCGCTGCGTGAGGAAGGCGTGCATGTCATCTTGGTGAACCCAAACATTGCTACCGTGCAGACGTCCAAGGGCCTGGCTGATAAGGTGTACTTTGTACCTGTGCGTGCTGAGACGGTGCTGGAGATTATCAAAAAGGAAAAGCCTGATGGCATTCTAGTGAGCATGGGTGGCCAGACCGCTTTGGCTGTCGGTATTGAGCTGTACTTGAATGGTGACCTCGATCGTCACAACGTTCGCGTCATGGGAACGCAAATTGAGTCCATCATTGATACTGAGGATCGTGAGAAGTTTTCGGCAAAGCTGGATGAGATTGGCGAGACTATTGCGTTAAGCCACCCCGCTACGACCGTTGAGGGTGCGCTGAAGGCCGCAAACGACATTGGCTACCCTGTGCTGGTGCGCTCTGCTTTCGCTTTGGGTGGTCTTGGCTCAGGATTTGCTGCTAACGACGAGGAGCTGCGCATTTTGGCTACCAAAGCGCTTCACGGTTCGGCTTCGAAGGGATCGATCAAGCAGATTTTGATTGACCAGGATCTGCGCGGATGGAAGGAGGTTGAGTACGAGGTTGTGCGTGATTCCAAGGATAACTGCATCACGGTCTGCAATATGGAGAACTTTGATCCGTTGGGTATCCATACGGGTGACTCCATTGTTGTTGCTCCCTCACAGACGCTGTCGAATAGTGAGTACTTTAAACTCCGTTCGACTGCACAAAAGGTGGTTCGTCACTTGAACATTGTCGGCGAGTGTAACATTCAATACGCTTTGGACCCACACTCGGAGCGTTACTGCATCATCGAAGTAAACGCTCGTTTGTCCCGTTCCAGTGCTCTTGCCTCTAAGGCGACGGGCTACCCACTGGCCTACGTCGCGACTAAGATTTCGCTCGGCATCGACCTCGTCTCTATCAAGAATAGCGTGACGAAGACTACCACGGCGTGCTTCGAGCCTAGCCTAGACTACTGTGTTGTCAAGATGCCGCGATGGGACCTGAAGAAGTTTTCGCGTGTGTCTAACGATCTTGGTAGCTACATGCTGTCGGTGGGCGAGGTGATGTCAATCGGTCGTAACTTTGAGGAGTGTATCCAAAAGGCTGTGCGAATGGTGAACCCGAATCTGGACGGCCTGGATGGCAACGTTGTCGACAATGAGACGAACCCTGAGGTGCTTGATGCTCAATTGAGTCACCCTACGGACGAACGTCTGTTCTACGTCATCTCAGCGCTCGACGCTGGCTATACGATTGACCGCGTACATGAGCTAACAAAGATTGACAAGTGGTTTTTGTCAAAGCTGGCTCGCATCTCGACGCTCCGTCAGTCAGTGCCCAAGTTTACGCTGGACACGTTGAGTGAACGCTACATGCGCACGCTGAAGGTGAACGGTTTCTCTGACCGTCAGATTGCTGCCCAGCTGCCGAACGCCACTGCTATGCAAGTGCGTGAACGCCGTAAGGCTCTGGGCGTCTTGCCCTGTGTGAAGCAGATTGACACGTTAGCAGCTGAGTTCCCGGCTCAGACGAATTACCTGTACATGACATACGGCGGCTCGGAGGATGATATCCCGACGAGTGAGGAAGCCATAGTTGTGCTTGGCTGTGGTGCGTACTGCATCGGTTCATCGGTGGAGTTTGATTGGTGCGCTGTGAGCGCTGTGCGCACGGTCCGCGAACTTGGCAAGCCTGCCATTGTGGTGAACTACAACCCAGAGACCGTCAGTACGGACTACGACGAGAGCGACCGCCTGTACTTCGAGGAGCTTAGCCTGGAGCGCGTGCTGGACATCTGGGACCGTGAAAACCCGGAGGGTGTGATTGTGTCTGTTGGTGGACAGATTCCAAACAATTTGGCCATGCCGCTGTCCAAGGCCGGTGTAAACATCCTGGGTACGGATCCCAAGAGCATTGATCAGTGTGAGGACCGAAACAAATTTTCGGCGCTTCTGGACACGCTCGGCGTTGACCAACCGCGCTGGGCGGAAGTGAAAGAGGTGGAAGCTGCCTTAGATTTTGCTCAGGTGGTGCAGTATCCTGTGCTTGTTCGCCCGAGCTACGTGCTTTCAGGTGCCGGTATGATTGTGGCCTCGGACGAGAGCCAATTGAAGGCCTATCTGAACAGTGATGCCGTTAAGATTTCGCGCTCGATCAGTGTGTCGAAGTTTATCTTGAACGCCAAGGAGATCGAGTTTGATGGTGTTGCTAAGGACGGTGCCATTCTGAACTACGCCATGTCGGAACACGTGGAGAACGCTGGTGTGCACTCCGGTGACGCTACGCTGGTGCTGCCCGCCCAAAAGTTGTACGTTGGTACGATCAAGCAGGTGAAGCGCATTGCAAGCGCCATTGCCCAAGCGCTAAACATCACGGGTCCATTCAACATCCAGCTGATGGCCCGTGACAACGACGTCAAGGTGATTGAGTGCAACCTTCGTGCCTCGCGTACGTTCCCGTTCATCTCCAAGACGTTCGATTTGAACTTTATTAACCTGGCGACCAAGGCGATGATCGGCCTGCCGGTGAAGTCAGTACCAATCGCTTTAATCGATATCGACTACGTCGGTGTAAAAGCGCCTCAGTTCTCGTTCACGCGTCTGCATGGTGCCGACCCGAGCCTAGGTGTTGAGATGGCCTCTACTGGTGAGGTGGCCTGTTTCGGCACAGACATGCACGAGGCGTACCTGAAGGCGCTGCTGAGCGCTGGCTTTAAGATGCCGAAGGAGAAGAAGGTGCTGATCTCAATTGGCAACCACGACATTAAGCGCGAGTTTGCGGAGGGCGCTCTCATTCTGCAGGAGCTGGGCTACACGATCTACGCTACGCCTGGGACGCATCAGTATCTGTCCACGCACGGCGTCAAGAGCATTGAGCTGCGCAAGCCTTCGGATCCGGAGAGCGACCTGCCAAGCGTGATTGACTACATCTCATCAGGCAAGATTGAGCTTGTGATTAACGTGCCCGAGGGATTGAACAGCGAAGAGCTAACGAGCGGCTACAAGATTCGTCGTGCCGCCGTGGACTTTGGCGTCTCCCTCATCAACAACATCAAGTGTGCGCTACTCTTTGCGCAGGCCGTGCAAAAGGTGCGCAAGCTCGAGATCTGCAACATCTCCGAGTACTATGCCATGCCAACGATCGGCTGGCGCCCGGGCCAGAAGCTGACGGCTCGTAAGATGTCCATTTTCTAAGCTGTGACGTATGTGAATAGACTGAAGTCACTACCCTTAAGCTTGTATTGATTGTTGTGTGCATGTAAATCTCTTCATTTTTACTTGGAAGCACTGTTCCAGCATTTATTTCCATGGCTTACACTTGTTTGCATGCTTTACCATCGGTCGTTGTGGTCGACATGAAAGAAGCAGAAAACGTGCTGTGAACTCCAAACAGGCCAACGAATTACCTCTCTTGTCATTACTTTCTTTACTCGTTGGTTCGTCGTTATCAACACGCAAGGGTACTACATCCAGTTCTTGTCTTTGCTGAGCTCCAAAACCGCGCTTAGGCACAGCTTGCTGCAAGCAATGCCACGTGCGCCTTGATCACCTTGGCCGTCTGTTCCACTGCCAACCGAGACTCGGCAGCAGAGATCCAATCCTGCGAAACCTGAGCAGGGAGGCCTGACAGACCCTTCATCTCCATGACGGCCTTTTCAATATCACCCGCCTTCACAGCAAATTCCGCGCGAGACAATATTGCATCAGTGTCCGTGCCCTCAATCGGACCTCCAGGTGGGATCATTAGCAGCGACAACGCGGTGCCAAACGCCTGACCAATGATTCCACTCTTCTCCGGCACCAAAGCAGCACGGTGGCCGACAGTCTTGACCACCTTAAAGCGATCCTGAAGCTGGCTCACAGAAGGCGCACCCTGCTCGATTACGTCCTGTGGCAGCGACTTGACGGCTGCTTCGATGAACGAGTCGTTTCTCGCTGCCTCACGCAATGCACGGATCTCGCTACGCAGCGGGGCCGCAGCCTCTATGCGGTCCGAGAGTGCCAGTGCTGCCATGGATGCCTTGTGTACACGGTGGCTAAACGCCTCGTAAGTCGACGAATTGTCCAAAACCGTGCCAATGGCGCGCAGCTCGGCGCGGTAACTCTCAAGCTGTTGCACCCGTTTCTCACGCTCACCTACTAATGTCTTATGCATTTCCGACTTTGCGTCCTCAAGCTGCTGAGTGTAACGCTCCTCAATCGCCTTGCTCTCGCGGGCAAAAGTACGTTGCAGCTCTGACAGTAACCTTGCACGCTGCTGGTTCACATTGCGAGCTAAGTCGTCAGCATATTGCTTTTTGAGAGCAGCCATCTCCTCGCGCAATTGGCGAGATAACAGCTCCTGCTGCAAACGTAGCTCGCGGGCGAGCAGTTCCTTATGCAACTCGTCTTGGCGACGCAGCGCTTCAGCGCTCTTCTTCCGGGCATCCTCCTCCATGTGGCGAAATGATTCCAACATACGCACAGCCTCCCATTTCGAACGGTGCTTCATCTCTGTCGCCAATTGTGCGACGCGGATCGCAAGCGCATTAGCGTCGAGCTCCTGCAATAGTGGAGCATACGTATCAACACTTGCTACCAGTATCCATAATTTGCATAATACGCACATTGACTCCTGACAAATACTGCTTGTCCATTTCCGCCGCTGCGGCATCCGACTCGGCCTTCAGCGAGCTGAGCAGATCGTTCTGTAAGTAACAAAGAACGTCCTTAGCATCAAACATGACATTACGTATCATCAGTACATACAACGTACGGTTGTGGCCTGAATCTGCTTATCCATTTGATGAATGAGATGGTCCGGGCTGGCCTCACTAGCCAACGCAGCAATCTTCTCACGAGCCTTATCCGTGGCCGCGTCCACCTCTCTCTCAACAGCAGTCGTGGCAGCGGCCATAGCAGCTGCACCTGTCTTAACCTCCTTCTTCACCTTCTCCTCAACATGATGTACCGTATCCTTCACCTTCTCTTCAACATTATGTACCGTATCCTTCACCTTCGCACCCACCGATTTTTTCGCCTCCACTTCTTCCTTCAGCTTAGCAGCCTTCTTTTCCGCCTTTTCAGCTTTCTTTGCCACCTTCTCCGCCTTCTTCTCCGCCTTTTCCAACTTCTTCTCCGTCTTAGCCTCTTCCTTCTCCTTCTTCTCCTTCTTTTCCATCGTTTCCTCCTTTTCCTCCTTCTTCTTTTTCTTGTCCTTCTTCTTTTCTTTCTTCTCCTTCTTGTCCGTCTTATCTTCTTCCTTCTCTATCTTCTCCTCCTTCTCCTTCTCCTCCTCCTTCTCCATATCCTCATGTCCCTTAACAATAAACGCACTCAATTCCTCTGGCAATCGTTTCTTCTCCTCCATCCTCATCCTCATCCTCATCCCATCCTTCCTCCCAATTGTCTCTTGACCCAATACAAGCTCACGAAATCGAATCCATTGTTCATTTTCCTTCAAGATCGTTGGATTCCACTCTGGATTTTGTTTCAGATACAACATTGTAGCGCCAGGAGCAGATAAAAAACCGAGTGCAAGTAATTTATAAAGTGATGAACCTGTACTTGAGTCCTTTACGCTCATACTAGACGGTGTCTTGACAGTAGATGATGCATGACTTGGAAGCTTTACACCAGTAGATGGTATTGTCGTCTTGTGTATAGTATTAGAAGGAGGAGGGACACTCAACATACGCCGATGGATAGAAATTACGCGCCCGGCGGGGGCACATGACCGAGAGACCTGACGTAGCATTTCACGCGATAGATTACGTCGAGGGGGTAAATTATTTTGTAATTTGAGCTCAATTTTGGTCCAAGGTTTTTGAGTTTTCGTTTTAGGCCATTGATGTTATTTTATGTCGTAAAACCATTTAAACACTTTTATAAAACAGCATGTGGGAAAGGGGAAAATGCATTTTAAGCAGAACGCAATGGTCGTGCGATTCTGTTTCATTTTAATTGGATAAAAGCAATGTTACTTCACAAACCAGATGTAGAAAGTGTACGTTTATTTGTTCAATTGAATTTGTTTACTATCGATGGATTTGATACATTTTTTGGGGTAGGCGCGATTTAGGCACTTAAGATGTATTTGACTGAGTTTGTATACTTTTTTTTATACGGACAATGGTTAGAATGGATTAAAGTATACGCAAATGATTGATACAGACATGGATATCGACTAGGCTTTATTGGGTGGGAATACGGATATGAGTGATTAAAACCTATTGAATGCATTCCACATTATAGCAAGTGTGTTTTGAGACATCCACTATAGTACTTTAAGTACTACTTTACTATGCTCTAACAGTTCTGTTATTACTGGTGGTGGTTTGGTCGTGATAGAAGTATACTGCTAGTACATTATCAGTGTATACAGCTGTATCAAAGAAGCTGAAGGTTCCACTGGAAAGGACTCTGTTACTGACAGAGTTGTCACAAGTAGAGACGCAAATGATGATGGAATCATGGTGACATTGCCATTACAATCACCGGATGCCAAGTCTTGTCCGTTTCTGGTACAATTTGTCAAAGGTGAACACATTGTATGATCACAATGATCAAGAGTCTTCTTACCTCTGTGTGTGTATCTTTCTTAACTATGCCATATACACTGTTTATCGTCAAGACTTGCTAAACGTTGACCAGTGTCTTGACCCCACTGGACGATGCTTTGGTCCCGTCCGCATACTATTTTCTCACATTTTCTACGAGTCTGAGCTGTCGTTTGCAGTGGTGAACCTAAAGCCAATTGTACCAGGTTTGTGTCCAAAGCTCTATGTTAATATGATGTGGATGAGTTGTTGTTATCGGGTGTGGTGCTGTTACGCAGGACATGTCTTGGTGGTGCCGAAGCGACCAGTAGCACGCTTTGAAATGCTAGATGTGGATGAAGTGCGCGACCTGTGGACCACTGCCCAGGTACGAACAGCATTAGAAGTTAGCAATCGAAACAATTTGTATATGGCAATTGATTGTTTCGCTTTGGTAGCTGGTGGGCAAGCAAGCAGAGCGTCATTACAACGCATCTTCTCGCACCTTTGCAATCCAGGTAAATCCTCGCAGTCATATATTCCAATACTCTTTGAGTGTAAACTAACGGTGCCACGTCGTTACGTTGCAGGATGGCAAGGAAGCAGGTCAAACAATCTTACACGTGCATATTCACGTCATTCCACACATGGTGCAAGATTTTTTCAATGCAATGACGACATTTACACAGCAGTACGTATGTCATCATCATTTTTGTCATTGCTAGTTAGTTTTCAACTTGTTTGTTGCAATCATCAGATTGAACAGCACGAACAAACTTTAGACGTCGATAACAAGATACAAACAGGATGCTCTGAATGCGACATGACATCCGAGGCGACACTTCTTCGTATGCGCTTTTCATCAGCCATTGTCAACCATTGATTGATTGAATGAGTGAGTGACTCATTGACTTTGACAAGCAAAGATGACGTCACACATCAAGTTGAAGTGCTCTTGACCAATCAAAGGGTTTGAAATCTTCACGCTTTCCGGTTGCTAGTATACATACATATACACCCCCCTACACTCTGAGTTAAATTCCTTGAATTCCCTTTTCCCTCTCCTCCTCCTCCTCCTCCTCCCCCAACGGGAAACCACAACTTTTTATCATCACTCTCTCCTCCTCCTCAGTCTTAGATACACACGGTAGGTGCGATGACCATCACTCCCGTTGAAGCTTGGAGTCTCAAGTGCAAGCGCTGCAATGACCTTGTCGCACGTCATTCACAGCTCATTTTTGTCTTGGTAAATGCAACAGCTGTACATCTAACACTAGACAAGACATTACTCTATGATCAACAGGCACAGCCTCAGGATGTTGAGGGTAGCGAGTGGCATGTTTACAGTCAAAAAGGTGTCATTCCAGCACTAAAATTCCTTAAAATTCATACGACAAATGCCTATAAACGTACTCGACTACCCTTTGAATTATGTTGTTTAACATGTAATGCAAAAGTCGCTTCACAGGGACAGTTAGATGAACTACCAGGTATTTCCATGTTATTATTAGATTCTAAAGCCTGTGCTTTAGTCCTTGATCGAAAGGAACCCTATGGAGTAGTAGGAAGCAATATGGCACGCAAATGGAGCGTGATTTTACGACAATTACAAGAAATACAGTTGCCAGTCCGACTGACGAAAGTACAAGACTGGATACAATGTCAACCGGTTGATAAAGTACACGAAACACGAGTGAGTTTACCAGTAATACACGCGACGGAAACAGTGCTTCGACAATATTTCCATTCAAGAACCAAGATGTCTAAATTAAGACGATATCAAATTGAATTAACGCTCTCGGCCTTATTGGAAAATACGATTGTGTACTTACCAACAGGTTGTGGTAAGACTTTAGTGGCAATTAAAGTCATGGAAGAAATGAAACGGCTAAATCCGTCCAAATTGGTGGTCTTTTTTGTACCAACGGGACCCTTAGTATCACAACAAGCAGCGTATCTTCGACGAGAATCCGATTTTACGGTCAAGGTGTTTTCTGGACAGCATGGACATACTGCAGCAGCAACAAATCCGCCTATTAAAGTTGATGAAGGTATTGATGCCGTGGTTGCAACTCCTCAGTATTTTTTAAATTTGTTGTTTAATGAGCGCACGAAAATCACGGACTATAGTACGATGGTGTTTGATGAAGCACACCATGCAACTGGAAATCACCCTTATTGCGAGCTCCTGAAAGAGCTGGCAAAAGTTGACGTCCGATGTCGGCCACATATTCTTGCTCTAACGGCCTCACCATTTGGCGAAGCAGTGCGTGAAGAGTCTGGACAGATTGCACTAAGAAAGCTCTCGAATGTGTTTAATGCTGTGATTAATTCCCCTACCATTGCTGCTGAAGATTTAGAAGCGAGTTTTATTCCAAAGGAGGCGAAATGGGTCACGGTACAAGAAGATGATTCCGAGCGAAAGCTTCGGGAGGGCATTAAGCGCTATGTCGTATCTTTCTATTCGGAGATTCGGGTGCTAATGAATGGGCAAGTGATGCCTTTTGAGTCGAACTATGACACCAACGACATGGAACTGTCTCAATTTCTTGCCAAATTACGTTTGCTACGTTCGCAAGCAGAGAGGAGGGCCAGGGGGAATAATGTTGAAATGACAGGAATCGATAAGAGTAAGCGCCAACCGTCAAATTTAGAATTGATTTTGAAGCATGTGCAAAAGGTGGCATCAAGTTTTTATAGCTTAAGTATTCATGGTGCAGGCACTGTTGCTGAGAAGTTGCGCGGAATTTTTGGTGATTTGGAAGCAGCAACAACCGAGAAAGGAAGACGCACTTTTGCGCTTATTGAGCGCGCGTACCGCAGTGCGATGAACCCGGCGCTGATAAGTTTTCCCTTAGAGACTTTTACGGGAGCTGATATCTCTAATCGGGTGCATCTTGTTGGCGAGTGCATTCGTAAAGCCAACTTCGATCACGACTCTCGTGCGATTGTATTTGTCCGTCGTCGTAAAACCGCTATTTTGCTGGCAAAAGCGATGGAAGCGCTGGATGTGCTTCGCGAGCTCAATCCCACACGTTTCGTTGGGCACAATTCGTATGAAGGCATGTCGTGGGAAGAAGAACAGCGACCGACGTTGGACCGCTTTCGACAAGGTCGTATTCGACTTTTAGTAGCAACCAACGTGCTTGAAGAAGGACTTGATGTTCCTGAATGCTCCTTAGTTATCCAATTTGACGGTGTCATTGGGATTACGAGCCTCATACAAAGCCGGGGCCGAGCGCGCCACCGTGACAGTACATTCATCATTTTCTGCTCTGCAGTTGGAAAAGAACGCATGGAACGACTTGTGATAAACGAGCAGAGATTGGTTGCGATGGCAAAAGCAGATGCTTCGAGACTTGGGTCCAAAACTGTTGTGGCTAAGTTGATGGACGAATATCCAGAAGTGGTTGACAGTTCCTCGGCCAGTGCAAATAAAGACGTATCTACGTTGCCACAGCGGGCAGCATTTGACCCAATGGCTGATAAAGTTTACAACATCGTTCTTGGTGGTGTTTTCATTGGTGTGGATAAACTGCTGCAAAAACTGATCCTGGAAAGGATTAGCGAATTTGCTTCCGTTAGAATAGCGGATGAGCGTATTGGTTTGTGCACGCTTGCGGTGCCTCCAGACCAGGATATATATTTGTCGTATAATATGTTGAGTTCCGGTATTGATTTTTATATTGATCAACAATCCTTTTGGATGCGTTTTGAAAGTGATGATATGGAGAGTGCTGCAAGTGGAAAGGAAGCAGAAAATATTGCCAATATCGGAATTTGCCGTGGCTTATTGACTCCTGGTGGTGCATACATAGAACTCGAGAATGTTGGAGATGCGGGTACCTTAGAAATGACAGTAGATGCGCTAATTGCAGATTTTGGCTTCCGGTATCGTCGCGTAGAATTTGATTTACGAGCACTCGTCGAGCCGCTGGTCTGGTTTGATTTGACCTCTATGCCTACTAGCGCTCCGTCAGTGTATCTCGCTCTCCGGCTACCCCCCGTCATCGTACATCGATAATAACCGCGAATGCAAGAGATGCCAGTCGCATGCTCTCGTGTACCGCATAACATTGTCTTGCTCAAAAAAGCTGAGTGCTCATCTTTGGAACCTTCGCGTGTTCTTTTCAAAACTCGGCGTCGAAGTTCGTGAAACGAAGGTCTTAATGACAAATGAGGAAAGAGTTCCCACAATAAGACGGCGCTTTGATCTACCAGTGGCGTATGCTTTACAGTGCCTCCTTTCTCACTGCAGCTATTTTACAAACGGCTTTCTGCCGCCAAAGTTTTATGATGTACTTACTGATCTTAGTGAAGATGTTCAGGAAAAAGTGCTTCTCTCGTTTCGCCCACATCCCAGCCGTCTCAGTATCGTAGATCAATTTTTGATTTTTTTGCAAAGAGAGCAAGCCGTATTGGAGCGACTATGCATTAACTCAACCTTGATGCCCAGCTCTATCGTTTACAAAGCAATTGTGACACCTTCACGGATTGTATATTGTCAACCCGAACCAGCACCAAACAATCGTGTTTTCCGCCATTGGGGGTCAGAGAATTTCATGTATGTCTATTTCCGTGATGACAACATGGAACGTTTGGACTACACATCCGGGACGATTTTGGAACGCATTCGAGGTGTGTTGAAGAAGGGAATCGAGATTCCTTACCTGAAATGCGCCATAAAATTTCGTTTCCTTGGCTGTTCACTGAGTCAAGTACGCAACAGTAGTGCGATATTTACGTTGCTTGATCACCATGAAATTCGATCATGGGTTGGAGATCTTTCCAATTTGACGTCTCCGGCGAAATATTTGAAGCGACTTGGCCAAGCTTTCTCCTCCACGAAGGAGACTTTTAGCGTTGACCAAAGTGTACTCGATAATCCAGTGGAGGATATTACGAACGATAAACACGTGTTTACGGATGGATGCGGCGAGATTACTCAAGTTGGGGCGGAAAATATTGTGAAGGAACTCAATCTTTCGTATACTCCATCAGCTTTCCAGATCCGTCTCGGTGGTGCAAAGGGTGTCTTGGTAATATCTGATCTCGACAAAGCGAAAATCAGTCAAGACAAGAGTATTGTACTCCGTGAAAGCATGTCAAAATTCAAGTCTACGCACACAATGCTTGAAATAGTTGCATGCGCTGGTAAGTCGGAGGCATACCTGACACGCCAGAGCGTCCTAATCTTGAACGACCTTGGAATAAATGAGGACGTGCTTTTAGAGATGCAAGAAGAATTTCTGAGTGATCTTGGCTTGCTGATAGCTTCCGATGCTAGTGCATATTTCGAGTTGAAGGCGGTGCTGCCGCCGACGATTATTTGGCATATCGACGTTCTTGTCCGTAGACTGGGGGTAAAACTCTTGGCTGATGAGTTTCTCTTGTCGCTCGCGAGAACAATCTACCATTACCGGTTGACAAACACAGTTATGCGTGCCAGAATTCCCATTGCAGAAGGGCGCACTTTAATGGGTGTGGCGGATTTTACCGGAACGTTGAAGTACGGAGAGGTGTTTGTACAGTACTCAGTGACTGACGACGAGACTGGGGCCGATAGCTATGTAGCCCTTGATGGTGTTGATGTTGCTGTCCATCGCAGTCCCTGCCATCATCCTGGAGACATTCGTGTTCTTCGCTGCACAACGGACGTGCCCTTGCAAGTACGCCAACTGAAAGACTGTATCGTGTTTCCGTGCCAGGGACCACGACCGCATCCTGACGAATGCACAGGAGGAGATTTAGATGGTGATACTTTTGTGGTGATTTGGGACAAACGGTTGATCCCGCATAGGACAAGAATTCAAGAACCGATGATCTTTGATGAAGCGACGGGAGGAGATACAAGCCCTCGGGGTGGCAAATACCACCAGTCAACTGATGATGACGGGTTGGTTGATTTTTACGTCCACTCCATCCAAGATGATATCCTTGGAGTTGCTTCGAATGCCCACCTCGCGCTTTGTGACTCGGTAAATGAGGGAAGCCTTGACGAGGACGCGAAGACATTGGCACGTATTTGCTCACAGCAAGTCGATAGTCTTCGTGCTGAAAAGGATCTGGAAATTGTGCGTAATCTCGCGCCAAAAAGCTATCCAGACTTTATGCAAAACAAGGAGAAACCCTCTTACCCGTCGAAGAAAATTCTGGGCAAGATGTACCGTCGTTGTAAAGCTATCTTTGACACAACAACGACGAAAGGTCCAAGCCAAATGCCATTTCGTGATGATCATTTCCTCACGACAGGCTATACCGACCATGTCAGTCAGGCCGAGATACTGTATCGCCAATATAAGCTGCGTCTTAAAGCTTTGTTGCTCATGTCAGGAGCGCAGACAGAGGCAGAACTTGCTACTGGTATGATTGTGGAACCACAGAGTGAGTACAAGGCAGACTATTTTCGATTTGGAGAAATGTGCAAGGACGCATTTTATGATCTGCAGACTTCATTCCGCGCTCAATTTGACAAGGAGGCATTCACCTTAGCACCAGGTGAAAAACTCAAATATGCTGCAGCTTGCTATTTTGTTGCATATAACGACTCCGATGCATCGTCGCGCTGTTTGAGTTTCCCATGGGTGGTTATCGATCACCTTATAACGATAAAAACGAGCAATATTGGCACTTTCCATTACAAGATCTGGACTCCAGTTCGTCTATCCGCGTACGCTGAAACGATTCCAAAGCTGCAATTGTGCATTTTGGCTGAAATCGCAACAAACACGGAAGAGTTGCTAGCGGATTTGTTTGATCGATTGGTCGCAGTCAGTTCGCTACGTTCCGTGATGCCTGGCAACCTGAAAAGAAGAGAGCTTGATCTTATTCTATTTGGCTCTTCTGGACTGTTAACATTTGAAAAGCAGTCTGATCTGGATGTGATGATTTTCTGTTCGTCTTCGTGCGGTTCGTTGAAAGCTATCGCAGATGCTTTGGAGGGTTCACATGATAATATCAAACTAAAAGATGACATCCGTGTCCCTCTTTTATCCTTTTCGTTTCAACAATGGTCTGTCGAGATGTGCAAGCTTTCGAATGGACCTGTGAAAACCCGCCTTTTTCGCACATATATGGAAAGATACAACTTTTTTTGGCCGTGTATATACTTCTTGCTGCGTTGGGGAAAATGCGTAGGGATTATTCGGCGACGCTCAGGTGGTGGCCTGAATATGTTTTCACCCACCGGATTCATGTGGTTCTTCTTGCGGTTCTGTACCGAGCAAAATCTTGTACAGCCAATAAGTCTTGGACCCATCACGGTACATGAGATTCTGAAGACTAATGACGTTGATTCGGAGATCTCGTTTTGGACTGCACTACTTACTCGCTTGGTTTCGGGACAGGACGATGCTTCTTCACTTTTAGCAGCTGATGTTCTCCTTGCATTCTTTGCCTATTATGCAAAACTATCCACTCCTTATCTCGATTACGGGTTCACAGACCCACTAGATCAAGAGAACAACACGCAGCTGGAAGGCGAAGCAGTCACCTTGTTTCGGTCTGAGTGTCATATCGCACTTCACCAGTTAGTGATCGCACAGGGTGACATCAAGTACCTATTGACGCATCGTACGCACCAGACGAGCAGAATCACGCTTAGCCACGCACTCAGCACGCGAATTCATGAGGCTAAAGACTTTTTTTCGCGTAAATTTTTGTTTGAAACAAAGGCAGACAGCTCCACGCGCCTCACATTCAAGTTTCACCCAAATATTCTGCGTTCTGACTTGTATGTGGCCGAGATCGTCGGCCCCGGCGATGCAATTCTACGTATAGAAAATCATATACGTATGGTCGAGCAAGAACTTGGTGCGCGAATGCCTTTTCGCTCAAATCAAAATTTTCACCACGAAGGTTCAAGTTTGGTGCTATTCGAGGGAGCCGAGTCCCAGCAAGAAAAAATTGGGTTCCAGGCTTACTTTGGCGAGCGCCATAGTGAGCACAACAACATTGAATTGCACCAAGCGCATTTAATTTGCTTTATGAACGGACGTCAGTGGTACGAGCATGCAGGGGCAATATTTTGCGCAAAATTCATCCAGCAAATGATTAAGTTATCGAGATATGAACATCTCAATCTAGGAGCCACAAAAGCTAACGCTTATATTCGTTTTGGGCATCACTACTTGATTAATCTGCCGCGTTCGTTTGACGATGAAACAATTATGCTGGCCAGTATCAAGAAACTAGAAGACGAGTTTGAACGAGGTCGGACTGCGCGTGAACTTTACGAGTCCGTATTGATTGCGAAGCAAAAACAACGGGCAGAGGGTGAGGCCGAGGCCTCAACTGAAAGTGACATGCAACTGGAAAAAAATAACCAACACGAAGTGAGTCCCTGGGGATGTTATTCCGACAACAAACACGATGAAGATAGCGATCCAGCAGAAGGATTGGTGGACTATAATGACGTGATGGACGACTATAGTGGTGGGGGGTGGTGGAAGGGGAGGCGCAAGACAGCCTCGGCGACAAAAGATGGACTTCCAAAAAGCTAGTACTGCTGTCCGTGGTGACAAAGGCGTCACACATTCCTTCTACTCGATGATCGAGCGACATCATACCTCCTGGGCAAAGGAGTACGCGGAGAAACGTCTTGGTATGACATTGATTAGGGAGTCTACCTCTTATCAGGTATCAATTGTAAACCAGTCGTTTGAGTACAACATCAGGTTGACGGATGATTTGCAACTGGAGAAAATCAAGACGCGTCCGTCACGGTGGTTTAGTGCGACGCTAAAGATGCGGCAAGAAATGGACGATGAAAGTTATATGATGGACTCAACGCCCGACATTCGCTTTTACGTATCAACTACGGAGAACTTGTCAAAGACTGACTCATTGTACGTCAAACTGGCGACTTGTTGCAAGAACGCGCCCGACGGCCGTGGTATCATTGAATTTTGCGACGAAACTCGTGAGAAAGTGCGTATTAGTCGTCACTTAGTGGACGCGGGCGAGTCCCCAGCATGTATTGGAACGGTACGGCACGTGCGCGGTGCAACATACTTTAGTTCAGAGACTGAAACGCAGCTGTCATTAATGCATATTCGCGAATTTGGCATTCCCGACCGAAATCCCCAAGATGGCTTCATGAGCGTTCGTGATAAGGTTGAAGCTGAATTTCAGCTACCGCCTTTAACGCCAGAACGTCGCGTGATGCCTATGTTTGCCCGTAATTTCTTGGATACTGGAATGAAGTTTGTCGATTTCTTGCGCACTCAAGCAGATTTGGAGATGCCCTAGTGTGGTGATTAGTCATGGATATATGTGGTCGTGTTTGTACCGTTTCGTTGGTTGCAAGACTTTTTCTCCTTACCTGCAAAGTTTTCTCGTGTCGCTCTACTCCTCAAAGCGGGCAAAGTAATTATACAAAGTGTATGTATCCGTTCTTCTACGTCTGCAAATTATCTTGAGTTGATGTCGTGTTAAGTGTTGAGTAATGTGTGTCGAGATTCCAGCTGACTAAGCTCTTCCACATGTCTAGAAGCTCAGCAACACGTCCGTGAGTTTGCGCAGTATCAGAGCAGAGGAATGTTTGGCATACGTCTAGTCATATATCCGGTATTCACGCGAACACTGTAAGCAGCACTTGGGAGGAAGTACCCGTAACATTCGGAATGCCATCGCTTGTGTCGACATCCAAGCATGTTAGTTTCGACACTAATGGTCGTTCCGTGCAATCGCCATGACCGACCTTGTCACATTTGAGAACTTGAACTCAAGAGTAAGCGAACGTATAAGCAAGCAGCCGCCTCCTGAATTATAGAAAGTGGACAACTGGTTGATAAGCTCCTCGTGCATTTAATTTAACTACTCGGTCGCCAAAGTACGACCTTTCATAGATGGTAATATTTTATCCCTCTCTTAACAACTAATTATATAGTAAGCAGAAAAATGTATCTTCTTGGCGGTAGTTTTCACGCACAATAGCTTTCCTATCATTTTGAACAGCTTATCAGATATAAAGAAAAATAGCATATTACGCAAATGCTTCTGTCACAACAATAGATTCGAATTAACTAACACCTACAAAGTGTCCACTACTACAATCAACGTATTAAACCAGTCTCAATGACAGCCTGATTACCACTCCACGCCTTCACACGTGTCTTTGTAGCATAACCTCTTCTTCTGCTATCGTAATCTCTGGAAAATCCGACGGCTCACAAAAATGCTGCTGCATCTCAAGCGTCAACTCCTCGACTGCCATCGTATGAGCGTCAAGAACAGGTTCTGGTGTCTTGATCCGTGGCATTGTTTCAGTTAGCAACGTGTCTTCTGTTGGTGAAAACTCGGGAAACGTTGACGCTTCGGAAAAGTGACGGGCAGCAATTTCCTCCAGTGTTCCGTTCAGATTGAGATCTGCCTGCATAGCGGCATTGTTTAAGCTTGCAAGTGGTCCGTTCGTAGTCTGCAAAGCCATGAAGAGCGGTTTGGACGTCGTGAAAGCGCGCGTGAAGAGCTGACGTGAAGATGTAGAGGCGATTTTCACGATACGAAACATTGTGTGGCTCTGGTAGTAAATGGAATAATGAGACAGAAGAATGTTGGTTGAAGATAAAGGATGTTGAAGTTATGTTTTATTATCTCAGCTGTGATTGGTTGGACGGTATTTGATGTAAAAAATGCGCATTTCAGCTGCAAATGGCGCAAGGTTTTTTTCAAGTTGCTAGTTGGGGTGGGAATGAACGAGGGATAGGGCAGGTGTGATTGCTCTCAGGCTACTGTATTAGTTTATACAGGCAATTACTTGCGTATAAAAAAGATCATGTCTCACAAGTTGAAGTTGCATGGATCCACCCTGATTCTTTAATAGACGACTGCATCTGTGATTCAATCTGTCGTCCACATCGATTCCTTCGGCTATTCATTGATACTTTTTATCTATGCCATCTTGTCAAATCCATCATGACTGTACCAAACCCCATCCACATCCTATCAACATACGCATCTACTTGTGTTCAAAACGAATTCTTCAATGAACTATCAACGAACAAATATAGTCCAATTAATCTTCCACACACTTACTCACCCACACGTACGAAGGAAGCTCCTTTTCTTTCTAATTTACCTCGTGACGAGATTCTCTAGGTCACTTGTAAATGATTGAGGTTTGGATACATTTTTTTTCATATCATGTGCTCCACTCAAATGCCCTGCTCATGTTCCTACCGTTGAACAATCCACATGCATGTAAGAGAAAGTATCAAACCTTAACGAAACCTTTTTCATTCGACAATTTCGTTTGTTCTTTAGTAATCCGATAACTACACTAAATAGCTTCATTGTCACATACACACACCCAACCAACCAACCATACGCATACGTAGCAAGAGGCATTCGATACAACAATAAGGAGGATAAAAACATACAACCCAATGCCTCGAAAACCCTGTTTGTACTTTCAACGTCATGGAAAATGTCGGTTTGGTGATTCTTGTAGGAACGTTCATGTAATGACTACAACTCACATCGAGATGGAAACCCCATCGCGTACTTTTTCATTCGTAGCCTATGAAACCCTCTTGAGACAATACTTCACCTCGGGTCCCATCTTTTCGGGTCATTCAGATACTCTAGTGTGTTTTTGGCCTACTCGTGATCGATTAGATGGTTTGTGGAAAGGCTTTTTAAAACCGCTCGACCCGATGAAACCATGGGTCATGAATAGTCAAACACAAGCTCTCAATTTCATCAACTCTGGTCTTCATGCATTGACAAACGATAACATTATCGCGACACACTTTGTACGAGAACTAGGAAAGACTCAAGGTTGTGGACTGATAGTGATGCAAGACTTGTTGAATTTCACATACTCGAATGATGCAGGTTCAAGTCGCACTCGAGTCTCGTTTCAACGAGGACTAGTTCCATTTGTGATACTATTGACAATGCGACGAATGGAAATGGTGAGTCAACATATGGATGAAGCAAACTATGTCTATGCTTTTGTCCGGACAGCTCATGTCCAGCTATTTCAATTGTATATGGAGCATTTCAAACAACTTGTCGAACGACATTGTATTGATGACCGGATGGTACCACATGCAACTTTTCTATGCGAGTCACAAGGTCGAAAGTTCGCACCACTGTGTTTTACTCAAGTGTGTCTCCCAATTATTCGGTTGTTGTATCTGTTAGGCAACAAGTTTAAGGACTTCATCTATGAAAATGCTTTTCAAGAGACTGTCAATGAGGTTGATGACTTGGTATCCGATTGGATTAATGATTGTCAAGATGAGGATTCTGTACTTGATTCCAAGCTGTGTTTTAAGACCATACGAGAAGAAATCAAACGACTTCATAAGATGCTTGAACGTGGCAAACGTAGTATTCAAGCAGGTCAATTGTTGAGAAGAACAGAACAATCGAAACATGGAGTAGAGGATGAACCTTGGGATGTGCTTGAAGTGGGTGTTCCTGGAAGAGATGTATTGACGGACGGAAGTATTGGTCCACGCCACGATAATGATCATCCAGAGATTCATGATATTCAAATATTACCTACAACTGAAGAATGTTTATCACGTGAACCACCCCTGCTACCTGGAAACTTTCCATTTCATGAAAATGCTCATTGGTTACCACCTGGACCAGAGCGTTGGGTAGATACGCACTTTCGGCTCTATCGAGAGGATTTTTGCTGGACCATTCGATCCAGCGTACAGGATCTATGTCATCGACTAGTTGAAAGCCAAGGCAATCTAGCTGCTGGTCGTTTGCGCGATGCTAATGTAGATTACAACGTGTACCAGGTTGCCGAAACTGGCATGCCACTGAAGCATACATATAGCCGAGGTGAGCGAGATACTAGTCGTCGTTTTACCGAACGTCATGGGCTTTGCATCGATGTACGATTCCAGCAACCGTCGGCAGCAGAGTTAACAGGGCGGGCTAATCGATCAGATATGAATGATAAGAAAAGCCGAAAGGAGCTATGGGAGAAAACAGGCCGACTTCCGTTCAAAGGTATGGTTGCGCTAGTTAGCTATGTCGATGGTGCCTTGCAAGTGGTCTTTTGTCAGATTGTTGATCGTGATCTCGATCGACTCGTGCAGGATGTAGTGGAGGTAACTTTGCAGCCATTTGAAACCCAAGACTATATGACTATCGAGCGATGGCAACGATCAGCATCCTTAAGGTCCAACCAACAGAAAAATCGCCTGCGCATACTGCTTTTGGAATTCAACAATGTTTTCTTACTCGCGTACGAGCCAGTACTTCGTGCGCTTCAATCTCTACAGCCGGCTACCCTGCCATTCCTGAAATATCTAGCTCCAGAAGCCCCACGGACACCGGAAGAAGGTGAGATGGAATCTCCAATGTATTGCTTCACAAGTGATTTTAGTTTTGATCTCAGCTCGGTGATACGAACCCACCCAGCTGGAGTCGATGGTGCGCCGCAAAGGTTACGTCTGCGGCCACTTGACCAAAACTCTCGCGAGGCGTGTAAGACTGCGTTAGAGCACTATTCGACATTAGAGCACGATCAGGCAAAAGCGTTGGTAGAAGCGTTGAGTAGTCAGGTGGCATGCATTCAAGGGCTCCCTGGTACTGGCAAGTCGTATATTGGGTCGATGCTGACACGGATTATTGTGGAAGCAAAAGTTTCACCTGTGCTGGTCGTGTGCTACACAAACCATGCTCTAGATCAGTTTTTGTGTCATCTCCTGGATGTTGGTATTACAAGTCTTGTGCGTATTGGAGGACAATGTAAGGAACCCCGTTTGGATAAGTATAATTTGAACAAGCTCCCCAGGACATTGCTGCGTTACGAGCTCAAGCTGCTTTACGAGAGACTTGATAAAGCTGCAGATGCTATTGCTGTGGTGCTTCATGAGCTTAATGCAGAAACACACCGTCATACGTGGAAATCTTTGAAATGGTTTCTGGAAACGAATTACCCAGACGAATACGACTACTTTGCCGAACGCTATGCGGAATTGTACGAAGACGGTGATGATGGTTGGGAAATTGCCGGGTGCGACGATATACTAGACTACTGGATCCAGGGACACGATAAGAATGCCTTGCAACGTCGTCAGTCATGGAGGCAGGGCCCAAATGTTTGGATGTGGAGCCTTGCCAAGCGTCGTGATGCACTTGCAGAGTGGGTTAGCGCGATTCGAGGCGAGCATGTCGGAGAGCTTGTAACAGCTCAAAAGGAGTACTGGGACATCGTGAATAAAATCAATGTCGTTAAAGAGCAAGCAGACGTGGATGTACTCAAGCGTGTTCAGGTTATTGGCATGACAACTACCGGTGTCGCAAAAAGTCAGCAGAAAATCACGGCTATAGCGCCTCCAGTGGTGATATGTGAAGAAGCAGGAGAAATTCTTGAGGCACAACTTATGGCATGTCTGTCACCAGACTGTCAGCAGCTCGTGCTAATTGGTGACCACAAGCAGCTCCGTCCGCACATTGCTATGCACAACCTTAGCGTTGAAAGTGCTATTGGAAAACGGTTTGCCCTGGATGTATCGCTTTTTGAGCGTTTGGCCACTCCGACTTCAGGCCTGCCTTTTTGGATGTTGACAGAGCAACACCGCATGCGTCCACAGATTTCTCAGCTAATACGCATGCTCTTTTACCCTCAAGTTCGCGATGCTTGTGAGACACTGGAATACCCGCCTGTCCTTGGTGTAGATAAGAACGTATTCTTCGTGAACCATAACCATCCTGAAGATGCCGCGTCTGGAATCTTAGGAGCTCCTGCCCGCTCCCACTCCAATGAATACGAAGTCGCGTACATCGTAGCAACTCTCAGGTATCTTTTACAACAAGGGTATCACACCAGCGATATCGCAATTCTTACTCCATACGTTGGACAGCTCATGAAATTGCGATCAGCGCTTCGAGGAAAGTTTGTTCTGGAGCTGAACGAGCTTGACCAGGCTGAAATCAAGCGCGCGCTTGACGATGACTCCGACGAAGATGATGGTAGTGCTGAGGATACCAATAGTGAGAACTCTGCTGCTTTAGAAGCAACTAAGAAAGAGCTCTTAAGAGCAATCCGCGCAGCGACAATTGATAACTTTCAAGGCGAAGAAGCAACCATCATTTTGGCAAGCTTAGTTCGCAGCAGTACGAATGTTCACAGGCGTGGAGCGATTGGATTTCTTAAGACTCCAAATCGGATCAACGTACTTCTTTCTCGAGCAAAGCATGGATTGATTCTTGTGGGTCATGGCGATTTGCTTCGAGCAAAATCGCCTTTATGGCAGCAAGTGCTCGATCAACTGCAACGTGAAGAATGTTTTGGCAATGGGTTACCTCTCTACTGCCAACGGCACCCAGACTATCAGCGCATCGCTACAAATCCGAGCTCATTCGAACTGCTTGCGCCTGATGGAGGTTGCTTGCGTCCGTGTGGAACGCGACTTCCGCGATGTGGCCATGCGTGTCCCAAGCTATGCCATGTGGATCAGCCGTCTCACATTGCTATATACTGCACACAGCCATGCCCACGACTGCTACCTGGCTGTGAGCATGTATGTCCCGGAGTTTGCGGTGATTCATGTGGCCGTTGCGAAGTACTTATTGGCTCAATTGTTCTACCTTGTGGTCATACGTACAACAATGCCCGATGCTTTGAGGCTAAGATGCCCTCAAAAGTGAAGTGTAAAGTACCAGTTGAAAAGACCGTTCCGATCTGTGGGCACGTTCAACGCGTTACTTGTAGTACAATGACCGTCAAGTGCACACGAATGTGTGGTTTCGTACTTCCCTGCGGCCACGCTTGCTCTCGTAAGTGTCATGATTGCGCTCAACAAACCCTGGATGCTTCTATTTTAGAAGGCCTAGAACCAGAATTCCCGATTAAACCCACTGAACATGGCACGTGTCGAAAGGAGTGTGAACGATTGCTGCCTTGCTGTCACAGGTGCAGTGGCGTTTGCCATGGGAACTTACCCTGCCCTCCATGTCGGCGTATCTGTGACGTTTTCAGCTGTGAGCATGGATCTTGTAAACACCCGTGTAGTGAACCTTGTGCTGCCTGCACGGAGCCGTGCCAATGGAGTTGTGAGCATTGCGGAGATTGTCCTCTACCTTGCGGTGCACCATGTCATCGGCGTCTGTGCGATCAGCGATGCACAAAACTGCTCGCGTGTGGACATCAGTGCCCCAGTATTTGTGGAGAAGACTGTCCGTCGCGGAAATTTTGTCATATGTGTGGAGATGACAATGTGAAGGAGCGCGTGGTCGATGTGATTCTCTTCCAGACATACGCCGAAATCAATCCTTTTGAAGACCCTGTCTTAATACTTCCATGCTGTTCAATCGTCTACACAATGGGGACGCTTGATGGCACGCTCCATATGAGCATGTACTACGACAGCAAAGGAAATCCACGTGGAGCTCTGCCTGGAGGGTATCTCGATATGCCTCAATGTCCGAATTGCAAGAAACCGATCCGCGGCCTCCGTCGTTATGGACGTGTGACCAAGCGAGCTGCAATCGACGCAGCAGACAAGAATTTTATATCTCATGCACAGCGTCGACTTTCAAACCTACAGGAGCGGACAAATGCTATGATCGTAAAAGACGACCTTACTCACTTCAAGACCCTGCGGCACGACCTTAATTCATTCAGAAATACTGTGCAAAGGCCTCCATGCCAGAAGATATTTGAAGCATCTGTTGCACTGATTACAAAAAACAAAGGTGGTCAAGGTGGTGGCGATGTGGACATTGATATGAGCACTTTACCAGTCCCCAAATCTGCCTTCCCGTACCTTGGATATTACAATCTTCTATCGGCACAGCTTTCGCTATTGGATACGTCCGCCTTGCAAATGAGAGCAGAACAATATGCTCGTCAAGCTGTGAAGGAGTTTGGAAAAGCATCGTTTTCACTTCAGACGCAAGAAGCTCGATTAGTACTGACGCAGATATTGCTCGCAAAGCTTGAGACCAGATTGGATGACACGGTCAAGACTGAACAAGGACGTATCGAGCGTCAAGAGCGTATTTTACAGCTTGCTTCGGAACCAAACACTCTACTTGACAAGTTGGAAGCAAGTGGTGCGTCGTTTCTTGCGAAACATGGCAATGATGTGCAAGAATTCCGTCAAAAACTACTGAGTGTTGTTCAACGTGCAAGAAATGCTACATTCTATCAAAGCGTGTCAATGGAAGAGAAGAGAGCAATTAAACTTGCCATGCAAACGGAATTTCGAGGCTCAGGTCATTGGTATCGTTGTGTTAATGGACATTCCTATGCAATTGGTGAATGTGGAGCAGCTATGGAACAATCTCGCTGTCCTGAATGTAATGCACTTGTCGGTGGTACGAATCATTCATTTGTCCAAGGAACTGAACGTGATGAACAAATGGACTTGATGTAATGGATCGTTTATGTCAAAAAATGAATGGCTACAAAGGGCCTGAAGATTACATATTTCTAATTCAACACAAAGTAAACAAAAATCCCCATATGTTTTTTCTATCCACAATTTAGAAATCACTGTAACAAGACATACCTTTTGTAAATAATATATACATATCAGCTGCATTTGATGTATTCCACACTAATTCGAGTGTCGTACACATCAATAAATATGGCATCTCACTTAAGTAAGTATCTATAGCGACAGAGGGAGGAATTGCAAAGTGATGTTGTGGTTGTGGCACGTATTTCTATTGACACTCACATTGTCTTTAGCTGGCGTCAATGCTCTATATGCTGATCAAGCGGGTGAATTTGACTGGACAAAAGAACATATTGGACGTCTCCATGCTGTTGTATTTAATGCCTCTATAAGTCCAAATGCACCTTCGAACGACTTCATGGAGGGCGTTATGTATGTGGCTTCCGACGACAATTCACGGGCCCTGGCGTGTTTGGACACAAAAACAGGCCACATTCACTGGCGTCGTGTGTTTCCTGAAGGTATATGTAAAACGAATGTATGTGGATGGGGTTATGTACAACTAAAGTATAGGTTCTTTTTTCTATGTACTACTACTATATATGACTATATAGGGGATAGAATAAATGCTATTCAATTGACAAGTGATGGATTACTATCGATTTCAAGGTGGGGTTTTATTCTATTGAAAGGTTATTCCTATTGAGGAGATTAAAGAATGGGGTGGATACATTAAACCTCTATATATTGATATCTCATAGGTGTGGACGTAATGTGAGACTTTGGGATCTACATACAGGTGTTTTATTATGGGATCAAGTGACAAGTATAAGTTCTATTCAAGCACATGATACTGTCTATGGTGGTCTTTTCTCATTGGATAAGGACCATTCAGTGGTCATAACGTCATCCAGTGTTGCCATCATCAATATCAAGGACAGACAAGTCGAGATACAGACACTGCCTAAGGATTTTACGAAATCAGTACTAGAGACTGCTACACTTTCATGGCAAGTGGAATCAGATAATACAGTGCTGTTTATTATGGCAGGTAGTCATATGGTTCACATGGACCTTGTATCGAGTCATGACATGAACCTTATGACTCGTCCTGAGATTGGTGAGGAGGAAAAAAGTCTCATGATTGGGACTACGGTACTACGTCGTGATAGTGACCAAGGAAGAGCGGCAGCAATTACGCTTACAAAGGATCAATTGCTGCTCCAGGGCTTGGAAACAGACAGTGACGCTAGGAAAATTTATCTTCGCTCTCTCAAGCTACAAGACGACGAAGTTGTGGCAATTGATGCAACTATCATGAACTCATTAGTTTTAAATCTCGCGTCTGGGAAGCGCGCTGTGTTGAAGATCTCGAGTGTACTGACGGTGGAAGTTGCTGCTGTAATTGCAGCTGGAGGTGCTTTGATGGAATCGGTTACCGATGACTCTGTTCTCTTCCACGCTGTTGCAAAGAGTAGTAATTTGGTGGAAGTCACGTCGTACACATTGGATAAAAGCTTGAGCTTTGTCTCGTGGAATGTTGAACTGGGCCTTGCTTCATTTGGTGGTGATGTCTCGCGCGTATTCGTTGGATGTCCCAACACAAAGCAGAACTCAGCTCCACACTGTCATGCTGTGTTGGTTTTGAAGGACGACGCTCTTGTCATGACGTCTAATGATGATAAGGCTGATACTGTTAGCAACGGCAACGTCCAGTGGCTGCGTGAGGAATCACTGGCGAACATCAAGCGTGTACGCTGGATTACACCGGCAGAAACGGAGATTGAGAAGCAGGCACTGAAGCGCATTCCTTCCTTTATGGAGGAGCTGCAGCTTGAGATGAAGCATCTTCAACAGTTTGTTGGAAAAGTAGTGTCGTTTTCCTCAACACTGTTTGACGATAATAGTCGCCAGCGTGGTGTGGACAGATCTCGTGCTGCGCGCAAGGAGCCACCCAACGCTCACTTGTTCGGCTTTTCCAAATATATAATGGTGCTTACTGAAAGCGGCAAACTGTTTGCGATCCGCGCCGAGGCTAGTACTATAGCATGGTCTGCATTCGTAGGCCCGGAGTATCAGCTCTTTGTGACTCGTGATCACCCGGCTCTCGGGTCTGGGGCCGAGTTGTTACTCGTTTCAAACTCGACAGAGCTTGTGTGGCTTGATGGTGATGATGGTCACCAGTTGAATGCGGTTGCAGCTGATGCTACGGAGGGTGCCTCATGGGTGGTTATATTGCCCAAGCGTAAGCATCTTGCGACTGATAAAGAGCCGGTGGCTCGACGGACGGTGGCTGTGATTTCGGAGGATTCACTACGGGTATCGCTTTATCCAAAAGATACAGCGGATATCACGCATCCTGAGCTGGAAAATTTCTACTTTTATCGGTATGACAACACTGCTAACATGCTTCGCGGCTACTTGATCACGAACGAGGATGGTGCCAACAGCGTGGACTATCGTGCTTGTGAAGTATGGTCAATTGTTCTACCTCGCGAACAGCAGGTGATTGCAACGTCTCACCACCATGACCATTCTGTCGTGGATTCAGCAGTGACTATCACTGGCGATGACTCGCTGCTGATCAAGTATCTAAATCCAAATTTGTTTGGGCTAGCCACGATTGCCGCGGAGGCCTCAGAGAGTGACAAGGAGGCGACGTCTGTGCTGTACATAAGCTTGATTGACTCGGTGGCAGGACGCATTATCCACCGTGTTCGCCATTCGCATGCGACGGGACCCGTCCGTATGGTGCAGAGCGAGAACTGGTTGGTGTACTCTTACTGGAACTCGAAGGAGAAGCGCACTGAGATGGTATCGCTGTCGCTCTTCGACGGTGCTGTGGGTATGCATTCACTTAACCTATGGAAGCGTTCATCGTGGGCTTCCACACGGTCGTCGTTCGACCCAAAGGCGCCTTTTGTGCTTCAGAAGAGTTTCATTTACCCTACTAAGATTACGGTGAGTATCCTGATCCTTTCCTGCTTAAGTTTTGGCTGTGTCAGCATCGAATCGTTGTTGCTAACTTTGCTTTTTCACTGTAGTCTTTGGGAGTCACGGTGACGGCGCACGGCATCACACCACAGGCCATCTTGGTTGGCATGGAAACTGGCCAGATTTTCAAGTTAGCTCGCAACTTCATTGATCCGCGTCAGCCTGAGAAGCCACTCACACCCGAGGAACAAGCAGAAGGGCTGATGATGTACTCGCCACTGGTGCCCGTATACAACCAACCTCAAGCCATGCTGACGTACAACCGTACGGTGGAGAACTTGAAATGTATCAGTACGGCCCCTGCCGAGCTCGAGTCGACCACTTTGGTGTTTGCTCACGGTCTCGACATGTTTTACATGCGCATGACACCTGTCAAGTCGTTTGATCTGCTACCGTCCGACTTCAATCATGAGATGCTAATTCTCCTGTGTGTGGCTTTCCTAGTAGTGACATTTCTCACAAAGACACTCGCGCAGCGCAAGGCGTTGCAGACGGCGTGGAAATAAGCTTTCAACACGAGATATGAACAAGACAAGGAGCTAGCTAGCTAGACCACAGAAATTGATGCGTGTTTCATCGATCATTGCAGTGATGCTAGAATGTATATCAGGTGAATGGATATATGCTTTGATACCGTTGCTGTTTGTACGAAATTACTTGCCCTTATGTACGCAACTTGTTCGTATCAATGACCAGGAGCAGTGCGGTAAGACCAGTGATTGGGACGTCGGCCATCCAGGCGTAATTTGCGGTCGGCACGTTGCAGGACTTCCAACTTCACCTTCCACTCCTGCGATTCGTCCAAGTCACCTGCTGCCAAATAGTGTAGATCCTCGCGGTGCCGGGAATCGGATGCCAAAATCTTCTCTTTAGGGTACGGCATCATGTAGCCACTCTGGTGCTTATCAATGCTCCAATACGTCTTGTTATCAAAGACGAGATCATGCAGCCATGAGCCAGAAACGTCACAGATCTCTCGCGCAGGTGACACTGATGTGTCCAAGATGGTTCCACGAAGTGAATCCGTGGGCGTCTTGGAACTCGAGAATATACCACCCATACCGGACTTCGCATCTGGATTCAGGCGCAGCTCGCACTGAAAATGGTTCTTCTTGTCTTCAAATACCATATTGCCCATAATGTCAACCGTACGGTCTCCCCAAAGCAAGCCACCAATCTGCAAATACGGCAAATTGTACTCGATGGTCGTTCCAGAAACATCTTCAGCGTCAGGGAATGTGACACGAATAGGTCCCTTATTTGTGTTGAGCATCGCGTTAGACTTGACGCTCATGCTCGCATGCCAAAGTACAAATCCAGCGATAGAGTACTTCTCACCAGTGAACTGGAAATTACTGATTGGCGGGTGATGGCTCGTGTGTTCACAATTTACATCAGTTCCATCATTCAGCGTCGATTGAAACGTCTCACCTAGAATTGGATTGAATGGCTTTAGCTGTCCAATACTGTGGTGCAACCCAGCCACTGCAAATGTCATGACGTACTTGAAGCGTTCCAATGCATCATTCTGCGCATACGCAACGTTCAAGAACGTCGGCGCATATAACATCAAATCGCACACGCGTTCCAAATTGGTACGGGGTTCGAAAATACGCACAGGAAGTGACAGACTAACAGCTGACTTGCCCTCCAGGATCTTTGCTCCCGCAGACTTGATCACATCCTTCACCACACCACCCTGCTTCTTTGCCACCTCTTTGTCAATCAGCTTCAGACCACCGCTGGGCAGCGGTACCATGCCACGCATATACGTCTTCGGGTGAAATATAGCAGACGATTCGCCATCTGTTGCATCTCCAAGACAGCTTCCTTCGCTAGTGTCTTCATATCCGACGCTTTGAGTTTCGTAAGTGCCGCCACCATCTTCGTCCAAACCACCGCCAAACCCAAGTTCTGGCCCACACAGCTGCGCCTGATTGACGTACTCACTTAGAACAGACACGCAATCCAGACGCGAGATCAAGAAACTTTGCCGCGTCAAAGGCGATAGCCACCCCCGCATATCCAAATCGGTGATATAGGTGGCCAGTGTGGCGTGGCCTGAACCAACCGGCTCCAGTAACCAACCGCTCAATCCTACGTGAGCGCGCACGTTTCCTGGTACAGCTGGTTTTAGCTCGTTGGCCACAGACTTTTCCAGCATGAGTACCACAGATTGGCCCATCTCGTCCACCGACTTGTCTTCACCCGAATCGTGAGAATCAGACACAGCAGACTCGCGGACATGACGCAAAAGCACCAAATCACGGGGCGCCGTTAATACACTATAATCAATGCTGCTCAGAACGCCGCCAACAGCAGCTGCATATACCATAACAGCCAGCAACGCCTCCCACAACGTAGCGCTTGAGAAGAGTGCAGCGCATAAGGCACATGCTGCGGCTGCTACATGGGGTGCAACAAAAGGTTTTGTTTGCTGGATCTGTGCAAAGCTACCACTCGATAGATGCACAAGATCCGTCGCGTCGTCAAAGGTAGCTACGTGAGATGATTGTGGAAAGTGTATATCCCATTCGGCGCGACGCGCATGGTCAGCCAGCAATATTGCCGCCACTTCTGATGACACAGGCAGCATGACACTTGCTCGCGCATATTTCTTTCCAGACCTCGAGTCGGTCCCGATACTGCGAAGCACGCCGTTTAGCGCGCCCAAAGGCCGAAACACAACGTGCTTGGAGATGGAAGATGACGACCCCTTTGCACTGCGACCGGACAAAAGTGCCTCGAGTACATGTAAACCATGCGAGAGTTCATTTTCCAGTGAAACGGTCGTAGGCAAGCGCTGTGTCTTGGTACGATGAGGACGGTGATGATGCTGCAGCGCCACATGGGCGGCAGTACTATTCGAGCTTTTAACTCCTAATGTCGTCCGTGTAGCGCGCTTCGAATCGTCATTTGCAGTTACATTCGACGAGGTCGATGTACTTGATCCAGGCACGACCGACGATGTTGACTTCAATGCAACAGTACGAGCCTGAGCAGATACAGGTCCCATGGATGCTGCACGTCGAAAATGTGCTCGATTCTCTTCATCATCAGATGGTGATGGTGGACGGACTTGTGTATGTGTCTTGGTGTATTGTTGTTGTTGTACTTTAGAATCCTGTAAAGCTGAACCATGTGTCGTACTACTCATCATCACTCCACTGTTTACACGAGCGACAGCTGTTTGCAGTACATTCAACCATTGCGTCACGACAATTGCTTCTTCTGCTGATAAACAATACATGATCCCACTTGTTGGATCGGTCAAGTAAATACGAGGTGAATTCCACGTCTCACTTAATCCTCCATCCTGTACAGTACATCCTTCTAATGGAATCACAGCATTAGGTTTTCGATCCTTTCTTGAAATATAGTACGATAAGGTTCGTCCATCACAGACAAACCAACGACGTTTCCAACCTTTTAATCGTTGTCCTTTTTTCTGTAAAAATCCTTCCTTCATATAATTTGGATCATAATCTACCATTGATTCAACTGGAATACGTTCAGGCCACTAGTATATCGTAAAAGACAATAACAATAACATATAGATAGATACATAGAGAGAGAGTAGAGAGAAATAGAGTGATAGAGAGAGCATCACAAAACACAACATAACAAAACACAACATAAACAAAACATAACAGCTGTATCAGTCTTTTTATACTCTTGTTTTTATAACAGTAGTCGACCACAACAAGGTGTACACAATATGTCACAGTAGGGTTATAACCCTACCATGTCACTTAATGATTACGTACATCATTATTGACAAGATCATTAAACCGTTGTTGGGCATCTTGAAGTGCCTGCATGGCTCGATCTCGTTTACGTTCACGAACGACTTGGCGTGTATTGTTTACGTTATAATATCTCAAGTCCTTCGTGGTAAGAAATACACAACAAAGCGTCTATACTGATATTAATATGACTATGAATATGAACACTCCCATATACAATTAGGACAAGATCTTACAAGATGTTGACGTACAAGTACGTGTGTGTATGTATGGAAAGAAAGAGACGGAGTGAATCAAGCAAAGAAGAAGAAGAAGAAAAACAAAGAGACAGCGAGAGACGCGAGGAGAGAGAAAAAGAGGCTGGAGACCTTCGGCCACGTGCACAAAAGTTGCAGATTTGAGGTCAGAGTGTACGGAGAGAACTGTGTCCAGTGCAAAAGGTCTCGTTTACTCTGTTGGATGTATGTGATCGTGGCATTTTGTGATTGGACAGGAATACAAAATATACCCTAAACTACACCAATTGTGTTAGTATGTTTTATGATGTTGTACTAGACAAATGTACTGATAATAAAAAACCAAATTCTGAGTGGATTATATGACAATATATGACCCTATTGATACTTTATATTACGTATTACAACGTAGTAATACAATTATCTTTATCATTGCCTCTCAAGTAGCAACAGCACACAACACACGAAGCAACATTAGCACAAAAGCGTTGTCTCGTGGCCGGATAGTACAGACTAGCTGACGTCATTATTACCTCATATAATCAGTCTCAAGACTTGTGCTGCTGAACGCAATAACTCTCAGCATGAAAACTGCTACAAATCTGGTCTTACTGCTTTGTATTATGAGATGATTATCTTTCGATATTTTCATATTTTCTATCATATGAATATTTGTATTAATATTGTACTATGTGTCATGTATTACTATTTCATTGTCATATTTTTTGAATATACTAAATAGACACCTGATTCAAAAAAAGAAGAATTTCGAACATATTTAGAAAAAAGTGGTGTGGTTAATGCATTAACTAAAGTATTATTAGAGCTATATGAGGAAGGAGAAAAGCCATTGAATGCTGTGGATTATGTCAAGCGTTATCTAAGAGGAGAAGGAGGAGGAGGTCCTCTTGATATTGATGTGGATGTACTGCAAGCTGAGAATAAGGAACTTAAACAGAAGAATGCACAACTTATGAGAACAATTGATGAGCTACAACAACGTGTAAGACAGGGAGATTGCCGCACATTGACGACACTATTAGTATTCTTACTCACCTGTTTTGCTGTATGTGTGTGTATCGGGGTCTTGATAGCTCACAATGGAGAAGGAAGAGGAGATTGCGTAAGCTGGAAGATGGAACATTGCAGAGCTCGTCTCATCTTTCATCTATTTGTCAATTGATTGTCCACGTGGATGAATCAAGTAATTCAAGCTTCCTTGCATTCTCCATCCTGTCAGTGTTTGTCACACAAGATATTACGTGCACTGAGCCAAGAGCTCGGTAATATTGTCCTGCACCAACTGCTTTTGACGGTTCAAATAATTCTTGCGGGCCTCAAGCGACATCCTTTGTTTGTCCACTCGCTCTTCTTCGCTTTTCATGCTCGCGACATTTTCCTCACGGTTCGTTTGTAGGAACATTTTGCCAATGCTTTGGTACGTATTGGTACTTTTAGGCAAGTCAAGCACCTCCCGCTCAACAAGTGCCAGACGTTTCTTCTGCCGCGTAAAGGCCGTCAGCTTTGCCTCGACCTGTTCTAACTCGCGCTGGGTCTTTTGAAACTGTGGCTGCAGCTCCTGCAACTCCTTGGCAATGTGCGTAGGCACTTGGCGTCCTCCACCTTGACTTGACGCTGGGCTCTTGTGTGCCAATTCTTGTTTGAGCTGCCGTAGCAGCTTCTTGATCCCTGGCACCTTCTCTGGGTCTGCAGCTGAGTTTTGCGCTGTCTCCAGCGTCTCAATGGCCTCTTTCTTGCGTCCCAATTGCTGCTGGGCATTAGCAAGACGGTAATAACCCTTGGCAAACTTGACATTACGTTTAACACACTCCTGTGCGTCTTGCTCGGCTAATTCCCATTTGCCTAGAGCTCCGTATGCTGCACTTCGATTTGAGTAGTAAACGTAATTGTCCGGATCTAAAGTAATCGCCTAGAACAGGTTATTTAGTCTCACAGTGATTAATTGTCATGATACATGTCGCCCACCTCTGAGTAGCACTCGACTGCTTTGTCAAAGTTTTTCTGGTTGAATTCCTCGTTTCCGAGTCTATAGTCAAGATAAAACAAAAGCGTAGCTTAGTGTTCAGAATGCATAGTGTCTCATCCAATCATTACGCACGCCTTTTGCGTCTCTGCAGCATCGTGGGTAGAACTCATAGTAATCGATAAATCAATTCTCTTGACACCAGACAAAAGATAGATCTTGAGATTTGATCAAAACCATCATATATTAACTCTAAGAAACTTATAAAAATGGCTACATTTGTTATAAGTGTAGAAAGTTGCAGTAATAGCGATATACAAGCTTCAGGAAAGGTAGCCACTTTGTCATTGCCACATCACAGAAAGGTCTGATGAAGGCTTTTGATTGCGAGCGAAAGCTTACAATCGATGACATTGATGCGTATTCATAAGACACGCTGAAGTAGAGACAAACCCACGCCATTTCGGAGTTGTACAGATACAAATGATCGTCGCAACATCAGCTTTTCATATACGTCTACCAATTATAGCTTCATGTAGTCAGAGAGGTTTACTTCCTAGCTTCACTTTACAAAACCTCATTCACTCCAAATTAAATGTTCCATCTCTTTTCATTGAACCAAGATTATATCTATATGTGTTCGCAGTTTATTCTCACACCTCCATCATCTACAGCATGTGCTTCCTAACTTCAGCAAAACCTGCAGTCTTACTATCTGTCTCTGGTTTCCTGCCTCGGTCTGTTCAATCCATTCTTGAGTCAAGAAAGGGCTTCCTTGTTTTGTCAACCATATCAGCGTATACGATCTCTAGCTTTTAGGCGGGTACTGCTGCTGAGGTGGGTATTGTTGAGGTGGGTATTGTTGAGGTGGGCATTGTTGAGGTGGGTATTGTTGAGGTGGATATTGCTGAGAAGCGTACGGAGGGTATTCAACAGGAGGTGGACCATAACCTTGTCCGGGTAGAGCATATCTCGGTTGACCAAGAGGCGGACTATAGCCAGGCTGATACTCCACCATGACGGGCTGAACGTACACGGTCTGTCCATTGTGATAGTCCTCCGAGTGACGGCCCTTACGGCGACGGTTGTCACCTGAGTCCGCTGCAGACGCACAGCAAGCGCCACACAGGGCACCGCATAGGCAACACTCAAGCATATCACACCCTTCGTCCATGATAATTGGTTGTACGGGGAAAACGTTAATTTCGCTTGTAGCACTTGACGTTGACAGTGGAAAACGGGAAATGATGTGGTCTGAATGTATTAGCTACACTTGAGTATACGAAAGGAGTCAGTTTCGTGCAGTACATAATCGTAGTACGGAATTTTGATATATTTTAGCCAATCAAAATGAACGACTACATTGATTTTCTTGAGACAGGCCGACGAAAAATCTAGTCCCTGGATTTTATTTATGTACTCATGGCATGCCCTACGAAGTCTAGAAACGCGAAGTGAAGAGTCAATGATGCGCTCCTGACGTCGTCTGCATCATTTGAATGGTGGACCAAGTAATATTACTCGATAAAAGAGGCGCCATACAGGCATTTTTACAGCGTACGACGGTCATAATGAGCTCAAGCATCCAGTGAGCTGCAAAGTTCATGACCTCAGCACCGATAGACCCACCAAATGAGATCTCACAGCTTGTAAGTATGCCCTGTGCGTCTGGCGCGCGTGACAGTGAAAGAGATCGATCTGCGCCTCATCTTTTCCCAAAGCCTGCTGAATTCCAGGACCTGGGATTGTACGGAAACACACTGTGTAGCCACTTGCAGTCTGGAGACGGAAAAGTAGGTAGACGGTATGGAAGCTACGTCCCATGGCTGGTAGTTCGTGTGACGACGCACTACGAGTGCATCACGGTTCACCACTTGTAGGATCTCCAGGTCCAGATTCACCTTGGCAGAAAAGATGACACGCCGCATGAATTTTAGAATGTGCGCCAGGATTCTTCCATCAAATGTTTGCAGTTTTGGTTTTCGAACAATTTACGAAACAGAACATCATCTTTGATGCGTCGTCCTCTAGGCGTCTGCGATCGCTCCAACTAAAAACCAATGACCCTGTCGTAACAATATCCTGCCATGCTTTAAACCGTGTAATGACATCATACGAGTCACGCATGATGGCAAAGCACGTCTCGATAGCATGTGGCATGGTAAACGACATTCCGTCTCGGATCGTTGTCTGCATCTACAAACTCAGTAGCAAGCGTCTGGCTTAAGTCACGGAAGAGCTGCTGCACGTTCAGAATCTTGCAAAACTGCTTCTGTTTGTTGCGCAATGCCACTGTGGTCGATACAAGTCGTAGAAATTTTTGACGCAGCGTTTGCACTTGCGTCGGATCAAGCAAAATGTCTCGCTCGTGTAGATCGTCCTCACTGACGTATTTTGACGTGGCAGCTTGGCGTGATTTCTTGGCAACATTCAAAGCCAGATGCAAATACTCACGCTCAAGCACCTTCACCTCATCACGCATCACTATAAGCGACCCCTAACATGACCAACACGTCAACCTTTACAGATATATCCACCAACCATTTTGTAACAGTAAGAACAAACCTGCCGTCGTTGTCGCGATTTTTTCTCAATCTTCAATCGCCGCGCACGTTGAGCACTGTTGTTTGTCTTCTTCATAGGCATTGAAAGCTCACTAATTGAGTTATTTGGCGTGGAAAAGCTCAGGATCTTGTCGACATTGTTTGTTTCCAAACAACTGCATTTGATACTGAAACGTATTGAGCTTCATCGTACAAGTTATAGTCGTACAATTGAGTGTGTCCGACCATAGACAGGTGAAGTAACATGATTTTGTGAAGTGTCTTTGACGTGCACGTACATACGTACACGTAACATGGATACGTCCATCTTGTATTGATTGCAACATATACCTGATTCTTAACATACAAAACGTTCTATTCACTTGACAATGCGTGACGACAGAGTATCTCGTCACGCATGACTGGCCTGATATATAACATAAGCTTTCGATAATCCTTCATGTATCACTAATAAAGCACTTGGCTATATGCTGTCGCGTTGGCACAGCATTGGATAAGCGCAGCGTTAGAGACAGCTGGAAAGAGATTGGATGGTGTATGTGACGTTACTCGCTTTCTACTAGACACCTCATGTTACCACCTGTTCTTGATATTCTTATCTCTCTTCGTAGACAACTTGTAGCTGTTTCATATCATGATGTATACAATTTAGCAACGAATCGTACTTGATCCTCACCCTTTGACTCACTTACATGGTCAAAGTTCTATGCTCCGTCCTTCTTTGCTTCACCCATAACTCTTTTTTTCCATTCAACCAGCTTTACAAAGAACTTGAGCATCAAACCTTCCTCAATGATGATAAAGCCATCTTGAATTCAGTTTTTGCGAAGAAATACAAGACGTGTCTGTCTATAAGACGTCAATTTCAAAAGATCTTGTCGTTGGTGAATAACACGCAACACAACCCGCCATATATTGTATACTACTGCGATGTAGTAAGCTTGAACGCTCATTTTCGTTTTCATGTCTGCTTCAAGAATAAGGAACCGACGCAGACACTTTCCCACCGCAGAATCGAGCACACGAGCTCAAAAAGCCAGTAGGTGGATTTGAGTTGGTTCTGGTCGCCAATAGAACCGGCAGACATTAACTCGCAGCCTGCCGGGTTACCAAACTCGTCGTACATTCGATTAAATTGCGCCCTGTAGGTTACCACACAATACAAGTGTCAGAGTCATGCTCGACAACGTACCAAATAGCTGTAAACCAGATTTTACGTACCAGTGGAAAATATCATAGAAATATTCATGAGGTTCTTGCATCTTTTGAATTTCAGGAGACGGAATCGTGCGCATGCAGAGTGTGTAGCCAATAGCAGTCTGCACGCGGAAGATGACTTGCACTGACACAAATGTCGTCTCAACATTTGGAATCTTATGATCTCGTCGAACAATGACCAAGTCGTCGCTCATGCGTTGCAACACTTCATACCGGATATTGACCGATCTGTCAAAAGACATGGTTTTAAACTTGGGGGCATCAAGGAAGATATCCCAAGACTTTGTCAGCAATTCCTCTGCATCCTCAAGCGGAAATCGCTTTGTAAACCCGTACTGAAGTGCTCCTGATCTTGAATCATACTTTCTCTTATCTGTCCAACCCATAAAGTTTGCTCCAGTGGATACAAAGTGTTCAGCATTATTAAACCGCTGCATCTCCTCATACGAATCGCGTACGAGTGCATAACATTCAGCTGTTGTCAATTTTGTAAACTGAGCCTTGAATGAAGAACTTGGTGGCACACCACTGTCCCAGACCTGCTTTTTCTCTTCCATGTCTTCATCCGATAAGCTCTTCACTGTTTTCTGAAACTCTTTATATTGCTGCAGCAATTTCAACAACGCTTTCTGGTCTTTCACCGACGCATGGGCGACCAAAGTTAGCTCGGAATATTTGTGCTGAAGCTCATTCACAGCAGAAGAAGAGGTACTATAAAGGTCGTTCAGTCTCTCGTATTGCCACTGACTCTCCCCCCGCTCTCTCCTCCTTCCTCTTGGCTATCGCGTTGTACAAAACCTCGAGCTGTTTCACCTCGTCCCTCATTGTCTTGAGCACATTTTGTCGTCGCTGTCTCGATTTTTTCTCAATAGCCGAGCGTCTCGCTCGTTTTCCTTCCATCGCGTCCTTTGACGTGTGTTTCTTGTCTCCACTTGGACTCATGTTTCGAATTTCACTCTTATGCATTGGATAGTTATGCAAGACTGCGGTCAGTGATGCAGGTGTCGGTGATGACGTCAAGTGTTTCGTCTTTGCTGGCCATATAACCGACGATGAGTGACGACAATGATGATGTCTCAAACTCAATCACAGCAGAACCTTCACTATTCTCAAGCTCTGACATATCGGCAAAGGCCTCTGTAAAGGCACGCTCCATAGTAGGAGATAATGGTGGCAATGCTGTCAGTTCGAGTACATTTGCTGACGTGTCCATTCGTCCTGTTAATATTTTAGGTCTTTGTTACTTTATGTGGTGCTAGAGGGAAAATGCCAAATGGAATGGGAATTCCAGTGTGTACGTTTCAAAGATGACAAAGACTTTATTACGACGAGCGAGGAGGTCGGTCACTCACTCACTCACTCGACTGCTCTTGAAAGAATGAAAAAACTGTGTGATGACCACAAACTTGAAGGTGATGTGTCCGAGTTTTTTTTTTATCGAGACTCGAATCGTTCGTTACGAGCCTCACGTAAAAGACACCTTCGTCAGAAAACGATTCGACAATGCTTGCTTTAAATGATACAAAACTATACTCTCTATGAAAGACCAAGTGGATTTTGTCTACTGATTCCTAGCACATGTGTCCATACATACAAAAGTGTTGATGTTGTTAGTGTTGTTCAGTCTTCACACGTTACTTAGCCTAGACATGTTTTCTTTTACCAGTTGGGGGGAGTCAAAGCCTGATATCTATCGCCTTGGAACGGTTTTAACAATACAAACATGCACGAGAGGAAGTTTGTACTGAAATGACGCAAATATCCAGCCCAATAGACGTGAACTATCGGTACATGAATCGACGACGTGTCATGGTTCTTTTACTAAATACATGAGGTCGTATCGTTCAACTTCCTACTTGCCACGTTAAAGATTGAAACAGTTGCCCATGCTTCCTTTTCATCGAAAGTTCAGACGATCGTCGTCGATCAAATGACAACGTGGTTGTTTATTCTACTCACAACATGTGGCTAAAGCATCTTTGGTTGCTTACAATCGAATGTGGTGGGTTGGACAACTCTTACTGCATCGATTGTACTGATACGCTGAATAATGAAGCAATCATGAAACATGCAGTAGCTTGTCAATCACGTATGTTGTTTAAGAGTCGAGACATTGGTAAAAGCACATGTGTGTATGTGTCTTCTGTCCATAGAGTTCTTTTCGTGTGCTGCATGATTGTAAAAGATACAATGCAACGCCCTTCAAACTCCATGTACGACTTACGTCAGTTGGTTCCAAGCGATAAAGCATTTTGCTCATTTGGTTCCAGTAGCATCCTTAAAGACGCACCGAGTATTTGCATCAACGTTTACAATACACATAGTCAACAGTGGGTCCTTTGACTCTATTCTTGTCCTCATTAAGCTTTATTATATCGCTACGAACCTATAGCTACAGTATTGTCTCTAATGGTTCTGTTTTAAAATAGACAAACTGTATCTACAAAGCCTTATATTATAGTTTTGACCAATCCATAGGAAGTAAGATCCCTAACTTTGAATCTATCACCATTTCAATATCATTTATACAGGGTGAGCTAAAATAGATACAATGGATAGAGCTCTAACTCCGACGACACCTACAGCCCATGAGACTCTTACTTCTACGGTCATGACCAATCTTTCATCTCTTCTACGTGCTTCAACTACTCACTGTCCACATGTGAATGAGTTATCACGTGCTCTCTCGATTGTCTCGCAATGCTATAACGTCCCTGTTCCATCCAGTGGTGCATCTGCTATTCAGAAAGCTCTCACAGATGTTTCGGATCTCTTACAGCATCATCGACTGTATACAGGTGATAATACCGTTCGATTGTATACACCCGAACAACGTATAGTCATTGAAAATGGGCTACGTCTTTTCTGGATGCACGTGACAACGTATGAATTACATGCAGCCTTAATTGATTTAGTCCGTACGATTGATTTCATCCCACGATCTGTGGCCTTGTGGAAACAATTAAAGAAACAAACTATACGTGAAATTCTTCAACGAGGACCAATGCAATGGATACTTACACGTGCAGAGCAAATTACAATCGATGAACGCATTCAAAGCTTGGAAGAGACGTTGGAAGGACATTTGGTACGTACTAGTTTAATAGAGAACTCTATTCAATTGAGAAGGAGACTAACGATCATGACGTTAATTCATTCTTTCTTTTGTATGTAGAGAAAAATTGGCATGTTAAAGGAATTGACAACAAGGTGTTCCAGTAGATTTGAAGAGTATGAACAATTGGCGGAAAGAATGAAAGAAGGCATGACGTTATTGGAACTTGTGTATAGTACCGATGGTATTCGTCCACCTTATAAAGGCCACGGAGCTTTGAAATCGCATGAGCCATTAGGTTTTATACCTTTTCACTTTGGTAAAAGAAGAGCTTTGGAGTGTGTAGGGTGAGAATCTTCAGTTGGTCTTAAAAAACTGACACTAGTCGTTGGTTGTTTCGTTGTTAATTTGGGTAGATAGAAACATTTTTGACGACGGCTGCAGTGGCGTGATCACGAGTGGAGATGTTGCAAACTCACTGCGTCGCGTCGAAAAGAACGTGGCAGTGTTTCGCAAGGCACAGACGCAATTTTCGCGATGCTTTCAGACGGCTATTGCACCTTGTCGTCCTCCATCGAAGATCCGCCAACGATGGCTTCAAGTGACAAGCGTCGTGATTTGTCTTGCTGCTGGAAGTTTTTGGGTGATAAATAACCAAAAGGAGTTCAAGGCTGGAATTGTTGCCATGCGTATGATGCTGCAAGAGTTTCTGCATGAACATATGATTGAACCACTTCAAGCCATCTTTGAAGAGGTGGTGCTGAACCAAAAGCCAGAGATCCAAGATGCGATGGCGTTGCTGGACACAAAGCAGAGCTTGCGTCGCATGCTAGCTGATTTCGTAAAGGACACGAACCCTAATGTAACACAAGCTGATATGAGTCGCATCATGGACGAAATGGACATGTCGGTGGTATCACTGCAATACGAGAAGCAACTGGCTGGTGCAGTTCGTAATTTAATCACGGGAGATATCGTCCGAATGCTACTGATCCAAGTTCAGTTCATCAAGAAGGAGTTGATGGTGGCTATGGGCGCTATTGATGAGCTGATGCATGCAAACCAGTTAAACTTGCAGATCCTAGCCACGATCCCTACGTTCCTCGTTTTTGGCGGTTTGTACAAATTGATCACCTCAGCTTTCCGCATGATTTACAAGCGCATGAGCGACCGACTTTACTATGACTCAAGTGAGATTGCTGGATTTTTACGCAACAACTTGCGCGACATCGAACGCCTCCTCAATAAGCAGAACCGGGGTGGCGTCGTTGGTGATGACGCAGTGCTGGGTGCTCGCGAGCTTGGCTTTCTCATCTTATTGCTGCACCAGCTACGTGACCTCTTCGAAGCCTACCGCACACTTTTTGAAGAAGAGGAGCAAGAGCGTTTTGAAGAGGACCTGGATGATCTCATTGGGGAGGGCCTGCTGGTCTCGCAACAACTGGCCGTCATTCAGCGCATGTACCATTCACACCCGTTCTTATACAGCACCAAGCCGAGCAAGTCGCGCTGGTTTTTGGATTAGTCAGAGCAAAGTGCCTTTACGTAGATGCATCACTCACATTAAACATATCTAGCTAAGCTGGTAGTCCTGCGGGGAGTAGTACTCGGCGAGCAGACGATAGATGTACGATGGCTGGTGGGCTCCAGTGTTGGTGATGAAAATCCTCACGCATTCGGGCGGGACGTAGTCGTACGCTGGGTTTAGCACCTCCAACTAGTAGTTCCAAGCACAGTAAAGATCACGCATGTCAGCATATGAAACGATTCAATCACAAAATCAGATAATTCGTACGGTCTCGACGATGTCCTCATAATTGTAGATACTAGACGGAGACAGGAGCTCGCTAAGAACGTCTAGATCGTGGGCATACAATGGAGATAGCTTGATCAGTCCTGCCACGCACACCACAGGCACCGAGCACTTTTTGGCAGCTAGCGCGATATTCTGCAGTCCAGACTGAGCAATCAGGCCACCATTGGCAACCACAGCGGCAGCAGGAACGACGACCTTGTTCACACGTGCCATTAAGGCAAACACAGCACTATCTGGGATCACTGTAACATGGATACCACTCTCTGCCAGAGCATGAGCCGTGCGTTGCCCATTCAACGACGGTGCAGATTCCACTACAATAACCTTGAACGAGCGCTTCTTCGCGGCCATCTTCAAAAACGCTTCAACTGACAGCGAGAGTCCAAACGTCAAGATTACTTCGCTAATAATATGCCCAACAAGAAGAGAGAAATCAAAACATGTTAGCAAGTTGTTTTGTGTCAAACTAGTAGCATCAATTCAAAACAACACCTTACGTACTCTGTATGTATATACTCCATAGCTTGATCGGCAATGTTTACATGCAAGCTATCAATCTCATCAATAAGCTCTGCAATCCCCTCCATGACCGACTAATTACCACAATAAAATACAAAAACAACAATACAAAAACCCGCCACCACCACGTCAAGACAAAACAAAACAAAACTTGCTTTGAAAAACAAAACGAGCATATCAAGACTAGTAATTCACTCTCACATACCAATTTCAAATCTGCAATAGGAATGGACAAATCTGTGTCTGTACCTGGAGTTAATATCGTCCCTAGAGAACGTGACAAATTGTGATTGCGACTGGAGGAGGGTGGAGCTGAGACGGGCGCAGCCGTATCCATTGATGATAGTTTTAATGCATTGGAATGCTCTTCACGAATAATGTAAAGCACACGACGAACTACGTTTCCAATTGCAAGTTCATGAGCATGAGCTTTCGTGAGCATGTGTCCTAATTGACGAATCTTCTCTAGAATTTCTCCAGCCGTTGACCATTTGACTGTTTCGAGCTGTAGCATTTGTAACAAAGAAATGGTTGTTTTATTGGATTGTATACAAGTATACACGTCATGATTAGCATTAGGTGTATACAAAAATGTATACATACCACTTTGCTTAGTACGTGAGTTGTCATCTTGGCCGTTTCATAGGAGCCACGTGATTGTCTAGTGTATACAGTATACAACCATGTGTATACAATCAGTCTCATGATCTTCTGCTTCTGCTTCTTCTGCTTTGATCGCCATTACACGACCTTTCAACCATGACATATTGACAAGAATAGATTTAAACAAACCTGCGCTTCAGACTTAATACTAATTCATCCACTAGTTCATGTACTGTCGGCCATTCCGCCAACCATTCCATCACTTCCTTTGTCATGAGTGTGTGTGTGTGTGTTTTTTTTATTTTGTAGATCGTCTTGTTTCTAAATCTAGAACTGTCAAACCATTCAAACGACCAAAACAGCAAAACACCCACAGTAAAAGTGGGTGATTCCTTCTTCACCTCCTCATCACCCAAGTAAGTATCCAGCATCGCTTAAATCCGACCTCCTTTGTCGCTAAAACCACGTCTTTTAATCACTAAAACCAACCCCTTTCACTAAAATCGCGCTCCCAATGGTCATGGGATTATGCTTACGTGATGCCGAGGAACGTCGTTTATCCTTTGATTTCGAAGCGATATTACCTACCGATGATCGTCCAGATTATTCTCTCGCACCTCTTCGTCATGGTGCAATTGTGGGTGTCAATGGGGCAACATTTCATGCCCAGGACGCGATGAAAAAGGATTTTAAACGTGGCACAGTTGTCTGTCGTCATTGGTTACGTGCATTATGTATGAAAGGTGATACGTGTGAATTCCTTCATCAATACGATATGTCAAAAATGCCGGAATGTCGATGGGGAATGGAATGTCAAGTCCCGGAATGTCCGTTTCGTCATGTACCAGATGAAGAACGTGTTGAATGTGCCTTCTATAAACAGGGTTTTTGTTCCCATGGATCAAGTTGTCGCTATCGTCATATGAAATTAGCACGAGAAGAGTGTCCAGAAATGGCGGATTTTGCACTTCAGAGTAAAGTCGCCGAGGAAGAAAATGGTAAACGACGGAAAGCACAACCGGTGAATGAATTTTTTAAAATTGCGATTTGTAAACATTGGGAGAAAGTGGGTTCCTGTCCATTTGGGGATGAATGTCATTTTGCACATGGTGACCGAGAACTTCGACCGTTTCCAAAAGGAGAAAATGAAGAACAAGAAGGGCGAGGAGCGAGGTATGGAAATGGTCGTGGAAATAATGGTGGTGGAGTCTTGCAGGATGGAATCATGTCGGACAAAATAGGCTTTCAAACTCAAGAACGAAAGACACGACGACAGGTGGTTAGTGTACCTACATTACTTGATGATAAACAACTCGTCAAGTACTTTGTCATGCCATCGGCGAGTTATTTGAATCTGGCACATTCAGTGCATCATGAACGCTGGACAGTTCCTGCTACTGTCTTGCAACAGATTAAAATTGCGTCGGAAACATCGGACAGTGTGTTTCTATTCTTTACAGTTCGACTTAGCAAACATTTTCAGGGTGTCGCGCGTGTGGTGAACGGTGCAATGGCGAATCTGGATGTAGCAAATGGAGATGATGTGTCACCTGGAGAAGATTTGGCAGCCAACATTGTGCCGTACGAGACTGAAGGACAGTCTGCGTGGTCTGGTGCGTTTGGCATTGAGTGGCTTCGTATTTGTGAATGCCCATGGGAGCGACTCGCTCAGCTTGGAAACAAACAAGTAGCTGTTCCTGACTGGTATAAGATTGGTTATGCAATTTTGTGCTGATCGTTATGCACATTCATTCTAACATATATACATGCTCTTTATCGATTACAGTCCAAATGGCCACGAGCTGGATGCGGAAACAGGACATGCGCTTGTGCGCTTGCTTTTTAACCAGCCTGAGATTAAACTTCACTACCGGTCCGTAGAAGATGAGTTAAAGCTTCCAGGAGGTGCAGAGGAGCTTGCAACTCGCCGACGGGAAGCGGCGGAGAGCTTGTTGGGTACACCTGGTGATGTGCCAGGATATGATGGACCCGCTCCAGCGTGGAAAGTTACTCGGCCTGGATTCGTGTTTACATGCACATCACAAACGATAAATGAGTGTTTTGGTCGCATGCTCTTCGGTTTGGCGGCCGACCAGGAGGCGTTAGCCCTGCAACATGTGACTCCAGGCACTCCGCTATACCTGCTTAATTTGTCAGATCAGCACCTTTTGGGAATATTCGAGGCCGTATCTCCTGCAATTATGAATATGATGCCTGGTGCTTTTTGCCACGGCCCAAACATGCCATCACCTTTCCCAGTTCAAGTAAGCTTTGCTGTCACGCTGAACGCACCAGCTTTACCCACATCAGACCCGCAGATTAAGGAGGTGGTTGGAGACAATAAAATTAGTGTTGGACCGCTTTCTCTGCAGGTAACTCAGCAACTGGCAGATGTGTTTGCTGACCGCAGTGGTGCTGCATTCCCACCGAGCGGACCAGCGATGGGTCCTGGTGTACCTGAGCGCTTCCGTGGTAAGCCAGGACCAAATGGCGGCCAGGATGGGCCGAAAGACCCCAATGAGCCGGCATTTTTGCAGAAACTTGTGGTGGGCATTGAAAATGACAATGAGTTTGGAGTCACGCGTCGTATTATTGGACCTGCCGGGTCGAATATGAAACGTATTAGCGTAGAGGCAGGTGGAAATGCCAAGATTCGTGTTCGTGGTCGTGGTTCTGGGTCGAAGGAAGGAGGTCCAGAAGATGCTGATGAACCGTTAATGATTCTGGTGTCTGCGGAGAACGAGCGCAGCTTTCGCATCGCATGCACACTTACGAGCGAGTTGCTTGCTGTGATTCACCACGACTTTCAAATGTTCCAACAGCGCGGTCCGCCTCAGCATTTTCGTGGTGGCGGCGGTAACTTTGGCCGAGGTCCACCTGGTCGCGGCTATCATTAGTGGTCTAACCTGCTCTGAAGAATTGCCTCTACGAAGCGCTCTCTGAATAGTTTTGCCATAACACAATCAACAATAAACGCAACGTTCATCGATGATATCGTTTAGAAAACATAGCTACCTCCTGCATCTACTCACATCAATATCGCCACGCCTAAAACACCTATTGCGATGCATGCTATCATGGAATGCATTTTGTCACAACACGCGCTTTGACGGTAGCACAGTTGAGACGGACTGAGCATACGACATCAACCGCTTTACAGACGTAAGGTACTTGCGCTGGGACTCATTGTTCATGACATGCGCCTGTTTGTTCGAGTTAATCTTTTCGCGGCCCGTACGTTCGTGAATACCCACCATGGTAACTCCAATCGGCCACGCTGCATTCCCGATTGCAAGCTTGATGTAGGCGTCATTGGCCATCACAAACTCTCCTTGACGACAAAACTTGACAATATCGACCAACTTGGGTAGAATATCTGATGGCACCTGTCGCTTTTTGCACAACTTGAACAGCGGCCGAATGTAATCTTTACACTGTTTCATGGTCTTGACCGCAATTTTTCCCTGCGCCGTTCGTTTGACATGGTCCGGTCGATTCGCCAAGTCATTCTCCCATCGTTGCAACATTCCTTTAAAAAACCGATATACCATTTTATCAGTATCTTTCTCTTCTTCCTCATCCTTCTCTTCTCGACTCTCTTTGTGCTCCTGATTCTTCATCATCTTCTTCACCTTCGTCATCTTTCTCTCACGATTATCACTCGACGTTTCAAACTCCTCCGCATCTTCCGCTGCATCGTCTGCTTTTTCTCTCTGATCTTCTCCATCTCCACCAATAAACCGATTACGAATATCATGTCCAGCTCCTAGTTCATCATCATGTTTCGTAGCAACATCCATCTCGACTCGACGAAGCCGCGTCATTCGATCCTTCATCGTCTCACCAAAGAGCGTAATGGGTTCACCCAGTTCTCGTAGCCGTCGTCGCATGTCTGGCCATGATAAAATCTTGTCAGCCTCTTTTTCTTCTTTTTCTTCTTTTATCTTGATATTTCGATGGTCCTCAGTCATCTCCAGTGTATTTCTAAACCTCTCGGACGTCTTGTGCTCTACTTTGCGCTTCTTCTTCTTCTCTGACGTCTCCTCGTTCACGTTTTCCACTTCTTTTTTTCGTCCAATAACAGCTCCACTTCATCTCGACGCAAATACTTTTCCTTCTTCTTCTGTTTCTTCTCCTGTACAGTCAAAATCTCGCGCTTCTTAGCGGCCATTACTTGCAGTAATGCCTCCATAATAAAATATTATTATTATTGTTATTGTGAACCAAAATTGAGGCTTTTTTTAGTCTTTAGTACAATACAAATATAGAAACGCCCTATTATTTTCTTTTATTTTAGAATGCATTTAGAATTAATAGCACAAAGTTAAAAATTTGAAACAAAAGAAAATGCATACAAACCTATCAAGGGGGTAAACATTCATGTCTCGGCGACTTATTTGACATGCGACATGTCAAGTAAAACATATGATTCGATTAGCCTTGTCACATTATTTTTGATAGAGAGAAAGATGAACAAGTTCGTAATTCATTTCCAAGTATATATAAAGCCTTTCTTGCCTGCATTACCACGTAAGAAAAGCCAAAGCAACAACAACAACAACAACATACTTTGGATGCCGATAGATACCAGTAAAACTGAATGGAGCAACTTAGTGCACTGAAATACGAGGTTGAAACACCCGTGCAGCAAATTGCCAGCGTTGAGTCAATTTGAAGCCAAACGCTCGAGAAATAAATGACAACGTTGGCAAAGAGAACGGTTTTTATCCTTAAACGTGAGTGTTATTCAACAACATATAAGGAAACTGGAGAATGAGAAGCTTTTTATGGAGGTACAAGGTCTTGATGACGCTTTGGCGATCGATTACAAAGCTTTGTAGATATTGACGTCAAGTGGGAGAAGATTGACAACAGGCGACAAAAGATGCTACGTGATGTAAGTGAAGATTAGGACTAGAAAAGCTGGTAGGATGATATTGAATTGTGGTAACGTATTGATTGCGTAAAGTTGAGCGTTTTGACACTGGACATGAGCGATGAACTGAAAAACAACAGGTGAGCAGCATTGTGGACACTATATCGACCGATGTTGCTGACGTTGCCACGAACGCTTGCAGCTTGGTTGTAAGCAAGGTCTTACATGAAGTAGAGCAGGTATAAATGATCTGGGCATACGATCATGCCGATGAAGCTTTTGATCAACTTGATTTTGCGTAGGACAACGAAACTATGGTTCTCGAAAGAATGGGACGAAGGCGCTCAGGTGGTGGAGAATCTCTTGGCTACTCTTGATGATTACTTCTTTGATAGAAGTGGATCTTTGGCTTCTTCTTTTCCAAGATGGTTCATCAATGCCTGAACAGTGAGTAAACGTGTACTGCGCACAATTGCGTCAACGAACCCATTCCTTCTTCAATGTGGCAAATACTGCAGCTATTGTTGACATGATTTGCACGTAAGTACCTACTAACTATTTATGCACTAACCTGTAAACAAGTACAGTGCTGGCCTTTGATGAACATGAATATGACAGAGGAAGACATTTGAAAGGAGTTCAATTCATTGCAAGTAGTAAGCTGTACCTTACAAGACAAGGCTCTTTCCGACTACAACGACCTAGAAACGGGTGATATACTTTGTCATGTTGTGAAGTTGATCAAGACCACGTCAACTCAAGAAGCGTATGGATACAAAGTGAAAGAAAAGGATGTAAAAGAAAACTGCTTGAAGAAAGAAGCGGCTTAGCTTTGCCTCGAAAGGCAAGAAGATCACCAAACCAAATGCTGGCATGGACGACAATCAACATGCTGCAGAGGATGGAAAAAGTGTCAAGTAGCGTAAAAGCTCTTTCGTATCAGCACGGCAACGATGGTGTCAGCTTTACCGTTGAAAGACGGATGTAGCAGTACACTTTTGGCAGCTACATGACGTATGTCAGATTCTTCGTGTTGATTTCATTTGTTTTGGGACTGACATCATCACTACTGAACTAGCTACAGCTTTCAGTAAACATCCATTTAATGTTGAAAATCTTTAGCACGACCAAACAATCGTATATCTAGAGCATATGCGTTAAAAAAGACGGACTTTAGGAGATCACGTGAAACAATGCACGCCTCGTGCATCACAATTCATTATTCTACATATCTACATAGTTTAGTTTCGTGTTAGTTGTTTATACATGACGACCTCATGGTGAGACGCGTTTGGCAAGTTGACGGTGCAAGCGCATCCACCGAGCACGCAGTAACTGCTTGCGCAGGTCTTCTTCAGGCAGAACGTGTAGCAAGAAATCCACGAGATAGCTAGCACCCTCAGGTCCAAACGCTACTTCTAAATACTGCATGAAGAAGCGAGCTGAAGTGTGGCCCTTGCCAAATTGTCGGGCTTGCCGGTGGAAAAGGTAGAACAAATTCGGATTGTGCTGACAATCATCCCATACAGCATCTAGAATGGCAGAATTGAGCGAGTCCGCCACGTCAAAGTCAAAAGATAGTGCGAATGCATCCACCTCGCTTGAAATGATTCGTTCGATCTCCGCCATAAAACACCGATCCATCTCGTCCACGCCCTGCCACATCTGTGTTCGCTGTTGCTCTGTCAATACGGTCTCTTTGTGTCTCAATGCCGGCGGCAAAATTTTCGAAATCGTACAATTTCGTTCAGCCAGCAGGTAAAAACCATTGACACGCGCAAGCGTGGGAAGGATGTATCCACACGTCATGGTAATTCGGCTACCTTTACGAATCGACCGCAGACCAGCAAGTGGCAAGATCTGTTGTTCTGAGCCTTCGTGATCATTCGTAACCAATTGAATGCATAAATCCAGCATCGTAGCAAGCAGCACGAGCTCTACCGCACCCACCCGCAATTGTCGTCGAGACTTGAACTCATGCAGTCTTTTCTTCAGGTCCACTGCACCTGTACGAAAATGCCGTTCCAGGATGTGCACATGAAGTAGTCCGTAATTTGCCAGCGTTTGGCGCAAAAGCTCTACACCAACCGACAATTGCAAGTGGTCATTTGCCAGCACGTCCGATGCGTTTTGCGTCGAGGTTCCGATCTCAATCGACGTGTTCGGAGGAAATCCATTCAGTGCATCATACAATCGCTTGTCTAAGTCGTTGTACTGTTGCAACTTGTACAGAACACAATACAGCGCAGTGAGAGCGCCTTCTGGAGGTGCATACGTTTGCTTGAGACCACGAAGACGTAACATTCGCATCATTTTGTTATGTGTTACGCGGAAGGGCGATACACGACAAGCGCATTCATACTTGGTGCAGATCGCCAAGTTCCTTGCCTTATCATCCATGAGATTGGCCTGTAATTCATCAAATCGAGCGTCTTCACTGCGTCCTTCTAGCTTTCTAGACGGTCTCCGCTGTTTAATTAACTGCTCTCGACTGTCGCGCTCGTCAAATTCTTCGTCAAACTCCATGCCTTCCAAAGCACTATACTCACTGCTATCTAGAGTCTCATCTATTTTGCTCTTTACTTCGTCATCTCGATCTCTATAGTCTAGATACAGCACACAGCTTTTCATCTGATTCGGTAACACAGTCACCTTTGCGGTAGTGAGACCTGCATCAAAGTTGCAAAAGCAGCGAAGCATGAGCGGCGCTCTTGGATCCAAAAACCTCGTAAGTCTCAAGTGTGAAATACTCAGCAGCCGGTCTAAATAATCATTAAGTTCAGCACAGCGCTTTGCCAAAAACATTGCACTGCGATGGCGTCGCAACCATGTGCGACGCCGATGTGGTAATGGCGGTGCCAATAGCTTCATGTCTTGTGAGAAAGCATGTCGTAATTGAACATCCAGGCTCTGAAACTCGTGGAAACTACGAAATACCCGCCATGAAGCCTGGAGCTGAGTACCGCCATGTCGAATGCTACGGAACACGACGCGTGTAGACAAGAGAAACTCGGGCTCTGTCATGATCAAGCGATCAAATTGGGATCCGTCCACACGTACGCGTATCTGCAAAATTGCAGTCACATCACATACTGCAATAGGCATTTGACACGATTATGAGTGATATGATGATTTATATATAATAGACTTGTACTATGTACTACTGTTACCGACTTAATGGCCAACTCTGTTGGGCGCAGCAAATTGGCAACTGAGGCGGAAGTTGGTGCGAGCAGATGGTTACATGACGGACTATCTAATCAAATGAAAAGATTGATACAGCATATAATATGCAGTTTTACTGTATATGATACATAAAATAGACCATACAATCAAAATGTATGTGTATATTGTGTTTACATACATCATAACTATTTGAATAAACAAATATCGATTATGACAGAAACGGCTCTTTGTCGTGGCTCTAGACGACCTCTGCCGTTATTATGCATGCGGCAAAGCCAAGCCAAGGAGCCACATTGCCAAACATAGCAATCAAAAGAAAAAGAGTCAATTCCTGGTCAACACAATAGAGTGACCAATTTATGCTACCTTTTATCTCATTTCTACTTCCAATGACCTAATCCAAGCCACTTTTCCAAGACATACTACATACCCCTAAGCCTCAACTATTGCCTTTTATCCTTGCACTTGCTCTGTCATGTCTTGAGAGACCTATTTTCCATGCCAAAACGTCGCAATTCCACGTGGGATATATGCTAACGTCCGTATCGCAAATTGCCAAAAGTATTCAATTTAATTTTGCCTGACACCGTCTGATGCACTGCCAGCTGATTTCAAGCACCGATGTCAATTATTACATATGCATCGATTATATTATACCGGTTCATACAGACGTTGAATGAAGGGTGGCGCATTTCTTCAATAATAATTGGCCGGAAACAATAGCGACATGCATTTGATATTCGTGACAAAGATGTTGCATTCTTTCCATGACGCATAGTTATAAAAAACCTTACCACGATCCGTTTACGTTAAAATACCGCATAAAATGGATTAAGCTTCTAACTTTCTATTTTTTAGAGGGAATAGAGCGCCAACATTGCGTATCCCTATCGGTCTCTTTGACCCTAAAGTGTACCATCCAAAAATGGGTATCATGCTGTATTTTTTGACGCAATTGGCTTCGAAAAAGAATACCATTTTGACTTATGGCGAGTCTATCCGCAAGTGAGACGGAATTCCTAGTACGTCCAGCTGTAGGCGTTATTCAGTACAAAGTAAATATAATCATACAACTTCTGTTTACCCTGTATAGGCGGAGCAAGAGCTTATCGTCATTATGCCACACTTCCATCTGCGTGAAAATAGTGGTATGCTGAACTTCATTAGCGTACGTGCTGAGTTTAATGCATTGTAATATCGAAACGTTTTGACACGTTGAGGACCTTTTCACAGGGAGATTTTGGACCCTTTCAACCAGGTATTACTACACACGTACCGCTATGGCTCGCCATTATGCTCAAAAAGCTCAACAAGTGTCGAATATTGGCGCCGTCGTGGCTTTCAGTTGGTAAAATTTCATTTGACTGGCGGTCGTCGAAATTGGGTCGATATGGAATTGTACTCATTTTTTGGTGATCGGTCCATGTTGCAGATTATCTGACGTCGCGACTGGAACGTGAAAAGTCGAGTGAAGTGTTTGAGGAACTGCCTTTCCACTACTTGGAGATTGCGTCATTGCTGCTAAAAAAGTAGGTATAAATGGATCATTTATTGAACAACTTTTGACATACTTTGATGATGGTGAATGTTGTTCTTTTGCAGTGCATCAGAAGATTTGGACCAGAGTGAACACATCCGTTCATTGCTGGAAGACTTGCAGAATGTACGACAGGATAAAATTCGCAACGGTCTGGCTAAGATTGCGGGTGATGTTCAGGGCGGTGAAACTGCATTTGTCATTCAGATGAACAATATTTCCGCTCTAGAAATCAACTCGATCCGCGAGTTTATGCTTGGGGTACGTGTGACAGTTTTTGACGTGGTTTTGTTGCTTGGAATGCAATCATTTGTATTTATGCTTTGTTTTGAAGTCCTTAAATCAGTTTTACCGTCTTTCACGACTCACTTCAGGAGCTGGTGCGTACTACCGTAACCTAATTGCGTTTGTCTGATTGGCTTTACAATGTCAACTTAACCATGGTGTTAACTTGTTTGTGCTGTGCGTTCTGCTTCAGGCGAGGGAGATTTCCAGTCTCAGTCCGAGTCACAGAGCCAGGGTTACTCAGAGCCTTCGTCGGGTATGCTTGGTTGCTCATCAACAAGTCATGTTCATGATGTAATTTGTTCTTACAACTTGTTGTTCTGTCATCAAACAGCGGAAGCCCCTTCAGCACGTCGGCTTCGACGGCATCGAGGTTAGTGAGTTCCTCAAAAGTACAAATTAAGGAAACAGATTTCTTTGCGTCGTTCGGGATGTAATTTTGGATATAACTACTTGAAGTATAACCAACCTTTCAATTCCCTACTCACTTCCGTTACCGGCCTTAAAGCATACACACGACACAATGTTTCACAGTTGGAAGGTTAAAGTGTAAGAATTGGTCTTAGAATACTGCCAACTTTAGTCCTAATTTACGTCGTTAGGCGAGCTTATCAATTGTAGCGAAAAGACTGTTTCTTCTTATCCTTCATACTTGATCATTCATTTTCATTGGTTCCGAAAGCTCTTTTCGTTTTGATTGTTCGTTCCGAAAATGACCGACAGTAATTTATGGCGCGACCGCAATAAAGTGTTTGTAGCTGGCTTACCTCCACAAGTAGATGATGATGCATTGTACGAAAAATTTAGGTCGTTTGGAGAAATGCATCAATCGAAGGTCGTGTACGATCAAAGGACTGGACGTTCAAAGGGGTTTGGTTTTGTCACTTTTTGTGAGTATACGAATGCTTTGGATGCAGTGGATCAATTGGACCAGACGAAATGGGACCATAGGACGCTTAATGTTCGCTTTTTGCAACCTAAAAATGGACCGAGTGGTAGTGGAAAGGATGGGTCTTGCTTACCTGCAAGTATGGTGACATTACGACCAAATAAAGTCATTGGTCCACGACCGGAAGGTTGCACTACTATTTATGTGGGAAATCTGGCCTATGATATTACTGAAGAAGTATTGCGGAAAGTATTTGACAAATGTGGCAGTATTCGTGCCGTTCGGTTTGCCGAACATATTCAGACAAAAGAGTTCCGAGGTTTTGGGTATGTACAATTTCATGAAGAAGGACCATGTGAAGCTGCAATCAAGCTAGATGGTATGGTGGTAATGGGCCGGCCTATGAATATTGATTACGGATCTAGAGACGAAGGGTATGCGGAAGCTCGAGAAGAGCTTCAGAAGAAGTTGAAAAAAGGCATTTGCCACAAATTCCAACAGGGCCAATGTACTCGTGGCGATACCTGCAAATTTGCTCACGTGATGCAAGATCAAGATGCAGAAGAGTTGGTGCAACCGGCAGAGCAACCAGTGGGTGGAATTGCTATTCCGGGGGCTTCCTTTGAAGCAACAGGAACAACATCGACGACGGTTGCTGTTGGCGAGCATACTCGGACAACGTCGGATGCACCAACTTGCATTAGTTTCCAGAAGGGGAAATACAAACGTGGCGCCGCTTGCAAATTCCAACATTTGCAAGGTGTCGTAATGGAAGCTGAAGTTAAAATTGACAAGGAAGTCCCAGAGGAAGAGAAAACTGATGCAGACGAAAGAGCTCCTGTATGCCAAAACTATCAAACAGGCAAATGCAAACGCGGCCCGGCATGTCGTTTCCGTCACGTTGCTTTACCAGTGGGAGGCTCTCAAGAGCTTAGAGAGGAAGGACGTAAGGCTCCGGTTCGTGTAGTGCTGCCAGTTACTGCAGTTGCTGAGGTGGCGGTGTGTAGGAATTTTAAGAGGGGTGTATGTGCGCGGGGTGCGTCTTGTCGTTTCGCACACGCTGGTTACGTGACGCAGGCAGCTCCAGTCACTGCAGTTGAGGAAGTGAGCGAGTACCAAAAGCGTTTCCAGAGTGTGTGCTACAACTGGCAGAGCAGCGGATCGTGCGCACGTGGTGATAAATGCCCGTTCCAGCATGATGAAGGTCCCAGCAAGCAGACTGCAAAAGCGACGACAAAGTCGGACAACAAGAAGAAAAAGGAGAAGCAGAAATCAGAAGATGCTGAAAAGAAGGACGTGAAGAAGAGTACAAAAAAGAACAAGAATGACAAGAAGCGTAAGGTGGCGGAAGAGCTGGAAAGCGAAGATGTCTCGAAGAGAAAACACAAGAAGGACAAAAAGCACAAGAAGCGTAAGAGGAGCCAGGATGCTGACACCAGCGACTAGAACTGCTTGGTTGCTATTTCGATAGAACGAATATAGATTTGGTTGTACTGGCAAGCCAACCAGCAGTCATTTTGATGTATTAATATAGTTCGTACCTATTAAGCGCAAGACGTAGAGAGACCCGCTCACGTTTGATACAACACTATATCAGCGATGGCGTCATTGGGGTCTTACTTGCCCTTTCATATAGTTGCTCAACTTCTTTCAGCATTTCACTTTGCTTTCTAGTTTGCATTACGTTCAAAATCTTGGTGCAGTAAATCAATGGATTCGATGAGGGCAAGCTTTCAGCTCTTCTAATATGCCGTCTGTACCAAGCTCTGGTCTCTAAAAATCATCTGGGACTCTACACATCGTTCACTATGCACGCAACGACCGGCCCAAAATCGATCATTGCAATTCCTGCACATTTTCTTCAAGCGCTGATGATCCAGTCGTGCTCAAGCACTCGAGCGGCACTGATGCGTTTCGCTGGATCTACCGTTAGCATTTGACGCAAAAGACTCCTTGCACTATCCGACATACAAAGCCATCCAACAGACTCCTGGTCAAAGTTTCCCTTGAGAATACGCTGCTGAATTTCCTCGTCCGTGGCATCATCCAAAGGGTCGAACGGGTGGAGGCCGCACAGCACAATGTACAGCACAACTCCAAGCGACCAGACGTCCATGGCACAACCAGATTCTCGATGGTTAATAAACTCCGGAGACGCGTATGCCGTCGTGCACGTGTCCATCTTGTGACTATTTTCGTGATACAGCCGGAATGACTGGCCAAAGTCAATGAGTCTTAAACCCGTCTGTTTGTCATTAGCTAGAAGAATGTTCTCCAGCTTGACGTCAGCGTGTACCACGTACTTTGAATGCAGGTAATTAAGCGTCACAGCCAGTTCACGTACCAATTCCTTTGCTCTCTGTTCACTAAATACGCCATGCTCTACTAAATCGTCGTATAACTCTCTGCCCTGTACCAATTCCGTCACTAAAACATAGGCATCCACTGTCTCAAACGCATCACGAAGTTCCAAGACATTGTGTGTCCCACCTACTTGTTTAAGTATCTCCACTTCTTGTAAAAAATTGTTTCTTGTCGTCAACTTCTTAGACATTCGTTTAATAGCTACGCGGGCATTAGAAGCTTTATGGCGACCCATATGCACAAGGCCAAAACCTCCTTCGCCAATGACACCTTCGACGTCATAATCTTGTTGCAAACGGCTACGAGACAGATGCCATGAGCTCACTATACTGCGTTGATGCAGAGGTGGTTGCTTCAGAGCAGCCGTCACGGTATGTGGTACCAGGAGAGTGCAATTGGCGTCCATGGGTCTGCGTGCTGCGTCCTGACGAGCAACATCCTGTGTGTGACCCGTACAGGCTGCCACGGCAACACAAAAGGCAGCAGCTGCTGCCATATTCCGAGGCAGATGCAAACCGCGCTTGCTTGAACTGTTGCGTAAGGTCATTTTCAAGAATGAATGTATGTTCAAGTGTTAGCAAAATGCCGATGGCCTGAAATCAACTGGGACAAGGCAGCTTGGAACAGCCAATTGGAAAAGACTATTTGCAAACAAATGGCACAGAGAAGTACGACAAGTCGAAAGGACCGATGTATTGGTGACGACGCTACATGTATCCCCCTTGCTGACAGGATCAAGTTGTACGTGGTAAGAGCTCCGCCGTGTCGTAAAGGACGGTAAATGTAGAGGAGACTGTGAAGCGGTAAATCGTGTGAGATGACACAGGCGACGTGGCACAGACGAGCTGGCGCTTCTGCTTTATTGCATGTTTTATGTTGTTGCATAAAACACGCGACGTCAGTAACTTGTTGTGATCTAGTGCTTAAGCTTTTAATGTATAGGAAGTGGAAGCACTAAAACCAGCATTATAATGCAAAGACGAACATGTATTATGATGAGCTGTGTAGAAAAACATTGTTATATCCGACCGTAACCCACGGCGGAATACAAGTGAAACTGGTTGAACTCTTTGTTAAATGAGCTACCGCAAATATAGATTACGCGTGACTTACAGATGATATCGATGCCGACATAGTCAACTAAGATTAACAGCAGTTTACTTTTGTCGCAATAAAGTGCTCAATCGGACCTTACGGCTAAAACAGAAAGAAACAGACGCGCAACCACAATTGGGAACGAAGCTGTCAATATGGGGATGCTGCACGAGAGAGATGACGCATTGAGTACGTGATCTCATCTACAGTCCTTGTTGTCGTCGGTCGTCTGTGCACTTGACAGTAGCGCTAGAGACATACCCTTCATATACTTACAGAGCTCAAGCGTAAAAATAGATGTTGAGGCGTGCAGTATCCTTGGCTGATGTTAGTCGCCTATTATTCTCTACTCATTGCTGGACGAGTATATTGGTGTTGAGGCGAAATTCGTCATTTTTAGCTGAATCGATGGTTCAATGGCGCGTGTACGACTGCTTTATTCGTTCTGGCCCTCGACCATTTAATGGAAACCCTCACGTTCGTTTCACGCCACTTACACGCAAAGAAGGTCTCAATGTTGTGCGCGAAACACTGCAGCTAATTAACAACGCACGGCTGCTTTACGCGAGAGATGTCGATTACCATAACCGCTTTACATTTCTTGGCTGGGGGCAGTACACGTTGCGGCAGGGCTCGAGCATTACATTTTCGGTGAAAAAGTTGTTACCAAATGTGACACCAGCGCAGCTCATGGCCACGACGTGGGATTTGCTAACGAACGGGAAAAACATCCAGAAATTGATTCCGTCCACGGTGAACACGCACATACGTCCCATTCAAAAGCTCTCAGATGACCTTATTGTCATCGACCGGCGCACTGAAGACACTGCTCAAACCGGCGTTTTGGGCAAAAAGCTTGCGCTACGAACAGTGTATGTTTTGTTCCGTATTGCGGACGCTGATGGCAGCCAGACAGTGGCAATGAAGACAATAAACCTGCCGCTGGTTAAGAAGCTGCTTCGCGACGACGAATGCTGGTGTGAGATCTTCTATTGGATGCGTTTCTTGCCCGATGGCAGCATCCAACCCAGTGGTAGCCATGGTGACGTTGCAACAGTCACGGAATTCGGAGGCTCTAATACATACTCGCGGGACGAGATCGCCCAAGCATGGCTCGGTGAACTCGTGTTCCTTGCTATCCGTTGGGAGAGCTTGGTCGTGGCACCTACGCTGCTCAAGTTTTGATATATGTATATCCAAGGAAAGTAGTGCTTGACAAGATACGAACAACTAAATGAAGAAAATGCCGTGGTCAATGTCGACGCAATAGGTACGTGCAATCCAATGGCAAGTCAATGATGTCTGCCTTGCTGCCAAGATTTTTGAGACTCCGAGGGTGATAAGACGCTGTGGAGTTGTCGGCGATGCCTTCAAGAGATTCTACCTATAACGATGCAAATGCCTAGAAAACACGCCAGCACTGAGAGCTCTTTCGAGCTACTATTGTAAGGAGAATCCGTCGGTCATAAAAACATTCCTATCGACGCGAAGGTGTAGGTGAATTTGTTTGCCGAACCATGTGAATGACCAGCATTGTATGGAGCTGATATACGAGACTGTGACTGCGATCGAACAGAAGATGAACTAAGGCATTCATCACATGAGCATTATCACCTTACTGCACCCTGACGGAAAGCATTCACCACGCCATCTCATTTGAGTAAATGCGTTGGCGCCACTTGATGTGTTGACATTCATAGCAGCCAGCTTTACATCTTTGACGTCAACATTCTGCCCGGATCAAGAATCTGTGAAACAGGAACTTTGCAACAGCAGTCTTCATTTCCACAATACCCTTCCAGCTTCACAAGCAACGAGGTATGGTGATGTATGTATGTGTTATCGATGGAAAGAAAGGTTAGTTTATTATGACCGTGGTTGCTTTGCGGCAGGCGTTGTTGCTCGAAAACGTTTAAAAGCTGAAATTTTACATCGACACGTTCGGGGTGGATAAGACATTGCAAACATTACGCTGCAGCAACTCAGACCAAGAGAGGTTATTTATGCGCGGTCAATAAGAGCAAGGACATTCTTTATGTTCATAATCGTTTACGCTGATCTCACGATGCCAGTTTGACTACGACTCATTGTAGAGAAATGAACACATGGACACAAAAATGAATGGCTATAGATGTTATTTATGTCTTGCTCGCTATAATCAAGTCTCGATAATGCCTCTGACAGACTGCCAATAAGTTTTCTACACTCGTACGAGGTGTGGACTGACCGATACAATCAAGATGACGCACGTCTACTTATCTTGATACTACCTTACAGACCCTAGATTGTTTGGTAGCTCAGAAATTAATATGAAACCGATTACGGTGGGGGTATGCATTGAGGTTTCTGTAAAGACTACAAATACATCTAATGCAGCAATGATGAGTTGACATGACCACACAAAGTTTTGCGATGAGTAACCAAAAAGAATGCAAAAAAGGCGCAATACTTGGCAGTAAATCTTGCAAGCAGAGCACAGATGTCGTGCTTACATTGTAATTCTGTCTGTGTAACACACAACGATAGAGAAGAATTGATTGCGTGTCCAACCAATCGGTAGTCGATCGTCACATGAAAACCACATCGAGGCATAATATGCACGTACACTATGAGCACTTTTCTTCTAATGTGGAAATAGACAAACGAGCATCCGAGTTTGAAGTCACAAAAAGTAAAAATGGACAATGTACACGTATGGTTTGTTGTAGCGCCGTACACACTACTTATAAAAATAAACAGGCAGTTGCGTATTCTCTATTAACTTCTCTTGTGGTCATGGATTTAGTTGCTATCAAGTGAGGAAGCAAACAAAACTGATCGTGATGTGGCTTTACATGAGCTGAATGCCTTGTACATAGCCGCAGATATTTCAATTTATTTTATCTCTTTTTTCTTATGCCATGCACCTTACGTTGGAAAACGATTGTCGAAATGAGAAGGTAGACCCATAAAGTGACTTTGCTTGGTAGGAATGCATTATTACGATACCGGCATACATGTGTATCCTTGCACCAATGCTTTCCATATCTGTTTTCTCAACATAATTGCAAGAATGTTACTATTCACATCAAGCTTAGTGAAAGACTACAAATGGCTAGACGTTTACTAAAGAATCAGGTAACTTCGTATACGTAAAGTATGTAGTTGTAGTGTTGGAACCAAAAGGCTGCCGCTAAACAGCATAGCATCAATTGAAGCAGTGCAGGTGCACATTAGACTGGTAAGCTCCAGTGATGACCATGTATGTCAACTCAGCCGAGGACCGACTGGGTCGACCAGACGGAGAAGGGTGAAGGGCCGCTAGTAAGAACACCGCAAGCAGATGACCAAGTATGTACGTTCTAAAGTGGAGAACACTGGGCTGAAGAAGTATACCAAGGGTGGGCGATCATACCGGAGGTGGACCTTTCACCCAAGAGTATTGAGTTGGAGGACATATAAATTCCTGATCTAGACGAGAACACCCCAGAAGAGGTAGACCGACTGAGACCGATCATATGCATAAGACGACATTTGTTGATGAGGAAGGGTAATGCCTCACTACCAGCCGCTCGAAAAGCTATCTGTGACATTGATGCGGCAATGCAAGGCTGATTGCACAGCGTGTATGGAAGGTGACCCCTCAATTCAGAGAGAAGTTGGCGACCTGATCAAGGGACTATTATCCGCGAAGATCATCCAACCATCTACCTTGCCATGGTTGGATCCAGTTGTGATTACTGTGAAGAAGAATGGGTGGACATCAGGTTGTGTATTGACTATCGGTTGGTGAATAACCTGACCCAGCTTATAGTCTACCCTATGTCTCTGACTAACGAATTGTTGGAGGATCTAAATTGAGCATTGTGGTATTGCTCGCTTAGCACGTCAAGTGGTTTTGGGTCGTCGGTATGTCCGAAAGGGCAAGAAGGATCTCAGCTTCTGTTACCCTGCTGAAATTATTCGAATGTCTTCGGATGCCATTTGGGCTCAATAATGCGCCTCAGATGTATCAGAGACTGTTGGGTAATGCTTTGTATGGTTTTTACCAAATTTTTCAAGAATCTGTTACAGAGGAGACTGAAGATTTGTTTGCAATGGGGCAGCCAAATGTATAGTCAGGTCCCTCAGTACTGGGTCGATGGTCCTACATAGACGGCATTCTGATACCGGCCGACTCGTGGGATATGTTGTGCAGAAAGGTGGAGCTACTGTTAGACGTGTCTGACTACTAGAATTTGTCGATAAGCGCGATCAAGAGCTCGTGGTGGTGCCTGAAGGTAGACTATCTCCGTCACCAGGTCTCGAACCAAGGACTAGAGGCCCGCCGAAAGGACCTTCAGTCCTTGGTCGGCCTACCATGACGACGACACTTAAGGCCATGCAATCTTTCTGGGAAGTCTGAACTACGACGGTAGATTCATTGAAGATTATGCGGTGTAAGCGTCAACTCTCTATGAGTAAAGGGAGGCAAACTTCCACGCGTGGCAATTTCAGTTGTACAATAGCGACAGTACGGTGGACAAGACAGAAGACGAGGAAAAGTGGTCCAGAGACAAAGTAGCTTTCGCTATGCTCAAAAATAAGATTGCTACCAAACCTATCTTGTGACACTTTTACCCGTCCAAGGAAGCGGTAATTATCGTTAGCAAGTGAATGGGCCATATCCGAGTCATTGGTACAAGATCACGGTGGCATTATTATGCCGGTGACTTTTACGAGTCGGACTCTCCGGGCCAACTAATTGAATTACAGTACTGTGTGGAAAGAAGTGCTGGCTTTATTACGAATAATGAACACCTTTTTTACGATGTTGTCACTCGACCCCTCAAGGTTCTGACGAGGCATTCGACATTGGCGTGGTTGGTCGGATCTACCAAATTACAGGGACGTTTCGGGAAACTAGGCCGCCCTCTTGCCCTAGTGGACTATGAAGATTGGGAAATGTATGAAAGACAAAGAAAAAGTAGTGGGAGTGCTCGCAGCGATCAGTATCCCCCGCCAAAGTGTGAAATCAATTTTGTCGTCAATTGCTCTCAAAAAACAGGCGCGACAAGTGGTCGACCTACCTACCCCCGCCGTGGAGCCCGACGAAGACGTCATGGGTTTTGATGGGTCGGCACGTGTGAAACAGGGAGGTGGAGAACGTAGTGCTATTGTATGGAGAATACCCACATGGACTATAGCCAAGGCTGCCTCAAAGTACCTCGTTACATCTACAGTAAATGAGGACGAATATGAGGGCATGTTACTGGGTTTTGACCTGTTAGAGCCCCTGAAACGACGGCGATTGATAATCTGTGGGGACTTGGTGGTACGACAAATGCGGGGGGGGATCGAGTGTAAAGCGTCAGGGTTTTCCCGTTACGAGCAAGAGCTTGAAATAAACTATTGTCGTGGCCCACCCAAGGAGTTATGCACGTAAAACGTGATTGAATTAAGAGTGCCGACCAGTTAGCCAGCACGCCCTTACACCAGCAGAAAGGGATCGAGTCGATACAGGACCAAAGGAAGAAGTCCAGGTCTGGAAGCGATCACTCGATTGACAGAGATGCTAGTCCCTAAGGACCGGAGTCTATCGTTCGAGATGTTTGCAGTGACCCGATCACGGCCCCTCATCAGAATATCAGGTGAGATTATGCAAGAGAACGTGATACAACGAATACGGGCGGATCGAATCAGGTAGACACAAGAGAAAGAAGACTGGGTGCACTGGCATTTGACGACCTTTGCCATGTCCGTCTTTATTGCTAAAGCATTGATCAGCAAACTCCTGAAGTGAAAATCCTCGCCACATAAGCACACCACCATATCACAAAGACGCAGTGCTGATGCAGTACCAAATGAAATGGCTTCCTCGCCGTGCAAAGTCATGTAGAATGAAATACGTCCTTGTAGTGGAGAGTTTAAGGGAAATTCGGTCGACATGTCTATGCAGTCCGCTCGATCGTGCAGTAATATGGCTCTGGAGTACAGGATAAGTGAAAAGGGGCTACTAGTCGATTGCCCCATCCAGAGGGTTAAGGGAGACGACCGAGGGTCATGACTCTCCTGCCCCCCCCAGGAGCAATGCGCCTTGCGCCTACCAATCGATCCATGGATCATGGCGCTCAAGCCATGCCATGGGTCATAGGTTTAAGACCAAACAGCGTTCCATGCTATTAAATTCTAATAACTTTACATTTAAGTCTTTAGGGACTTTGGGTACCGTCAAACGCGTGCCCGTCGCTAAGCGAACTGTGACCGTGTCAATCTCACGCGCTCTAAGCGCTTCAGCATATTGCTGACCACCTTCCACGGTGGCACGGCGAACATAATTGCCCGATGCCCCCAAATCGATCAAAATGATCCATGGCTTATGAAAGCCTTCAACCGTCCCTTTCGATGACCAGAAAGCCTGGCTTGTATTGTCATTTCATTTTTGAGAGTTCGCGGCCTCTTTGGGACTTGGATACTGCTTACATCTCCTCTTATTGGTTCAACAGAACTCAGTTCTTATCCAGTAGGGCGCACGCGCCTTCTGTGCCACACCGTTTCCACGCGGCAAACCAGATGATTTGCCCATAAGGGATCGGTATTTCAAGGAATAATATGCCTTTCTTACATGGCAGTTTGCTTTAAAAAATGTCCTGTGATCTTGCAGATATAACATCTGCGCGCAAGTGTTGCTTCGCAACATAAAGCTTAGCTTTTTCTTTCTCTTCCACTTGACTACAGTCCATGGGAATAGCCCCGTCAGATGAGTAGTTATAAGAAGCAGGCCTAGCGGCCTTAAAGTTGATCTCGGCATTCCATGTCACTCTAACAGCTTCTTCGAATGAGGACGTGTTTACCCGGAAGACTTCCGTTCTGGTAATGGAGTCACTTACTTATTCACTGCACTATAGAGGTCTGTGAGTGAAAAATTTAGTAACTTCAGCTTGGAGGCTTCAGGAATAGGTGTACTGATGCAGCGCTCTCTATATCCGATGTTATTGCGCATGATAACATGTTGCAATCAATTTTTTGAGCGCGACGTCATCTTCACTACGCTATATGTAACCGCTGCAAATGACAGCCGAAGTACAGCTACTAATTTCGATTGTATTTGCTTTGTCAATAATGATGTTTAAGCATTATCAACCTGTAATTCAATATAAAATGATTTTCAGAATAACAAAATATTGATTCGTTAATGTGAATGTGTTATCAACGTATTGCTTTTCGGATCGGATCGAGTTTTGGCTACAATCACAAACATTTCCTCATTTTAGAACTTAAGTAAAGGGGGAAAAGGCTAGAGAAAGAAGTTTGGTTTGTTTGACAAATTGTGTTAGGTGGACGGATGTCTTGAGGTCTGCACATGTTTGTTGATAGCATAAGTTAACAAATCAAGTAAGGAAAAGCCTGCCCTTTATTACTGATCTTCTTGGGATAACGTAAATTGTGAATTCATCAAGTGCATTAAATAATTTTGCTTTGCAGGACTGCACAACAGCAGCCGGATCACACGTAAAAATTCGTTCAAACATGCTACTTGTTGAAGCAGTATCGTTGAAAGCTAACGCCAACTTGGAGGGCTTCCATAAAGACCGTGACGGTCACTGCCTCAGGCATAGGGTCTATGACCATGGCAGCAATAAGAGCTCTCAAATCTTGCATATGTGCCTGAAGCTCACGCATGCCTTGGCGACACGCCAAAAATATCGCGACCGA